AACTTCCTTCTCCCCTCATGTGGCCGTCTTTGTGATTTTGCCTGTCGCGTCGAAGAGTGGGCGAGGTGATCGGGCCTCGAGCATCCCACAGATTGTGCTACTGGTAATCGAGCGTTGGCGATCGCGGATCTCGTCCTGCACGTGTCGTGGTCGGTAGCGCGAGATCTTAGTGTCGAACCAGACCAAGCGTTCCTCCTATCAACGCTGGGTCGGTTTTTCTTTCTTTCCTTCGTTTACCTCCGCCGACAAAGCAGCAAGCTTGAAGCTCAATTCGGGGCCATTCACGTCCCGGCATGCGTATTCCATCAGCTATGGTTTGCTGCTTCAAATCGTCCTCGAGCGCATTGCAATGCCCCCCCTTACTTCATGCGCCGAGCGACCACGTCTATACGTACCGAACCGAACGCCTCCGCAAGACAAAGCGTCTGGAAACTCGCTCTCTTCCAACATGGGCTGACCACACATGGGCTCTTTTTGGCATGGGGTAGAACTCTCGCTTCTCTCCACGCCGTCATTTGCTAGTGTACACTGTAGTGTACAGTACACTGGAACGGCGTGTCCCTGGAAAAGGGGCCCACGAGGCTAATAAGGTAACGTTAGTACATACCAATCAAGCATCTAGCCCGCTAAAAGCGGTACGTATTGCGCATTTGCGAAGCAATATCAGCGCCTAACGAAAACGGAGATTGATGTCGATCGGGGACGGTTAGCTAATCATGAGGGTGCTGCTAGCTTTCCCGTCCCCAGCTTTCCGCATGCTAGGGCCCGACATGTCGGTTCGCACCAAGCAGTTGAAGCTGTGCGCCAGTGGCCAAATTGGCCAGCTGTGCTAGAGATGCAGGGCCGGGTCAGCTAAACCCGGATATCTTCGTAGTACTTTACTACGCTACACTAAGCCCTGTGCGTCGCCGGATCTCCTGGGAATACACTAGCCACTGGTTACGGCGATCAAAGCACCCTAGGACCCCGATTCACCTAGCAGCACACTACCTTACTGGGTGTGGAATAGTCCACAGTGTGGTTCGGATCACTAAGACTAGCCCATGAAGATCCATCGTGGGGTGGTTCGAACTAACTTCTTTCTAAAATGAAAGCGTCCCCTGCAAATACACCAAGGTGCTGCTACAAAAAAGGGGTCGATGAGGATAAGATGCTCCGCTGACCCCAGTCCAGACATAGGCAGGGGCTAAAAAGAGGAGGTCGAGCAACTGATGAGAAGACTCCCGACGACACTACATGATCTTCTTCATGAAAATGATTAACCACCTGGGATTCGAGACGGGCAGGGGAAGTCAAGAAAGAGGGGAACCTCCACCCTGACGCGGTGCTCGGCAATATATCGCCGTAGCTGGGCCGAATGCTGTCCCCCTTTAGCACAATAGCCAGCTGCCAGCCATCGCATTCTCTCATCAACGATAACAGCGACCTGCAGCACCTGATTACCAAACGTAAACTCGATGCCCTGTGTGGCGCTGTACGTCCGTGAATCTGGCGTCCAGGACGCCACTGATGAGAACTGGGGAGAACAGTTGGCTCCAACCGCGGCTAGGGCAAGAAAGCGGGTATTTCATTCCGCTAGTCAAATCGACCGCACGCACGGATCCTACGCAGTGTGCCCACTGCCCAGCGCTGGAGAGGGGATCTTCGCATTCCTCGCCGCTTTTCTCCACCATCGGGGTGAGACGGGAGAACCGGCGCCAGCTGCTCTTCGAGGCAGAAATTCCAGCGCCTGGTGATCCACAAGCAGCAACGAAGTGGTCGGACAGCTTGGCCCAACGAACGGCTAGGTTGAGATCAGCACTTGTCTATCCCGTTACTGGTGCACTGAGGAGCGAGCGCCCTCCGTTGGCGTTCATCGATGACTTGTTCCTCTGCATTCAGGCTCCCACCAGGTAAAGGGAGGCTAGTACTACACTAGGGGCAGAATAGAGCCCACACAATGCAGGTTATCGCCGGGACAAACAGGATGCTAAGCGGAAGCACCATCGTCGGACTTGTCTGCGATGCAGAGTACGATGTCAACCGATAACGGTGGAAGACAACGCGCCGCGCTAACCTTCTGTCCTGATCGTCAACTTCGTGGTACAGCACGCGGCAAGATCGTGGCTGCCCCGAAGTGTTCTACACCGTAATTCGCCCAGCCAACGATCTGGACAAGGAAGCCTTCGCATGCAGAAGTGCTGTCTCCGGGTGATTGGCTCTTCCCCATCCACCGGAAGGCGAGGAGCGCTCAGCTGGCTGGATTCGGCCCCAGGCTTCAGGCAGGTCGGCAGCAATACCGGGTGCATTTCACTCTTGATGACCCTCCTTCTTGCCCTTGGCATGCCCGGGCAATCTTACTTACACCAGAGACCCACGATGAAGCAGAGAACTTTACTGCCGTAACGTTATCATTCTGGCGACAAACAGAAACAACTCATCAAGACCGGCCCATATCGGTCCCCACTTTGTATTCTCCCGGTGCCCACAGGGTGCGCTTCCACCATACCGACCGCTGGGCGGGCGTGCCTATCCAGTGGGCGGGAGAACCCGATCGGCTCGGCGTCGCGATGTGGGACAAATTGTATGTACATCTGTATACCGGCAAAACAACAGAGAAGCCCTGGCTGAATTCACTCTTGATCATGAGCAGGTTGACTGACGGAGCACGCAAGCAGTCAGAGGCAGCATGGCGCACTCTCCATTCTCTTGGCCTCTATCTTGGATGGATGGAGGGGTCCGTAGCGTGCAGTATCCGTAGATATGTGAGAGGGGGGCGCCGTAAGCCCCCGAGAGTAGCCGAGTGTCCTCTTGCGGACGAGCAAGGGGCTCCCTGGAGAGGATCACGCAAGGTTCCAGTCGTTATCTACATGTATTGTATTGTACATACACGTGGAGTAGGGCGACCAAGAAACTGGGAGTAAAGACACCTCTCTTGCAAGAGGTTAGACAGCCAAGGTTGCTCTCCACCCCATCGCAACTTGGAGCATTTGTTTGGCAAGTCCCATCTCTGCGGTGTCCTACGGACATGCAGGAACAGAAACAACAGCGGTTAGACTACTAGCTAAGCTACCTAAAAGTTTAAATTAGAGGTTTGGCTAAGCAACATACGCTCTACAGCAGCGATCAGTACCTACCTACGCTCGCAACCAACCATCCCGCCTGGCCAAAGTTCGAACCAATGTCGAGTAGAGCAAAGCATGACAGGTCCACGGACAGACCTAACAGAACTCTCTTCCCTACCCAAGAAAGAGTACAGAAACGGTACTTTGCTTGGCTGACCGAGACAGTGACGGAACTGAGCCGAACACGTCGCCGGGCATCCGAAAAGTGTATGTACCCCTTGCTTGAGTAAGCACGACGAGATGACAGGAAGTATGTTTGATATGCTTCTTATACAAACAAACCTCTTACTATTGAGGAAGACCTTGTGATACCTAAAGAGGGTACCGACCTGTGTAGGAGAGAGCAGACTCGTCGAGATTATCTATGGGAAACAGAGACAAGCCAACTCGTACTTAAGCACACAGCGAAAGGGCAGTAGACCATAACAAAGAACTCAAAAGCCAGATCCGTTGGAATACAAACTCATTGATGATAATGCCACAACTGAAGTCGACTAAACCCGCCACCCTCACCCACAATGGGCGAGGTTGTCAGCATAACCTCAACATCCCGTACCCTCTCAGCATGTATGTAGATAGACAGGGCAAGTCTCCCTTTCCATCCCACCCCAATACTGGTATCCCACTCAAATATCTACAGCCCCAACTATCACACATGTATGTATGTACTTTTACAATACCTATAAGGGAACATCCCAACTGATCCCTTCCAAGAACATACTGTATCGTACGAAGAACGACAGCCTGTCAGCTTAACCTTCACTTCAACGACTTAAATCAGCCGGCAAGGACACTCCTAACTACTGCGAGTCAACCTACATGTCAACCAAGAGCCGAGCCTATACCTCCTTCGACCTGCGCTACCCTACACTCGCAGTCGGTTAAGGTAAGTAAGGCACCTAGGTAGGTAGTTTAGGTATTGTACAATACTGTACCTACGGATCGGTTACCGTCATTGCTAACAAGCATACCAAACTCATTTACATACATATGTACATACACACATACATTGACGCTTTTGTTGCCCATCCCTACCACCACCGTCATCAACATCCTCCTGATCTTATCAAGTCACAACCCCTCTTAAGGCAGGACAGGAATGAAAGAAAACGACAGAAAGAGAGAGAAAAGAAGATAAAGTAAACAGTCATAGCTATGCTTGGCAAAGTAATCCTAGTAGGTAGGCAACCAAGAGACAACCTGCTTGCCTCGGGAACAGCTTTCTCAACTTGACCCAACTCGACTCACCTCATCTCACCTGATTTTATCCCACCACACTCATCGGTCAACGGGTGACGAAGCCCGCCGCTTGTCAAAAACCCGGGGGCACTCGGTTGGGATGATTTATGATCGACCTAAATTGTGTATAGGACTCAGGTCGAAGATGTTGAGAAAAGGCAAGAGAGACTTTGAATGTATGTGAGAGACATGCTACACTGCTTACTGTGTTGCGCGTAAGCTCTTTGTATGCGAGCTTGCCGAACTTCCATCTAGGGGGAGGTCAGTCAGGTAAGAAGACCTTCCTCCCCATTCAAGACGGAATGGCATTGCGCAGAAGCAGCGTCAAGCAAGACAGTGTCCCGAGCTCGCCCTAGGTATGACATGATATACTGACACGACGTAGTAACAATAACAACAGCCGACAACCCACCCACTGGCATCTAAGTCGTCATGCCAGGGAGAAAAACCTTAACCTCTAAAACAAACCCAAGCCCCTCTACGATAAGAACGCCGTGATGCCCGAATGCGGGGGCGCCACTCAACCAGATTAAGCGGCAGCCCAGTCATGAACAGAGTCGGATCGATTCGATGGCCCGATGCCCAGAACGGAGCGACGTGGCAGTCGGGCAGCAAACCCAGAGTAATTTTAAATGGTATTACCTTGAATCACTGCTTTTACCACCGGCGGTTGCCAATGGGCAGGGCATTGGCGTCGTTGGGGCCAGAGCGACCTGTAAACCATGACAAGTCAGCAAACACGCCTCCTAAAATGGGCTGACAAAAATAAAGGCGAACCGAGAATACATGTTTAGAACTTACCCCCACGGTAACCGCCGCCGCCGCCGCGGCCTCGGTAGCTGCCATAGCGGCCGCCGCCACCTCCGCCGCTGTAGCGTACCATCTCGGCAAGCCGAGGATCGATGTGTTGCTTAGCCTCTTGGAGCACAGAAACGAGATCCCGCGCCTGCTTAGCATCTGGTGAAAAAGAGTCAGCGAAAACCGTTCCCGACCTTGACAGACTATTCTGGAAACACTTACTGTCAGTGGTAAAGAAGGTGATGGCTGTGCCCTTGGCGCCAGCACGACCAGTTCTGCCAATACGGTGGATATAATCCTCCGAGTTATTGGGGTAGTCATAATTGAGCACATGAGTAATGTTGCGCACATCTTAATCAATGGGAAAAAATGGTTAGCATCAGACAACTAGCTTGACATCTGCAAGCAACGTTCCAGCATGAACGGATGGCGGATAACACGGATATCTAAGTATGTTTCGTGATCCTTTTTATCTGGCTGTACTTCTCCTTGGCAGGTGGGCTGTCCGTTGCGGTGAAGATGCCGGTGGGAGATTCAATGCTCCAGGTCCTCGGGCCTTGGGAATCTTGGAGACAAGCTTGATCAAGGTCAAGAGATGCCTACTCCACGCTTGTACCATGGTGAGTGCAACGGTACAAGAGAAGGAATTACGGGCGTAGCACTGAGAGCAATGGTTCCCAGCTACGTCACGAATCCAAGACTCCGTTCAGAAAGACCATGTAGACACGAGGTCAGGCAAATTCGCGCAATCAAGAGAGCCCCTAGACACAAGAGTAAAGCACAGCACTCTTCGATGCTGGAAGGTTGCCCAACAGGGCGGTTTGGGGAGGGAGGACGGGGACGGGTCGGATGATACATACCGATACCACGAGAAGCGACGTCCGTGGCAACCATGATGGGGCTCTTGCCCGTCTTGAACTGGTCCAGAACCCAGTCACGTTCGTTCTGTTGCTTGTCACCGTGGATCGCTGATATTGTTGTTAGTAAGGATGCGGCCAACAGCCGAGTGAAGGGAGTCACTTACAGAGTGCGGGCCAGCCGTCCTGGCGGAGGAACCGAGTAATATCATCGGCCACGCGCTTTGTGCCCGTGAAGATAAGGATCTTGTTCTTGCTGTCCTTATCCTCCATGATCTTCTCCAAGTGCCTGATCATCCTGTCGCGCTTCTCACTCTCGGATACGACCTCAACAATCTGAGTGATGCGGTGATTCGCAGACAAATCCATAGATCCAATGTTGACCTGGATGAAATCAGTTTGGAAGTCGGCAGCCAAGCTGCGAACCTCCTTGGGCCAAGTGGCAGACCACATGAGAGTCTGGCGGTCAGGCCGAATCTGGCTGATGATCTTGCGGATCTGGGGCTCGAAGCCCATGTCGAGCATGCGGTCAGCCTCATCCAGGACAAGGTATGTGACGCGACGAAGGTTAGTCTTGCCAGATTCGAGCATGTCGATCAGGCGGCCAGGCGTGGCAATGCACACTTCGACGCCGCGCTGCAGGTCTCGAATCTGGGGGCCTCTGGGAACACCGCCATAGACGCAAGTGTTGCGAATTCTTGACGACTTTCCAAACTTGGCGATTTCTTGTTGAATTTGAACAGCCAGTTCACGGGTGGGTGCGAGGACGAGGACAATGGGACCGTCGCCAGGCGCGAGGAGAGGTTGAGCGTTGATGTGAACAATGGCAGGGAGACAGTAGGTCAGGGTTTTGCCCGAGCCGGTCTCAGCGATACCGACCACGTCGCGTCCAGAGAGAGCCATAGGCCAACCCTGGGACTGAATGGCAGTGGGGGCGGGGAAGCCTTGAGCCTTGACCTCGTCCATCACGTAGCGGGGGAAGCCGGCCTCGTCGAAAGTCTCAACCGGCTTCGGGACATTGCGACCGGCGACGGTAATGGAGTGGTCGCGGCGGAACTTGTCAACCTCGGCCTGCGACCGAGCGGCGACATCGGGGTGCTCCTTGTAGAAGGACTTTTCAAACTTTGGCAGTGTGCTCAGGTCCCAGTTCTGTTTCTGCAAGCCGGAGCCAAGGGCAGACATGCGATCACCACCGCCGCCTCCGTAGCTGCCGCCGCCGTAGCCGCCGCCACCACCACCAGCACCGTAGCCTCCACCACCAGAGTAGCCGTTAGATCCACTAAAACAATCGAAGGTTAGCAATCAGCGAACTATCAAGGATCTGTAAAAATGAGCTGATGAGACATACGAGTAACCGCCGCCAGAATAGCCACTGCCGTTGCGATCATATCCGTTGGAATAGCCGCCGCCGCCGCCACCGCGGGAGCCGTATCCACCACCGCCGTACGAAGACATGCTGGCAATTAGTGTGATGTGAGAATCGTTTTCTGGATGCAGTGTACTGAAACTGTCCCGTTAGATGGCTTGTTGATCGAAGCCGATGAGTACGCGATGAATGACGATGGAGCGACTGCCAATTGTGGGAAAGATTACGCCGATGTTGTCTCAGCGAGAAGCGACACTGGGCGCGTCTGCAGAGATCGGCTGGACGTGAATGCCGGTCAATACCGCAAATTGAAGGAATTCGCAGTATCACAGCTTGCGATGACAACAAACCGCAAGACGAGGGAATGAGGGTGAAGGATGAGAATTTGGGCGAGGTTGGAAATCCTGTCGGGTAAAGAAAGTTGAAAAGGGATCAAGAATCGCCTCCCAGGAATATTTTTTTCTTTTGGGGTCTCAGCAGGCCCGGGTGGCACTGACAATTTTTCTTGCAGGGCCCAGGCAGGCACCCTGGCCCAGGCAGCGATAAGCGAGATAAGGCATGAGCAGACGCGTAAATTTTCTGCCTGAGGCACCACGTGGTATACTGAGTTCTGGGAATTTGAGAAGCAAGACTGGAACTGCACTCAACATCCACCAAATGCGAAACTGCCTATACACCTGTAGGTTAAGCGGCCTGAGATATGGAGTGAATGGTTTAACGTTAATACACTTCAGATCTTCTAACATGCGGAATTTACATAGGTATGTATGTACATGAGGCTATGTACTCTGTTCCACCGCCTGCTCTATCCGTAGATCGCCCTGTTTCGAAGTCACCGCTCTGCTGAGTTTTTGCCGAGTCTACTCTTCCCATGGCTCACCAAACTGCAAGATTTGCTAACGAGTTGATGGACCGCCCAGCTCAGCTCGAGCTGTACATCTCCCAAAATGCAATCTCCATCTAGATTGCATATTCAGCAACTGGCTGCAAAGTGCAAAGTGCAAACTGCATGGCCGGACATGCACTGGGAAGAAACGCTTACCTTTGTAGCATGGATAAAGATCTTGGCCAACTCCTCGATTCGCGCCGGGCTTTGCAGCAGCGCATGTCTCTCTAGCAGCTCTTTGTTGGGGTCATCAGCGAGATTTGCGTTTGAGAAAAAGGAGGGATGTATGACCAGCCCTCACTCACCAGAGCCAGTCTTGACCGCCGTAACGTAATCGTCGGCCACGTAGTTCTGAATCCAGGCCCAGTAGATGTTGCCTTCTCTCTTGGACCGCGAGTCGGCGTGCAGCTGCTGGGCGATGACGCCGTATCCGAGGAGACAGGGCGCCATGGCGACCTGGAGCGCAAGCCAGTCTTCGGACTGCCCAATGTCCAGCACGTACCTCGTGTACGCGGTGCATGCTTCCTTTTCCTCGGTGCTCTCCATCTCCTCTCTGGAGATGCCGAAGCTCTCGCAGTACCCAACATGTAGCTCCATCTCCTTGTAGATGTGTGTGACTATGGCGGCCGCCTGTTGTATGCGTGCTGGAACTCAGATTATCCGCCCTCAGAATCTGTCAACAGATGTAATAGCTTCACACTTACCGCGGCAACATCTTTAATCGCTTTGGCCTTGTATGAGCCGAGTGCGTTTGCTCGAGCGAAGTGCGTCTGTGGCCCGAGTCAGCAGCAGCCAGGGTATGCAACAGTCATGCATAAGCTGAGGGGGCCAAACAAGATAGAGATAGTCCTGTATTAGATATCCCTTGAACGACTCAAGCGGCAGCGTTGCGTCGCCCATGGCCAGCACAAACGGGTGGTTGACAAACCTGTCCCAGACAGGGGCGACATCTGGCCTCTCGAGGAGGTAGTCGACAAAATGGCCCCTGGAAGCAGAACCAATCAGCCCTCAGACTCAACCAAGCAATAACAAAAAGGCGCTGGGTAGTCGAGCACATACGGCGAAAAGGGGAGGGTATAGACCGAGTGGAAGTGGTTGAGCGGCCCATTCCCATGCCCAAGGCCCGGCGCCAGCCTGATGCCAGCCTCGACGTATCGGCAGGCCGCTCTCACCGCAGCCGTAACATCCATGCCTTTTGCCAGGTTGGACGCAATCGCCGCTTTTCATCGAGGCAACAGGTCAGCTCAGCCTTCCAAAGGGATAAGAATAAAGGGGACTCACAAGCCAATGAACACCCCGTGCCGTGTGTATTTCTCGACGAGCAATACGGGCTCTGCACCTTGATCACCTCCTCCCCTTCCTCTTCCCCTTCCCCTCCCCCTCCCTTGCCTTCCTGGCGACCACCAACCAAAACATCAACAACAACCTCCCTCTCAGCTTCCTCCTTCGCCAGCATCCCGTCGCTCGCCCTAAAGGGACAGTGCCCGCCCTTGACCAGGACCCACCGGACACCAAGAGCGCGCCGCAGCTTGCGAGCCAGGGCCTCGAGGTCGGCGACCGAACCAACAGAGTACTGGGACTCGAGCCCGTCGCCGCCTACTCCAAGGGCGTCGGCAAGCAGCAGGCGGGCCTCGGGCACGTTGGGCGTGAGGATGGTGGCACGCGGGACCAGCCGCGTGCGCAGGATCGCTAGAGCGTCGGGGGCGAGTAGCTGCGCGCCTGTGGTAGAGATCATTACCTGTTTTATGAACGGATGGGTTAATAGAAGGTAAGAGAGTGAGGGGTGGGGTGAGTGAGGTTGAATGGATACAAGACACGGCAAAGTGAGGGAGAAAGAAGGGAGACGGGGAGCTTACCGGGTCGATGACTAACCGCTCAACATTATGCGCCTCAAGAGCGTCCGCGATGGTCTCTATGGCACTCGCCGAAGCAAGCATGCCTAGATCATATTAAAGCATGTCAGTAGGTACGTACATGGTCAAGACAGACCTCTCTACATATTTCCATCCACATCAAAAAGGGGGGCTCACCCGTCTTGACAACATCCACCCCAACATCCTCAATCACAGCATCAATCTGCTTCCTCAAGAACGCTGCCGGGACATGGTGTATATCGTACACACCCCGGGTGTTTTGCGCCGTGAGCGCCGTCGTGGCCGTCATGGCGTAGCACCCGTGGGCGGCAATGACTTTCTGGTCTGCCTCGAGGCCGCTTCATCAGGGGGTACGTATAAGTCAGTTGGTGAGCTCAACGAAAAATTGAAAGAAGACCAGACGTACGCTCCGCCCGAGCTGTCTGAGCCGGCAATGACTAGCACCCGTTTAGGGATCATCTTCTTCTTTCTTCTTGGTATGTAAATTGTATACAGATCTGATGTGCTGTGGATTATCTGATGCGAGTGACTGGATGGGGAGTAGAGGTGCTGAAGGTGCTGAAAATGCCTCGCACCGCAACGCCTACTCGATCAGGGCAGGGCGCCGTAAAAGACGGGAACCGCTAGAATCTGGTTGCGCTGGTCTGGATGGATGGATGCAATGGAAGGTGGGGATAACGAGCATCTCAGTGGGGTTAGGTTCTTGGTTTTCCACAGCTTGGTAGACTTGGAGTTCGTTTATTTAACGTTGGTGCTAACAGACGGGAGCTACCTTATCCATTGTCCTTTCAACAGGTACATACAAGAGTTCGCTACTTCCATGGTCATATTTGCCGTTTGCGATTTGCAATAACGACCGTCAAGCAAGGCGGGTAGACATCCAGAATCCGTAGCCTCATCTCAATAACACATTGAGCCACTACTTTACTTTACATACAACCTTGCCACTGCGGTTACAACGGCAAAACGTTAACCCATGTTACTGAACGCCTGCCCCTTCCAGTAAAAAGAATAAGGGGTATACACCCAGCCGGCCACCCGACCACCCGACCACCCGACCACCCCCTACCAACCCAACCTGTTGAACAACCCCTGGGATATGCAAAGTAGTCCACCGTATACCGTGACACGCGCCTCCTGTCACCTCGCCCTCCGTTCCATACATTTTCCCATACAGCAACATACAAAAATGCATCATCAACTCCGCCGGCTGTGTCTGTCTTATTCTCATCATGCTGCAATTCCGACCCTGCATGTCCAACGTGAAGATCAAAAATGTCATGAAGTCGTCGCTCGGGCTTAGCGACGAACATGCCGCCTAGCAGAAATCGCCACCCCTTCTGTATCTCGGTTTCGGCTGCGGTTGCGGTCCGACGGCTCGGGGTCGCTGATACTCCTCTGCCTCTCTGTGCGCTGTTCGTCGCCCGAACTGTCCCCCTCGCCATCTTCATCACCATCATCACTCTCCTCCTCGTCACCCTCCTCTTGCTCATTCCCCCTTCCCCGGCCGCCATCATCCCCACCCTCAGCCTCATCCTCATCTCCATCTTCACCTTCACTGCCACTCTCCTCTTTGCTCTCCTCACAAGCCCGTTCCCGAGTACCGTCCCTCTTCAAGGGTGATCCAACAGCAACCCCCTCTTTTACCCCCTGCTCATCATCATCATCTTCACTACTCTCCTCCTCCTCCTCTTCTGTCTGGTCACTTTCCCCTCCCTTTCCTCCCTCCCCCCTCATCACAGCATGTGACCCCCCACCCACCGCAGGCCTATCCTCCCCATACACCACCGCCCTTAGCACGCTCCGATCAAACAAGCCGACAATCATGTTGCGGTCGGTCAGCCTGTAGTGGTGGCACTCGAGGAGCGACATGACGCGCCTAAACAAGCCCGGCTGGGCAAACCAAGTCACCGTTTGACCCGCACCCGCTTTAGTAATTTTCTGCGTCTGCGCCTTGAGCTGCATCAGCTCGTTGCGCGCCCGCCGGTACAGCACCATGTTGGCCATGTCCATGACCAGCTCCAGGACGCGCTGGTTGGTCGGGTCCGGGTCGAGGACCGGGTGGCTGGGGTGGTTAGCATTCACATTCCCACTCCCATTCCCATCAGCGGCGGCGGCACTATTGGCCAGAAGGGATTGCGAGTGTGAGCCGCCGCGGGTTATTGGCAGCGGCGGAACCCTGGCCGTTTCCGTCTTCTGGCTCTCCGGCAGCTCAATGGAAGTGACAGGGATATGGCTCCACGGCTTGAGCGAGAACAGCTGGCCGAGATTCGTGGGTATGCAAAGGCCCAACGAGTGGCCGAGTATGTTCGTATTCGCGTCCCAGCCGTTCTCAGACAAAATCTCCAGACCGTGCGTGGAGCGCGAGATGAGGCCCAGGACGAAAAACGCCGTGCCCCGCAGGCTCATGACCTCGTGGTGCTGGGCAATCTTGACGATCTGCTCAACCACGTCGCACGACTCGAGGAACGGCGCGCCGAGCTCCATGGATCCGACATTGCCCACCGCCCAGAGGCAGCCTTTGACCTTGACAATCATCTCCGGGTCGTCCGACTCCATGCCGTGCTCGCGGATCGTGGCCGCAAACTCGTCAAAGTGGCCCTTGTCGCTGAGCAGCTTGCACCCCTCCTCGGTCCGGGTCAGCTCGCGGTAAAAGTGCGGCGGCACGTGGCTGTCGGCCTCCATCTCCTGCTCGTCGTCAAACACGCTGGTGCGGTTGGTGTGGTCGTCCTGTTGGTCGAGGAAAGAGCGTGCCAGGCTCGCTTCAATGACGCTCACGTACGAGTCGTTCCGCCCGAGGAACCAGTCGTCCATTTCGTTGCTGATGTAGTCCAGCCCGTCTAGGTAGTGGTATCCGATCGATGTCGACAGGAAGCGCAAGAGTAAGGGAGCGCCTATCTCGCCCAGATGGTCTAGCGCTGGCCGACACTCGACAATATACTCGAGGTTGTTCTTTGTGTTGCAGGCTTTCTCGAGGATCTTGACTGCAGTCGCACACACGTCGATTTCAGGATCGTAGAGCTGCGTCACAAGGAGCTGGATGGCCCACTTTGAATCGCCAGCCTCTTGGGCTTGGCCCTTTACCCTAGGGTGCGTCGCGTACTTTCGCAATGCATTCGTGGCGTGAATTCTGATGTCCTTGGTCCCCGCTGTCAACGCCTTGGACAGGAGCACTCGTGGGTGTCCCGGGAGGGAATAATCAAAATTCTGGAGCATGAGCTTGATGAGGTCGGGCCGCTGTTTGAGGTCGAGGATGCGGTACATCATGTTGAAGACGCGCCACCGGTCCAGCATCTGCATCCCCTTTGCGTCTCCGGTCAAGACACCGAGCATGGGGAAATAACCCCCACAGAGCGTGTCAATGAGGCGATCCTTGGAGAACATGGGGTCTTGGGCCGTCAGTCCGCTCGTTGGGTCGCATTGCGCCAGGCACTCGGCGATCTGCCGAAGCAGTTTGTTGTCGGACAGGTACCTGACACCCTCGGGACTCTGCAGTAGAGCGTGCATTAGGGCGCACCCGGTCCGGACGTATTTTTGCGTGTTTCTTGAGCTCTTGACCTCTGAAAATCTAAACTTGAAAGGGCGATAGAAACTCATGATCCGCTTTACGAATTTGGATGCTTTGATGGCTTCTTCGAGCCTCTTGCCGCTCGTCAGAGGTCCTTCAATCAGCCTAAGGATAACATCCCAGTTCCACTTGGTGTAGTTGGAGCTGCTCAGCACGTTGGAATCGATGAGCAGTTGCCGGAATGTCGCGTCGTCAAAGTTGACTGCTGTGATGCTCTTGGGGTGTTCGTCAAGCGCGCCAAGGTCCGTGTGATGGTGCGCTGGAGGCATATAAGCCGCCGGCGACGACCTATAGAGCGTCCTGCTGACGCTGCTTATCTGATACACAACGCCGGTGGCGGTGAAGTGGCTCTCATCCCGAAGCCTAGCAGCTGAGACAAACAGCTCCGGGAGCAATTGCAAATCGCTGCTCCACGATGGCGGGAGCAGGTGGCTTGCCAGTTTCAGCACCTCTCCTATCAAAAGTGTCGACTTTCGCTTGAGCGGTGCGTTTTCGTTATCCTGAGTAAGTTTCAGAAGGGCCGGGACCACGCCCGATTTGATGAAGACGGCGAGCAATAGCGCGGTGTAGTGTTCGACGAAGTTCTGCTCGCCACCGTCATCCTCGAATTCGGAATGCGGCCCCTTCGTGGTGGTTGACTTGAGGTCCGAGACCCGCCCATAGGTAGTGAGTCGCCGGCCAGCCAAGAATGATTGTGCCCATCCCGGGGGCTTGATGCGGAGAAGAGAGAATAGCAAATCCAAAATCGTCTCCCGGATAGGCCCTGTCTGCACGACCATACTGCTGATCATGGATTTGATGGCACGAAAGTTGTACATGCACAGGCTCATCAGCCCTGACCATGACTTGAGAGCCGTGGCCACTGATTTAGCGCTCTGCTTCAAAAAGCGTTCGTTTGAGGTGAGCTCGTCGGTGAAGGCCGTGAAGAGAACCTCCAGCTCGTTCCCGGGACGCAGGTATTTGCGCCGCCGCGGCGCGTCCAGAAGATAGAGGAATGCGGCCGTCAAGCTCTCCGAGGCCTTGTAGGAACCATCTGCCAGGGCTTCGTGCAGGGGGGCCATGCCTCCCGAGGCGATCAGCAGACGGGGGTCACGAACCAAAATCTCAGCGAGCGTTTCGAGGCAGATAGGCCGTAACCTCTCCTCGGGCTCTTCTGCTGCAGCGGCAATGGTCCTTACGACGGCCCTCGATATCTCAGTAACGCCGTCTTTGACGTCGAGAAAGGCACGCACAAACTTGAGGGCCTGCTCGCGTTCAACGTCGGATTTGCGGTCCTTGATCAGAGACCTGTCACAGTTTAGCGGGTTGAGGACGATGACAGCAAAGCTGCCAGCAAGCCAGACCTACCATGTGACTAGGTAGTCAGTATTCAGAGCGCGGATATTTCTGAGCGAGTTGATATCCGAAATGGCGTATCGTATCATCCTGTACCCCGCAGCGACCACCTCGCGGCTTTCACTCAGGAGCATGGCCTGCATGCGGTGGCCGAAGACGGACCAGGCCAAGTCGTACTTGAGCGTCGGGTGGCGCTTGAACAGATCGACCAGGCTATTGGCCCTCGAGACGTAGTAGTCTGGAGTCATTCCCGTCACCTCGAGTGCTTGCAGGATCTCGGTCAGGGCGAAGGTGGGCGACTCGGCGGGCTCGTCGAGGTCGGAACCGGCACCGCTTCTGGAGGCGCTCGGGGGGGATCGTAGGCCGCCGGTGCCCGGAAACAAGCCTTCTGTTCTAGACCGCGTAGGCGTTGTGGGTGCCGCCCTTGTCCGCTGGGCGTCGGTGATTTTCTGACGTAGCTCCTTGATGCGCTGGTTGGACGAGTTCAGCTCGGCCTCGACACGCTGGCGCTGCTCCTTGGTCTGCTTGGCCTTCTTGCTGTTTAGCGCCTCGAGCATGTTCTCGCTCCCCTCCTTGATCTTCATCTCGCGACTCAGGGCCTCGCGCAGGTAGCTAAGGGTCCTTTCGGAGGTCGGGCCATCGTCCTCGTCCAGCTTCTCGAGCGGAAAGATGTCCGGGCGGGTGCCGGCACGGGAGAGGTTCAACTGGCTGCGGAGCTCGGAACTGAAACTGCCAGGCATGGGCGATGGGTTGAGCGAGGCGCCTCGGGGCGCAAAGCTCACGGCTGAGGCCGACAGATTCCGACCGGCGCCGCCGCCGCCGCCGCCGCCGCCGCCATTGAGGGCCGGGGGTTGCAAGGCATCGCGTTCGAAGCTGGGGCGAGAAGTCGCATTTTGCGGTACGCTTCCTGACTGTGGCTGTTGTTGCTGCTGCTGCTGGTGCTGTGAGACGTACGACTTCTGAGTGGGCGTCGCCGAGGTGCTCAGCATGGTGGATGGCCCAGCCATTTGCCCTCCACGCTCGACGCTCTCGACGCTCTCGGCCCGGGCGCTCTTACTCTTGCTGTTCGCATTCGATTTGCCAATCGGCACCTTGCGCGGCGCATGAATACTATCCCCGTCATTCAACTGTTCTGTGTTGATGGATCATGTACTCCGTAATGGCCAGCTGTTGTTCTCTTTGCGTCGGATGCACAGTTGCACTCGCGATCGAGTCGCGATGTCTCTGTTTCTTCGCCTTCCCTCATCGAGTTGATGGGCCTCCAAATCCACCAAATGTTGCCTGGTAGCGTTAGTGTCTGGTTCTATACCACCGCTAACCCTGAGGAGCTATCTGGGGTCTGGGCTGGACCGTTAGAAGATGGTCAGTGCGCACACCCAGCAATTGATTAACCCTACCGTGCCTACTCCGTACCCCACTTGGGCACGGTCCATGCTTCCAAGCTTTCGGAATTGAGCCTTAGCTCCTGCCCTTGTCAGACAAGACAGGCAATCCTCATCAACACCGTTCCTTGTCTCCTCGAAAAGTTTTACGTTAAAAATGCTGCAAGCATGTTGACGACCTCATCAATTGGCTTTTGATTTGCCCAGCATAACCATGTACTGATTAACCAAGTGTTATAATGGAGGCGAGGGCGCGGTGTGACACTTGGAAGCGTTACCAAGGGTCTTAAAGGAACCTCGACTGCAAAGGCAATCCAGTAACCAGTTACACTAGGTATGGTGAGAAATCCTCGGGAACACTTATCAAAGTCTGGAAGCTCCTCGGCGTCGTACGATGTTGATAACGGGCATATGTTGGCGCCATCTCAACCACACATCGCGACTCCTCTCAGCCCGTCTTTTTTGACGTGCATTTGACGTGGTGTCGTTGGGCGAGTGGCACAGATTCCCGAAGCAAACCGGGGTCGACGACTCTTCAATTCATCTATATACTTGATTCAATTTGAAACGGGGTCAAGGAAAACATGCCAGGCAAACGCTTTCCCAGCTCGCAAAGTGATAAAGAAACGTCGGATGGCAGACCGACAACCCCTGCAAACCACTGCCGGTTTTCGCGGGAAGCCGGATGGCGTGGAAAAGGAGGGGCTAGGGACAAGGCGGTCGGCGGATTCCGGCGGATCCACCTCTACTTCCACCCGGCATGCGGAGAGGTGCCGTCCGGCCGCATGTCCCCATTGGACCCGTGGTGCCGTGCTTCTCCCGGGAACGCTGGACGTATATAAATGACGGGCTGGTTTCGCTCCTTTTCTGGCACAGCATTTCCCAACGAATCGGCCTGCCTCTGCTAAGTTCCAAATCCATTTGCCTCCTCAACCTCGATTCGAACCTCGCTGGAAGCTCATGTGACGCTGGAGGAACCAAAGTATTGATTTAGACACCGGGTACTACTGAGGACATCATTACCTTAGCGTCATCATGCCCGTCCTTGCCTCCGCCCGCTACGGCAAGGACAATGTCCGCGTGTACAAAGTGCACCGGGATGACAAGACTGGGGTGCAGTCAGTGACCGAGATGACGGTGTGCTGCATGCTGGAGGGGCAAATCGAGACATCGTGAGCAAGCCCTTCACCCCTCCCCAACAGAAGAAAAGAGTCAACTGACTTCCCAACCAGATACACAAAGGCCGACAACAGCGTAGTCGTGGCCACCGACTCCATCAAGAACACCATCTACATCAAGGCCAAGGAGCACCCCGTGAACCCGCCCGAGCTCTACGCCAGCCATCTCGGGCAGCACTTCCTCGACAGTTATCCGCACATCACCTCGGCCCACATCAAGGTCGTGGTGCACCGGTGGACACGCATGACGATTGACGGTGCTCCGCACCCGCACAGCTTCTTCCGGGACGGCCAGGAGACGCGCAACGTGGACGCCGTCGTGGCCAGGGGGCAAGGGATCGACCTGAAGAGCAGCATCGTCGGCCTGCAGGTGCTCAAGAGCACGGGCTCGGCCTTCCACGGCTTCGTGCGCGACGAGTTCACCACACTGGCCGAGACGTGGGACCGTATCCTGTCGACCGACGTCGACTGCACCTGGTCCTGGAAGCGCTTCCCCACTGTCGCGGCCGTCCATGAGGGCGTCGAGCGGTTTGACAAGGCCTGGGAGAGCGCCCGCAACATTACCATGAAGACGTTTGCCACGGATGAGAGCGCCTCGGTGCAAAACACCATGTACAAGATGAGCGAGCAGATTCTTGAGGCGGTGCCCGAGGTCGAACGGGTTGGCTACTCGCTGCCCAACAAGCACTACTTCGAGATTGGTGAGTTTAATTTATTGGGTTGCCCACCAGACTGGGTGGACTTTGGTGCTAATGACTTCTGCTACGCAGACCTGAGCTGGCACAAGGGTCTTAAGAACACCGGCAAGGATGCCGAGGTGTATGCGCCCCAGTCAGGGCCCAACGGGTTGATCAAGTGCGAGGTGGCTCGCTCGTGATGGTTCCCACTGTATACTATGTGTAGAAGCAACAAGAAACGATTTCATGAGTCATGGGCGTGCTTGCGTAGAAGCATGCCGACAATCGGCCGGGGAGTATCCGGCGTCATTGGCACAAGGCATCGATCATGTGTGTCTATCAGCATCTTTTTCGGACAGCTTAGCATTGTTAGCATGGTTTCACCACGGTGATTGGACACTAGCCCACGCTCCCTTTTTCATGAGATACTGAAATTTATGATTGTACATCGATGGTTTGTTGATACACAGAAACCCAACCGCGCAAAGCCAAGAATCTTGTACACACTAGACCCCTTACATACCCACAGAAGAGTCCCAATCCTCAACTCATACTATCCTCGCCTTATCCCCATCCCTCACCACCCTCGCCATCTCCTCCCACCCGGGCGTGCCCACCACCTTACCACCAAACCGCAACAAATTCTGCTTATACGGATGCGCATCCCCCTCAAACGCCTTGAGTCTCGCCAACCTCTTATCCCTGAGTCTATTCTTCGGCAGCATGCCACTAACAGCCTTGCGCAACACCTCAGCACCGCCGTGCTTGGCCATGAGCAGGTCCATGGTGATGGTGCGCAGCGAACCGGGGCGGGTGTTGTGCCGGTAGTAGGGCTTGCGCCATTTCTTCATGCCCGTCGTGTGCAGCGCCGCACAGTTGGTCACCACCACGTAGTCGCCGCAGTCGGTCGAGGGGTCCCAGATGGGCTTGTGCTTGCCCATGAGGATGGTGGCGATGCGGGACGCCAACCGGCCCAGCGACGGCGGCGTGACGGCTTCGGGCGGGGATTTCTTGGTGCTCAGCGTCGGGTGCGGCGCGGCGGCGGATATGTGGTGCCATACTCGTGAGTAGGCGAGTCGTGTCTGTGTTGTTTTCCCCTTCTGTATGAGCATTTTTCTTTTTGTTTGAAATTGTGGCTGCTACTACTCACGGGCCCAATTGTTTGTGACATTCTGGCGGGTGTTGTGGTTTGGATAAGCTACGTCGGAGGTCGTGAGGACGAGCAGATGAGCCTCCGGGAGCTAGTCCCTCATGGACTATCCAGCGCTACCTCTCTGGATAGTGCCTCAGGACTCGGAACCGGGGCGGCACCGGGGAAGATGTAGCGAACTCGACACTTCGGATAGGAGGTTGGCGGGGGGAGGTTCGTCCTGGAACCGAGCACCGGCAGGTAATCGGCAATTGGCAGTCGCGTCTTTGAGTTCGGTGGATGTTGACAGGGCTGGATGAGGCTTGATGCTGGCATTGAAAAAATTCGGGAGTTGCGCCTCGTGCATGCGCCACAGCTTGGGATTGGGACCATGCCATTGCCGCCTCACGGTATCTCCACTGTAGGTAATTATCGCTGCAGTGGTGCACCCTTCGCACAATGCACGCTTGGCCCCGCATTGAGCGGTGCCCCGCCATGAGCCGGACGGCGGAGCCCGCTCCAGCATCGGACCGGATTTCAAAGCAAAGGGAGTCTAACTGGTAATGTAGTAATTCTCGATGCTGATGGAAGCCGGCGGTTTGCCTGAGCTATTATCATTCGTTATTCCTCATTCCAAGACCCAGAGACACTGCTTAAGTCATCATTTTGATGATTTGATCCTTCCTTCAAGAAGCTCAAATTCCCATCTAATTCCGTCCATTTGATGCATTTCGGACGCATTAACACACGCTACATCATTGGAATCTCCGGCTTAGCTCTCATCGCATCTACTGGAGGTGCTTACTCCTGGCACAGGCAGAAGGAAAGGCAACAGCGATTCCAGCCGTCATCGGCCGGAAAGAAAAGTCTGGCTAGCATGGCCGTCACAACCCCTTTCCAAGTAAGTCGAGCAAAGTTGTGAGACCGTCTTACAGTCCTTTGCGGTTCAGCAATTCGTTAGGTTGCCATGCGCCTAAACGAGCCCCCTTACTTCATGTTTCATACTTCAGGTTGTGTCCCTTCTGTCTGGGTTTTAAGCATACCCAAACAAGGAACACAAGAAGAAAAAAACCACCAAAAAACCCGTAAACTCGGATAGCTGAAACCTGAAACAGACACTCTTCGCGGTGCCCATGACCTGTGACGGGTGCGCCAAGGATATCACGGGCGCCCTGCACAAGCTTCAGGGGATCACCAAGGTCGAGGCAAATGTCAAGGAGCAGCTGGTGTCGGTAGAAGGGACGGGTACTACGCCTCAAACGCTTTTTTTTCTTAACCCATCCCCTGGTTTGCGCAGGAACACAGGTTTTTGCTGACGCTGAAACCATCTGAACCTGGGCGAATTAGCGGCGCCGTCTGCCATCGTCGAAGCCATCCAGGCCACCGGGAGAGATGCCATCTTACGAGGGTCGGGCGCCTCAAACAGTAAGTGGGCAGTGCTGTGTGTTTGTGATTATCCTTTCGCCATCGCCGATCCTTTGGGAAACCTATCTTCTTCCAACACAAGGCTGATTCGTTCTGTTCCTCCCTTTCGACGATGCAGGCGCTGCAGTTAGCATTCTGGAGACGTACCACAACAGATCAAACGAAGAGGCCAAGACGCTCGTTGCCAGCCCCCCCGGGTCCAATAGCTGGGTGAACGAGAGGCTCGTCAGGGGGCTGGCGAGGATGGTGCAGGTCAGCCCCGAAGAGACAGTCGTCGACCTCACGGTCCGCGGGGTGCCCCCGGGCACATATCGTGTCACCATCCGCGAGTATGGGAATCTGAAGGATGGGGCCTCATCAGCAGGGCCCGTCTGGTCAGCCCAGAAGGATCCGGGACACGGTTCAAGCACCCCTCGCGGGTTCCTGGGAACCGTGGAGGTTGGGCCGAGAGGGCGTGCTAGTGCCTTTCTCAACCGGCCCTTCATGGTGTGGGAAGTCATTGGCCATGCGCTGGTTGTTTCTCGCCAGGACGAGAGTGATGGTAAGCCGCTAAGGAACGACGAAGACACGGTTGTGGGTATCATCGCTCGAAGTGCGGGAGTGTGGGACAATGACAAGACGGTGTGCTCCTGCACGGGAAAGACGCTATGGGAAGAGAGGAAGGATGAAGTCTCCAAAGGAATGCTATGATGACGTTTCGAATGATAAACATCCTACAAAGGGATAAATCCGAGTCCCGAGCAGCTAAGATCGTTCGGGCTGGATTGGAGGGCAGTGGTCTAAGCGATCGTTGTGTGGCCAGGTTCGCGGTTCGGACGACGAACACCATCTGCTCAGATGTCATCCAAGGTCAGTCTTTAGCATGCCATGTTGGGCAGAAGGGAGGGGGCGGGCACCGAGACCCAGGAGGGCCTTCGTAACGAGAAGTTTGGGACGATTGTTCTCTTGGGTGTTTCAGGGCGGACGCAGGCAACTAAGAAACAAGTAATAAGCGTTGATGGGTTAGTAGATAAACTGTAGTGTACTCACTGTATGTACTGTACACACAGGCTTGTGCGGTATTCCTCTTGGCCGATATCATTCAGGAGAACTACTGTGTAAACACACCCTGGTGGTTGCTGGGAATGTCCCCCACTTCACGCCGCCGGAAGCGCGGCAGAAGTGTATCGAACGGAGACTAGGGACACCACATGTAAAAAACATGAGACGAAAAGGGACGGAGTTGTTTTTCTTTCGGCCCACTCATTGGATGCCTTGCGGGAAAGAGCCCAACAGAGGAAATCGGATGCCGAGATGACAAGGGACGAACTGTTTGCTTCTAACCGCGAAGGCTTTTGCTGCGCCGATTCCTTTGCTTGAAGTCTTCCGCTAATGAGATCGCTCTGATGCCCATGGGAAGCGGCAGATCCACGATTGGGAGCAGCATTCCATAAGCACAAGAAAAAGAGGGACAGCAGGCGATTACGGTACCCAGGAGCCGGACCAAGGACACCCGACGTCCTGGTCCTTGCCATCTTACATGCACGTCAGATACATACATATCTGCAAGGGAACTTCTCGCTTACAAGTATGTTTGTAAAATGGTGAATCGTGTATGTATTGCGTAGCGCTCTCTGATCAAATCTGGAAGCACACTTCGTAGTGGTCTATGGAATAGGGGTGGTCTATGGAATAGGGGTGAAGTTGTGAACGTTGAAATATGCCGGCCGGCAAGGTGAAGCTCGCTCATTCAGGTAGGGACTCCGAGTCACCTATATTCGCGTTTGGTCGTCCAAGTGGAGATAAAGCGTGTAAGTGCGCATTTCACCAGGCCAGAGAACGGCTAGCCGAGGCCTTCCACGTTACCGAGGGACAGCGTGAGCCTTGAGGTCCAAATGCAACTCGGGCCGTTGTTGCAACCCTATGTGTGACCTATGTGCGAACACGGTATGGCATGCTAACCAACCTGAGCCTCCATGCTGAACTAGCAGAAAACGAGCCATAAATAGCTGTGATGGCATTCCAAGTCGGAAAACGCTGATAACAAGGTTGCCCATCGTAGCGTCAGCCGCGTCACTATCACTATCACGAATCGTGTCTTGTGCAGCCTTCCAATATCATCGCAAGCTGACACACTTTGGTCGATATTCCGGTTCCTGAAGGATGCTCGAGAGACCGAGCTGTTGGCCATGCCGTGTATTGTAATTGCACCACAAAGTAAGCTTAGCCTGTAGAAAGTAGGAAACATTCCGTCATCTTGGTATCTCAAAGCGCTGAGGCTGGCAAGGCTGACACATGAAGCTTGGTGGAGGCCATACTTGATTCAAGCCAAATTCAACAAGCGCTGCCTTGCCTTCCAGAAAAGCATCCGCACCTGCATCTGCATCTGATTGTGGGTGTGCGACCAAAGATCACCATAGGTTGACAATCAGGCGAGCGCTGCCCAGCATCTCGGATCCCATCCTGTGAATCTCGCAGAGCATCCAGCCACATATTAAACCCCACGGTCGCACAGCGGCATCTTTTGCAGTTCGTGGGCCATGCAATGATGTAGTTTGTGTAGGTTGGGCCATTGTGGAGGAGGGTGCGGAGTGGATGAAGTTGAAATACACTGTAACATAGGCGCCCTGCAACGACAGGGGTCTGCACCTGCCTCCTGGTGGTCCAATGAGGGGCTGGCCTGGGGTCTTGGAACGCTTAGCGCATGAAGAACGCTGGCCTGTGATTCGCAAGGGTTCCAAGATGTCTGTGACAGTCAATCACTTCGCATTGACCCATCTGAGACTCTCCCACAGACCAGCGCCTAGCCAAGACTTCCAAGTTGCATGGGGTGGACTTCGACTGAACTTCACGAGCCGTCTGAAGACCGGACTCGTGGTAAAGTACCGCACACCTACTTCTCATGCCAAAGATGGATCCCATTTGCTTCTGCATCCCGTAAAGGGTTAGCAACACCATTTCTGATCAATTCGTGGGCGAGGCTGCACTTCATAGTGCATGCATCGCACCCAATATGTATCCACTCGGTAGCACATGGCAGGAGTGGCGGCGCCGTGACGTTCCGGCTAGGCAGGTCCCGTCGATCCGGCAGAAATGAACCTGGTGCCGTTCAAGTCCCTGGCACCCATGGTGTGCACTCCATGTCCCCGTCCCGAGTTAAGGCGCTGTCCTGATCGAATGGGGAGATTCCCGAGGTGGTTCGACTTCGAGCTAGAAAACATTCGATGAGATAGATATATCTCATGAATACGGTCGCGCTTCCATCTCAACCTCCAACAGCTGGAATCCAATGCTGCTCCATTGGACGAGAGCATCTTGTTCAATAAGGTAAGGTACATTACAGTACGGTACCAACTCACTGCCCAACCACCAGATGCTCCACCAAGACTATCTGGACCCGCTTTTTAAACAGTCTCGGAATGTTTCTTCTTTCGTGCCCCTAGCGTGCTGGAACCTTTACTGCCAAAACCCCAGTGCTGCCGAGGGGACGTCCCCTGTCGGCTGTAAGTCAACAATCAGGCTTTGTTCATCGAGAAATCTGTCTTCCATCAAGATGCCGGATTCCCATTTGGCAGAGATGTATGTAACTCAAAGGTACCTTCGTACGGATACTCACAATACATACAATACAAAAGTCGGTTACAGGGCGGTATAGGCTGGGCAGGCCAAGACCACCTGTGCGAGCCTGCATGATCTCCTTCCCCGGCCTGGCCATCTCTAAACGTCTCCAAACAAGCCCAGAAGCAGACTCCTCGCTTGTTCGAACCTGTCAACCCGTCTCCTTTACGCTTGCATGTAACTTATCAAGCTTGGCATTACCCGTATTGCCCTTCCAACCCGGTCCCAAATCACCATTTCCTCGATACTCGATCTTCTCTCACGATCTCACTTTCCCACACACCAATTCCCGCTCTCTTCATAGCCGACCGCTAGTCAGTCATTTCCGCCAGCTCTAGGGGGAGAAAAACAAAACCTCCCATACACCAGCCTCCGGCATAGGAAAAGAGCCGCCGTTAATAAAGTAAGAGAACACACCACTCGCCTCAGACCGAGCGTCAAGTTAGCCACCGCCGAGAGGAACAGCCTGGCAAGAAAACTATTGCAGCTCTGGTCCCTTTTATCAGACATCAACGCCGTCTTCCGTCTCCCCTCGGCTGCACCCGACACCATCTCGGCTTCCAGAGGGCTACAACACCCGGACGAGTGCCGGAGGAACTTTTTGTCTCCCGAGAACGCTAGCTGCAGGACAGTAACGCTGGACGGAGCCGAAGCTGTGGCCTCGTCACATGCCAAGCTCCCGCTAATTCTCTGCGGCCGGCCATCGATTCACTAGGCCCATTCATTGCTCCTGTTAACGTCCCCTAACGTATCCGTATCTGGGCCGAGGGCAGAAGACGAAGGCAATTGGGCATTTGCGAAGAGGCGGGGAAATTTTCGACCCGTTTTCCAAACGGCGCAATCTCCCATTTCCCTTACCGCCGCTGCTGACTCGAGCTGCTTGCAACCCTTGTTGCCGCCCACCCAAGCCCCAAGCGAGCCCAGGCCGAACCCCTGCTGCCACGCCGAATTTTGGCTGGCTAGCTTTCTCGACATTTATAGCCACACAACCCCTCAACAACGCATCGGACCGCCTGACGCTCGTCCACACCCCACAAGAGAGGATCCTTTGCGACTATCGCTCTCCCAAGGGCCCAAGACCGGCTTCATAGCCTTTTGGACTGCAGTGCCCTGAGACAGCATGTCGTTGAAACAGGTATGGACACAACAGAGAAAATAAATAAAACACCCTACTGCCGTCAGGGATACAGTCGACTTACACACAAGCCCGTCATATAGGAAATCGAGACTTGGGTCGAGGCCCTCAAGTACTACGACAACAATGAGTTCGACGAAGCGCTCAAGTGGTTCGACAAGATTGCGGATACATCCAAGATCCTGTTCAACATGGGCGTCATCCATGCGACTCTTGGTCAACACGAGCAAGCGGTAAGCAGGCCTACAATTTCTGGTTGTCTATATCGCAGATGCGCTGACTTTGTTGGACAAGGTTGAGTACTACCAACGGGCTATCAAGTGCGACCAGTATCTCGCAGTAGCATATTTCCAAGAAGGAGTCTCTAACTTTCTCCTCGGCGACTTCGAAGAAGCCCTCGCGAATTTCAACGACACCCTTCTCTACCTCCGCGGCAACACGCTGATCGACTATACGCAGCTGGGTCTGCTGTTCAAACTCTACTCTTGCGAAGTTCTCTTCAACCGCGGTCTCTGCTACATTTATCTCGAGCAAATGGAGGCTGGCATGCAGGATCTGCAGTTCGCATCCAAGGAGAAAGTAGTCGAGGATCACAGCGTGATTGACGATGCAATTCAAGACAAGGCAAAAGTACCGTTCCCTGCCACCATCTCTTTTCTTGCCTCTCAATGACTAACACTCGGGCAGGGTTACACAGTCTTTTCCATTCCAGTGTCCGTTGTCTACAGGCCAAACGAGGCAAAGGTCCGGAACCTGCAGCAAAAAGATTACCTTGGAAAAGCCAGGCTAGTTGCTGCGTCAGACCGTAACAATGCCTTCACAGGCTTCGCGGGCGCCGAGTTGAAGAATGTATGTTGGGCATCCCTGACTTTTCGACATGCTCGGTGCTAACCCTCAATAAAGAACTCTCCGATCCAGCCCAAAGATGATCGACCAGCGGAAGCCCTCTCGTTCGCCGCCAGCAATCTCGTTAAGCCTGGCCTGCAAAGTAGGAGACAGCAATCCGAGCCGCCCACCAACCGCAATGTCTTCCCTCCGACACCGCCTCCCGAAAACGACAAGCCCTCCCAGATGAGCCGCGGCGCCTCGGTCCGAAATGGGCCCAAGCCAGTTCCGAGCAGGCTCAACCTCGAAAAGGTCAAGTCCAATGAGCGCTATGAAAAGACATCCCCCGAAGATGGACAGCGTCCCCGCCCAGCTCGCTCCGCGTCTGCCGCCCCGTCGCAAGTGTCGAGGGGCTATTCTCTGCGTGACGGCCCCAGCAGGAGGAGGATTGAGGAAGAAGATGCCTATCCGGATGAGCTATACGACATGTACCAGGGCGGCGGCGGGTCCCGGAGTAGCAGGTCACAAAGGAGCGGGGGTGGCCGAACACGGGAACGCTACATTGAGGAAGAGGAGGAAGAGGGCAGCGACTACGACGACGCCTCGTTCGATGAGGGCGAGTTTGAGATTGTTTCCAACCGCAGGCCGGGAGGAGCAGGCTCCCTTTCCAGCGGCTCCAAGCGGAGCTCGTCGAGGCGGGAAGTCCTCCGCACCGTCCGAGTCAAGGTGCATGCCGGCGACGTCCGCTACATCATGATTGGCCCCGCCATCGAGTTCCCCGACTTTGCGGACCGCATCAAGGACAAGTTTGGCATCCGGAAGCGGTTCAAGATCAAGATCAAGGACGACGATTCGCCCGAGGGCGAGATGATCACCATTGGCGACCAAGACGATTTGGACATGGTCATGATGACGGTCAAGCAGAACGCGAGGAAGCAGAGGTCCGAGACTGGGAAGATGGAGGTGAGTTTGGAGCTTCTCCCTTCTACCGGAACGATTATGGAGCATGAAGTACTGACGCGAACCGCTTCGTGTCCAGGTCTGGGTTCAAGAACTATAGACAACCTAACGGCAACACTCGCTGGCTGACATTGCTCTTACTGTTTTATACCCCTCCCCCCCCCCCGGTTGCTGACGTGTCAACGTCTCAATTTTTTGTTCTGGCTCTATGAAGTAATGAAATGTCGCTCGCAATATCACAACAATGATTCTTCAAACCCCCTTTTCCCCCTTTGAGGCCAGAGCCCACTTAACTACCTTACACCGGCCGGCTCGTCATGGAATTGACAACAACGAGAAGATCTTGCCCGGTTATTTTGGCATATTACATTGATTGCATAAGAAAGCTCGGAGAGGTGCATGGACTGCGGAGGAAAGCGACGTTCGCATACGCCATCATGACATGGTTGTTTCTTCTTGGATTCAACAGAACCACTCTGCAATCCAGTCCCGGATTGTGATTGTGGCTGTCCCTCTCTTGGAGAAGGCGCCGGTATATAATAGGGATTATCGCTTGGAAAACTCCGTTTTGCCGCTTTGAGTCTCGATTGTCTGTTGCATCTATATCCATCTTATTACCTACTCCTCATGAGGCATTTGTTATATCTACTTTCCTGATATGGTCTTTTTGGGTAGCATAACGGAGTTGGAAAGGTCCTGTTTATGAGTAAGGGTCTAGGGAGATACTGATGGAGTGAGGAAAACCTAGACAAAAATCATTGGCTGAGCGGTGCGCCTGAAATCCTGAGATATCTTGGAGATGGATCAGCATCTGTCCAGGTCGCTAGGTATGAAATGATTCAAGTGAATGAGGATTCTGATGTGTGAATCCCATGGGGACTGACCTAATTAGCGTTGATTTACTTCGTTGGACAGGTTAGAGTTCTAGATCCCCCCGTCCGGCTTGTGTACAGTACATATGTACATGGAAGATATAGTTGAATCGAACCTCCCGTGTAGTTTCCGGTCAGTCAGTCCACAGCTTCTATAGACTCGCAATCTTCTCGCCGACACTTTGCCAGCATGACAAACCTATGTGATGCAAAGGTCGCCTTTACCTGTTCATTTGCCCCCCTCTCTATCTCGGTCACATTCCTCTTCGAAAGCAGAACACACACGGAAAGACAAACACAGATGGCTATCAAGCAAAGGGGAAAGCAAGGCCTATCGTCAAGGGCAAGGCGTGACATCGAGATGCACATCAGCCCCATAAGAGGCTGACGATGATGAGGCCAGTTCGCTAAGGGTATGTTGGTAAAGCTAGGCAAGGCAAGGTAGATATGCAACCTTTTCGTTTTGGTCTGTCTCTTGTCATATACACACTCACACACACATGAACCAGTGTACGGGCGGACGGTAGGGGACAGGAGGTAAGGAGGATACAGATAGACCCTCCCTTGTCTGATCCCCCCTTTTCACCAACCTCCCCCAATCCTGACTGGGTCACCTCGTTTGACCGCGGCAGCACAGCACACAGCAAATCAAGAAAATAGGACCAGATTTAAACAAATTGAACACACTTAATGAGGCTTTAGCCCTCCATTCCAATCATGGCCCTCGCCGCTCCCTCCTCCTCTCTGGTGCCTGTTCTCCTCCACCCTTTTTGACCGATTGACGAGCCCGGCGCATCTCATATCATTCTACATATCCCCCATCTGCTTTATCATCCCTCCCCCTTCCCGCTTCCCCCGAAGCAATCGCACTTTTTGTTCCGACACCTCAGCCCTGACGGGCACGCATGCCCTTCGTTCCATCAGCGGGTGCAATGCGGTGCAATGTAGTAGTGTAGTACGATCTCAACTCATCGTTCACGGCCTGGCTGCTTGAACCGCGGGAGGGCGGAATGAGGTAAGGCGGGGTGAGACGAGGCCCCAGGACATGGACCGGTCGGGATAGGAGATAACGAGTAAACATAAGGTAGGAGGGAGGCACTGAGGAGCGAGGAGCAACAGAAGGATGGTGGGAGAAGCCCACAGTCCCCAAGATCAACCCAACACAACCGAAAAACCCAAAAACGAAGCCCGACAAGAAACAACTAACACGTCGGCGGCGGTAAGGAGGTCAGGGCAGCCAGGCAACCTCTCGCCCAACCACAAGCACATGAGTGACGGGAAAGCAAAAAGACTCGAATATAAAAAAGAAAACAGAAGATGACTAAAAGCATAGCTAGCAGGTAATAGTAAGGTGAAGGAAGGTAGCCTTTAGGTATCTCGAACCCGGTGGTACACGGTAGGTATGATAAGGTAGAGTGACCGAATTTTAACGCCGAACCCTTTCCCCATCCATTATCCCCTTTGAACCCGCCCGAGTGACCCCTTTCCTCGTTGTTATTGCCCGCCATGTGGTTCAGAGACCAATGGGAGGAGTGAAAGGAAAAAAAAAGAAAAAGAAGAGAACGCAGAGGATGAAAGTGTAAAACCGGAAGGGAAGAATCGCGATTCATGGTCTGGACCAAGGAACCAGGTCTGCACCAGAGAGAATATCTACACACTTTTGCACACTGCCAGATCGCCAGACGCCGAGAAGAAAAGAAAAGAAAAGCAAAGCAACGCACCAAACTACATATACAGTAGTGTAAAAAGATGGCCTCCGGGTAAGAATTAGGGAACGGGGTAAAACCGGCCCCCAGCGCTGGGCCGAATAGGACGTACAGTCTGTCTGTCCACCTTGGCCCCGACCATCGCGTTTAGTGGCTCTCGATCAATGCGTCTTTGTGTTCTCTTTTCAAGGAACAAAGGTCATCCTCGTTCAGAAATATAGGAAGAAAACAGAGGGGGACCAGGTGGCAGGACATGTGTCGGTGTGTTGGAGCCCCGTGCTAGCCAGCAACGACCTACGAGCCGACCATCATGCCCAGACGGTTCTCGTCCTCCATCATTTGCAGACCGTCCAAGCTACGCGGTTCCATCTGGGCGAGCCGGCTCTCGACGCCGCCCAGCCGGCCGTCTACCAAAGACGACATGCCTCCATTTGCCAGAGAGCCGTTGCCGAGGCTACTGCCGCCCATATTGGCGGTTGGCATGCTCGGGCCGCCCATGGAAGGCACACCGTTGCCGCCGAGCATCGAAGGCCGACCCGTCTCTAGCGCTTCGAGTCGCTTCTCAATGTTGTCCAACCGGGCCGCCATTGCACTCTCCAGCCGGCCAAAGCCTTGCGCCATTTCGTGGGCCATGCGGTCGACCTTGTTGGTCAAGCTCCGGAGGCTCTGCGCGACGGGCGTGTTCTCTTGCCCAGGAACGGCGGCGGGAATGCGCGGCTCGTGATTGTGCCGATGTTCTTGCACTTGGAAGCGCCATTGGTGGCCCAGGTTCACCTCGCACACGGCCTTGGCGCGCCACGGGCAATCGACCTTGCGCGTGCTGGGGTTGCGCTTCTTGGCGGTGCTGTTATACTTGACGCCGCCGCGATCGCACACAAGATCGTACCGCGTTGGTTTGCCCTCGCGATAGTTGCTGGCGCGCAGTTTGACGATGCCATAGCCCTGCTCTTTGGCGGTCCGCTGAACTGTCGACAGGAGTTCTTCAAAGGTGCGGTAGATGCCATTTTCCGGGGGTGCCAGACCGGTAGCGGTGGTGCCCAACGCGGGCGACTGCGGAGGCATCGAGGACGATGAGGGCGGCGCGGCCGGCGGCGCTGGGCTGGAGCCGGTGACGGACCACACCGGAATGTTGTAGCTGGGGGCGGCGGATGAAGAGTTCGCCACGGCGGGCGATGAGTCGCCGGCTGAGGGATTGGCACCGTACTGGTGCTGGAATATCAGATGGTCGGGTTTCTTGCCGGCCGGAGTCCGCTGCTGCTGCTGTTGGTGCTGCTGGTGCGGTTGCTGCTGATGATGCTGCTGAGCGTGTTGAGCGTGCTGGCCGTGCTGGCCGTGCTGGCCGTGTTGTTGACCGCCGTGCTGATGATGCTGATGGTGATGGTGATCGCCGGCGAGGGTGCTCAAGCTGCTGAGGCCGGACGTGTCGGGCTGCGTGGCGGAGGCAAGACCCGGCTGGGGATCAGGGTACTGCGTGTGCTGCGGGGCGTTGTAGCCGTTCATCAATCCGTCGGCCTCGGCGACCTGGTGCGATCTGTCGAGTTGCTGCGATGGGAAGGTGGGAGGATGTTGAGTGGGCACGGTGTCCACGGTCGCACGCACGGCCTGACCGTGGTTACTAGTACCAACAACGGTGGCGGGTCCCCAGCCCTGGGCCGCAGCAGCTTGTGCTACAGGCCCTGTCGCCGCAGCGTTCCCAGTTTCCGAAACGCGGGTGACTCGAGGGCGCTTGCGCGAGCGTGGCTGGACCTGCGAAGCTCCCGTAGTACCTGGAGCGTCCATGGTGATTGGCGATGTGGCACGGGAACAGCCAGTGGAAATACTGTGTTGTGCTGTGTGGTAATGGGGAAAGTTTTGTACGTTGTAGAGGCGGGGGGGAGGGAAAAAAGGGAATGGTGCCCTGGAGCCTTGTTCTGCCGAGAGCGCGTGCGCGATCGACCTATTGATGCAGATAATAAACTCTTGACACGGCTGCTTGGACAAACGGTCGATGCTTGGTCTTTTTTTCGCTTCAGGTCGCTGCACAGAAAGCGTAAAAAAAAAGTAACAAATGAAAAAATATTACAGAATCGTTGGCTGCCTGCTAGCAAGAACAGGTCTGGCTGTAACCTGCACTTGCTTTTTGGCACTATCCCTGGGTTGGTTGGTTTGATGATGGGAAGTCTGCAGGCGAGCGACGAGAGCGACCGATGAGCGTGCTTCTGATGTTTGCAGCCGTCACCCGATAACCTGGCACCTGCTGGCCCAAGCTCCAAGGTCACAGGTTAATCATTAGAGTGCTGACTGGTCTCAGCCACATTCTGGCTCATTTCACCCCAACCCCTGCCCCCCGGTGTCCGCCAGTCTGGGCCACTGTGACCAATCAGCCGTTTTCCCTGCAGCAAACACCCCGCCATTCTTTTCTTTGTTGGTTGCCGGCTCCATCACAGCATTTGAGGAAGCCCCACAGCCGCTTCGTTTTCATCTGAGTTGCTCTCTTCAAAACTGTTTCTCAATAGAGCACAATAGCAACATCTAATTTCGGGTGCTGGACCTCATTCCAGGCCCGGGGGACTCCCGAAATATGAGACATGGCCTCTAGCAAGCAGCAGCCACCAGCAGCAGCCAACGGCGACCTGCAAGAGGAGGAGCGGCTTGAAGATGCACTCTTTCAATTGAACCAGATGCATCTCCAGGTACGTAACTTACCATGACCATTCCACTCGTGACTGCCCTGGCGACTTATAGATTCTAACCTCAATGCAGCTGCGGCAGCTTCGCTCGCTGCTCCCACGCATGCTGGAGCCCCTGCAGGCCAAGCATGCCTCGCGTGAGTTCTTCCTCGAGTTTTAAATCCCGGCCCGTACCTAACAGCGAGCCAGCCCAGGCTGCCTTCGCGGCCTACATGCAGTCCGTTGAGAGCGCCAACAAGGAGATTGCTGGCTTCCGGGACGTCCTCTATAGCCCGGAGACCGAGGCCCTCTTTACTCGAGCACTGAAGAGCCAGAAAGAAAACCCAAAAGGCATCAAACAGTGGCGTGCACGCGACGACCCTGACTGGGCCAACGAGGATCGGCGGAAACGGGTGAGAAGTGCTTCTTGAGTTGATTTAGGGTTAGATTCGGCCTTCGGAATACCACGCGGCGTCTGGAGTCGAGGCATACGGATACAACACTTCATGTGGCGCAAGTGGTCTTCTTGAATGAATCTTAGTAATTGGCACTAGCCACATTTGCTTATATAAGCTTAAATACTGCCAGCTGCCTCGCTCCCTTCGGCAGTGCCAAACCTTGAGTTTCAAGTGGGGCTTTGCAAGTCAGGCCCGCGCCCACAGAAATTTCCAAACTGTATCTCAAAATTCACCCACCCTGCACAGCGTGATCGAGCCGACGGAAACCATCACGACAACGACAACACCGCTGCAATGGCACCCTCAAGAGTAACCTACCGTCGCCGCAACCCGTGAGTTCGTCCTTTTTCTGCAGCCGGCTACGGGAATTGGCGGTTAAGGGATATGGAGTCGGAAAATGGACTAACTCTGGTTCATTGCAGCTACAACACCACGTCAAACTTGACCCGGGTTGTCAAGACTCCCGGTGGTCAAACGCGGCTCCTCCACATCAAGAAGCGCGGTACTGCGCCCAAGTGCGGTGACTGCGGAGTCAAGCTCCCTGGTGTAAGTCTTCCGGACTCAAGACTCGTGTGGAAAGGAAAGGAGAGATTTCGGGCGATCGAGGCGAGCGATCCAACGGCCAAGTCGATAAAGACCGTCATCTGGAGCTGGATTTGGTTCCATTGTTCGACTTTACGACTGCCCGACGACTTGACTCTCTCGGATACCTGCGCGGAGGGAACGACGGGATGATTTGGATTGTGGCGACTACAATATAATGGCTGAGCTATGGCGTGCTGACATGTCTCCCCTGTGCAGATTCCCGCTCTCCGTCCCCGCGAGTATGCCCAGATCTCCAAGCCCAAGAAGACGGTTCAGCGTGCGTATGGCGGTTCAAGATGCGGCAACTGCGTGCGGGACCGCATCGTCCGGGCCTTCCTCATTGAGGAGCAGAAGATTGTCAAGAAGGTGCTGAAGGAGCAGAGCCAGGCGGAAAAGAAGAAATAAATGCGCTTGGTTTGGGTTCGGGCGGACGGGTGCTAGGGTGACGGTCTCATTGCTTCGGTGTTCATTTGGGAAACGGGCTCGCATGCCATACACACAGCCGGGGTTGGCTGTCTCTGTTCTTAGGGCTGCTTTCTACTCCGGAATGAGGTTCTCAATGGAAATGGACTTCAGGCTGCTCCGTGGGACCGGGGCATGGAGCATTGTAAAGTGGAAAGTCGGTGACAGGCTTCAAGCGCCAAAAATACCGGTTGGGGATGGCCAACGAAGAACCGAAGGGTAGTCAGGGGTCGTGAGATAACATCTCTCCAAATTGTGGGCGCTCTGTGGTGGTTGCCTAATTAAGAGCTCCGAAGGTGTGTATCAGCCGAGCTTCTGCTTCCTATCAAGCCTATACACAGTAAACCCAGATACGGAATCCCTTCAAGGAATTGGCTTGAGGCAACTTAAAGCGGTGTGGCATTCGAAAAGAGTGCCAGTATTCATCAATTCTCTAAAACGAGGCTCGGTAGATGTCCAGTACTAGATGTTCCCATAGCAAGACAGACCCCTGCAATGACGTCGAGCTCCGCCAAAATTTCAATTGGCAGTCCACCAGCAGCTCGTCACAACCTTTCCCGTCCACAGTCAAAGCTAGCTCAACACAACATGCAAACGTAGGCTACAACACACGTATACGATACCAACTTCTGCCGCCGCCGCAAATGGCGACTCCATCATCCTCAGCAGCAGCAGCCGCCGCCAGGCGACTCTGCGCAAGAACAACAACAGCGGTCCCTCGCACAATGAGCATCCCGGCAACAGCCCAAGCTCAAGCCGCCAGCCGAAGCTACCGCTACCACCACCACCTTTGCTCCTCGCAACTCGCACCCAGTGTCATGACGACCACTCCTCCTCACCACCAGAACACAAGGACGTTCCACACGACCCCACCAGACCCTCGCCGCCCGCGCCAACCACTCGCACACAACGCGGAGCCCGTCCCGGAGCAGCCCCCGCCGACCGATTTCGGGCGCATGGACGTGCTCTCGGACGTGGCCGTCCCCGCCACGGCGGTCGACAAGTGTCTTCCCGACGGGTTCGTGCTGCACGGGCAGCAGGGCGGCGGCAGGAACGGCGAGGACGATGAGGGGGTAAGGGTCACCATTGCCGGAGGGGACGGGGCGCTGCTTGTTGCCGGGGAGGCGTTTCGTTGGCGGCCTTGGTTGGTTAATAATAGTAGTCATAATGAGACTGGAAATGGTGGTGGTGATGCTGGGACAACAACAAGGACGGGGAAGACGGGGAGGAGGCAGCTGGTGAACTCGCGCGGGCAGGTGGAGATTAATCCCCAGGCGTTTGGGGTGTTGAGTCTTGTTTGGCCGCGGCCCGGTTGGTCCCCCCCCCCCCCCCCCCCCCCCCCCCCTCGAACCTCTTCTTATTTTCCCTTCCCCCCTCCCCCTCTTTCTGGGGGGTCGACGGGTCCTCTATCTGAATCTGACAAAGAAGGCTGACATTGATGGCGGGGAAAAGATCTGTTGATTCTCGGGCTGGGCGCGGAGATACGGCCGCTTAGTCCTGCCACGAGGCGGGCGATTAGCGACCTAGGGATACGGGTCGAGGTGCTGGACACGAGGAACGCGGCGTCGCAGTACAATATGCTAGCAACGGAACGGGGGGTGGAGGACGTGGCTGCTGCGTTGATACCCATGGGGTGGAACGATGGGGAGTGAGGTCCCGTTTGCGGGCTTACGAGACAGCTGAAGAGCATGATACGAATCATGAGATTGGAGTGGAGATATACTTATAATGTACTTGTAAAAGGAGGCAGTGGGAGCGGTATCTACGGACGGGCTGTAGACCGTTCGATCTCAAACGGGAGATCGGGCTCTGTTAGAAAGTCATATTGGGGGCTTCTCACAGCATACTACCCTGCGAAGCCGGTGCAAAGCTGGGCCAGTTCCGAGGCATTTACTGGTCGACGTAGTGGTAGGAAATGCCTATACTGACAACTGCCTCACCGCCCATTAGGCGAAAGAGGCTACCTCATCTCTATTCTTCCTTGATATACATCTAGTTTAGATTCCTTTGGAAGCGCTGTCACCGCGACCGAGGTCGGCAGAAAACAGCTTTTACCATCCACATTACTCGCCGTTCTCAAACGACTCGACTGCAAGCTGAGACCTCCCAGGGTATCTTCATGTCTATCCTATGTCCATGCAAGGCAAAGTTTACTGAACGGGGACGCTGGGGAATTCAGCAGCATTGGCCTTGACCCATGCCTGCATGTCGGCTTTGGTGACAGCTCTCGCACCACTAAGGCCGTACTGAGTGGGGATGCCCTCGACACGGTGGAACGAGTTGATGTTCTTGTGCAGCACAATCTGGTAGCAGGTGGCGGTACCCTGGCGAGAGGCAATGGTGGAGTAGGCAAGGAAAAACTCCCAGATCTGTATCACTATGTCAGCACGTTGAGAGCAGGATACGACAAGCCTGGGGAACGTACGCGGAACCACCTCTTGCCGTACTTGGCCTCAACCTTGTCACGGTTGGCCATCCAGTTCCTGTACCATCTCCAGATGGTGGCCGAGTAGTGCACGCCAATCGTGTCGATGGACTTGACCTCGAATCCCGCGGCCTCAATCTTGTCGATAAACCAGCCGAGGGGGGTTGAAGCGTCAGCTCCCGGGAAGACATATTTGTTCATGAAGAGACCCCAGATCAAGTCCTCGTACTGCCAGCTCTTGCGCAGACCAGCGATCTGGAGGAAGAAAACGCCGTCGTCATCCATCATGTCACAGACCTGCTTCATGAAGGCTTGGAAGTGCCGGACGCCGACGTGCTCGGCCATCTCAAGGCAGGTAATCTTGTTGTAGCCGCCCTCGGGCACTGGAATGTCACGGTAGTCCATGCACAGAATCTTGCTCTGCTCCTCGGGAATGCCGGCCTTGCGCAGCGCCGAGTTACCCCAGGCAGTCTGGTTCCGGCCGAGCGTAATACCGGTGGCCTTGGCGCCGTAGTTGACACTGGCAAAGCGGGCGAGGGTGCCCCAGCCGCATCCGATATCGAGCAAACGCTCACCCTCCTTCAGAGCAATCTTCTCGCAGACAATGGCGAGCTTGTTGTCCTGAATCTCCTCCAGGGTCTCCTCCCTGTTGATGTCACTGATGACACCCGAGGTGTAGATCATGCGTGGGCCGAGGAACCAGGCGTAGAAATCGTCGCCTCGGTCGTAGTGGTCGCGAACCTGCTCCTCGTCTAGTGCCATAGGGTTAGATACATTGCAGAATTTGGTTCGCAGCATGCAACGGCCCGCTTACCTTGCGACCGGGTGTGCATGATGGCCTCCGGAATAAAGCCGGTCAAAAAGTACTTGATCAGGCCATACGTGAAGCGGAAGCTAGCCCAGTCGTGGCGATACTCCAGCACCTCGAGCGCATCGCCATTGAACTCGACATCACCGTCAAAGTACATCTCGTAGAACGTTTCCATGGGAATCTTGTTCCGGCCATGGTACTTTGCCTGGTCGGCAGGATTCTTGAAGGTGAGATAGTGCTCAACAGGGCGGCCGGGGAATCTGGCCTTCTCGTTCTTGCGAGGCGAGATGGTGGAGAAGATGATCCAGAAGGCGGCAAGCAAGGGGAGGGTGGTGAAGATGGCAAAGAAGAAGGCCAGCTTCAGTCCGCCGCCGACCTTCCATGACAGCCAGAGGGGCACGCCGCCGAGGATGGAGAAAAGCAAGAGGTTGGAGAAGCTGTCGGTACCAGCACCGTCGGCAGGCAGAGGAGCATTTTTGATGGTGGGGTACTGAAAGCGAGCGTCAGTTAGGGATCAATTGGCTTCGAAGACACGCAGTGGCAGCTCACCGAAGTTGTGCGGACACCGCAATCTTCAAACTTCTCAAAAGTCGGCGTGGGAGCCTTGGGAGTCTCGATAAACTCAAATTCGGACTCGCTGCCGTTGGCACTCTGTGGCTTCGACATTGTTTCTGACAATGGGCAACCTAGCTGCTACAGCCCGACCGCGGACTGTTGAGCAGGAGGATGACGGGTACAAGCAGAGAAAGGGAGCTGGAGAAAGGGAGAGGAGAATGGAGGTTTTGTGGGAGCTGCCGACCGCACTTTTCACTGCAGCAAGAAAGGAGCATCCATTGTTGCCAAGCACTAACTTTACGGTGTGGACGTGTGGCTGGCTAGTGGGGTTTTGCGGGAGCTTGGCATTGATCAAGGCTTTGTTGCAGGCATGGATCTGAGTCCTGACATGCCGCACTGTCGCATCACTGATCATAGCTCCTTCTGCCCCCTTTCCCGTAAATTTGGTGTTCCAGAGCAATCGTCATCTCAATCCACCATTATCTCAGCCTAGCCCAGGGGTACCTTTTTATGCCCGGCATGACATTCTGCTGCATGGTGTATGCAGTAGGCGATCGTTCTGTTGATTCATGACAGGATCCTCATTCCGCGAGCACTTCGCTCGGATCATCTACGACTAGTTGTACGACCTCCTCCCGCATCTATAACAGGATCCCGTCCTCTCAGCAACCAGCCAAATAGAGCCTTCCCTCCCACGGTCTTAACTTCTTCACTCTCCCGCCAGCTCCCTCATCAACACCATCATCATAGCTCCCAACCGCAAACACCAGCCCGTCATAATTGGGCAGCTCAACCTCCTGCTCCTCCCCAGAAAAGTTCAACACCGCGGCCGCCCTCATCTCCCCATCCTTTCCACCTTTCTTCCCAAACACAAACGTCTTCTCATCCTCCATTCCAAACGCCTCAAACTCGCCATGCACCAGCACCGCGGCATGTTCCTTCCTAAACCTGATCATCCTCCTCCAGAACCCAAGCACCGACTTGTCCCCTACCCTCAGCTGCCTAGCAACGTTAATCTCCCTGAACAGGTCATGCACCCGCATCCAGGGGCCCTTTTCACTGTCGGTAAACCCAGCATAAGCCTTATCCCCATCCCACTGCATGGGCAGGCGGGCGTTGTCGCGCCCCAGGATCTGCAGGCTGCGCATGACATAGTCGAGCTCGGCCGGGTCGTTGTTGGTCGCGGCCGCCATGGCATGATAAAAATTGACCGACTCGATGTCCCGATAGCTCTCGATGGGCCAGTCGCGCGGCACGTTGACCATGCCGATCTCCTGGCCTTGGTACAGGAACAGCGTGCCCGTTAAAGAGCAGAGGAGTAGGGCGAGCAGCTTGGCTGAGTGCTCTCGGTGCTCAGGTGCGTCCGAGGCGTACCGGCTTACCGAGCGGCCTTGGTCTGTTTGCAAGGGGTTTTTTTTGGTGGTGAGCATAGGGTATTGTTGTTGAGGGTAGGTAGGTAGGCTGTCTAGAAGGCAAGGTAATGTAGGGGGAGAGCTGCCTCTTACCGTGATTCTCGCAAAACACCGTCGTCCAACCGTCGGTGCCTTCAATGAACTGCTGCCACTTGGCCACGATGCCCTTGAACAGCGGGAGCTTCCATTCCTGGAAATGGTACTTGTGCTCGCGGCCCTGGCCGATGTCGACTATGTCAAACTGGAAGACCATGCTCAGCTGCTTGTCGCTCGCGCCCACGTACTGCAGCACCTTCTTGGGGTCCGGCGTGTGTGGCAGCTCGCCGATGGTGACGGTGTCGTAGGCGTTGAGCACCTTCTCGTTCATCTCCCTGAGGAACTCGTGGATCCTGGGTCCGTTGGCGTAGTACACCCACGCGGGCTGTTCGTAGAAATTTGCGTCGACGATGGGGGCGTCCTTGAATTCGACCCCCTTGGAGTACCTGGGGAATGAGGGGTTGAGTCAGGTAAGCAAGTATTGTAGGGGCAGAATCCGTCTTTGAAAGAATGCGAAGTCCACTTACATGTTTACGCAATCGACACGGAAGCCATCAACGCCCTTTTCGAGCCAGAAGCGCATGGCGCTGTCGTATATGGCTTTCCGGGTCTCCTCATTTTCCCAGTTGAGGTCTGGCTGCTCCTTGGCAAATAGATGGAGGTAGTACTCGCCCGTGCGCTCATCATACTCCCTGCTCCGTAGAGTAATGTCAGTGATGCCGGGTTATTTTCCATCTCGACAGCGAGGTGAGACAGAGTATACCAGGCCGGTCCAGAGAAGTAACTCCTCCAATTCGTTGGTGGCAGCCTCGTGCCGTCTTCAGCATATCGAGGAGGCTTCCAGATGTACCTAGTATTCCATGTCAGACCACAGTTACTTCTACTGAGACAGCAGGCAAAAATAGATGGATAAACCAACCAGTCGCGCTTCGGGTTATCCTTTGAAGACCTTGACTCTTTGAACCAAGCGTGCTGGTCCGAAGTGTGGTTGATGACGAGGTCCAAGATTATTTTCATGCCCCTTTTTGACTGTTAGCAAAGATTGCACTACAACCCAAGGCGGCCGAAGGGGTGTGGCACCTGTCGTGGCAAGCTTTTATAAGCTCCTCCATGTCCTTGATGGTGCCATACGGAGGATAGACCTTCTCGTAGTCGGAGATGTCATATCCCATATCCACCTTCAGGATGTCAGTGTCAGCCTTGACCTTTCCTGGCGACCCACGATCTGGAGTTGCTGCCCCTGTGCATCTCGTGAGGTGGATAGTTAAGGGATTCCCGCTACTTGGTAGGACATTCCGGACGAACAGCATTCCATTTTGCTTCACTCTCTACAGGATGGACTGACCTGTGGACTGTCAAACCTGCATTAACGTGGTTGGTTAGCTGGGATGCTAAGGGTACTATCCAGTAGGGGAAGAGGTATACATGGGCGAAATCCATATGGCGTCAACCCCGAGATCCTTTAGGTAGTCTATTTTGCTAAGGATGCCGGGTATGTCTCCTAGGCCATCTCCGTTGGAGTCCTTGAACGAGGCGGGGTAGATCTGATAGCAGACGGCGTCCTTCCACCAAGGCCGTCCTGATGTGCTAGGCATGGTTGAAGGTTTACCTCGGTAAAAGCAGCACAAATGTAGCAACGGGGGGGAACGTGAAAAACAGTAGGAGGTGATGATATCTCGGGTGAGAGACGGTACTTCTAGAACCGTTTTATAGAAACGAGTGGCGGCAGGACTGTACCTATCTACATGCTACCGGCTGATGATGAGGTTGCCCCACTGCGCAGAACACGAGCGGAGGTTGTGGGACGGCTTGGTCTGTAAACAAGGAAGACGTACAGGACGAAGCGGGACCGAAGCAGCGGCCCGGCGTACTGTACACCACAAGCATCCACTCGGGGCGTTCCCCGCCAGGGGCTAGAGTAGCCAATGAATTTGGGACGAACCTTGACGCCCAGCCATCATACATAAACCAGCAGGCGCTGTTAAGGAAGCTTGAATCGGGCTCGCCCAACACTCTGAGGCTCTCTTCAGGGGTGAAGGTTCAGGATATAAGCAATCAAAGCCGCCTGGTGTTGGGCTATCACCGTATCCCACACCGCACCCTGTTCTACTAACAACTAGGCAAACGTCGCCGACGGTAGGCCCATCCAAACGCAGGATTATGGGTAGATCGGTAACCAGGGAGGCGAGACGCATGGAAGGAGACATGATACGCATCCTCCTTGCCCTATCTTGCCCCAGAGGCTGCTGTATAACCCAGCCAGCAGACTTGAACTGACCGTAGTGCGGATCGGAGACAAGGCCAACCGCAAGTTGGCGTACGCTCTTGACATCCTCTTCCGGCTCACGAGATCAGGGAGAAGGCCACTGCCAGGGCGTCCGTTGTGAGCGGCTCTGATACCGAGCTCACCAGTCGGGCACATGCACACCCCTGACGGCCCGAAGTCAACAATCCAGTCCATACTGGAAGGTATGTTGGGTTAAGCGGCCAGGTGGATTGGACCCTCGTCTTAGAGTCCGCCCTTCGTCACCGCCGTGTCTGTTAGTACAGCAATTCGGATCCTGCCATGTAGACCACAAAACCTACTTCAACTTGAATGCTAGCCAGAGACATATACACGATGTTCCCTCGGTAGAATCCCAGGGCACAAGGTACGGCGCTGATTCTCTGATATAGCGATGGTGGCGGTGGTATTCGATTGTGATTGTGGCAGTAGAACCGCTGAAGGTTCTTCTATCTGTCTCGCCCGCGATCGCGCTCTCGTTCGCGCTCCCGTTCCCGTTTGTAGCTGTCAGCGTATCTGTCGTCCACGCGCTGGCGCTTCTTCCGTTCCTCTCTCTGATAGTCCTCGAGCCGCACTGGGCGGGAGTCCTTGATGGTTTTCTGGTTCCAAGCCCCGAGGTCCTCTGCACCCTTGGCATCCTTTGCGCCGAGGCCGGTTAGATTGGCGTGCCTCGTCACTTCCTTGATTTTGCCCCTCATCTTCCCGTCCCAGCCAAAGTTTCGGAGAAGGGTAGCGCCAAAGTCGTCGATAGGGACAGCTCGATAGTCCTCAAGCTGTGGCTCCCGGTCGGTGGCGTCGGAATCCAGCTTTCTTCGTTTCGGTGTGCTTGACCCCAGCAGCGCGTCGATGGCTTCATCTTCGATGCTCTTTGTGGGTTTCTCCACTCCCGCTGACTCTGCTTCAGACGCCGAACGGTCGCTTTTTGATTTGGATTCGCCGCCCTTTCCGCCCTTGTTGCCTTGCTTCGTCTTCATATTGATGGTCAAGCCGAATTTTATTGGCTTTTCCTCTTTGGGCTCTGAGTCGGATGCTGCTCTGTCATCGCGACGAGCTTTTCCGTCGTCGGTCTCTGGGTTGGACGGGGTGTCGCCGTTCTGAGTCTTTGCTGTTGGCCCCGCGGATTTTGAGGAAACACCACGGCCATCTCTTGCATCGTCGCCGAGTTCTTCGCCTTCCGGGCCGTAATGGGTGATAGTCTCGAGCCGGCCGTAGCTCTGCCCCTCGTCGCCGGCCTCATCTTCCGACCCAGACTCGTCGTCATGCAGTGCATGCGCCCTGTGTCGCTTCTCGTAGGCTGGCCGGGCACGACTTTTGATGCGCAGTGGCGAATTAGCCGACCCTTTGCCAAGTTGAATAGCTATCTTTGAGGATTTACTGTCCTTGTCTGACATGGCGGCTTGGGTGGGTGGAAGGGAAGACGTAATTGCAAAGTAGGAGAACCTCTGAGGTCACCGGGACATTAAATATGTACCTTTGTACCTCTGGACTGATGAAACTGTAGGTGGTGAGATCGCGAGATCTGTGGAAGCTGAGCGTTACTGCCTGAGGCACACACTAAAGCTTGAGCAACCTTATTATCCGCGGCGGCATGTCAGAAGGTTCCCCGACACACACATCAGTTCTCTCCACTCAACACACGGAAACCTATTAACCTCGCTCAAAACAATATCTTCTCTCTCTCAAGATGCCGAAACTGTGGCCTCCGTGGCCGGAATCATGCACCGAAAATCTTGCTTTTTCCTGGACAGCAACGGGACGACGACACCAGCGGCTGCCGGGATGACAGTGACCTAGGTTACTTGCCGTTCCTGGACCCTGCGGAGGCAAACAATGGCTCCTGGACCCTGAACTCTGAAGCATCAAGCACACGCCGCCTCACTCCGAACCATGGTTAGCCTGGGCGAGAGCCAGACCGGCTCTCAGAGAGCTCAGAGTCATGGCCAATACTCCCAGATCGACGGCGCAGCTTGCCGGCGCTGCTGAGCAGCATTTTCTGCTCGCCGTCTTGTTCAGGCTTTCTTTACATCCCTAACCCTCATGAGGTGGATCTTCCTCCGTCGGCACTCCCCCTGGCCATCACAATTCGGTGATTGCCAAGTTCAAGTTTGGAGCCCCCGAGTCACGTTAATACAGTACGGATCCTCTCGACAGGGCTATTACCACACTGTGATTCTCTGTTCTTGGGGCATCCCAAGCCCTTCGGTCCAGTGGGATTTCAGGCCCTTTGCCCCTAACGCAGGCCCCAGAAAGCCAGAACAAGGTCGGCTGGCGGCGGTGCTGATGACAGCTTCAGGCGTCGATGCATCCTGGATTAACATTTTTGATCCCCGGTTGCAATCGCACTCCCACTGATACCCCCCGTCTTCACAACCCCCTCAACACGGCACAACAGAGATTTACCTCTGCTCGCGACCAAGACGATCAATCAATTTACCATCGAAAGTCGCAACGCCAGCACTTTCCATCCACTTGTAATCGCAATTCTCATTTCTCCTACCTTGTTCAATTCCGTATCGTCATCCGTTTGATTGAAAACGGATGTCGCGGTCGCCGATGACATGACTGAGGTCGAGCTCGCCGACCGCCAGAAGCTGCTGCAATCAAAGCGGGCGGAATCGAGGTGAGAATTACATCAGTCGATAGAGCTCATTTTTCCGATCATTTTGGTGTGTCATAGTCATTGTTAACCCGCAGCAGGTCAATTGTGCACTCGCGCAAGCGCAAGCTGCGTGAGCTGTTCGCTGTTGCGACCGAGGAAGATGGCATTCCGAACTACGACTTCAGCGACCCCGACGCGCCGCCGATTACGCCTGCCGAAGCAAAATTTCTGATTGAAACCGATATCCTGCAGTACGTTTTCCTGATCCTTAATTCAACTCTACTTTCTTCCCGACGCCATTGTGACGCGTCGACGTTTGATTTTCTAATTCATGGCCTTCTAGAAGTCGGCGTCTCAATGAAGCTCAAATACCTCCGCGCCGTAAGCCCTTGTTCGATGCGCAATGGCTCCGCGCGTTATCCGGTTTTGGGGATATCGAAAACGTAGCGCGTGCAGTACCAGCGAAGCCGATTGAGAACGGGCTTTTCCCAACCAAGACGGAAGAGGCGACCTTGGACGGCCCGAAGTCGTACTCCGGAGCAAAGGATCAGCTCGAACCGCCACGAACTCCAATAAAGGGCCTGCCCTCAAGCCAGATACCATTCTCTGAAGCAGTAGTGCCAAAGACTATCACAGAACCCCAGGATGGACCTACAGGAGGGCTGCAAGCGAAGAGCAGCGTGGCCCATGGCAGGGTTAATGGTATTGCCGATGGCGACGGCCGGAACGAAGCGCTACCAAACGGTCAAACGATTATCCCTCCCTCGGCGGAGTTGGCCATGGCATCGAGACCTCGCATCGATGTACAGTTCACTGGGAACAACCGAACATTCACCCCAATGGAAGTCAACGAAAGACCGAGCAACAAGGATGCCACCTCCTCTGTCGACCACCGGACGCCCATTGCAGATTCCTCACGTTTTCCAGATACATTGTCATCTCCGGGCTCTACCGCTCAAACAATGTTGACCCCTGCTATGCATGATGCATCAGCCAACACCAGCCCCGATAATGAAGGCCCACAGTATCTGGACAGAGTCGAAGAACAAGGCGGGGATAAGGTACGGGGGAGTGGCGTTCAAACAGAAAAGAGCGATAGTGTGGGCAGCACCTCCCTGTCCTTACGGCGTCCTGACCTGGACGTCTCGCTCCCGCCGGAAATCAGTGGCGTTGAGGCACAACTTCTCCAAGAATCTGCAGCAGCTCAATCCTCACGGCCAATCGAGCCCGCAATCGGTACCGACCTGTCTCGAGATGACTCCAACAAGGCCCTAAGTGACCAGGCCCGGCGCCAGCGCACCGTTCCAGCGACCCCAGACGCAGATGACGGACAGCACGCCGAGAAGGCGGATGCCAGCGTCAACTTCCATGGCAAGCAAGGAGAAACCGTGGTCCCTATAGAACCTCACACAGCGGATCTGTCGTCAAAGCTCAACGGGCAGTCTACTGCATTGAATCCTGCACATCCAGCTGGAGCCGCGCAAGAATCACTAGCCACAGGGACGCCAGTTGCAGGGCCTTCGCCTTCAGGGCTCAAGCCCCAAGTTTCTGGTAAGGCTGATATCGACGAGGTGTGCACGAAACCATCGCCTGCGGCCGTCCCTGTACCTCCTGGCGCGTCTCCCAAGCCTGCGTTGAGAGCAGCTGACGAAAAGGCCTCTGCTCCTCAAGCTGGGCCCTCTTCTCAACTCAAGTTGCTCACCAACAAGGCTAGAGACCCACGGCGAAGGAGCGTTCCCACTGTAATCTTCGGCAAGCAGCCGACGAGACACAAGGCAGCCGATGACAGTTCATTGGCTGTTAGCAGACAGCGACAAGGACAGATCCCATCCGATGACTACTTTATGCCTCTCTTCATCGAAGGCTTTACTCGCCAATCAACGTGGATGAAACCGATCGAAAAACTCCTTAACCAGGCCCACAAGACGATATCTACGCGTGATCAATACATATCAATCCTGGATCACCAGGCTTGCAAGATTCTGAGGCGAGTATATCACCTCCAGCAACACGACAAGTGGTCATTAAGGCAACCTGTGCGATGCCCGGAACCAACAAGGCCACCGTCTCACCAGGACCTTTTGCTCCAGGAGATGAAATGGATGCGAACCGATTTCCGCGAGGAGCGCAAGTGGAAGCGTGCAGTTGCGCGAAACCTTGCCTATGCTTGCGCAGAGTGGGTTCACTCCAGCCCAGCCGAACGGTTGGCGCTGCAGGTGAATGCCGTGATCCCATCGCCACCTGTGGCTTCGGGAGCAGATGATAAGATGGTAGACGCTCCGGATATCCTCGAGGAACCGCTACCAGACCTGGTTCATGCTGATACTCCTGGGGACAACGAGGAGGAGCCTTTGGAGATTGCGGTTACAACCGTCGCGCCTTCAGCGATCTTTGCTTTGCAGGACGATGAGGTGGTGTTTGGTCTCCAACCTTCCAAGACGGCCGATCTGTTGTTGGAAAACCTTCCCATGTATGGCTCGCCCCTCAAGGTTCCCAAATTTGATGTCTCTGGACCTGAATACGATCCGGATGCCAAGTGGAAACGACCGGCGCTGCCTCTGAGCAAATATGTTGAAGGCGAGATGGTTCTGGTAGGCGAACGGCCGCCGCGGAAGCGGCGCCGATACGACTACCCTGTAGAAGACGATGACGATGGTGAGGAAGTCATCTTTAACAGCGATCCACCCGACTCTGCAGAGTTACAGCCGGAGAACAGCGCGGTTGCGTTGTTCAGCCCAGAAATGAAGGCGATTCGAGATCGACTGCACGCTGGCCATCTGTTCCGGCCGCCTACCGAGTATCCTATGCCCCCGCAAAGCTTCTTTGAGAGTCGAACAGCCTCTCAATGGACATACGCCGAAGATGAGCAGCTGAAGTCTCTGGTCCGCGAATGTTCCTACAACTGGTCTCTCATTTCGTCCATGGCGTCGACGCCGTCCATATTTACCTCTGGAGCCGAGCGACGTACGCCGTGGGAGTGTTTTGAGCGGTGGGTGAGCCTCGGGAGTCTTGAAGGTCTGCCAAACGACATGGCGAGAACGCCGTACTTCAAAGCCTACCAAAGTAGGATAGATGCCGCCCAGCGGACTATTGCACAACAGAACCAAAACGCACAACAGCAAGTCGGGCCGAACGGGGCAGTTACCCCGGTTCCCAGGCGAAGAGCGACCACGAGCGTACGCGTTGAACGACGACGAAATCAAAAGCATCTGGCGCTGATTGATGCTATGCGCAAGCTGGCTAAGAAGCGGGAAGCGGCGGCCCAGAAGGCGCAGCACGCAGCTAACCAAGCAGCCATGCGCAAAGCCAACGAGGTTCCACGGCAGCAGATCCAGAACAAGACGCCCCGGGACTACAGCATAATGAGGTGGGAACGGGACCAGCAACTTGCTGAGAGGATGGCTCAATACGCCCTGCGGCATGCGACTGTGGATGCACGGAGACTGGTAAGGCCTAAGAATCCGAGTCCCTTGAAGCCAGAGTCGAGATTATAATACTAATTGGAGGTAATTAGCCAAAGCAAAACCATCCTGCCCAGCTTCCGGGGACACCCGGTGCGGTCCCACTGCCCCAGAATGCAGCCCAGATCGCTGCGGCAAATGCCGTCAACAGCGCTGCTCGTCTCAACCTCCCTGGCCAGCTTGCCATGGCCGCGCAGAATCGCACGCCGGGACGGGTTGCGCTCCAGACTCCCCAAGGAGCAGTTCCTCCTGCGGTGCAAGCCCGACTTGCCGGGGGGCTCGTCCCACCATTGCCAATGGCAGGCGTGTCCCAGGCTGCTCAACTCCAGGCACTGCAAGCGCAGCATAGGATGCCCATAGTCAATCCACAGCCGGATATCAGCCTCATGATCCAAGCCCGGACAATACAGAGCCAGCAGCGGGCGGCTATCCAACTGCAGCAGCAACAGCAGCAGCAGCAGGCTCAACAGCAGCAGGGCCAGCAACAGACGCAGCAGGGTCAGCAAGCACAAGCGTCGCAACAGCAACACCAGCAGCAAGCTACTCCACAGCCGCTCCCACAGCAACAGGTGGCCCAGCAGCAACAGCACCAGGCTGGTCAGCAAGTGCCACAAATTCCCCAAGTGAACGGGACCCAAGGGTCACCAAGTCCGATGCGTAACGTGATCAACGGCATCAACGGCATCAACGGCATCAATCAAGGGGCGTTTATGACCAATGCCCAGGCCATGATGGCACAATTTGCCACGGGTGCGGGATTGGCTACGTCACCCAACGCGGGTTTGAGCATGCCTGCCGCCGCAGGTCGATCGCCGGGCGGGATCCTGAGTCAGCAAATCAACCAGCGGCTTATGGACCTCGAGGCGCACTATCGGGCTAAGAACCCGAACCTGCCACCGGATGCGATTAGGCAGCTGGCAACAGAGCACTTGAGTAGGATGATAGTGCAGAGCCAGCAGCAAGCCGCGATGAATGCCGCGGCGGGGGCCGTTGCACAGCAGCCAATGAATAGCCCACATCAGTATGCGTCGCTTCTGCGGGCGCAGCAGCAGGCACAGGCGCAGCAGGCAGCACAGCAAGCAGCAGCGCAACAGGCAGCGCAACAACAAGCAGCGCAGCATCAGAGACAGTCCAGCGGAAGCGCAACGCCGGCACCGGGAAAGTAGAGGCATGGTTTACGGCGTTGGAATGGTAGGCGTCTTTGTTATTTGACAGACTAGCGGTGCTGCTGGGTTCGGGCTCGAGTAGCTACCAAGTGTTGGGCAAAGCATCTCCGGCAGTCATGCATCGGAGGCACTGTTATGAGATTCAATGTAGATACTTTATGATTGGTCAAGAAAACGACCAGAGTACACCAGCGTACATATGCATGTTTTAATGCTGTTAATCAAGCTGTATGAAGTATAACTACGGAGTACCGGTAGGCGCCTTGATCATATAACGTTGTGCGCTTGCGGTGATCCCAGTTGGAGTTCTTCGGAATGTTGCAGCCTACAAGGCAGGTGTCAACTGTCAAGCAGTACGAATCTGTAAGGCTGGGGAAATGGATGTGGTTGAGAATGCCGATAAGATAAGAGTTCTATCTGGATCCACTTATTTTCAAAAAAAGTTCATCCGCTTTCCATGAACTACTGGATACCACGACCGACGAGATCAACAACATCCTCCAGATTCACCATGGCCAAAAGGAAAAGAGAAGCCGCCTCAGAGGGCGAAGTCGCCCAGTCAAAGCCCTCGGTGAAGAAGGCCAAAGCGGGGCCTCGGCCAACGCAGTCACAATATGTTGCGAAACTGGGTGACGGCAGTCCCGTGACAATCCAGATCATCGCGGGGTCCTACGACCGAGTTCTACACGGAATCACGGCGACAGTCAAGCCCTCCGCAGCCTCTACCACTACTACTGCTGTCAAGAAGAAGTCTAAAGATGCCAACCCCCCTCCGCCCGAAAAGAAGAACGAAAAACAGGCCGAGTTCGCCGACACGTTCCTCTTCAACGCGCACAACTCGGCCATCCGCTGCCTAGCCGTGTCCCCGCCGTCGGCCCCTGCCCCCGGCCAGACCCAAAAGGTGCTCCTCGCAACGGGCAGCACCGACGAGCGCATCAACATCTACAACCTGTCCGCCCACCCGCCCCCGACCACCTCCCGAAGCACGGGGCAGCACAACAAGCTCCTGTCGTCGCTCGCGCCGCGGCCGATCCTGGAGAACCCCAAAAACCGCGAGCTGGGGACCCTGCTGCACCACACGGGGAATATCTCCCGGCTCGCCTTCCCTACCCGCAGCAAGCTGCTCTCGGCCGCCGAGGACAGCACCATTGCCGTCACGCGCTCCCGGGATTGGACGCTGCTGCATACGTTCAAGTGTCCTAGGCCGAAACCTCCTGCTGGGGGACGCCCAAGCGGGGATACGGCGGATGCAGGGGGGTTGCCCACGGGGGTAAATGATTTTGCTGTGCATCCGAGTAACAAGATTATGATTAGCGTTAGTAAAGGGGAGAGGTGTATGAGGTTGTGGAATTTGGAGACGGGGAAGAAGTCCAGGGTGCTGAATTTTGAGAAGGGAATGCTGAATGAGATTGGGGAGGGAGGGAGGGGCATGCGGTGGGCTACGGGCGAGGCCAGGAGGATTGTTTGGGGTGTTGTTAAGGGGGAGGAGGAGTTTGCGGTTGGGTTTGATAGGGACGTGGTTGTCTACGGGATGGACTGCCGCGTTAGGTGTCGGGTTATGGGGGATGCTGCTACGCTCAGGACTAAAGTGCATGAGGTTTGCTATGTTGATGTGCGGACCCAAATCAAAGACGGGAAGGAGGGCGATGCTGAGGAGGAGGAGGAGGAGGAGGAGGAGGAAGATTGTGTGCTGGCGGTCTCAACCGAGGACGGGAGGGTCTTGTTCTTTGCTACGGACAAGGGCAGTTTGCAGGGCCCTCCCGAGGGCAAGACCTTGCCGACGGCGAAGCTGGTGGCCCAGCTGGGCGGGAAGGAGGCGGGCGTGTCCGGGAGGATCAAGGATTTTAGGGTTCTGACCGTGCAGGGCGAGGACGGGAAGAGGGCCTTCTTCGTGGTGACTGCCGGCAGCGATGGGCAGATTCGGCTTTGGCTGCTGGCGGCCTCGGACTTGGTTGTCGCCAAGGGCAGCAACAACAGCGCCACACCACAGCAGGTTGGCAAGCTCCTTGGCACGTACGGGACGCAGAACAGGATCACGTGTGTAGAGGCTTTCATCATGATACGCCGGCCGGACGGCGCGGAGGAGAGCGAGTTTGAATTCGACAGCGAGGATGATGATGAGGAGGAGGAGGATAGCGATGAGGAGTAGGCACCGTCGGCAGCGGGTAAATGCAGGTGCTTGGCGACGTGCATCCTAGAATTGCAGGTCTATGATTGAAAGTTTGACATATCTAGTGACTTGTACCCAACAGGTGGGCCAGTTTCAAGCGCCGTGCTCTTGAGGACATACGGGCTTCAGGATGCTCTGCACTCGCACCTTCTCATCATCCGTCGAGGATGGCGGGCGGTTCCGGCAGTCACTGCAGTGGAGTCTGTCGAAGGTGGTGAGGTTGTACTGTAGTACCTCCGTACATACGTCACCAACTGATCGAGGCCGTCCAAGCCGGCTTTGCGGCTGCAATGTCACCCTGAGATCCTCAGCGCATCCTGCGCCATCCTGCACGGCAGAGCCAAATGCCAAGTTGGATGAAATCAGACACGCCCTCTGTCGGCTCAGATGCAGCTCAAGTCAGGCGACCCAACCCCAGAGTGTGAGCAACCAACAGTGGATCGGGCGATCTGATCACATGTGAAAGTTCCACTAGTTCCCCGCACAGGGTCCTAAATGGTGTACGGAGTAAATACCCCTGTAAATTTGGCCGCGTCCCCGTGGCCTGTCGGTTGCAAAATACCGCTGGCTCGAGCTACACAAGCACAGCTGAGGAAACCACACCTCAGGTCGGGTCTGGCCATCCGAGGAGACGCTGTCCAAATGCCAGAGTCCCGAATGGGAAGCACGGAAACAAGCAGTATGCATGCAGCGTCACTTGCAGCTGGGCGAATATCAAGGCAGCTGGGCTGTAGATATGCCAATCGCTTTACGCGTATATCCAATCCAGTATGTTAGGTAGTCGTTCGGTTTTACGGATACACTTTGACATTGCCCACTCAACATTACTGGAGCCTTGCACTAGCAGACAAAGTCGACCCTGAGCAGCATCCTGGTGCTCCGTAATCAAGTCGAAATCTCCGCGCTGTTGTGTATGCATATTTGTGTAAATACTTGAATTCTGCACTCGTCTGATCTTGGCGACGCACAGCACACATCTCACATTACACTCATCTGCTGCTACAAGCCGCGCACGCAGTTGCCACGGGCTACTTTCTATGTGCGATACTTAGCGGACTGGCTGCGTCGAGGCTGTCTCATCTCCCGTCCATTCCTCGCGGGTTGCCCTGCGCACGACCCTTGGCCACGAGTCATCTCCTGACCTCCTCGGCATATTTGGCTAATTGGTCCCCCTCTCGCCAATTCCACACTTCCTCCCCGGAATCACCACACGCTTTGCTATACCGGTTACACGCGTCTTCTTTTAGGTACCCGCGCCTCGAACACCTGGTTTGACAGGCTACAAGCTACGCTACGGTTGATCGATCGTGCCGAGATCTGAGACCCGAGAAAGCGCGAGGCAAACAAGCAGGCAAACACTTCTTAAACCACCAGCCAACGGTTAACCAATCAACTTGAGAAACCTCCAATCCAATGGACAACGAGCACCCGGCCGGCGACGGCGGGGAGCTTCCCCAAGTCAATCCATCCGTCTCAGCAGTCGCGCCCGAGCTAGAGATCGTCCGGCCGATCCCACGACGGCCGTTCAAGCTACATTTTACGAGCCCGACCCCGCCCTCCGAAGATGACGACGACGACGATGACAATGACATGCAGCGCCAGACCCCAAACATCTCAGCCAGCGACCTGCGCTTCCTCGACACCTCCTACCGCACCACCAACCACCACCACCATCATCAAGGCACCGACACCCCGCTCAGCCGCGCAACATCCTTCCTCAACCTGACCTCGTCTACACTGTTCGGCATCTACGCCCCCTCATTCTCCTCCCCTTCCTTTTCCTCCAACCCCACGCCTAGCGCCTCCTCGCCCAGGGCCGACCACAACAACCCGGGCTACTATAATATCCTATCTGACCGTGTCGGCGGCGGCGAGGAGACGTCGGTCCGCCGTCGGCCGGGGCTGGACGAAAAGACATACTCTGTGATCCGGCGCAGGTCGAGTGCTGCGGGTAGTAGTAGTGCGGACGCGGCGCGATTCATGCCGGGAGGTGGCGGCGGCGGCGGCGGGCGGACACAGCAGCTGACGACGACGCGGACGCGGGGGAGTATGGCCATGGCGTTGGTTCTTAGGGCAGGGTTGTTATTCTTACTTGGGGTCGGGTATGGTGTGTTGGTTACGAGGACGCGGCTCCCTGCTGCCGGACACGAACAAGGACGCCAAGGGCAGGGGTTGTTGTTGATGATGTTGAAACAACAAGGGGGGCAAGGTGGTGATGATAGAGTGGCGCATGATGGGTACGAGTGGCGGTACGTACCCCTCGCGCTCTGGGGCGCGGCGGGGGTGGTTCTGGGCGGGTTGCTGCCGTGGTTTGATAAGATCTGGGAACGGCGGGCGGCGGCGGCTTCTCCTTCTTCTGGCAGGGTCAATAAGGCGGGGCGGAGTGGTGGGGATGGAGTTGTCTATGAGGATGGGGAGAGCGATGATGGTGGGGACGGGGATGGTGAAATCGACGTCGACCCGATGGCAACGCCTACGCGGCCGGCACCGGTTGCTGCCACCTCCGCAGAAACCGACTGGGCGCTCGTCGTCCGCGGCATCGGCGCCTTTGTCGGCATCGTCTTTGCCATCCGCAAGCTCCCCTGGGCCTCTACCATGCAGGTCTCCCTCACCCTGGCCCTGACCAACCCGTTTCTCTGGTACCTCATTGACCGGTCCAAACCGGGTTTCCTGCTGTCTGCGGCCGTCGGGCTGGCCGGGTCCGCCGCGTTTTTACTCCTGGGGCTTGTCAACCCGGATATGCTGCTGATGATGGTGCCTTCTGCTGCCGCTGCTGCTGGGGTGCTGGACATGCCTGGCTCTTCTTCGTCTCCTGGTGGTTCTAGCTCGAGTTGGTCACTCTTCGCTTCTAACAGGACAGGTGGTGGAGGTACCAGCGGCGGTTATGAGGCGGCTGCTGCTGCTGCGCTGGGGAACGGGACGACGACGACAACGCTGATGGCTGCGATGGGCCGTCTGGCCAGCCAGGAGACGGTTGAGACCACGATCTGGATGCTGAGCGTGCTGTTTTGCAGCTGTGTGTGCTTTGGCAATATCGGCCGCCGCCTTGCGCTCAACTCGTCGGCTGCCGGCCGCGGGAGGTGGGGAGGCGTGCGGTGAGCCTGGTTCATTCTTGCTGTTGTTGATGTTATTGCGTTTCTCTATTTTTATGCGTGGTTTTGTTGGGGTCGGTATTTTCCCCCGTGTCATCTGGTACGGTTTGGGCGGTCTTCTCTAGGGGTTTCAAAAGCAAAACAAAACAAAACCGGAAAGCCAGGTATTAATCATGGTCTGGGATTTCTCACCAGCAGCGAGCGGGATTTTGAAGGGTGTAATCATCATTATGAAGCAAAATGGAGCGAAAAGCGGGAGTTTTCGCCTGTGTTGATGGCAGGGCATGTACATCATTAGTTATCCAACCGGCTCGGGTTTGCTGGGTTTTGGCAGCGGGTAGTTAGGCGGGCTTTGATATCAATACCTTTCCGGTTCTGCATGCTGTGAGCATGGTACTCACAGCAAGCAAGCAACCAGGCGAACATATATGTATGGCTTTCAAATTCGGCTTCGTCTCCCTTCTGCTGTAGTGCTTGTGATCGGTGTGGGTTGGGAATTGGATGTGCTGTTGCTTATATGGTGTTGTTGCCGGCCGGCCGACTGCTTTGTCCTGGTGGGATTGCACAATACCAGGCAGAACAATACTAAGCATCACTTGACAGGTAGCACGGAGACCGGATTCTCTGGACCGCTCTTCCCAGGGTGAGTAAGCGGTGCAGAAGCATCAAAGGTACGGACGCTGGGAAGGCTGCCGAGAAAAGGCATGGTCCACAGGGGGCGGAAGTCATCCAAGGGGTAAACATCATCACAAAGTTCACGAACGATTACTCCATCCCCTCAGCTCCGACTAGCCTGAGGGATCGAGTTGTTGTATTAGGGGGTACTTGTACCGGCGCTGAGCCCATGGCCAATGCAGTTCTCAAGCCATCAAAGCGCTTAGCACTCTGGTCTGCGGCACGACGGCAAACTACATTAAGCAGCATGATGAATGCCTGAGCGTGTGTTAATACATGCCATGTCCCTCCGGTCTAAAGAATAGGGCATAATCAGCCTCGGCGTCGAGCCGGCGTCATATTCTCTTGGGGTATGGGTGTGCTGGCCCACGGTACACAAAAGGCTGGGCCTGAACTTGCTTCTAGAAAAGGATACCTGGTACGGAAGCATCAAGATAAACTTACCACGATGCATTCTCCCACTCCATGATCCACCTGCAGCACATCTTCATCCGCTCCCGCACGCTCGTCGTGCCGAGAATCTCGTACTTTTCCGTGTCCCTGATGGGAAACACTGCGGCGAACCACCACGGGAAAACCGCCGCGTCCCGGGGGCACTCGCCGTAGATGATGCGGCCCTGGGCGACGAGCCAGGTCGCCCTCTGGGCCTGCATGCGCTGAATGAACCCCCTGGCGAACTCCATGAGGTCTTTGGTAGGGGTTTGTTCAATCTCGTCGTAGGTTATTGGCGACCTGCTGGCTGCGGATGCATCTTCCTGGTGGTCGGTCTCGCCCAAGCTTGCCCTTGCTAATCCGTGGTTTCCTGCCGTAGCCGTTTCGGTCGCCTCGAGGTCTTCCTCCTCTGCCAAGCTAATGTCGCTGACCGTCTGGATCCTGGCCACCATGTACCCGTCCAGCGTGTCGTGCTCAAGGATCCGAAACCGAGATATGCCGATCGTCTGGATGAGACTCCGTCCGTCGGGCAAGAACTCAGATTTGACGATGCGGAGCAGCGTGCCCAGCTCGACTGGGTTCCCCCTGGTGCCGGGGTGGTACATGACCATGCCGAACGTCCGGTCTCCCTGGAGCGCGCGGCGGATCATCAGCCGGTAGCGCGGCTCAAACACGTGTAGGAAGGTGGGCATGGCCGGAAAGGAGAGGGTGCACACGAATATGGCCCTGTCGCAGTTTGGGTTTCTATGGCTCAGCGCTTCGCGGCCTGCCGCCTGCCGGCGCTCCTCGACGAGGTCCGGCCAGAAGCAGTCGAGGATTTTGGACAGCAGCTGGTTGGCGGGATACGATGGCGACTCTCCCAGGTACACGTCCGGGCGTATCGACAAGGCGCGGCGACAAAAAGGGCACTCTCGCGCGTAGTCGAGCACGCGCCGCAGACAGGACCTGCAGAGCGTGTGGCCGCAGGGGGTGGTGACTGGGTCGATGAACACGGCGTAGCAGAGCGGGCAGTCGGCGCTCGCTCTTGCAGCGTCCTTCACCCGGCCCAGGAGCTCCGCGTCGGATTCTGCATGCTGCTCGGTGAGCGGGCTCGCCAAGGTGACCTCGGCGTTGTACACGAGTTCTCCGCCCCTTGCTAGCGCGTATATGGCGAGAAATGCTCCTCCGTCCAGCAACCGGGATGTTGTTTGAGGCTCCCTCAGGGAGGGTATCCCAGCCTCGACCCACTTGTCTTTCACAACAACATGTGTGGTCAACTCGGAGCTGCATTCCTTTTCTAGTTCAGTTTTGATAGCGTCGACGATATCGCCCAAGACGACATCGACGGTGCAGTCGGCGGAAGCATGATGCTTGGCGCAATCCTGGAATGGACACTGAAAGGCCCGCAGCCTATCACGGGTGACTAGGTATGTTATATTGGTCCGCTCATGGGGTTCGGGCAAGCAGCTGCGGCAGAGCGTTCTTCCGCAGGGGAGAGTGACGGGTTCGCGCAACGGTAGAGAGCAGGTAGGACATTGTGTCAGGCGGACAATTTGCCGGATATGTTCTGGTGACGGCTTCACCTCTTGGACAGAAGCCGAGCCGCCATTCTGCCCGTCCCCTTTAGCGGTGCCAGGGGTCGGCGATGACCTCGCCGTAATGTTGCCGTCCTGGGTTGAAGACATGCACCCGAACTGGACGAGGGGACCAGGCGCGCCTCCTTGAAGTGTACCAGTACTTTAAGCAGATTTGATGAGGGCGTATGCTAGGAATGGACCATGACTTGGTATCCAGCGAAAATGCGTTAAAATGCCGGGATATCAGATGAGATCATGAAGCCGAACACCGAACACTGGTACTTGGAAGCGGGTATCAGGTCGACAGCAGTATTCTGGCCAGAGACCGCTGGAAGAAATTCAACGTTAAAGTATTGAATCGGCAAACTGCAATTTGTGACGGGCGAGGTACCTTAGTTGATTGCAGTCGGCGGGATTGCGTTGCCGAAGGGCGGCCTTGGGGAGCAAAGGGACAAAAAACAAATTGATAATGAGGTATGTATCACTTGCGACTGCTACAAGATGGGGATTGCCAACAGGAGGGCTTCGCAGCCAACTGACTTCAGCCTCGAGTAGGCATAAACAAAGGGCTGTAAAGCGCCAGACATTAGCTCAACCGACGTCGAGAACACACATTGATAGACGATTGCATATCGGAATGCGGCTACGCAGCGAATGTGCATACATGTATGCGATTGTAACGTGGACATAACATTACTTGTAATGACGGCCAGGTAATCAGCATTGCTTTTACCTTTAGAATCACAATGTTTGCTGCTATGTTGTGCGGCTGGCTTCTGCCGACCTGAAGCGGGTGATGACGTTTCGGTTCCCGGCGCAGACAAACAGTCGCCTGGAGACCAGACTGATGATTATGATTGATGAGATGATTGATGATGGAGGTCGCAGAACGGCCGGTGCTCGGCAAAAGGGTCTCAGTTGGCTAGCCCGGTTTGGACTAGCGCCATCTTGGAGTCTCCGCAAACCAGCATTAAGGAAACTCGAGGAAGCTGCAAGGGGGAAGGGATACTGTAACGTTGAATGAAATGCTTCAGACATTTCAACAAGATATTCGCATTTGATAAGTTCGTGATTTATAATGAATAAGCCGTTCCGGAAACTGTACTGCTCTTAGCTGATTGCAACTTTGCGATCCCCCTTCACCCGCATGTCTCATGCATACGCTCCATGATGACCAAGTGGTGACAGAATTGCGAATGTGATACTATATCGCTCGAGATAGGTATTATAGAAAGCTGTGCTCCGACTTGTCCGTTCGGTGTTATTACTTGGTATACTTGGTGTTGATCTCCTTCCCATATCCAGTTAGACAGTCCGAGTCAACTCAGACTCGACAGGAGCTCTCTCGCACCGGCAGGACATCGACGCCCGCCTAAACGAGCTCGTCAACGCCCTCCGCGCCCACCCGCAGATGCAGCCGCCCGACCCGCACCCAACGCTGTACCACATCTGGGACTTTGTCATGCGCACAAAGTACATACTCTCAGAGCTCGACAACATTGAGGCCGGCCGCCCCGTGCAGTACCCGGCCCAGATAGCGGGCTACAAGAAGCCTGATGTCGAGGTTAAGTACAACACATGGTCCCTTACTCCTCCTTATGTACTATTTCAATCTTACCTGCTTGGGATCCATGTGTGAGTGAAGGATAGGGTGGAAATGGTTTTCCCTCCCTTTTGTTTCTTTCTTCCTTTCACGGTTGAACTCAATGAGTGATATTAAAAAAAAACCATCAAGGAAATGGACAACCCACGCTTTGCCAAAGAACTCTGGGAAGACGTCATGGGCCGGTCCGTGGTCATTGAGCGGATGATGGGCGACGAGGACCGGACGGCCATGGCCGTCATGGGCGGCCTGCCGGACATGGACTTTGGCGAGGAGCTCAAGCGCAAGGCAAAGGCCGTGGTCGACGCATTTGGCGCGGCCGGTAGTTCTTAAATGTGTGAGGATCCAACGATCGGAACCCGACAGAGCTAGCGCAGTAAAAAAATAGGAGAAAGACATCCAGCGAACGCCAACAAAGTCATGTTATGCTCATCTTGTCTCTCCCTGGGTATCATGCTATCGTACGCAGAGCTTGCCTCAAAAATAATCTACGATTGACTTGACCAGTCCGCTAGGTCATCCAGGTAGTTTCGCCGCAACCAAACGTTATACAACTCCCGGCCCCTAAACAATTGAACGATGCCCCTTTACGAGGGAGGCCCGTCCTCCATAGCCGTATCCCCGGTCTCTCTCGCTGCTGCGGCCCGCCCACCCCCTTCGGATGCAAATACGACCGCTTCTAACGGCTCCAGCCCAGCTTCGACAACTGAATCATAGAACCCGCCAGATTTGGCTTCCTCTTCCATTTCCGCCGCCGCTTGAAGCGTCTTTTGAACCTGTTCCTCATCCATACTGTCATCCTTCAGCCTCATCTGCAGCGCATCCGAGGCCGGCGGCCGCACAAAGATGAACCTGGCGTCGAACCCATTGTCCTTGACCTGTTGCGCCCCCTGCTCGGCCTAGTTAGCCTTCATTCACACGATTGTATAGACAGAACTTAGAAGAATCTTACCTCCCGATCCAAGTCCATGACTGGCACCCGGCCGCGGTCCACAATCCCCTCCACCGCTCTTTTGCTCGTACCGCGGGACTCATCGCCTTCCCCGCTGAACTCCAACAACTGGTCCCCGTCCCGCATGACGTTGAAGGCCTGTACATCGACGAAATGACAGTTGGACCCGTCTACCTCTCCCTCCCGCGGCCGGCGCGTGACGTGCACAGGCACGCGGGCAAACGTCCCGGGGTATTTGGCAATCAGCTCACCAGCAACGCCCGACCGGGGGCCAGCTGAGGAGGACGAGGAAGACGAAGAAGCGCAGGCGACCGCGTCGACAATGACGATCGGTCTGCGGTCGTCAGGGAAGACCGACGATTCTCCGTTCACCACGGCGGTTTCATGGTCCGCTTCGGCGTTGCCTCGGGCCCCGGCCTCTTCTTCTTCGGCCACGGGCTTGTCTTCAAAGACCACGTCGATCTTGTCGTCGTCCTCAATCCGATCGAATACCGCCAGGCGGGACTTGCTCGCAATCCTGAGCGCGCGCCACGTCTTGCTCGCCTTGCCCTCGGCCGCCTGGGCCTTGGTCTCGTCGTTGGTGGGCATTTCAATCTCAAACTCGTCATCGGCAATCCCCCGTCGCAAGCTGGCCAGCTCGGGTAGGCTGTAGCGGGCCGGGTCCTTTAGCCTCCGCAATGCGCTCTCCTCGTCCTCGTCGCCAAGAAAGTCGAGGGCCAGCGAGCCCAGCGGCGCCGCGCGCAGCCGTTTGGTCGCGGCCAGCTTCCCCGCCTGGGCGCGCGCCGCAACAAACATGTCGGGCGCCATGACCGGCAGCTCGATGGACGGGCAGTTCTCGATCTTCCAGCGCACCCAGTTCTTGTCGCGCGACAGGACCGTCTCGACCATGCGGTTGAAGTAAGGGCCTTCGAGCCCCTGCTTCAGGTACTCGATGATGGCCTCCTTCATGTCCGTTACCCACTTGGTGTCGTCCTCGCTGAGCACCTGGTCGGAATATGTTACCGACTTGTTGGGCGTCTTGACGCTGGCAAGCTTCTCTTTGGCTTTTGGAGAGAGGGACAGGAGGAACTCCATCACTATAAGGGCCTGCACGAGAATGTTACGGCGGAACGCCAGGTCGCTGATCTGTGTGGCTATGAAGTAAGCAAGGCTGTGCTGCGGGCAACGGCAGGGTTGCTCTGCGACGTACCTCGAGCTTGAAGAGGTCTCGGCTGGTGAGGTACTTTGGGTTGAACCCGCCGGCGAGCTCGTCCTCAACGTCGTCCCGCTTTCGCTTGAGGGTCTGTTTGTCCTCGTCCATCTGTCTGTCCTGCTTCTCCTTGGTCCGCGATGGCTGCTCGGGTTTGATACTTCGGAAGGTGGCCATGGTGGCCTCGAGCCCGGCCTTGAAGGAGGCGAAATGGCTGGGGTCAAAGAGTTTCTTTGGCTGGTTGAAGCTTTCCTGCAAAGACCAGAAAATGGGATACAGGGCGTCCGGATCTAGCGGTTTGTCTTTCTGCGGCTTTGCGTCGGTGTCCACATCCATCTTGTCGGCCTCGCCGTTCGCTGGGGGCTCCCTATCGTACGTGGTGACATTCTCGACGTGGTATTCTCCCCTCAAGTTGACCGAACTCTTGTCTCCCAGGGGGAAGCTCTGAAACATGAAAATGAAAACTCTTCCGCAAAAAGCCGGGTCGAGCGCCCTGGACAGGCGGCGGAGGAGTTCGTTGCATGTCCGCAGAATGACTAGCTGCTTCTGCTTGAAATGCTTCGCTGTGATGCGCTCCCTCCGTGACTCAAGGAAGTCAAAGACCCTGCGGCAGCCGGCAATTGTCTGGCTGTCGAGCAGTTCCTCGACGAGCCAAAACAGCAGGGCAGGGTCGCAGAGCTCACTGTCGGAGAGGATGGACAGGATGTCAAAGAGGTTCCAGACCCGGACAAATTCTGGCGACTCGATTGGCGTCGTCGCCTGGAGGAAGGGAATCATGCCGGTTAGATTCTACGTAGGCCATGGTAGCGAGATAGTAGCAGACTCACGATCAATGACTTGAAAGTATCGCGAACGGCAGTCTCGATGATGGCAAAGCGCTGTGTCCTCTTTGTATCGGTGGCATCTTCAGCCATCAATTCAGGGCCAAGGGCATCGCTGAGTTGGCGATTGAGGTCCTCAAAATGAGACTTGTCCAAGGGCGGTTCAATCGACGCCGTTCGCTTGACAGATTCGGCACGTTGGAGCTGCTCGTCCAGGAAAGCGGCTGCTGCGGCGACGCCCGCAATGCCGTGGCTGTCGATAGCAGACGGCATCTTGGCCGCCTCGATAAGCGCCGACTAAATTGGCTCCGTCCCTAGCTCGTAATTCCCTCGTGGTGGCCCTTCCGCCCCTCAAATAAGCCAGGCGACGACTTGGAGGTCACAAAAAGAGGGACGGGTCTACGGATATGTTGTTGCATTGAGTGATGTTAGCGGGAACAAAGGGACAAGGCTAGCACAGTCTGCTGAGAAAAGGGCCGGGTTGTCTGTGCGTCAACGGGATGTTAGCCAGTGAGGGCCACTGAAGCGGGGTTACCCTGTGGGACCTATGCAAGGCTGAGGACCTGATGGCCAAGATTTGGAGCTTATCGTTACGGTAGCTTGAGCCTTGAGAGCCTATTCATGCGCCAGCATCAACAATAAATCACCCTCTTAATTTATCCATTGCGGGAGTGCGATACGACAAGACGACCGAGCCCTATCAAGGTACGCAGCAGCGCAGCAACGCCGCACGCGTCCTGTGCCCATAGAACTCGAGATGCCTCCCGCCAAAAGAGTCAAGAGCAGCGCAGCTTCACGGTCCAAGGCTGCGAGTTCAGGTCGACCAACCGCTGACGACCTCGAGGGAGAGAACGAGTTTGCGACGCTTGCGCGGCAGCATTGGTTGAAGACGCCGCGGCGGACAGCCAAGGTCAAGGTCAAGAACGATGTGCTCAAGCGCGAAATATGGGATGCCCTGGAGAAGGAGAATTTCCCCCTCAAGTCAATCCTGGTACTTGAGGGACTGCAAATACTCGAGAGGTATGTGCGCTTCGACCGAGTCTGTCGGGCCTGCTGCTGATCTGTCACAGCTACTTGTGGCCGGGTTACGGGGAGAATTCGTCCAACTACCATGTCCTTCTGATCGTCCTGATAGTCAATGCCAAGCGGAGGGAACGGCTAGACACTTGGGGTGCGTCCTCTTTGCCCATGGTGCTTGACATGGCGCTGACCAGGCTGCAGACATCTTCGCCGACTGGCCCGCCGAGTTCTCAGATCTGTTCCGCCGTGCTCTGTCCATGACACTCGACGGCTCGCTGTCGTGCGCCATCAGGACTCATGTCCTTCAATTCATCATTCACGCCTTCCAGAGTCTAGACTGTGCCATCGTCCGCAAGGAGTGCGCTCCCCTCGTTTCCATTTCCATCTGGCACAACCTGTCAACAAGCGAGAAGCGCGACGCGATTCTAGATTCAAATCATCATCTAAGGAAGGCCTGGAGGGCATCTGCCAAGCGATACGATGCGGCTGACGACGCCGCGAAGGCACGGCTGCGCTTTGAGAGGTCCTGGCTATATAGTTCTATTATGGACTTCCTGGCCCTCTTATATTCCAGCAATGCTAAGCAAGGTACGTTTCCTCAGGTGGCCTTTCCTGCCATGACTAACAGCATCCCAGAACATGTGCTCTACTGCGAACGCTTTGTCGAGTTTTTGATTGATCTCCAGAGCCAGCTACCCACTAGACGATACGTCAACACGCTACTTCAGGACTTACATCTCCTTCCCGCGCTGACACTGTCCCCAATGTTTAATGACGAGGCGAATGGACTCCTGCGGGATATGACCGATCTCCTTTCCCACTATACTCACTTTACCGTTGACGACCAGACAGGCGCGCAGCTCAGCCGGACTGAAGCATATGACCGCCATTGCGCCGCCCTGGCCAAGCTCCAGCGGACCGCCTTGAAGCATTTCAAGGACAAACTGACAGTCTTGGCACTTTCGAACTACGGCTCAATCGATCAAAGGACTGAACTCGAAGGCCTGCTTCAAGCATTGACCGATGAGGAGCTCGAGCACCTCTCTGCGCTACTCGGCCTTCGGACAGCCTACCCGGAGTCTGCCAAGGTACCGGTTGACCGCAGGTTCTTTATGGAGGTCCTCTTGTCCACCTTTGAACGGCGGAAGACGTTCCAGGACGCTGTGCGCGACTTGAGCATTCTCCCTACCGAGGAAACGCTCTTTGAGGTGGGACTTAGGAGGGCTGACCATTACGACGGCTCTCGCCCCTTGGCCCTTCCCAAGCTTAACCTACAGTACCTGTCCGTCGGCGACTTTCTTTGGCGGTCTATGGTTCTGTACCGCTGCGAGTCCTTTTATGCTATTCGCCAAGATATCGAGGATGTATTGGCTAGGCTAAAACCTGAGAGCCGGCGGGTAGGCCAAACGACCTTTTCGGGCTTTTCAAGGATGGCTTTGCCGATCGCGAAACCGACCATACTCGAAGTTGTCCCCCCGCTAGTGGGGGACGACAAGCCGTCCACTGTGCGGGCCGAGGTGACGATTGACTTGGGGAGGTTATCGCCCCACGTCCGCAGAGAGTGGGAGTCTCTTCGCCCCGACGACGTGCTTTTTCTCCTCTCTGTGGATGCGTCCAAATCGAAACAAACCGTCAATGGCGGCGGTTCGCCTTCAGAGGCCGAAAAGCTGGGCTTAGTCACGGTCCGCGCTGCAGAGGTCATCCAGGTTCTCGACGACAAGGGGCGGGCGATCCGGGACGCTCAAGCTTATTTCGAGGGGCACGCCCGCAGTGATTCCAGGAAAATCCAGCTCCGGCTGGACGCAGAAGCTTACAAAGAGGATACCCAAAACAAGCGCAATGTGTACGACGGTATCAACCTTCTGCTTCGGAGAAGCGGCCGGGAGAACAATTTCAAGCCGGTGCTGGAATCGATCCGAGACCTTGCTCTCTCCGACGTCCCTCTTGCGTCCTGGATGCACGAGGTATTCCTGGGATACGGCGATCCTGCCGGTGCCACGTACAAACATTTGTCCAACCGGCTGAAGAAGATAAACTTTCGTGATACTTTCCTGGACTGGCAGCATCTTATTGAGAGCCTACCGGGCAAAATTATCGAGCCTAGCGACGACGCGTCTGGGAGCTTCGGCCCCCCCTATGTGCTCGAGACCGTTGATAAACCGGCCGAGGATGCTGTCTCCAAGCCATCCAAGAAAAGAAGGAGGGATGCCGAGCCGGCTCTTATCGCGGAAATTGAGACGGTGAAGGTCTCCACGTACAAGCCGCCAAACAACGGGCCTTACCCGGTCGATGCGCCAAAACTGAACACAGTTCGCTTCACGCCGACACAGATTGAAGCCATCGTCTCTGGCACACAACCTGGACTGACAGTCATAGTCGGGCCGCCCGGAACGGGCAAGACGGATGTCGCCACTCAGGTCATCAATAACATATACCACAACTTTCCGGAGCAGAAGACGTTGCTTATTGCCCACAGCAATCAGGCTCTGAACCAGCTCTTCGCAAAGATTGTGGCACTAGATATCGATGAGCGCCATCTTCTCCGGTTGGGCCATGGCGAAGAGGAGTTGGAGACTGAGGGGAGCTTCAGCAAGCACGGCAGAGTCGAGTCGTTTCTAGAGAATCGGCAGCGCTTTTTATACGAAGTAAACCGTCTCGCTGCTAGCATGGGTGCGCCGGGCGCTCACGGCAACTCCGCTGAGACGGCTGGTTATTTCAACTCGGTCTACGTGGAGCCCGCATGGGCAAAGTTCAGTGATGTCGTCAAGGCAGAAGATGTCTCAGTTGAAGAAATCGTCAGGGCATTCCCTTTCCACACCTACTTCGCAGATGCTCCCCAACCCCTTTTTCCTCCCGATGCGGACCGTGAGACTGTCCTGGAGATTGCCAACGGCTGCTATCGGCACATCTCGAAGATCTTCTCTGAGCTGGCCGACGTCCTACCGTTCGAGATTCTGCGCCGCGACAGGGACAAGGCCAACTATCTGCTTACAAACGAAGCTCGGATCATCGCCATGACGTCGACACACGCAGCGATGAAGAGGGGAGAGATAGCCTCATTGGGCTTCCACTACGACAACGTCGTCATGGAAGAGGCCGCGCAGATTACCGAGATTGAGAACTTCATTCCGCTTGCCATGCAGAAACCCAAGGACGGGCAGATGCCCCTACAACGGATCGTCCTTTGTGGCGACCACTACCAAAACTCGCCTGTCATCCAAGGGCTGGCGTTCCGACACTATGCCAACCTGGAACAGTCGCTCTTTTCTCGGCTTGTCCGCTTAGGCGTCCCAACCATCAATCTCGACCAACAAGGCCGCGCCCGGCCTTCCATCTCGAATCTGTACCGGTGGCGGTACCCCAAGCTCGGGGATTTGCCGCACACGCAGACCCACGAGGAGTTCCTGACGGCGAACGCCGGCTTCAGGTACGACTACCAGTTCATCAACGTGCCGGACTACAGGGGCAAGGGCGAGACGGAGCCGACGCCGCACTTTATCCAGAACCTCGGCGAAGCCGAGTACGCCGTGGCCATCTACCAGTACATGCGGCTCTTGGGTTACCCGGCCGAGAAAATCAGCATCCTGGCGACGTATGCCGGCCAGAGAGCGCTCATCAAGGACGTCCTGGCGCACCGTTGCGCGAAGAACCCCGTCTTTGGCCTTCCGCGCATCGTCACCACCGTCGACAAGTATCAGGGCGAGCAAAACGACTGTAAGTCATCCCCAATACCCCCTTTTTTTTTCTCCCAATTCAAACTTGACTAACCATGCCTTTCCTATTGGGTTAGACATCATCCTCTCCCTGACGCGCACGTCCCGCGTGGGCTATCTCCGCGATATTCGGCGGCTTACTGTAGCGCTGTCGCGCGCGCGGCTGGGACTGTACGTCCTCGGCAGGCGCAGCGTCTTTGAAGCGTGCTACGAGCTGCGCGAGGCGTTTGAGCTGCTGCTCAAGAGGCCAGACAAGCTTGTCCTGGTCACGGGCGAGCTCTGGCCGTCGCGGCGTCGGGTTTCGCAACAACAACAACAACAGGTGAAGAAGGCTGATCAAGGTCAAGAAGAAGCAAATGATGAGGGTGATGATGCTCCTGATGATGGACATAAAAATGATGATGGTGATGATGATGATGATGGGGTTGGTGGTGATAGTGGCCTTCAGGTTGTTGTCATGGAAGGGGTTGAGCACCTGGGCCAGTACGTCTTTGAGATGACGCGTACCAGAATTGCGCAGCTCAGGGCTGAAAGGGGATTGTCTGGGCCCGAGGCGGAGATGGTGCCTGTTCTGGACAGGGTTGTTGAAAATGGAGAAGAAGGGGGGGAAGGTGAAGGGGATGCTGAGGGGGATGCTGAGGGGGAGCAGGATGACGGGGAGGAGGAGGGCATGGCTGCGGCGGAGGAAGAGGAAGAGGGTGGTGGTGAGAGGGTTAGACCGGAGGGGTTTGAGGCCGAGGAGGAGGAATAGTGGAGGTGCGAGACGTACGAGTTGTCCTATACTATGAGTGGTATGTTGACGAACTAACCGAGTGAGAGGTTATTATTCGGGCGTCGCAGGGAATCCCGTTCCAGGCATGGACTGGATTCGTTGGGTCCCTTGGGTGGGTTGGTAGTGGATGACCGACTGCCGGGCTTGAGCTGGATGTTGACGCTACTTGACTTGCCTATCTAAAATTTCAGTTGCCATGGTTGTGAAGAGTGTGTCAATATGTACAGGGAAAAAGGGCGTGGTGAGGTTCAGGTAGTTGGCATTCCCCCTGATTCTAAGATCCCACAGTCTGCCGTTGTAGGAGGTGCGGGTAGGGCAGCGTGTGCCCACCATCGCAATGTGCCCTTTGCCATGTCGTCACCTTGCAGGGCTCGAGTGTCTAAGGCTTAAGCTCCTTCCATATCCACAACCTGCGCACAGCAAAAGTAATAATACTACTTCGTAGCTATCGAACAAAGTGCGCGTCCAGAGTTCTATTCGGACATTTGTGGTGGTTGTCTCTCAGTTCAAGAAAGGCAAGAGGAGGCTTGCACTATTTCAGTTGCGAACACCACCTACCAGTAAACCTACTGTGGTAGTAACTCTGACTCTGCGAACAGCCCACTGTGTCAGACCCGAGTGAGTCAGAGTCTTCGAGGCGCACTGATCTGCAGCATCGATTGGTAGCTTGCTGGCTTACCTTTCGCTTCGTCGATTGGGCAGTCCGTTGGAGCCGTTGCGGCTGGTCGATGTTCGTCCGCGAGGCCTAGGCGTACACTAAGACGGGAACTGCCCAATCCGCCAAACACAGCCTGTAAAGGTCACTGGGAGAGAGAAATGAAGACGGCTGGCACTAGCAAGTCGAAACGAACGGAAACGCCTTGCCACCTTGGAAAGAGCGCCTAAGTAAGATACATCTCGCTCTTTCCGCTGTTGGGCGTCATGACAGCTCCTTGTCCCTAGATACCCGCACCTTCCGCTCATTGAGTCATGGAAGACAACTTTATGACTGCAGATTGCCATCCGACATCGTGTATGGAGTATGTTCCGGGTAATAAAAGCGAACTGCTCTGTAAATGTATGCATAGAAGAAAGACTTCGGTATCCGGGTGCCGCCTTCCGTCGCACAATCTAGGGTCCTTGAATAGGGCAAGGTATCCACCACGACCCGGTGCAAGCCAAGAAGGGTACAGCGCTGCCCAATGCGTACTTGCATCGCGCCCGAGAGCGTCCATACAGCCCATATTATCCGCAAAGAGCAGGCCATTTTCCTGGCCACCATTATTCCGACTGGTACGTGGTTAGTAGGCACTTTGCGATGCCCACCTGTACCGGGCAGGATTTCCCCGCCAACTTTGCTTCCGTGGTTCCAGATCTAGTCCACAGGTGGGTGTGGAGCGATCAGCCTCGTTCGCCCGCTCCACCAGCCCGTTTTTCTCCAGTCGATCATCGCTAATAAGTTTAGTCGACCCTTACATTCAACGCTTTCCGGTATGTACCGGGGCTTGTATTGTTAGTGTAACATCTTCTTGCTGTTATGCTTCAAGATCGGTTCGAGCTCTTCTATTGTACCAAACTAACCAGCGTCAGCAGCTACCTATCTTGGGGCATCGTTTTGCGAACCCAGGTGGTCGATGAAACATCAGGACCACGAGAATGGATGCCCCTGCTCGCACTGATTGATCGTTCGAGGCTTCCGGGCCCGCCAAGGTTTCCGTCGACAAAGAATAACGTTGGCACATGGAGCATAAAGGATAGTTCGAGGGGAGAGCAAAGACAATAGGAAGCTTCAGAGCGATAATGCGACTGACCCCTGGCTTGCCTTTCTGACGGGTTGGGATGTTCTGCAACCGGCACCTCAGGCCGCGAGGCCGTCCTTTTTGGAAGAAGCTCTGCCTAGATTCGTCGTGTCTAATTCCCGTCGGCCCAGCTGATGCGGTTTAGGTTGAATCAGTCCTTCACCTACGCAAAGTGGTAGGTTAGGTAGGTATTGTCCAGCACTGTACATACAGTACGGAGGTATGTGATTACGAACTATAGGCTGTGAGTGGTCCATGTGCTGGTGGCCATCACCCGGACGAGCACGGACGAAGTTGCACATGTTAATCAGGCATGTTGGTGGCTGCGACGCTGCCATGGCAGACAGGAGAGGAGGATCGCGAAATCAGTTTTTTGTCCGCCCTTCGAGGAGCGTATGCGCATGCTTTTATATCCCGTCAAGCGTTGTGCTGGTTCTCATGCCTTGTGTCCCTCCAATGCACCACCCACAGGAGGTACTTACTGTAACGTGCTGTACGGCACTGTATGTACACCTAAGTATTAGACGATTCTGATGGCGCAGTTTGCCCTCCTATGACAAAGTAACTGAGCTGGCGAAAAAGCAGCCGTGCCGTTACTCCGTACATTACAGGATATCCTTCCTCTGCTCAATCTATCGATCCAGCGGCGCGCTTGTTGCATGCTTGACACCTTAGCATACGCGACTGATTTAGTGATTTATTACCTAGTTACTGGCTTAGTGGGTGACGGGTGGTGGTGGTGGATGTATTGGTGACCGAAGCAGGTGGTGTAGGTACCGCAACCCGCAATTTACAGGTTGGTCGGTACACAACTTTCCCGGTGCCACCTCTCTTGTAAACCAGGCCTTGCCCCAGCGCACACACCCTCCTTCCAGGCCCCCCCCCACACCCCATCCCCCTTCCTTCGCCATCCCCAGAGCAGCACGCTCAAAAATTTTCTTGCAATTCCCTTATCCGTTTTTTCCTCCCACCACCCTTCCACAATCACCTTTGTGAAAATCATCAAGGAGAAATCTGTCTCGGATCGACGGATTCCCTTGTTTTCACACATAATATTGCGTGTATTTCTCTCCTCGGATTTCATATCCAGAGAAACAGAGAGATACATCTCCCCCTCTCCGCTCTTAATCGGGACTTTGCGAGAGCCTTGGGCCCCACGGAAATCTTAGTCTTGCCGGTCGCCTCGACAGTTTTTTTTTCTTCATTGCGCCAACCTTTTCACACTCTTTGACCGCAGTGTTTTAGTCGCCCAACCACCCGAATCATCGAGTGCCAGCGACATACTAGGTGCTTAGAAAAAAACCACAGGCCGAGACAGGGAAATCTTGCGCCAGACAAACATTCATTTCTGTCTGCGCGATCACGACGGATCCGAGATTCGACGTGCAATTGAACCCGGCATCTCGTCTCTGCAAATCACTCCCCTCCCCCGAAAACAACTATCCGCGCAATCCACGAGAAACCGACAAGGCTTTCGAGTCACCAGATTCCCCTTATGACTTCCACTGCGGGTCAATCGAACCAAAACCCGGCGTCAACCCCCTCAGCTCCCGCAGCCCCGTCGTATGCTTCCGCAGCCGGTGCGAACAAGAAGCCTACATCGACGCCGCTGATCGCGACGGGCTCTCACCCGCCCGTGGTGGTTGGTTCTTCTGCAGCTGCTGCCCAGAATGGCAAGCCCTCAGCTGGCCCGCCGCTGAACGGCAGACCCAACATTACACCAGCGATTCCCGTCGCAGCTCCACCTGTCGCCCGTGGCAGCTCAATCGCCAACGGCGGAGCAGCCGACCACGCTCGGAAGAGCTCGGTCACCATCAGCGCTAATGCCCCGGCCAGCCACATTGCAAACGGCGGTCCCGTCGGCGGCCGCGACTCAATTAGGTTTGGCTTCGACGGCTCCCCTGCTGTCGCCCATAGCACACCCCAGATAGGTGGTGCTGCGCCGATTCCCATTCCCGGAAGCGGAAACCCCAGGATTCCATCTCCGGCAAATTCGCCCTCACCCATCCCCCAGATTCCGCAGCAGAGCGGCGGTCAGCGGGCTCCGTCAATGACGCAAGTGCCGCCTCCCACCTTCGGAAGCTTTCCGGGTGATAACGATGTGAGTGTTTTTTCCTCTCCTGCTTGCCACCGATTTCTGGCTCCAGCTCGATTGCTAATGCCCGTGCTAGCGTCACATGAAGCAACATAACCCAGTCGCTATGGGCCAAAGCCCCCATGCTCGACGCGATTCCCAGGTATCCAGCCATGGTGAGGGTGTCGGCCATGGCGGTCCAAGCCACGGCCGTGGTGGGTACCAGGGCCAAGGTCGCGGACGCGGGAATTATAACCCACAATATAACAACTCCAACATGGGCTACCCTCCCGGGCGGAACTTCTCCGGCAACAGCGCGGGCCGCGGCGGCGTGCCGCCTTATCATCAAGGCCGCGGCGGAATGCAGCAGTTCCCCAACTCACCGCAACCACCTCGAGCCAGCCCAGCCGCTACTCCAACCATGTCTCATGGCACACCTGCCATTCCTCCCGCGATGGGTCCTCCTGGCCCACACTTCTATCCAAACATGTACCCACAACAAGTAAAGTCCCCTATTATTGTCAGCGATCATTCCACATTCAAATCCTACAAGAAGAACAAAGGCACGCGTCGGGACTCGGAGAAGGCTCATCCTCATCTGCGAGCTCCCGGCGCTTCACACAAACAGACAGACACGGAATTCACCAATAGGTCGCGGCGCCACAGCAAGCGTTGGGACCCGGCGGTGGAGTGTCAGCAGGATTTCGACGGCGGGACTACTCAGCCAGAGTATCACAATGGCCCTCCTGCCTACTACAGTTTTCAGCCGGGCCGTCCCGTGCCGATGCTTGCCCCTCCTCTCATGGGACCTCTAGATTTGTCACCAGAAAGTGGTGCTTTTGAGAAACTGCTAACCGCAAACAAAACACAGATGCCCCCTGCTTATGGCATGCCGCCCGAGTTCCGCATGGGCTACCCGCCATACGGCAACCAGCAGATGCAGCAGATGCCGTACATGGGACAGCATCCTCAATTCGCACCAACTGCTCACCCGCAGTTTGTCCCTCCCCCTTATGGGCCGGGTCAGCCGGCTGCTCCCCCTATGTCTCGTAACGCCTCACAGGTTTCGGACCGGCCCGTGTCGAGCACCGGACAAAACCAAGCCCCCGTCATCGCCCAAGGCACTCCGCAGCAGCGCCCGGCTCAGGCGGCACCCCCAGCGATTGTGTCGTCTTCGACCTTCTCTCGGCCACCCAAACGGAGCGCAGCGATTGTGATTAAAGATGAAGAAGGTAACGTTGTCGACTTGGCTGCTGCGAGGAAGACCCCGGCCTCGCCGTCTCCAGGCATCCAACAGTCCAAGACCCCTCCCGTTATTGCCTCGAGCCCCACACCACCGCCTAAGTCCGCGACGCCATCCCACGGGCGGACTGACAGCACTACAACCAACAAGACAGCAGAGCAGGTACGGAACGAGTTCAAGGACCTAGTGCGGAAGACAGCAGACGTCCCCTCTGATGCCAAGGCAAAGGAGGACGAGGCTGCCAAGGCGGCGGGAGAGAAAGCTGCTGCTGAGAAGGCCGCTGCTGAGAAGGCCGCCGCCGAAAAGGAGGCTGCCGAAAAGGCTGCCGCGGAAGAAAGGGCTAAGGAGGAGCGGCGGAAGGAGGAAGAGCGTCTTGAGGCTGAGAGGAAAGCGGCTGAAGAGGCCAAGGCTGCTGAAGAGGCCAAGGCGAAAGAGAAGGCAGAGGCAGAGGCCAAGGCTAAGGCAGAAGCGGAGGCTAAGGCCCAGGCAGAGGCTAAGGCCCAGGAAGATGCCAAGGTCAAAGCCGAGGCTACCGCGCCCGCCGCGGATGCTCCTCAGGAGCAGAAGAAGCAGGATGCGCCTCCCGACCCTTCCAAGATGTCTGAAGAGGAACTCGAGCGCATGATCCGCGAGATGGAAGAGGAGGACGCTCGCCGTGAGAAGGAGCAAGAAGAGATATCGGCCAGGAAGAAGGCCCAGCAGGAGGAAGAGAAGAAGCGCCGCGAGGCCGAGAAACTCGATTCTGCTGAGAACGATCGGAGGCTTCGCGAGCAAGAGCGAGAGATGGAGAGGCTCGAGGAGGAGCGCGAGCGCCGGCGCAAGGAGAACGAGGCCAAGGGTCAGACGGAGTCGATCTCGGAGCTTCTCTCGAAGAAGATTGACGATTTGAAACTGTCCGAAAAGAAGGAGACGGTTGAGAAGCCAGGCAGCCCCGCCGATACAAGCTCAGGCGTAAGCGCCAAACCAAGTGCCGACAAGTTCAAGAGCAGGCCTGGCCCTCTCAATTTGACACCTCTCAAGACGACGCCGGTTGAGGCGCCTCAACCGAGCGCGGCGCTTCAGTCCCTCCGTTCCGCCCGTTTCTTGCCCGCGGTGGAATACAATATCTACCCCGAAGGCATCGCCTCGCCTAACCCCGCCCTTAATGCTGCGGTCCATAAGAAGGGCAAGATCTTCAAGTACGACGCACAGTTCCTTCTGCAGTTCCAGAAGGTCTTCACTGAGCAGCCGTCATTGGAATTCCACCAGCAGGTCAAGGCTCTCATTGGAGATTCGGACGGCTCCCGTTCCGCCTCTGCTCGGACTCCGGGCGGCGGTTCCGGCAGACAAGCCTCACGGGGCGGCTCCTCATCCGTTTTCCCTCCCGGTCCCATGGGCCAGTTCGCGGCGGCAAGAACTTTACCGCCGGGAAGTACCTCGGATGACAGGTTCGCCATGTCTCAAGGCAACATGTCAAGACCCGGTATGGGCTCTATGGCTTCCTTCAACCGCGCGGGTGGCTTCCCCGGCCAGATGAGCAGGACACCTTCTTTTGGTCCCGGAGGCTTGCCTTCACCCCGGACCGGCAGCAGACGTGGGAATGAGAGCAGAAAGAATCACAGCAACGCCAAGGAGGTACAGGCTGCTAAGAACATGCCGCTTACCGCTGGCCAAGAAGTTAAGCCCATCACTGTGTCGGCATCAGGCTGGAAGCCGATGAGCCTTGTCAACAAGACTGCCCAAGCCCCGGCAGGACATCTTGATCCTGAGACGGTGCAGCGCAAGGTCAAGGGAGCGCTGAACAAGATGACACCTGAGAACTTCGACAGGATCTCGGATCAGATCCTTGAAATCGCCGGACAGTCCAAGAACGAGCAGGACGGTCGCACACTGCGGCAGGTTATCCAACTAACGTTCGAGAAGGCCACTGACGAGGCCCACTGGGCAGGCATGTATGCCAGGTTCTGCAGGCGCATGCTTGACACGATTAATCCGGAGATTCGTGACGAGAGCATCCTCGACAAGAATGGCAATGTGGTTTCCGGCCCCGCCCTTTTCCGCAAGTATCTGTTGAACAGATGCCAGGTAGAATTTGAGCGTGGCTGGAAGGTCAACTTGCCTCAACCCAAGGAAGGAGAGGACAAGCAGGCAACTTTGTTGTCTGACGAGTACTACGCCGCCGCGGCCGCCAAGCGGCGTGGATTAGGTCTTGTCCAGTTCATCGGCGAGCTCTACAAGCTCAACATGCTCACGGAGCGCATCATGCATGAGTGCGTGCGCAAGCTGCTCGAATTTACCGGGGTGCCTGACGAGGCCGAGATTGAGTCTCTTACCAAGCTGTTGAGGACTATCGGTGGCAATCTGGACGCCCCCGACAAGGGCGAGAAGGAACGGGCCTTGATGGAGGCTTACTTCCAGCGCATCAACTCCATTATTCAACTTCCTGGGCTGCCTAGTCGTCTCAAGTTCATGCTCATGGACATTGTTGATCTGCGCAAGGCCGGTTGGGTCTCCAAGGAGGCGAATAAGGGCCCCAAGACTCTTGAGGAAGTTCGGGCTGAGGTACGTCTAACTTCCCCATGCCACCTGACTTCATGCGTAGATTTTTGTTTATCAAGATGCTGACTTGGACACCACAGGCCGAAGCAGCGGCTGCCCAGAAAGCAGCGGAGAGCGCGCGCAGCAGCCAGCGTGGCGGTCCTGGGGGCCGGCCGACCGGTGGTCGGGGGGACTCGAGAAACTTCCCGTACAGCAACCCCACTCCTAACCAGGTCGGTATGGACGACCTCCGGCGGCTCAAGGGATCATCGAGCCGCACATCGAGCCAGAACCCCTCGCTTGGCGGTCCGACGTCGATGTTCGCCTCGCGTAGCAGCAGCGGCCGGCGCATGGGCGGCCCCGGCGGTGCTTTCAGTCGTGCTGGCGAGGACTCGGGCGCTTCTTCCCGCACTGGGACGCCGCCCACCCGTGACCGTGACTCAGTCGCGCATACAAATGCATTTGGGTAAGTCTTTGTTTTCACTCAATCCATCCATTAACCCTTAGCTAACTGGGACATTCCAGACTGCTCGCCGATACCGGAGACCACCCGGGCTCCCCTCCGTCGACCGCCGCGTCGCCAGCGCTGTCCAAGGCGACCCTAGACACGGTGGCGGCTGGCGAAAACAAGAAGGAGGATTGAATGGGCTGCTGAAGCGCTCGCTGAGGGGCGGGGGGTGGTCTTTCCATTAGTTGACAACAACGGTGTCTTGCATTCATGATCTCATGCATAGACCGGGCGGGTTCTTTTTTCCGAGTCAGTTTGCATTTGCGGGGTGTGTGGGTTCGCGCGAGCCAAAAAATTGCTTTTGTGTTATTCCAGTGTTGTGGGTTTTGTGCAAAAAAGTTGGGCGCTTCCCCCTAACTACTACTACTTGCTACTTTACTCTCACCATCAGATTCATGATACCTCTTTCTTCTACCTATCAAGATAGATCCTTTCCCCATCAGAGAGATGGTCCACGGAGATAATTCCCCCCTTCTTCTTTTCATTTCTCCCCCCCCCCCCCCCCCCTTTTTCCCCTCTTCTTCTCCTTGCGTCTGTGTTGTTAGCCACGCGGAGGTTTCTAAACTTTTTAGCTTCTTTCTCTCTGGAGTGGGGGTATAGGTACCGCCCCTTTTTATCTATCTCATGGGATGGGATGGGATAGGATGGGATTGACTCAGACACGAACACAGGGCACCTTTTTCTTCGCTGGGACTCTTGCTTGTGTTGATTGTAACATTGGTTTTCTTGTTTTCGTGTTTATGCTAAAGTGGTTGTGTCGGTCTGTATGTGCACATAAATGCTTCTAATTTTGTTTGCCTGCTACCTGCTGCTATTGATGCTGCTGCTGCTCTCCTTTGCTGGGTTTGCTTGCAGTGGTTTGAGTTTCTGGCCGTAGGCCTGGTCCTGTGCCCTTTGGGTGCGTAGGGTAGCTGGATGGTGGGTGATGATGATGGCGATGGTGATGTGTGTACCGTGAACTTGAACGTCGATGGGTACAGGAATGGGAACGGAAAGGCTAGAGATGAATGAACCGAAATTGAATGGAAATGGGAAATGGGAAAGGGTGGAGGGTGGAGGGTGGAGAAGGGGGGGTGGGTTAGAGGAAGGAGGGAAAGGTTCGATTCGGTGCTTTTAAACTACTTGGTTGTTTTACCTCAGCGATTCGGGTTTCTGGGCTTCTACCCCCTATTCCAACTATTAATCTACACACATACATACGTATGCACGTACATTATCACTTTGTCGATGCAGTACCGACACGTTGCAAGTAATCTTGTTCCCCAGGAGAAGAAGGCACACCAACCATACATGCTATCAAGTTCCATTGACAACAGAAAGGCGTAAACACATAAACGTCATCCCAAACGCTCTCAACGCCGATCAGCTAAAACGCGAAAACAGTCATGTCCAACACAGGTTCCCTCTACCCAACCAAGATTACCCCGATCAAGCAGCCACAAACCCCAACTTTGAGAACAGGGAAGCCATGGCGACACACCGGAACCCACACTTATCCAGGTACTTATCCACGACCCCCTTGACAGTCTCGAACCTCTTCCGATTCTGCTCCGCCAGCGCGAGGATTTTTACCTTGCGCTCGGCAGTCGTCTCCCCTTCGCCAGCCTGAATATTGTCCCCACCGGCCAGCGCTAACGCCTTGGCCTTGTCGACATCGAACAGGCTCTGGAAGTAGACCAGCTGGTTGTACATCTCGCGCTCGCCCATCTCGTAGCGCATGATGCCCCGGCACCCCCTCGCCAAACCCTTGGGCCCCAAACAGCGGGTGCCGTAGACGGTCATTTGGCGGGTGCGGTTGCCGCAGCTGGAATCGTCACAGACGAGCCAGCCCTCGTAGTAGCGCGCCGTTTGCGCGCGGACGGCGGCCTCGACTTGGGCGACGACAGAGAGGGTCGGCAGGGTGGCGCCGCAGGCGGGGTTGGCGCAGGCCACACCGGCGGGCGTCACGCGGTCGGCGGAGCCGAGCAGCCCTTCAAACGGGGCGCTTGTCTTGCAAGCGCGGCAGCGCAGTGAGAGGCGCGCGCAGTCGCCGAAGCGGATGTGGTCTGGAATTTGGGACTCAAGCGGGTGGATTCTGTCGAGGGGGTTGGAGTTGCTCGAACTGGAGGAGTTGGCGTTGTTCGCGTACCGTCGCACGTCGAGACCGAGGTTCTCAGCAAGCTGCGCGGTTGAGGTGCCGACGATGTTGGCGCAGAGCCGTTCGACGGGCGGGAAGATTTGCTTGCCAATGTACCACTCCACATCCGGAGCCAGACCCGAGTCGGCTTTGAGCACGTCCTGTGGGGTGTAGGCGCGTTTGGCGGCCGGCTCCGAGGTTGTCTTGCTGTCGCCTGTGATGATATACGAGACGACGTCCCCTTTGCGCATCGTTTTGCCGCGCGCCATCTCGCGCAAGGCTACCTGGACTTGTGGCATGCTGTCCGCGTTGGGATACTCCTTGGGCGATTTGCCGAGCTGGGTGAGGATAATGTACTTTTGCGGTGGGATAGCTTGCTCGCGCATCTTGCCGGTAATCTCGCGCAGGTACTCATGGATGCGCTGGACAGACGCCTCGGTGTCATCGCCCGAGAGAATTTCGTCAAGGAGACGTTTCGAGATCTCTCGTGACAGGGGGCAGTATTCTCGGCGCTTCATATCCAGGCCCTTGATTTCCAATTTCTCAATCCATTTGCCGTTTACCTCGACGAGACTCACAGCAGCATACTTCTTCTTGGCTTGCAGGAGAATGCGGCGGAAGATGTTGTCGATGTCAATCTCAAGCCGGGTGTATCGCTTGTTGACTTCGTATTTGAACTCGCGGCCGAGCTTCAGCGCGTCCGCGACGTTGTCCACGTTAGCATTGATCATGACGGAGTCGGTGTCGCCGTAGATGACCTGCAGCGACATGCTCTCGGCCAGTTCCTTGGTGCTGCGAAGAATCTCACGGCCCTTGTAGGTGGTGAGTACGGCAAGGGGTCTGGCGTAGAAACGCGACTTGGTGTAACCCAGACAACCGTACATGGAGTTGGCCGTCAATTTCAGGGCAAGCTGCTTAATGTCCCAGGTTGCGAGCTGCTCCGGAGTGGCGGTCTTGTCTTTCATTAGGTGTTTGACTTGTTTTCGCCAGTCGACTAGCGTCTTGATGAGTTTTGGGAGAATGCCCTGATCTTGTGTTGTTGGGACCGCTGGCACCGCATCTTCGTCATCAGACTGGCCACTAGGTTAGCGAGCAGACTTGTCAGACGCAGAAATAGACCTTACCAATGTCGTCCGATCAACTGTTGTGAAGCAGATGTTGAACTCCTGGATAATGGATGGATAAAGAGAGTTGAAATCCATGACCAGCACAAACTTGTCATACAGACCCTTCTCGGGTTCGAATACGAGGCCGCCCTTGTACTTGTCTTTCTTCTTGCCTTCGACACCTTCTTCCTCGGGGTTCTCCTCGTCAAGGCGTGGCCGCCCTTTGTAGGGCTGCTTGTCCGGGCAGATGTACTTATTCCTGTGAAACTCGTGGAGCAAGATGTACTCATTACGCTCGGCTCGTGTGCCTGTAAGCGTTCTTGCCCAGGAATTGCCTGCCAGATTGGTGAGGACCTGGGTAAGAGGAAGGATCTGAGTTCTGAAGGCCAAGGCGGCTATGAAGTAGGTGTCTGTCTCGGCATGCGATAGGTAATCCATCAGGCCCTCCTTTGACGTTGCCCACGTCTTGAGGGCCGCGTCGTTATCAATATCCCGACGATGGTTGTCGCCTGATAGATAGAGACTGCACATTTCTGTCAGACTCCATGACTGGCACTTGAACATGACGGATTTGCCGGCATCGTTGGCGAGGTCGCAGAGGAGACGCCCGGCCATTATCCGGCGTTCCGTGAACACGTTGCCACCAAGTTTGCCGATGGACGCAGGCCACGCAGACCGCCTCAGCCGGCCGAGGCGAGACCATTGCGGGGTTTTCTTCTCGTAGAGGCGATTCAGCAGGATGCTGTAGTCAACGCCCTCCAGCTGATGCCCCAAGATCACATCCGGGTCAACGACATCGACTTGTGCCAAGAAGAAGGACAAGATGTCCTGCTCTTGCTTCACCAGCTTGATAAGTCCCATTTTTCTCTCATTGGCCATCCTTTCAAAGCCGAGCGGAAACGCAGATCCCTGTGGCCTGATCACAGTAAAAGTCCGGCAGGGAAGTTTATCGGCAGGGGTCATGTCGCTGAGGGACACGTCCTCGTAGATTCTTGCGCTGATGGCAAAGACCTCTTGTTTGTTGTCCTTGGCATTGAATACGGTGCGCAACGCAAGACTCATCATCGTTAGCGGAGGTGCGTCGGCGCTGTCTGAATCACTCATAGCCGTGACCATGTTGGGGTGCTCCACCAGGACTTCGAGGCGGCAGTGCGATGCGTTTTTGAGCGCGCCAAAGTCTGCATCCTGGATCTTCAACCAGCCTGGTCCCTTGATCCTCTTCCAGAGGACAAATTGCTCAAACAAAGCCGTGTTCGTGCCGAATACATGCGAGAAGGTCTCGCCTTGGGTGCCCAGTTCGATGGCGGGTTTAGTGTAGGGGTAGAGCAGCTTCAAATACTCACCCTCTGCCGGAATCCCCGGCAGTTCAAATGCGTACTTGCGACTACAAGCCTTGATCTTGTACATGCCGACGTTCATCTTGGTCATGATGGTGTCAACCTCGTTGTAGACATCCATCATCTCAACCTGCTCATTCGTCTCCACTTTGTGCTTGACTCGATGTTTGCGGGGCAAGAAGTAGAGCTTTCGCAGAATGTTGTCGATCTTGACAAAGCAGCTGACATGACGTCCCGTCTTCTTGTTAAGGACCTTTCCAAAGAGACACAAACTGCCGTTCTCCTCAGTGTAGTCGGTCCAAAACATGTTGAGACTCCCGTCCTCTTCAATGGCATCCCGGTAATCGATCTTGCCAATGGTCCTGGCCTCGGTTTGTGGCCCGCTCACGACATTCAGCTTCTTGTTGATCTCGTTCCAGGAAGAAGAGTCAACGGCGGCGTCGGGAGCTCTTACTGGAGACGAGCTCGCGGGTGATGGATATGGATCAGGCTTGATGATCTTCTTGATTTGTCGCGAGGCGGAAATGTTGACACTAGCAGCAGTAACAGTGCCGACGTGACCGACTTCCATCATGCCGTCGTCTTCCTCCTCCTCAACCTCGACCTGGGGCTGCGACCTCCGTTCTGCCACTTTGGCTGCGGGGGAAGAGGGCAAGGGATCGCTCATAACCACGTCGGGTGCCGCGAGCAACTCGTCCTCGGCAGGCGGAATAAAGTCATCTTGAAGCATGGCAGTATCGTCGATCAAAGGAGAAGAGAGCCTGTTGTCAAGCACCTTTGTCTTCTTGGCAACTGGTTGTCGCACTTCTCTGAAGGGGGAGAGTGCGCGGGTCTTCCTCTTCTCAGCCGAGCCGTCTTTCTTCTTGGGTATCCTGGGTAAGGGAGCGGGAATGTTGGCATCGACCTCGCCCAGGAGGTCGTCAAGGAACTTTTTGTCGTCTTCTGTTTTGACGACCTGGGGAGAGGGGTAAGCTAAGCAAGTTCATGCGGCATGAATAGGCCAGGGGAGTAACAGACCTTGGCCTTGGGCTGTGACTTGGTTACGCCTTTCGTGAAATACTCGGAGATGTCCCTGTCATTGGCATCCCGTTTTGCCTGGTCCTCCTCGCGCTGCTTCTTAGCTATCGTGAGAGAAGAGTCAGCATAGGCTAGACAAGTTTGGGTCACTGCGTGCTCCTACATTTGCGGTCCTTGCCGCGTACTATCATGGTATTGTCATCGTCGCTTTCAGAGTCGTAGGTGGGCACGCGGTCCCACTCCTCGCGGCCGTCGTCGGCATATCCTTCGCCATTGTCGTCGACAACAAAGTCATCCTGGTTGAGGCGGTCTCGTACAATCTTCTTGTACTGGTTCTCGTCAACCTCTTCGTAGAGATCCTCGACCTCTTCGACCTCGTACGTGTCGAACTTCTTCTTGCCGGCCTGGCGCAGCGCGCGAAGCTCGGCGAACCGCTCTCTCTTGCTCGCAGCCTTGGGCATGTTTTCTGTGTCTGCTTTGTTCTGGTTTCCTTTTCTTTCTTATTTTTGGTTTTGCCGGTCAATTGGGTGCCCCGAGAGCTCTCTATGGGTGTCAATGAGGGCAGAAAATCATCTTCGTTGGGGAACCTCTTGGTTGTCCATTGATCCCAGGGAAAACAATCTGGGATTGGGGAGTGCGGGAACAGGAAGTGGGTTGAACCCATTAAACGCGATTAACTACAGTGTGTGGACGCGCTTTTCGCGTGTTAGCGCGTCAGCCCACGCGTACCCTGGTCTCTGACACGGGGCCCTTGTCCCTTGCACAGTTTCAGTCTTGGCAGACGTTCCCAGGCCCCACACAGCCCAGGCTCTTGGCAAGCAACGAATCGATTTTGGAGACGATAATGTTTGGATAAGATGGAAAAAAAGAGCGAGGACAAGAACAGCGACAGAACGAAAGAAAACCGCAACAATTGCCTTCCCTTGCCGCCCAATCTCGGCTGACCATTTACATCGGTTATTGTACAGGATGCTACTATTAAAGTGAAGAATAACAACCCAAACCAGTAAACATCCGCTCGCATACCAAACTCCTTCCAGAATCTGGACAACGCTGTGGACATGTTCGTCTGCCGAGCATGCCTCAGGAGCCTCGTTGGAGGGAGCATAAATCCTGTTGAAACAAGACTGCTTCGCCCTTTGAGAAAGACTACGGACCTTGGATCCAGGAGGAGGACATTTGCAACGACGCTGGGATCTAGAAACGGGCCACAGCTTCTCAACGTCGCAGATTTGCGCGCTGCTCTCGCTGCTGACCCCGACGCGGCAGCCGAAGAAGAACCTCAGCCTGAGGAAACGACAACATCAAAACAAGATGTCGATACGGCGCAACGACAAAAGAACCGGCTTGAATGGGTTGTGAATAAACATCTCACCTGGCTCAAGGATCCCGTCGATATTGCTGCCCATGTCCGGAAGGCACTGGACAAGGACTCGGTCGACGAGGCTCTCTTGATGGCGCGCAAGGCCAGCCGCAACACCAAGGTTGAGGTCAGCTGGAACCATCTGATCGACTATCACATGAAGAAGAAGCGTCTTCATGCCGCCGTCAAGCTGTACCAAGAGGTGCGACCTTGTTTGCTGTTGCCTCGTTCCTTCTTCTTCTTGTTGCTGATTCCCGTACAGATGAAGAAACGCCAGCAAGTGCCCAATGCCAGGACATTCACCATCATCTTCCGCGGCTGTGCCGAGTCGATACACCCGAAGCTAGCAGTCTCTGAAGCCGTCAAGATATACAACCAGATGATCAGCCACGGCAATCTCAAGCCGAACACGATCCACTTGAATGCCGTCCTCGAGGTCTGCGCCCGCGCCAATGACCTCGACAGCATGCTCGCCATCTTCGCCACCGCAGACGAAGCCATTCGCTCCCCGGACTCACATACCTACACCATCGTTCTGAACGGCATCCGATATGCCGCCCTGAGTGCCCACAAGGACACGGGCCTCATTGACGCTGAGGTCAGGAGAGTCATTGATGAGCACATTGACAGGGCAAGAGCAATCTGGGCAAACGCGATTGCGCGCTGGAGGAGCGGCAAAATTCTCATAGATGAACACCTCGTGTGCGCTATGGGCAGGATTCTACTTCTAGGCGACTATCACAGCAGCAACAGCATCCTTGATCTCCTGGAGCAGACCATGAAGATCCCAAGGTTTGATAAGACCGGTGGCCAGCTACCCGCGGGCAAGGCGGATAAGGCTGAGCCGGGGCGCCAGACCGGCGTCGCATCCGATGCCACCGCTTCCCAACTGGCGCCCAAAACAGAAGCACCAGACACAAGACAGTTGTCACCTGTCAAACGAAAGGAGCTGGCTGCCTCATCACCACATGGTTTGTTCGCAAAGCCAGGTCCCAACTCACTCTCCCTTCTCCTCTCAGCCCTTTGCCAAACAAAGAAGACGTCGCATGCGCCAAAGTACTGGGACTACTTTACCCAAGTCCTTGGGGTCCAGCCTGACAAGGACAACTACGGTCGCTACCTCAAGGCCCTCACCATCGGCCACGCAAGCGCACAGATGGCCAAGTTGATGAGCGAATTTCCCAGCGAGCTGCTGGGTCCCGTCCATTTCCGTCAAGCCTTCGGCGCCTGCATCGCCGACGCGCTGAACCCCAACAGCTTCCACAACGCGTGCCAGATCTTCGACGCCATGATGGCCAAGCTGCGCTATCCAGACCCGCTATGCATGCGCTTATTCCTGCACTCGGCGCGCGATGGCAGGGCAAAACTCCTCAAGCAGGCCCAAGCCAAAGCCAAGAAGCAGAACAATCCAGACTCCCTCCCACCATCCACCGAAGAAGCCGAGAGGGTCACAGACCCCAAGACCGAGATTGAACAAGCGCAGGGACGGCACCTCCTGGCCGCCGTCGACCGCGCGTGGGAGCCCTTCCGCAGGCTGACCAGCTCCTTCTCGTACCCGGAGGAGGCGACGCGGTCGCCAGAGGAGGCGCTGGCCCTGCAGCGCGCCGAGATGCAGGAGGGCATGGCCACGGCGCGCCACATGATTTCGGCCGTCGTGTGGGTCCTCGACCACGGCGTCCTCGACCCCGTCAAGGACCGCGAGACCATCAAGATCCTCAAGAGCAGGCAAACGGTTCTTATTCGCCTCATCCAGCGCTACAAGGCCAAGCTGTACCCCGACGACCAGCCGCAGCAGCATCAGCAGCGGCAAGAGGGTAAGGGCAATGCTGAACGGAGGACGGTGCCGGAGGATCCAGGTGACTGGTGGAAAGTTTATGCCTAGTTGCTTTTTGCCGGATGTGTATACAGGCAATACTTGTAAGATGAGTGTATGCTCAATTGGAAGATCTGTTTAGATATACTGCACAATACGATACCACAGTGTATAAACATTGTTAGAGATGCCTCGGATCTGCGTCCCAGTGGATTGTTGGCGGATCACTGTCATATACGCCAGCGTGCTTGATATAGCCTTTACTTTGTAACCGGCTTGGGATGGGTGTTGTACGGTGCTAGTAGAATCTTCCTTTCATTTCCCCTTATCGATGAATTATCTTCTTTATTCCACTTCTCCTCTGCCAAACAGCCCGCTCAGGGGCAGACAATACTCCATGTCCATCTACCGTGAAAGTGACTACTGAAAGTCTACTGCAATAGGACTGTGCTGAATACCGAACGGGTCTCCAAGACGGATCTTCTATGCGGATCAACTGCAAGACTGACGTATTACCCCTGACAGGCCCCAACGCCCTGCTTCGTGTCCTCGCCAGAAAAGCCACGCAATAGCGTCAGCATGCTATCTTCGGCTGTTTCCTCAACAGGTTCAAGAAAGAGAGGACGGAACGCGGGGAGCAGCTCCTTGGTTTCCGATGGCATGAGTAATTCGGCGGTCTGTCCGTTGCTCAGCTCGAGGTGCCCTTCGTGCGAATCTCGCTGCTGAGAAGTCGACATGTCGTCTTCTGTTTCTGCTGCAGGGACGGTTCCTTCCTCCTTGTCCTCCACGCATGATCTTCCGGATTCTCCTGCCGGTACTCCTGGCAGAAATTCACCGCCGCTGCATGCACTCTCCAAGACGAGATCACTGACGCAGGGAACCAGGAGGTCTATCGGGCTAGACTGGGGGCATAGGCAGCCGCTGCTGCACGCTCGGCTGGAGTCGGTGGAGGTCCTGGCTGGCTGCTGCTGTTCCTCTTCGTCGCCGCCGCCAGTGAATTGTTTTACCACAGACGATGATGGTGAGGATGGAGGTGGCGTGACCGGGTGGCAAGCTTGACTCTCGGTATCCAAGGGTGACTTGGGAGATGTTGACGGTTCGACGAGGGTGGATGGCACCGGGCTATCGCCGTTACTCAGGTTCCTGCTGATTGCATATAGATGCGTCAACTCTTGCCATGGTACCAGGAGAGGTACAAGTAGATGTTGTGACTGACTCTGACGGGTTGTGAGGGATCATCATGAGAGCACGCATCATGGACCTGCGGGCCCGGGGCCGTAGACGTCTTGTAAGAGACTGGAATGAGGAGACATCCGAAGCTGCGGGCTCGTTGACAATACTCCCGAGCTCGTTCGAATACAACCCGTTCTTCTCAACGCTCTGAACCGTCTCGAGCATAGGAGTGTCACTGTCGTGGTTGGAAGACTGACTGCGGCCCGATCGGTGCCACTTGGGCTTGTTCCTCAGGGGCTCGACTCGCTTGACAGTCTCACTCTCTCTGTTGTTGGTACTTTTGTGAAACAACTTGGAGGTCTTCCGCCGGAGTATGGAGAGGATCGATGGGTGAGGTGAACTGGTCTTGGTGACCTCTTGCTCGTCTAACAACTGACACTGCGACATTGTTGTATTATATGATGGGATGAAGTGCAATGCGGCCTGGTGGGTGAGAGCAGGCGAGGGGAGGCATTCTTAAGTAAGAGCAACATGAAATGGAAGGCATCGTTGTCTCTCTCATCATTGTAGTGTCAACAAGGAAGCGACGACTATGTCTCATGAATACCTGGTACTCTTTCATCAGGGAGTCGTGCAGTGGCAGGTTGATCCTTCCCGGTACACATACGTCCTGAAAAGCTACCGCAGGTTACCCTTCCAACTATTATCAAGTAACGTAGTACGTGTTGCAGATAGTACTGTTATATGAGGCACCTTAATCCATATTTTGCAACTAACCTTGTCCTCTCCTTTCAGCAAGACGCTCATGGCCGGAGTATCATGTTGCCCTGGAGATCCACTGACGGAGATGATGGAGGGGACGAAAATGGTCCACTAGAACAAGGACTCCCAACCTGGTCATTTGGAGCTGAGTCTTACACGAAGTATCAGTGTACCGGTATCAATTGAAGTAGGGGGTTGTACACGGCGCTGGACAAAGTGGTGTGACTTGGGAAATGAACGTTCAACGAGAACTTGAGATACAAAGTGAATTGAACGTCAACCTGAAAGACGAAATCACCTGGGAACAAAGCACAGTACGAATATAGCGTTGTCCAGCACAAGCTCTGACTTGACCAGGTACAGATGCAGTACCAAGTCCAAAACGAGCTGTGTGCACCATTGTATGTGCTGTAGGTACATTCTACTAGACAGTATTCATACAGTATGCGATATGCGCGCGGCATATGCGCAAGAAACTTCAGGTTCCATGCCCGACACCGTGACGCGCCGCTCCATGAAACACCAACTTTCAGCTGTCGTCTATTGGAGAATCGCTCAATCGGCGATACCCGCCTCAACACAGACGCTTTTGACAAACATAAAACAATACCTTCCATTTGAATCCTCACACATTGGAAAGATTCACCTTGATTTTCAGTATCCGAATTTGCCCATACTCGCACCGCGAACGACAATACCCCATCCAAGCTCCATTGAGCCATTGCCACCATGGTAGCCAGTGGCAGTAGCAATGGCAAAGTCGCCGCTGATTTTGAAAAGATTATCAACGAGGGTATGTACGCGCCGCGCGCCACAGGTGTGTAGGCGCCGCTGACATGCCAAATCCATCGCCAGCCCGCGACCGCAAGAAGAACGAAGCGCTCGCTGCCAAGATCTTCAGCAAAGACCGCCGCGCAAGCACTCCGGTAGCCAAGTCCGCATCGTCTGCCTCCGGGACCCTCGCGAGCCGTGCCGGTGTGCAAAAGGTTCGATGTCGCGGCCCTCCAGCACACCCCTCCTCTCCCTCCGAGTCTCTTGCTGACTGTTCCTCGCAAACCAGCACCGCGCTGCATCCTCCAGCCGCCCGCGCCACAGCACAGGCAATGTCGACGGCGAGTGGACACACGACCTGCACGATGTGCAACCGCCGCGGGGTCCTAAGGCGATGAGCGGTAGCGGTGCCGGTTCCCTCGCAGCCCGCATCACCGACCCGAAAGCCCCTCCGACGGGACCGGCGAGCCATCGGAAGCAGCGACGTGCCGCCCAGGTCGCGCAGGCCCTGATAAAGTCGGAGCTGCGAGGGCAAAAACCTGGCGGCGGGCAGCAGCAGCAGCAGAATGGGCAGCCGTTTGCTGGCAATGGTAGCGCACCAACGACGACAACGGCGACATCGTTCAACAAGGGCATTACAATCCGAGGCCTCGCCGGCCCCTTCGTGGTGATGGCGCAGAATTTTGCCCCGGGCACGACGGCGGCCGACATCGAGAGCGCCATGACCCCCGTCGGCGGCATCATCATCAGCTGCCGGCTGCTTAAACAACACCCGATTGTCATCGCTGAGATAGTCTTTGAGAGCAAGCAGGGCGCTGACAACGTCATTGCCACTTTCAACAACCAAACCGTACGTCCCTTCCCCTCGCATCTCTCTTTTCAATCACCCCCGCGCACCAATACTAAACCTGTGATATGCAAACAGGCCGACGGCCGCGTCCTCAGTGTCTACGCCAAACCAGGAAACACCCCAACCCCTCTTCGCCCTTCGGCGGATGACCCCATGGTAGTGGACGGCTCATGGGGCTTTGAGGACCCCATAGAGACAACGACGACAGAGTACCGCCCCGTGCCGCCTGTATCGGCTGCCGCCGCGGCGCCAAGCGGACTCTATAGCGACAACATTGTCAAGAAAAATCGCTGGGGTCGCGGCTTCAATCGGAGCGGGCGCTTCGGGCTGGGCGGGATATGAGAGACCAGATGTCCGGTCCAGCTCCGCCTCCTTACACACAGGGCGCACGCCCGAAAACACACCACTTTCGCTCCTGCATATGTCATCTCCCTATCATATACACTGGTATTCAGTGCTGCCTCTTTGCTTCCGCCCAGCTCGATGACATGGGTAGTGAAAGAATGGGTTCCATATTGATGTTGAGCAAGGCGTATTTTGGCGTTTCAGGATCCAGATGGAGATCATAGGTCGGTCGAGCGGACAGGCAGGCGGGCGGGCAAGGTAGATAGGGATGAAAGAAGGGACAGAAAACAAACGGCTAATACCGTGAACACCGGACCTGATGGAAGAAAGGAATCCGATAACTAATCTGACACGCCGGGCTTTTCATGGGCACTCCCATGTACTTGTACACTATATGCATGCTGTGAGGGCTCCAGTTGCTTAACCAGAGCACTTAGTTACTCACAATGACAATGACAAAAACAAAGATACCACCACAGAGCCAAGAGACCAAGAACAGACAACGAGGCATTGCAGAATAGAGCGGATGCAAGAACCCTCTCATGTCTCAATTTTCGCATGTTTTCTTTCATGACGTGATCATCTTCCCACCGCCCGTGAATACTACCTGAAGCAACCTACCTATCTTACCTATGCAAGACCCAAGATCAGAATACCACCAACTAGCTCTCTCCCTCTCCCTCTTTCTCTCTCTAATAACGCTATGTCCCCAAGCCAAGCGCTTCCTTCTTCACATTCACCAACATGCGAATCCAATTTCATGTCATGTTCAAAAAAAAACACTTAGCCTACCCTACCCCGACCGATCCCTTCCATCCATTCGTTCATCACAGTCAGAGAATAGAAAACAAAGAGTAGGTGGGAGGAACATTGATAGAGGCGGTGTGGAAGTGTTGGTTGAATGGATGGCTGGATAGGTAGGTAGGTAGGGTAGAGTGCAGTCAAAAGCAGAATCTGCAAACTTGTTCAAGGGGAAAGAGAGAGGAAAAATGAAAAAGAAAGGAAAAGATTCCCCTTCCCTCGTGTCTAGCATATATGCCCTATCATCTTTGTGTCTGTCCGGCCGCCTGTCAGTACATCTGTGCGCAAGGTGCGTCACAGCCCCCCTCAACCCCCAATCTGCAGCCAACCTCCTTGAATTCGTACATACACCAACATGCGGCAGTCTGAACCCTCAAGCGTTCAAGGTGCTGAGCAGCACACAATGCAAGCCTTGAGTATTGAGCAAGCCGCTCCTTTCCCATGATAGGAATAACACCGGCTACCCGCTCGGCTTCTCGATTCGGGGAGCCTGGCTAGGTTGGGTAGGAGACGGCTATCTCTTTCCTTGCTTGCTTAGGCATCCATTCATGCATCGGAATGATGTTGTTAGATTATCGAACTGGCCCGCAACTGTACTGTCGCAATCTTGAAGCATCCATCTCTCGGCGTGTGTGCGTGAATGAGTCTTGTATTGTATGCGCGCAAACCTCCATGTACAAAGCAAAGCACAGACGACGGGTAAGAAGCGATGATGACGATGACGACGATGCTGCATGGTGTAACTAGTAGCGAGTTCGAAAGTGCCGAATTGCAACGCATGAGGAACATAATAAGAGGTGAGTGAATCTCCTCTCCATCTCCTTTATCCAACCAGCGGCTCTCTTGCCTTGGTGTCTCAATGCCACTGTGACTGGCCGCTGCTCATGAATCCTTCTTCCAGCGTCCGCTCCTCCAGGTTTCGGATAAAGTCGCGGTTACCACGCCCAGTTTGCTGCGCTCGGCTCCCTCTCCTTACAGCCCTCCCCGGAGTCTGGTGGTCCATGTTGGCCATACCCTCAGGAGGTGGCGGGTAATAGGCAGGACTAGGCTGAAGCCGAATGGGCTGTGTGGGGTCGAGGTGGCTGGCGACCCTCTGGATCGCGGGTGGGATTCCGCTTTGTTGCTGCTCCATTGTTGAAGCACGCGGCCTTGCTCGTCCTTGCTGCGAGTACATGTTGGATTGCGGAATACCTGCCGTGTAATTGGCGGGCGGCATCTGGACTTGGCCTGGTGACATGCCCATCTGGCCATATCCGCTCGGCTGGCCGGAGTATGGGGGCGGGGCGCCTGAGTGTGCGCCGGGTGAGTACAAGCTGTTGTTTGCATACATGGATTGCGGTTGCGTGTGGCCCTGTTGCTGGTATTGACCGGGGACCATGGAGCCATAGGCCCCTTGGCCCGCAGCGTTTGCCTGTGCCTGTGCCTGGGCCTGGGCTTGTGCTTGCGCAGCTTGCGCTCGTTGTTTGCTCAATGCTTCAGCCTGCAACTGCTGCTGAGTACCGGGTGCTGGGGACCGGTTTAGCGAGCTCGACTTGAGGTTCATCGGCGGTACAAATTGTCCCGTAAACTTTTGTTGCGTGATGAAAGGATGCAGCTTCGCCTGTTGCGGCGACCATCTTTCGAGCGGATTGATAGTCAGCAGACCCCTGACGAAGTCGATGAATGCGATGCGGTTGTTCATCTCTGATTCAGGCGTCAGCTAATCTCGACAAGATACAGGCATACCATGTAAACTCACCTCTGTCAATCTCCGACTGCTTCATGTTTTTCCGGGGCATCGGGTACGACTTGATGATCTCCGGTAATGTGTTGGCCTGAAAGTACTTCTTGCTCGGCTGCTCTTTCGTGCCGCGCTCTCTCGAGTACTGCTCCATACTCTTCAGGACGTAGGTCCGTCTTCCAAACTCATCTTGCCTCCTTTCGAAGAAGTCTCCAGCTTGCTTGCCCATCTCAATCATCCAATTCGGGGGGTTGCCGAGCATTTCGACAATTCTTGCAACCTGGTTGTACTCGGAAGAACCGGGGAATAAGGGGAGACCCAGGAACAGCTCGACCACGATGCAGCCCAGCGACCACATGTCGATGGCAGAGGAGTATGGCAAGCCGAGTAACACTTCGGGCGACCGGTAGAATCTGGATTGGATGTACGTATATACAGTCTGCCGCTCGTCGCATGCGGACCCGAAGTCGATGATCTTGATTATCGGGCTTTCGAGGTTCTTGAGAAGGATGTTTTCGGGTTTCAGATCGCAGTGGATCAGCCTTGCCTTGTTCAACAGGGCCAAGCCGTTGAGCAGCTGTTGGGCAAACACGCGGACCAGGGTTGTGCTTAGACCCCGGAACTGGTTCTGTTTGATCAGCTCATAGAGATTCACACTCAGCAGCTCAAAGACCAAGCATAGGTGTTGTCTGTGAATGAAGGTGTCCTTAAGCCGCAGGAGATGATGGTCGTCATTTTTGTCCAATTTGCTATTGAGCTGCAAACCAAGGCGTTAGCGCTGGGGGAGGTCCGAAAGGCGGGAATGCAGAGCAGAGCAGAGCAGCTTACCAGATCCAAAACGGACACTTCCATCATACTCTGATTGAAGTAGGCTGTGCGGTTTTTGATCACCTTGACCGCAACCACCTCCTGCGTTTTGAGGTTTTGGCACTTGACGACCTGGCCGAATGTTCCCTGGCCGAGGACGTCAAGGATCAAATAGCGGTTCCTGGGCGAAGCAGTTAGCCACGGACTCTGCCAGCTGCATAACGCTGGAAGATGCATACTTGTGACCAGCCTCCTCGGAGCCAAGAATATCGTTAACGTAGAGGATGTAGTCGCTATCTTCGTTATCGTAGCCGTCATTCTTGACTCCCTTGCTCGGCTTCGTCAGGACTCGGCGAGGGTTGCGTGACGACTCGTACTTAAAACCAGGGTTGCAGATACGGTAGGTAGCGGGGAGATGAACCGTGAGCGCTTGAAGCGGCTGCAGAAGAGGGTTAGCGAGCCTGGCAGCAAGCCAGTCAGTTGGAATTGGTTTACTCACGCTGATGAAGCCACCTTCGGGATTAGCTCGTCGGAAGGCAGGCTGATCGTTGACCTTGGGTCTCAAATCTGTCGGGGCTCGAATCCTCTTGAATTCTGGCACAGGGCCTTTGTCATTCAACGGCACGCTGTTCGATTGCGGCGGAACCCGCTTCGGGGACTTTGGGTCAGCATATGACGAGTCCATGGGGGTCATGGTCGAGGGCGAGTAGCTGTCCTGTCCCGACTGGTAGGAATTGATCGGTGGCAGTTGGGGAGCTCCTTGTCGGGGCGCATAGTAAGAGCTCTGCGCCGTGTACTCGGACGGCCGAGTGGGCGACTGTCGTTGCGCGGGCTGTTGCGAAAACTGCGAGGCGGACTTGGGCCCGTATGGAGATGTTGGAGAAAGCACTTCCATGGGTGAGTATCGCTGCGCTGCGGCAGAGGTCTCTTGCTGGAGATTTGCGGCTCTGCCACCCGAGAGATGGTGTTGATGAAGGGGCCTCATGGGATAAGTGGCGGTCGAGTTCATGCCGGCATAGGAATCGTGGGCGTCATGCATTTGGACGTCGCCATTTCCATCGCGTAGTTGAGGGCTCGTAATGGGCGACGTCGCCGACGATGGGTTCAACCCGCCCTGGTACTGTTCGTATTTGTACCCAGCGGGGGGTTGCGCCGGGCCCTGGGCGCTGGTGTTGTAGTCTCGCGGGGTCATTTGGCTGCTACCATTGTATCGTCTCTGGCCGACGGCATTGGCAGCGTCGCTGTACGCCTGCCATTGCTCCATGACTGTTGGAACCGGACGACGGCGTTTCGCGGGGGTTTGCGTGGTGGTGCTGCTGCGTGCTGCGTTGTATGTTTCGCGGCAGGCCAGCCAAGGTGGGCAGTTGGGGCCCTAGGTTGCTTTGGTGAAGTGTTTGGGCTTCCACTCAAGTTATCCGTAATGTGGAGGGGCGGGTGGACAACCGCAGTTATTAGCGGGTCAACCAGCGACTCAGCCAAGATCTTCGGTCTTTGGGATGGAGCCCGTCCAGAGCGACCTGACGACAGTTCTAGAGGTGGCAGGGACGCTCGAGCGGACGCGTTTGGCAGCAGTTGCAACCAGGCTTTGCAGCGACCCGCACGGCAGCTAGATGCACAAGCAAGAGTGTCGAGTCGGGCAAAAGAGAACCGCAGCGCCTAGGCGAGGGGAGCTCCCTCTGGCCGAGTAGAAAAAGAGCAATGCGCCACAGGCTTGTTGTTTTTATTCAGGACTTCATTGTGGTATCCATCTAGGCATGCGAACCCTCGAACACTACCCGTGTCAGTTAGCAGGCCCGATGATGATCTCAGTGATGAGGTAAGTTATGAACTGAGAAGATCCCCGAAGATCAAGTTCCTGGGCTGCTGGGCCCTGCCACCTGGAGCCCAAACGAACACTCCACAGCTGTCCGGATCTGCTGGTGTGCTTGCGACAGCTGAATACTTGGCCCCGCTTTTCTCTTGTCGCCCTTGGCCGACCCTGACTGGGCATACACAGTACAGAACAGTGTAATATGGACAGTACAATGCCGGCCTCACTCAACCATTGAACTTGAAGTTCACACATGAGCAACAATTTCCGTCGTTCTTCGACTCTCCAGTACTCATTGTGGTAACAAAGAAGTGGAATTTACTTGCACAGTCCTCCAAAACAGAAACTAGTCTTGGATAGTTGAAGGCCAAGGCCTGCAAGCTTGATATGCAATCTAGAGCCGTTAAAGAGGGCGACCTGGGAGGCGCCTCCCTTCTGTTTGGCCTGTTTATGCTGGTACTGGTACTTGTGGATCTGAGTGAAGCATTTCCACGACCAATATTTGTCACCATGCGGCCTTGCTACATGTGCGCCCATATCTCTGAACTCGGAGTCAGTAACAAGTTCTAATAAGGGGCCCATCTTCGGTTTTCTCGAGGGTTCTGCTTAGCACCTGGCTTGTCATCACGTGTGAACCACGTGAATTGAACCCATCAATCGGCCCAGCACCGCCACTGCAACCAAGTCGCCATCTTCTTGATAATCGTGATGGGCTGCTCCGTGTTGTGGCAGCCGGTGGAATACTCAAGAACTGGCCATAAGCTGTTGGCTTTTCGTACTATTAACTGCTAACCAGTCGCGTTTGTCTGTATCGTTGGTTCGACACGGCCACGGTCTGCGTTGCTTGTGTCTGGCATCAAGAGTTGCGGCCAATTGCCTCGCTTGGAGAACAACATCAGCTTCTCGCAAAGTCACGCCACACAGCTTCATTCAGGTCGGCTCCAACGACCGTTTGTGATGTTGCAAGTAACACATGTCACGGGAAGACGAGGCAGCAGACAAAAAGAAAATCGGGACAATAGGCCACAATCTCTTTTCCAATCTTCCCTGTCCCAAAACCAGCACGGGAGACAGGAACACCCATTTTACAGCCCACCTTAATCTTCACCCGTGGCAACAGTGTTTCCTTTCCCTCACCGCTTTCCGTTCCTGAAGAATAGTAGAACGACTCGGGCAATGCCCCATTCCCGTCTGGCCCGACCAAAAGACCGCGGAAAGGCTCGTGTGTCTGAGCATCCGACTGACTGATTCGAGAGCGACAAAGCAAACAGGCTCCTTGACTCCGCCCTTAGCATTTGCGAGAGGGTGGGAAATAATTCCAGACACGCCTTTTACCCTCAAGACCAAAGTGTAGTGGAAGGACTCCCAGTGACCCACTCAGCGAAGAATGACTCTTTAGCCCATAAATCAGAAACTCGTCAAGTCGTCGAGAAAAGGGAGGCCGGCTAACGAAACAAGAATTTCTACAGTGCTTCACGTGGTATCCAGCGCGGCGAGAGAAAGCTAAAAAGGAAGAAAAGCGAAATCCAAAATCAGGAGACATTTTTGAGCAGAGATAGAGACGTGCAGCTGCAGGACCCAAACGGGAAGTTAGATCATGCTGGTGGGAATCACTAGCAAGCGAAGAGAAGAGGAGAGACAGTTCATGAGGAAACGTAATACATCAAATCAAAGAAACACAGCAAGCAAGCACCCAATCTCCCAAGCAGTTTCCTCGAAAATCAACTTGAATAAACTGTCCGAAGGTTCCTCAGACCATAAAGGGACGACGTTACGACGTGGATGAATCTGAAAGGTCCCATCCCGGTAAGCTGAGAGAGAAAAGTAAACGACGCAAACTTCAGATGGCCCGCCAGTGCATGAAATAATATGCGAGACCATGGGCAACCCTAGGATGCCGCTGGCGCAAAAACGCGGGGCCCCAGTCTTTCAACACGCCTAGCCCTGGTATCCAGAGAAGCCGTTGTTGAAATTGCCTCCAGGAGGGGGCTGGTTCCACTGTGCATTGGACTGCTGGCCACGGCCGTAGCCGCCTGCACTCGGGGGTCCAGGACTGTATCCCATCGGCTGGGCGCCGTAGCCCGCCGGCGACTGAGCCTGAGGGCCGGCGTAACCACCCTGCTGGCCCGGACCATAAGAGCCTGAGCTAACGTCAGCAACCGGATTCATGAGAGATCGACTCTGAGCGTACGCACCGCCATACTGGTTGAAATACGTAGAGGGAGTACCGGGATAGCCAGGCGTCTGCGCGCTTTGAGGGCTATACTGCTGGTTGGGGTCAAACTGCTGATGATGATGATTCGGCGTCTTGTCCTTGCCCCACTATTATATGTTAGAAATGCGGCGCCAACAACGACTAGGTAAGGGGGAATGCGTACGCTGCACTTCAGCGGGCGGCCATTGACATTGTAGCCGTTCAGTTGGCAGATGGCCATGGCAGCGTTCTCGTGGGTATCCATCTTGATGAAAGCAAATCCACGGTCGGCCTGGAAGCGAGACTCAACCACGAAACCAAAATTCTGGAACAGAGGAACAAGGTCGTTCTGGGTCGTGTACGGGGTCAAATTGCCCACGTAGCAGGTGGTCTGCCAGCCCGGAGTCTGGTTGACAATCATGTCATAGCTGTGGACGCCATGGGTCGGGAAATGATGGTGGCCATATGGAGTGGTGGGCGTCATTCCCATCTGCTGCATGGCCTGCTGCTGAGCGATGGACGGCTGGCCCTTCTGGTTCGCCCAATTGCAGCGAATGGCACGGGACCCAAGCCACTCGCCATCCATGGAGCTCAGAGCCTTCTCGGCATCAGGGCGCTCGCGGAAAGCCACGAACCCATAACCGCGGGAGCGTCCGGTCTTCATATCCCACATGACACGAGCTTCGGATACAGATCCAAAGGCAGAAAATGCCTGAAGAAGGACCTCGTCATTGACCTCGTTGGAGAGATCGCCGACGAAGATGTGGAAATGGTTCGAGGTGTCTTCTTTGTTCGAGTTGTTGGACTGATATGCCCAGTTCACGCGGATTTCCTGCCAGAAGTCGTCAAAATTACTTGATGCATATATGAGGGGGATAAGACAACCATACCGACTGATGAACGCGACGGCCGTTCAAGGTCTGCATAGCGCGCTCGGCAGCGCCGGGGTCGTCGTACTCGACGAAGCCGTAGTTGTAGCCCTTGGCCTAAAGCGTCCAGACGTGTCAGCGACAGGGCCCCATGACAGGTAGAAGAATGTCAAAAGCCAAGCGAGTGGTTCCTCAACAAACGAAGCGATGTAATAGTGAGAGGGGAAAATCATGGGGTCACTTACGTTCTTGTCAGGAATGATCTTGACATTCTGAACATGGCCAGTGGTCTCGAAAATTTGGCGCAGGACATCCTCAGTGACGCGGGGATCCAATCCTCCAACATACAGAGCGCGCTTGTTCGGCTCGGGGGCAGCGCGACGCGCGAAGGGGCCGCCGCTGCTAGGAGACATGATGCCACTCTTGTCGCCGCCACCCATGGGGGAGGTGATCGCAGTCGGGATGGGATTGGTGTTTTGCGGGATGTGAAGCGGCGGGGGAGGAATATGGGCGGGGTTCGAAGGAGCGTTCTGGCCGTTCTCGTAACCGGGAGCTCCAGCGTTGGGCTGCGGCGGAGGAGGCAGCTGACCCGAGGTCGTGGGAGGACCGTTATCAGCCATCTTGGAGAAATTTGAGCCGAATGTCGGGAGCAATGAGTGAAGAGTGAAAGATCGCGAACGACAAATGGAAGAGTGCTATTTGACAGTTAGAACCACACTGAAGAGACTGTCTCCTTCAATGGCAAGGTCCTAACGACGCAGCGCTTCCTTTCCACAAGAAGAAAGGAGGGGAGAAGAAGAAGAAGCGAGAGGCTCTTCTGGCTCGCGATTTCTTCTTTATTATTTCTTTCCTTGGAACGTGGGCCCCTCGTCGAGCAGTAATGCAGTGCAGTCGGGAAGTGCAATAGATAGGCTGCACCTGCTGCGGACTGCGGAGTGCGAACCGTGAACTGCGAATGGCGAATCGTGTAGTGCCACCCGGGAATCAAAGCTTCGAACCAGCGGCTGCGATTGAGAGAGCCGCTCTGGATGCGCCGAGACAAGAGGGCTAGTTGAAGCTAGCTCAGAGCCGCTCGCCAGAAGCCAACCGTCGCCGGGGACGACCGAAGGAGACGAAGGTCAACGGAAGACAGAAACACGACGTGCCAGGAGAAGCACGGCGTCGTAAGCTTGAGATTCGACTGCGCGACGAAGAAGAACGTGGGCGTCGAGAACAGTTTTCAAACAGGATAAAGATGGCGACGATGATGATAAGGGAAGAAAAAGGACAAAGTGTGGGAAAGACAAACACCGTAAGAGTGGAAAGAGCCGGCCGTCAAAGTAGAAGCCCCCCGGGATATCACAACAGCGTCAGCGGATCCGGTAGGATACTCGCCAGGACTTCCTCGATAGTGAGACGAGGTGAGGGGGGAAAAAATTCTAGGAGGGAGAGAGCTGCAGGCGTGACGAGAGGGGGAGGATTTTGATGCTTGCCATTGTCATTGGCACTGGCAGCGAGGCATCACTGCTTGACGGGATTGAAAGGGTCTCAGCTGAACGGGCCTTAGAGTGGCCATAGCGCATCAAACCAGGCTGCCCCTCTCCCCGCTCTCACCAACTGGGATCAAGTGAGATGGAGAGATGCTCGTTCTGGTCTGCTGGTGGTGTCCCGCTGCAGTCGACCCCTTGTTTGTACAGCTCAAGGGACCACGATCAAAGAACTACAGGATGGTGCATATCAATGTCGCTTCACTGTGCCCATCGTGCATAACAAGCTGACTGAGGAGTCTTGGATAGGCTTCCATTGGTCCTGCGAACACTAGGTACACTTCTCGTCCTCTGAAGGCCAGGGACCAGGGAGCTAGCGCAACTTATCAATGTCCCTTCTTGTTACATATGGATGTCGGGTGCTTGATGTTTGTCGACTGACCATAGTGTAGAACCTACCGTTGGAGTTCCAGGTTGGCACCCGACGGCATGTCAGATTGGGTGCCCCACTGGACTCTAGCTGGCTACAGTACACTACCATCGGTATTGGCTACCAGCAGCTGAGAATCGGTTGAGCCAACTTACAGCCAGAGTATTCCCCAGTCCAGTGCACTGAGATTGCTACTTACTGAGGTGGCCTAGCATAGGTTCCATGTTGTCGAGCGAGAGGAGCATCATGGATGCTGTCGTCTGATGGCGTGAATGCCACTGCGGGCGCAATTGCGGGGCACTCAGCAGGCGATCTCGGCTCTGGTAAGCGCTGCTTATGTATGGTGGAGTTTTTACTCGCAATTGCTACAATTGGCTGACCCACAAACAGCTGGCCAACAGAAGCAAGGCCTAAGAAGCGCATCAAAGCGCACTTCCAAGTACGGAGATACAATACACCACATGGGCACACTACGGAGTACCTGCCCTCTATCAGTGTCTCAACAAGTTCAACCCTCAAACTCCCCAAAACTTTAATCCATGTAAACGTTCATCTCTCTCATCACCCACTTCATCTCTTCCGTGGAGCGATCTTACAGCTTTTGTTTTATGTGCTTCTGCGAACCAGGCCTTCAAGCCGCCGTGATCGAGCGATCAGAGTAGCCTTGTCCCGTCGTCAAATTCCACGTTTAGGTCGCTGGTGTTTCGATCTTTAGTCTGCAACGCCACAGTCCATTTTTGGCTTCTTCAGCATGGCGGCTCGCCAGCCTGCCGGGTTCAAGCCGGTCGAAATGCTGCAGCAAATCCTTACCGATGTTGTAGGTCGTTTGCCATCCGCACCAATTCAGGCGTGACGTGCTGACTAGTCGCCGCTCAGGTGGTCACGACCGGCAAGGCCTTCAAGGCTGCCAGACAGGACGGCAATGGGTCACTTGCCGAGGCCGCTGTGGCAATGGAGACACGGATTCCTGCCTCCATTGAGAAGTTCAATTGGACCTTGGATGAGCTAGAAATCGACATTGTAAGCCTCTTTTGCCGTTCAGTATCTGGAACCCGGACTAACTCCCCGAAGATTCGCGCCAAGGCGGTCTACCTGCGAGATCTCAACCAGTGCCGGGCGAATCGCAAGCCAGCCCAGCAAGACCAGCAGCCGGTTGCGCCCCCGGCGCCCATGGCCGTTGACTTGACGTCACCGAGAATGGAGGCAAAGGGACCGCCTACTGGGCTGTCAGGGCCCCCTCGACCGGGGAAACCGGCCAACAAGCCGGTTGCTCCGTTCCCGAATATGGGGTTTGATAGCTCTTCGCCCGAGCTAAAGCATATCCCCAGTCCGAAGCCGGTTCCGAAACCGGTTCCGAAACCTAAGGAAGTGAAGAACCACGCCCCTCCGGCCGTGCCAACTGCCGGTGCCGCGACCACAACCGTCCGGCCCGCGAGCGCACCGCCAAAGAAGGAAACCAAGATCTCCCCGCCCCAGGGCGCAAAGCCTGGCACTGGCTCCGCGTCAGTAGGCCAGAGCCCTCTACCTGCTCACATGCAGATCAAGGCATCGTCCGTCCCGGCGCCAAATTTGCCTCCGTCTGGACCGACACCGACCAACGCTCCTCCGGTCTCTACCACCAGCGGGCACGAGAATATATTTACAGACATGACGTTCTCCCTAGCGCCGCCACCTCAAACAACAACGCAGGGCCAAAAGGAACCGGCGGCCCCGCTGCCGCCGCCACAAGCGCAGCGGAAGCAACCACAGCAGCAGCAGCAGCAGCGGCCCCCGCAGGTGATTGATCTTACGGATCTCGGTCCTGGACCCGGCGCGGCAGCAGACTCGACAACCGCGAGCGCTGCCAAGGCAGGGCAACCGACTGGCGCTAAGCCTGGACCAGGCCCAGGACCAGGAAAAGGGACTGCGAGCGGCGGGGGAGACAACAACGGTCCCGCAGCAGATGCGGCGGAAACGAACCAAAACCCCGGCCAAGGCCCAGGAGGGGGCGGCGGGGACAAGAAAGTGGTTGACATTGATGCCGAGATCAACGGGCTCTTTGATCTGGGCCCCGGGGGAATGGACGGTGGGGACGACTTTGACTACGACCCCGGCGCAGATCATGGCGACAACAGCAATTTCAATGACATGTACTTTGGCGCGGGCAACAGCAGCGGCGGTGGTGGCGAGTTTGACGACCATTACTTCAATCTTAATGGGTGATGATAACGTGGATGGGAAATGGTGGCTATTCTGAGTTTGGGAACTTGGGTCCGGAGTTTTTGGGGATACACTTACTAGGTATGTACGCAGATACCACTTGGCTGGCGTCTCTTTAGCGGTTTCTATCTGGGTTGGAATCCAAAATAATCATTAAGGTCTAATGCTGCAAGGCTCGATATCCAAACACTAGCCAAATAGCAGCCCCCGTATATCATTTACAAATGGTGAAAAAAAAGGGGATATCATCAAACCAAACAACACTAAACAAAAGAGTAGTAAACCACCTAAGGATGTTGCGTCATCTGCCACATCGCTCCTAGCCTCTTAGGGAACCCCGGATTCCTCCAGCCCTTCCACTCATAGTCCATCAGACCCCACGTCTCGTCGTGGTCCACAACCCCCTGCCGGACGTAGTAGCTACCCTGGATGGCCCAGACGGCCCACTCGGCGTCGTTGTTCTGCATGTACGACACAAGGCACTCCAGATAGCGATTGTCCTGCTCATTGAGGCCGTCGAACTCGCCGCCCTGCATTCCCACCCCAAACTCGCTCAGGATGAGGGGGCCCGTGTAGGGTTTCCCTTGCTCGAGCACGAAGCCGTCCATCAGGCCGTACTGCGTCTTGACAATGTCGCAGTTCTTGAAGGCGTCCGGAAAGGTCACGGTAAAGCTGTAGGCGTGCATCTCCCAGACGTGTTTCCCCGGCCAGCCGGAGGTATCGAGCATCTGTCCAGTGCGGATGTGGAGCAAGTCCGTGGCGCTCTGCGGGCCGCCGACGATGACCAGCACGTCCGGGTGCGTCTGGTGGACTAGATCGCCGGCCTGCTTCATGTACTTGTACCAGTCGGCACGGCCGTTGAGGTCCTGCAGCAAGAAGGCGCGCAGCTCGTTGCGCAGCGACAGCGCCACCACGCCCGGGTGCGACTGGGCCCACGCGGCCACGGCCTGCAGGCCGGCCAGCCAGTCCTGCGTCTTGAAGAAGCGGCTGTTCCAGGGGTTGTACCCAAACGCCTCGTCCCACCACCCGTTGCCGTCCGTCAGGTCGCAGCACCACGACGCGCGCGACACGTGGTTGTCCATGATGGTCATGATGCCGCGCGCCCAGAGCTTGTCGACGGTGGCCGCGAACACGTCGCCCGTCGTGGCGTTGGCGATCCACGGGTTCCTGTCCACCACGCGGTTGAACATGTCCGCCATCCTGTCCAGGGGCACGCCGGCGTTCGACGCGGCGTTGGTGAAGGACTCCGAGACGGGCCTGGCCGGGTCCAGGGCGTAGTCGGTGCTGTACGTCAGGCGCACGCAGTTGAACCCTTGCTGGTCGATCCAGTCGACGATGTAGTCCATGGATTGGCGGTGCAAGCCCTCGGGGATGTTGGCTTCCATGTGGCCTGCCCAGTTCACGCAGCGAAGCTTGACACGCTGGTTGTTGTTGTCCAGGATCCAGCGGCTCGACGACTTGAGCGGGAGGGCCGGCGGTACAGCCGCTCGGGTTAGGGGTATTGTTATTAGGAGACCGACAACGGCCAGGAGCCGGTTGAATCCGGCCATGATAGCTGTAGAATGCAAAACCCTGGTCCAGCAGTAGTGGCGATTGCTCCACGACAAGAGCGATGGGCTATGACGGATTCTCCGGAAACTGATTAGGTAGGGAAGGGGAGGTAGCGAAAGTATAGATAATAGGTAATAAGTAATTAAAAAACACTTCTTGCGAACCTAATCCAAGAAGACGGCGTAGGGAACGGTATGGGCGCGAAGACACCCCAACACAATCGAGCGAGCGAAGCCAACGGCAGCAGAGTTGCTCCTAGGTCAGGTAGGTCTTATAGGAGGGTCCATAGCTCCTCTCTTGAGTTGAGGGTCACATACACCGCTGGGTTGCCCATCACGCGCGGTTGCCCATCACGCGCGGTTGCCCATCACGCGCGGAATCGGCGATGGAGATCTCTGCCATGGCAAGATCATTGGCCACCCCCTTTCACGATAGTTGCGCACTTGGCTGGGTAGCACTGGCCAAACAGATCATCACGTCCTCAAAAGTTGGCTCTCCCTGAACCCGCCACACCGAAGGGGGTTGCATTTCCCCTATTGTCGATACTGCTCGACCGAGGAACAGGGATTGCGCTCATGGCCCGCGACGTGACGTTACTGGAGAAGCGCACAAGGGGGAATTTGCCTTGGTACTAGGAAAAAGATACATTTTATACATTTTAAGGTTAGACCGGCGACCGACCCCATGACCCAGCGTTGTGATTGGAGGTTGTCCGAATTTGGGTTAATGAGGGACAAGAGCGAATTGGTCGAATGGAGAGAATGGGTAGGATGCGGGCCGGTAGTTCTTGATCTGGGGAAACAAACCCCTGGTTCTTTTCCTTGTTGGATCCTGGCCTCGATTCGTTTTCTGTGGTTGAAGAGACGTCCAGTCGGGTTTGATCGAAGAAAAAGGAGATCGCCACCGCTCATGCAGCTATGCAAGCTATCAAGGAGGAAGGTGGTCTCCTACGGACTCGCCCACCCTCTGTTACCTACCTTACCCTCCATCGACACCTTCCAATACCTACTCCGAAGTGCCACAGGATGAGAAAATGGGATGTAACTTGGGCGCAGCAGGCATGGTCATTTTTACAGGGTGTCGTATTGTGCATACCGTTACCAAAGGTCGAGACGGCGAGAACCATTGCAGCTTTCAGGTTCCAACTTGATTTTTATAAAGAGTGCCTCTGCGCCGCCAAGATCCGAGACCTCAGTCTCTGGAGTCTCGTGGGCCTGCGCCACCGACCTCAGAAGAATCAACACCTGACAAAACTCGACTGAACCACCGGCTGACTGCTGCAGTTCACTATGACCGTCTCACTCGACCAACGTGAGTGATCATGAATGTGAACTCATACACGGCCGAGAGCATCTGGCCTCTCATCCTACTACGATGGTATGGAGGCTGTGTGCATTTCTGCTACTCACTGACAAGCACAGCGTAGAACTTCCCCTTTTGTGCTCGTCATCTTCGATTAGTCACTAGTAACTAAGTATGGGTTAATGGAGTCCATCGTGAATTGACAGGAAGAGAACAATAAAAGAAAGCAAGGAAATGCCTGAGAAGTCAACTTCCGCCAGTTAGCCAACGCTTGCGCTAATGCAGTTATGCCGACGTAAAGGAAAGTGCTTCCAACGCAGAATTGGTATAGTAGGTACAGGCCAATTCATCATATATCGTCAGTCGTCAAAGATGAACAGAAGAGAAAGCTCGCGCTGCAAGCGCATGTGGACTGCACCAGGCCATCCTGGGCATGTACAACAGCTAGATTGGCGATATTTCACGGAGGAAAGGAAGGAAATGGCGTGGCTGACTAGGCAGCCGAAGGTCGAGACTCGACAGCACCCCCTGCCTTGGCCTCGAGTTCGCGGCGTTTCGCTAGGAGGCTCTTGAAGGCACCCAGACATTGCACCAGAGTCTCCTCGTCGCGGGTGCAGAATCGGTAGCTCTTCTCGTCGGTTATGATCTGCAGGCAGTGCTTCTTGGTCCGGCTGACGGGGTCGATATCGACGACATTGACGATCGAAGACATGTAAAGAACAAACAGGACCGACGATTCGGTCTCGTCTTTGTAGAGAATGAGGTTCCTTGGACGTAGAGCAGCCCACGACTTCTTCCACTGCCGCACCCCTCCTTTGCTGCGCTGGAACCACATCCAGCCTTGCCAAATGACTCGGTCCGGATCACTGTCAAGCTGTACACCACTGAGCTGGTTGGAGTTCAGCACTCCTAATGCCGGCCGGTTCGGCCCGGATGAGGTCGGGGGAGACTGCACCGCCAGGCTTTCAAAGGATGCGCCTGGTATCCGCTGCATGTCCGAGTCTGAAAAGTCGGAGTGGCTCGCTAGCTCCGCCCCGGAGAGCCCCGACGAGTCTAGCTGCGAAGGCCGCCGGACATAGGACTTTCCAAAGCTGCGAATTGGAGCTTCAAGGGGCTCCGGAGAGCTCGACGGGAGGCGGTCCAACGGCGACGCCACGCGGTTGGGTCCGCTATCTTGGACCTTGTCGGCCTGGAAGAAGGTGGGCTGTCGAACCATGGGGCTTGCCAGGAACATCTCCTCCTCCTCCTCTTCTATCCTGGCGTCCCGCCTGATGCGCTCGACCCACTCTTGGGCGTCTTGCAGCGTTGGAGCTTGGAAGTGATAATTCTTTGACGGCGAAAAGAGGCCAAACACATTAAGCCGTTTGCCCTTGGGATCCTTCAAGAGGGTTACGGCAGTTAAATCTGATAGGTAGATCTTGTGGCGGAGCTTCTCCTCTTTGTCCGATTTGTATAGAGACAGCGTGTTGGGTCGCAGCACCAGGTATATGGTCCTCCACGTCTGTGCGGCTCGTTGTTAGGTACGCATTGTGCATCGGCGCGGAAGCGCGGACGAGGGCCCTACCTTGGTTTTTTGAGTCCGTTTCTGCACGTAACCGCTCTTGATGACGCGGTCAAACTCGAAGCTACCATTTTGGTTCACGGGAGAGTACGTGTCAATAGCAAGACGATTCCTTGAATTGGCAGCTTTAGAAGCTCTCGCATCCACCGGATTGGCTTGCGAGGCGGAGGGCCCTAAGGACAGCGCCGCCAGTTGCGTCTGAACCTCTGCCATGGTGGTGTGCGCATGCAGAATGAATTCGATCCTTGACCAGGCTGTTCGTTGTAGAAATAGGAAATGGCGCGTGAATCAGGGTGTCGATGTGTCGGTCGGTCAAGAAGTGGAAGGGAAATAAATGAAGCGAGGGACACCTTCGAGTTAGGTATGACAAGATTGGTGACTGTTGGTCAGATGGTTTTGATCAAGTCCGAACGGCGAGATGTTGAAACGCGGAGACGATGCCAGAATTGGAGGCTAGCCAGCGGCAACGAAAAGCTAAACTCCTTCAGCGAAGGACATCTCCAAAGATGGAATCTGACACGTGCACTAGGTAATGTAGTGCAGACCAAGAGAAGCTCGAAACTGAGAATGTGTGTGGCCCGGCTCAATCCTGACCCAAAGTTCGTGCACCCAGGATTGCTTCAAGAGGGCGGGTGCCCCACGCACAGTCGTACACACGATCAGTGACGATCTGGCTATGCTCGCGCCTCCAGTTTTGATGTTGTGAAACAGAAGACCGTTGAGCGGTTGGTAACAAGCACCAAATATCCGTATCCGGGGCCAGGGTAACAGGCAGCGCAGCGCAGCGCCGCAGCCTCTAATGTATCGTTACGTGTCGGCGCGCCTGAAGACCAATGAAGTTGGGATGGACCGAGTCTATCGTTAGTTGCCTTGCTGTGGCGCATCCGGGTAGCCTTGAGAGAATAGGATAAAGCTCGCCATTTGATGGCGTCCAAGACAGCTCGGGACCGTTCTTCATGCGATGGGGTTTGCCAGGCGCTGTGTGGCCGACATCGCGAAAAGAAACTAGTTGATGGAAAAGACGGGCCTGTTTCAGGATGGAGTGTCGAGGCCCAGACAGCGAGTGCCGGGAAGTTCTCCACTGACAAGTGCTTGTCGCTTGTCAAACAGCCGCCAGCGGGGAAGGAACCGATGCTTCTGTGGGTGGCAGGGTGCAAGTCTCACTCTGCTACGCAGGTACGTACAGTACAGTACCTAGCCGAGCTAGCTTAAAAGTCACAGTCAAAAAATAGAGTCACACTTTTTTTGGCGGGTTTTGCGGGGATTTGTATGGGGTGAAAGATGAGTCGCCAAAACCCCCTACATATACCATTTCCTCCAGAAAAATATCTATTCAAATCTGAGTATACTGAGTTGGAACTATAGTAAAAGGACCTCTATACAATTTTTCTTTGATTTTTTTGGAGCTCAGTGAAGCTATCTAACGTGTGTGTGAACATGGTAGGTTTTGGTGTGGGTTTGGCGAGTGTGACCCAACTTTTTGACCGTCTTTATCTTATCGGTCCCGTCCTCGCAGTCTTGGGGAGCATTGAGTCGTTGAGGTGACAGCTTTGACTCGACATTCTGATCCATTCCACAACACTATATAGTATCCGTACATAATAGGCCATCACAAAAAGACACCCAGTCGCAGGTTGGAATGTTTCAACACGAATACGCTACATGAATCGTAAGCAGCCTTGCCAGCAGATTCATCAAAGAAATCTTTTTCCCCGCGGTTCCTGGTTATGGATTCCCCATTTCCCCCACTCTCGGGATGACCCTCGTCTACATCACCCTCTGCGCATCTGATAATACCGTATAATCTCGAGAAATCCGGAAGCCGCTACTGCTTCGGCTAAGCCATGCGACGCACCTTCAACCAACTTCGACCCATCTTCTTCAACCTTATTCTAGCCACTTGAAGCCACAACGTAGTGTTGACCATGACCTTCCACTTACAAATGCATCGCCGTTTTGCAATCGGACAGTTCTATACCTGGTGGGTTGACAGGGAGAAGATTGCAAATTCCACACGAAGATGGCACGCAGGACAGATAAACAATTTGGCTGTGGCTCAGTCTTCCTTGGCATCCTAACTGTAAGGTTTGAACACTCTGCAAGCTGGTTGACTTGGATTGGTGGCCTGGATTAGCCCACGCAGTAGCGGCTTCCGGATTTCTCGAGATTATACGGTACGTGCAGTGTAAGTTAGTGCACATCCCGATGGTCTGATATCTCGACTCAATTCTTCCTCTTCTCGTTCTTACATTGTCTCGGCATCGTGTTCGTCCCCACATCTCCAAGGTATGCTTCCTTTGAACTTTTACGTTCTCAAGTCCCAGAATCGTCACGCATGTCCTGTACAATACCTTGTCTATGTTGGTTGAATAGCAATCTGATCTTCAATCTCCTCAATATCCCCATTCGCTGCTGCAAAAATGCTTATGGGAATCCCCCCGACTCCATTCTCGGCGAAGAGTCAGACGATCGAAAGTGGAAAGTCGCAACGTTGAGTAATTGGCTCAACCCCCAGTCATCTGCATCTCGCCCACCGGTAGGATCCACCTCTTGTGTATGTGCACTACCTAAGGGAATCCATCACACTGTTTGCATGTTGCAAGCGCTGGGGAAAGCGCCGGGCCTTGCCTCACGGAGGTACCTAAGGTATATAATTCTCATGGTGTCTCCCAGAGTTCAACATGATGGCTCCAAGTCATCCGATCACAGGACTCGCTGCTGGAGCCTGCTTCATCCCTCTCGCCCCAAGTCGGCAACCACGACAGGCTCAGCCAAACAATCTATCAACTCGATTGCCTACTCAACCGGAGCGCAACTAGCACATCTCGACCATGGTGCACCCAGAAAGCGCCAAGTTGGCTGAGAAAGTACTGTCTGAACTCGGCAGCACGGAGTATGCGTGCTCGTCCCTGGAGCCGCTAGCCGGAGGAACGGTCAACTTCATATTCAAGGGCATCCTGCGTACTCCTCTTCCTGACGGAACCCAAGAGCTTGCTATCAAGCACGGGGAGAGCTACATCGCGGCGAACCCGAATTTCAACCTTCCCCTAGCTCGCTGTGTATGCCTTGCTCCGGCCGAAATTGGTACACCCTGCTAGCCTCCATTTCTGACTGAAAGATTTGGGATAGGATGCCGAAGAGGAATGCCTGAAGGCGCTGCGTGGATTATCCCCAACGCCGGGACCCTTCACTGTTCGAGTCCCCAAACTTTATCATTACAACAAGGAGACCAACACTCAAGTTCTCGAATATCTCGCCGACGCAGTGAGCCTGAAAGAATATGCACTCAAACACTTTCAGTCTCAGGACGCGTCCAGAAAGCCACTGTGCCATGAGATTGGCCGGAGTTTGGGCGCCTGGCTACGTGGCTTCCACGACTGGGTGACGCTGCCGGAGCAGGCTGGGCTTCACGAGCTGATGAGGTCGAATCAGCAAATGCAGCAACTTAAGCACATCGTCAACTACTCGTTCCTGGTGCAGACTGTGGCCGACTTTCCGTCCATTCTCGCAGATGCAAAGGTTGTGTTTGAGCAAGTTGAAACAATGTCAGCCAAGGAACTGGAACGACCAGATCTGCAAGTCATCCACGGTGATTTCTGGACGGGCAAGTGAGTGTCCCCGTGGGGATGTGAACACGGCGCAACCTAAGCTAACGTTTGGAACAGTACGCTCTTGCCAGACAGAGCCCTGCAAAACGGGGCAGAAGTGCCCATCTTTATCGTAGACTGGGAGTCGTGCCAGCTCGGCCTGCGCCCGTTGGACATGGGCCAAATGATCGCCGAGCTCTATCAACTCGTACTGTACAAAGGTATGGACGAGGGAATGTGGCTGATCGAGGGCTTGACGGCGGGCTACGGTGACATGGACGATGACTTCGCCTTTCGGGCCGCACTCCACGTCGGCACGCACATGATTTGTTTTGGCAGCCGAGTGCCCGGCTGGGGGTCTGACGAGCAAGTGCGCGAGGTCGTCCGTACCGGTAAGGAATTGATTCTGCGTGCCTGGCATAAAGACCGCAAGTGGTTTGAAGCAGCCGACCTGGCGTGCCTATTTAGCAGGCCGTGATTTTCGCTGTCACTGAACGCCGGCTAGGGGCTGTGTTTGGGGGGCGCGTCGATCGTCGCATCCAAAACGTCGGCTCTCTACTCTATTGGGTATGCCGGACGGTCTGCGCGGCAACCTTGAAACATATAGAGACAGTTTGCTAAGAGTGCCATGAAAGTCCAGCACATCTTTGCTGTCCTCGTCTCCCTGAAACTGTGGAACGGCACAGCGAGCGAGGATGCAAGCCGTCTCTGCACGCGGACGGTCCGGCACCCGAGCGGACTGAGATCGCAGAGGCGATTGACACACAAATCAGAAAAGATCATCAGACACTGGCGATTATATTCGGTTCTTTGCCCCGCATGCTGTGCTTGACTGGTCCCTTTTATGCATGTTCTTGATGGTGCCTGTTCCGATCTCAGCATGGAGCCCAGCCGGCAGTCGTCCATCTCGGTGTGCTGAAAGTGACGATGGTTGACAGAAGGCCTCCATGCAATGTGATCTGGGATCCTGACTATTATTGCACTCCGCGTCCGCCCCGGATCTGAACAACGGCGGCGGCAGGCAGCGGAGGCACGGACAATGGCGCCGATGCCGAAATGTGTGTACCCCTTCAACCTCGGCCAAGCTGGTGAATTAACTCATCGCAGGGATCCTCAAGACCCCGCGGGTAGTTCTCATCGTCGTGTTTCCAATCATCAACTTCATCTTGTATTGTACGCCCTCCTTCTCTGAGCGCACACATTCCCGGCTTCTCAAGACACTGACCGCAGGGGCACCAGTAATCCTGTCTCTGGGGTGCATAAACGACTCCCTCAGCGGCATCTCACCCATAGTAGCAATGTCCAACAGTCCAGTGGACATCGGCGGCTCGCAACTCCGAGTAGACCTGCGTGTCGGTTTCTGGGGTAAGCACCATCACACACGTCCTGTTGCTGTCTCCCACACGACCTAACTCTCCTCCGTCTAGGACTCTGCTTCGGACCCGCGCCAGTCAACTGCACCAGCAGTGTCAGCGTCTTCCAAACCAAGCGCGAGAGCCAGATCGCCAGCGAGATCCCAGCCGACCGCGGGGGCGGCAACTTCGCGCTGGCCGGGTTGGCCTTGGGCCTGCAGTCGAGCTTTGTCGTGCTCAGCGGCATCCCGCTGCTGCTGCTCCTCTTTGCCGCTGTCGTTGCCAACATGGTGCAGGTCTACTTCAGCACGCGTGGCATGGGCGACAAGCACGCCAAGGCGGCGCTCTGGGCGCGCAGCCTCGACTGGGCGGCCGCCGCCGGGGCCGTCACGAGCTTCAGCGCGTACCAGTCCATTGTGGCGGCCGCGTCGAGACTCATACGCGCCGTCTCGGGCACGCCGCTGACCATTACCGCCGGGACGACGGCGACGAATCTGTTTGCGGCTGTTGTAGCTATGACGCTGGCCGGGGCGCTTATTAATACCTTTCTGACGGCGGGTGACGCGGGGTTTGATGCCTACGTGGCGGCGAAGAAGAAGGGTGATGGGGTGAAAGAGGCAAATACTGGTGGAGGTGGACCTGGGAGAGTGAACTTCAGTAGAAGGAGACCTGCCTACGAAGTCTTTCCGTAGCTTACGCTAGTGATCAGTTCAAGGGGGAGACTGCTCAGTCAGGTCTGGGTCAGGGGTAGTGATACAGACTTGCCTAATACCAAGATCCTGTCAAAGGCTAGACTTCAGGATAGATACGGGCAGGTAAACGGATGTCATTTATGTCCGATTTTACACATGCCAGACTTGCTCAAAGCAAGACATCCAGTAGTTCTAATAGGATGTGTAGTTACCCCGGATTAAACCCTAACCCTTGCCACTTAAATGAAATCTGCCCAACTTCTACCAAGCAGAAACTGAGTCAAGACCTCAAATTCATAACCATTTCTCACATGAGTATCAAAACAATTTGCTTTGCTTCATTCAGCACTGAAGCCACCTGCAACAAAAGGGCCAATATTCATTGCCCCCTTCATATCGGACCATCTGTTGCCATCTGTTACTTGGGTACCCAAGCTGGCCATGGAATTAGAGCCAGGGGCCGGGCCGGGCTCACTCACACGGCCCTGCTCAAAATGCCGTGCTCGAGAAACGACATTAGAGAGCAGATCCCACGCGGTATGCAAGTGAGTGAGATATGATTTAGAGATTTTATTTTTGTTTTGTTTTTGTATAATTCCATGTTCAGTCACTAATAAGACCCAATGCAGAGACTGTTTCATGAACTTCGTCGCTACAAAATGCATCAAACAAATAGGCCTCCTCGGCAAGGAGACCCGTCCTCCTCCGCCCGCATCCGGAGGCCCGCCTACCGAAACCCGCCGGTACCTTCTCGGACTTTCGCTGGGCGTGTCTTCGACCGTCCTCCTGCACCTCCTCAACGAGAACATCGAATTCCAACTTGCCAAGGGCCGCAACGCCCCCTTCGAGTTGGTAGTCATCCACGTCGACACCAGTCTGTTTCTCCCAGATCAGAACGGGCAGTCTCGTCTCGCCCCCGCCCTTGACGCCTACCGCCAGCGATACCCGCGCTTCACTTTCCACTGCATCCCGCTCTCCTCCACCTTGGACCTTAGCAGTACGAACCCCGACGACATAGACTGGTCCTCACTCCCTTTCCGTTCCCCCTTTTCCCAAAGACAAGGGTCATCAGACTCCGAACCATCACCGCCACAACCATCCATAGACGACACCGAAAAAACCCTCCAAACTCTTCTCGCCTCGCTCCCCTCAGCCGCCTCCCGCGCCGACATCGTCCGCCTCCTGACCCGCCACGCTCTCGTCTCCCAAGCCCACCAGCACGGCTGCCAGGCCCTGCTCCTCGGGCACAGCACCACGGCGCTGGCCGAGCTGACCCTGGCCGAGGCGGCCAAAGGCAGAGGGTTTTCCTTGCCGTGGCTGGTCCGCGACGGGCCCAGCCCGACAGACGACGACGAGGACGACGACGACTTTTCTTCTTCAATTCCAGATGACCACACTGCTACCGCTAGTGTAAACCCTACGTCAAATCATGCAGGAGGGGGAAAGGACCGGGGAAGGAGGAGGAGGTTATTAATCTACCATCCGCTAAGGGAACTGCAGCGGCGGGAACTCGCAACGTACGCCTCGCTGACCGAGCCGGCACTAACCCCCCTCCTCGGTCTCGCATCGCCATCACTAGACAATTCCAACAGCAGCAACAACAGGATAGTCTCGCACAAGGACCTGAGCATCGAGGAGGTCATGGCGCGGTACTTTGGCGAGGTCGAGGCCGAGTACCCCTCGGTGATTGCCAACGTGGTGCGGACGGCGGGCAAGTTGGTGCCGCGGGAAGTTACGGAGCACGAGGGGGACAACAACGATGATGATGAGGATGATTATGAGGATGATGGAGAAACAGCAGGAGGAGAAGGGAGTAAGAAGAAGAGAAGAGAAGGAAGGTGCGGGCTGTGCAGGATGCCGCTTGACCTGGCTGGGGATGAGCGGTGGCGTGGCGAGTTGGGGGAGAAGAAGGAGATAAGCCTCCAGGGGCGGAAGGGCAGGTCCAGGTTGTGCTATGGGTGCGAGAGGTCTACTGCTGGGTAGCTAGGTATGTAGGTAGCTACCTTCGGCTGCCTCTTGGTTGTATATACCATATGGTTTGGTAGGTGCGCGATTTTGAGGAGCCGCACTTGAATGTGGTATCTTGAGGCGGGAGACTGGATTGTCCTACTCCCGCCTGCTCTCTAACATAGGCATCTTGTATGTGACCCCGGTATATACAATGCCAAAGAAGGACTAAACGCTAATTGCCCTTTTCATACCCAACGCCAGTTGATGTGGTTAAAATAAATTATATTGTCTTTAAAGACGTGCTGGGTAAAAACCGCTCCTCCACCCTTCTGATGAGCTTGTTCGTCTGCTCCGCAAGGGTGAGTGTCAAGATGGTATGCGGCAGGATTCTGGCGAGATGCGGCACGACGCCCTTGTAAATGGCAAAGAAGCCCTCTGTCCGGATCGTCTTTGCCAGGCAATCAAAGACACCCTTGTAAAGGTTGCCGTTTTGGTTGTACAAGCGGGACATGATGGTGTCTACAAATGTCAGCTATTGCTCTGAAACTGAGACCATCGCGGCGACTTACCTGGCGGGTGCATGACAACGCAGACTACAAAGCCGCTGGCCGTACTGCTGGCGAGGTGGAGAGCGAGGCCCTCCTCCATGCCCAGATGCCGCATTAACCGGCGCTTCGCGAAGAAGTACGTGGGCAGCTGCACCGAGCTCCCAAACCCGGTCCGGATCATGGCCGCCCCAACGCCGCGGTACAGGCCCCGCACCCCCTCGGCCCCGTAAATCTGCCGGAGTCCGTCCCACGCGTTCCGGTACTGGTGTTGGGTGCCGACGGGTAAGAAGGGCGAGTAGCTCTGCAGACGTGTCTTGACCAGGAAGAAGGGGCTGCCGGCGGCGGCGCCCATGACGCCCGACGCGGCGCCGCAAAACATGTTGATGCCCAGGTTCTGCGTCTTGCCGTCCTTGAATATGAGCGTCGCTAGCGTGTTGCGCATAGGTTCGTAGAAGCCCAACCGGCAGCCGTTCAGCAGCACCTGGTATATGTAGGCGCACCCGATACCGCGATAGATGCCGCGCAGCCCCTCGTTCCTGACAATGACAGAGACGCCGTGCAAGGGGCCGCGGTAGTGGTGTGGTTGGTGGCCCTTGTCCTGGAGCTCGCCCTGTAGCTGCATGCGGATCTTGACCGTCTCGAACGGATGCGTGGCCGTTACGGCGCCGCACGCAGCGATGCCGCCCGCGATGAAGGCGCTTGTGCGATGGAAGACATGTCAGACGTCTCTTTCTGGCCACAAGCGCCTGCCCGATGGATGTGCGGGGAGCTTCGGAAGGGCACCTACCCAACTGTTGTCGACATTGCGACCGTGGTCGAGCTCGCGTGCTATTGTGCGACTATGGATGGGACGCTGTGTCGCCGAATTGCAGGGTCTGTCCCGGCGTTCGGAGGGGAGGATGTTGTTCGGGAATCCAACCGTCACCTCTCTTGCCGCATGGGGATTTGTTGAAGAAAGAGGAATATTGACAGCTTATTAGACACCAACACCGAGAGCGAATATTTCCAATTGAGTTGTCTAGTGAGGACTGATGCAGGTCTAGACCGCTTATATCCGATCCATCATCGCGCTGACTCGGCTTCGCGCATAGGTACCGACTTATGGACCAACCGTACCGGCCCGCGCAGTTGTAGAAAGTGAAATTCTGTCTGAAAAGAGGGCAGGGGTTGCTGCGGACATCGGACCCTAATGAGGGAACCTGAGTGAGATTCTTGCTGGAGGCGCGACCGCCGCCATATTGTTTTGAAATGGCAAGGGCCGATTGCCGTTTGGGAAGCGTTTAGCACAGACCAACTCTCCGGATATCGGGGGATTCGCCGCATGTTTTGCCAGGGGAACCTTGAGGTTCTGAATTCTGATGCAATGGCGGCCGAGTGTTCGAGGTAATAGTTATCCATGACTTACCGCCCGGCAGAATTGGCTTTGAGCTGGAGCTCCATGTTGCTCGACCTGCAACTTGCTTCCCTTCCTTTCCTTTGAACCCTCTCCATCGGGCACATCGAGTCGCGCGCTACAGCGCTGGCCGGCATCTTCAATATGGCATCTACCCCAATGGATATCGATGATGCATCCCCGGCAGCAGCTACCCCGTCGCTCAACATCACGCGGACCCTGGGAGCTAATGTCTCCAGCACAGCAGTCGTTAGTGATGTGATATCGCTTTTCAGGCCGACAAAGGTGACTACTAGTGATTTTGAAGTTCGGTTCCGTTTTGCGCCTTCGCTAATCCCCCTTTCTCCAGCTGTTTAGGCGGGATGACATCAAAGAGGGCAAGCCGCAACCCCATATCTTGTCGATCGACTTCGATGACCCGGGCGAGCTCTGCATGACCTCGGAGAGCGACGAGACTATACAGCTTTACAGTGTAAAAGAAGGCAGGCACGACAAGAGCCTACTGAGCAAAAAGTATGGTGTACGACTGGCCAAGTTCACACATACGAGCTCAAGCATTATATATGCCAGCACTAAACAGAATGGTGCGTTCCTCGAGCCTATGCTTCACCCTCGTAACTGACACAATGTGCAGACGCGATCCGATACCTTGCTACGCATGACAATTCCTTCATCCGGTACTTTGAGGGACATGAGGGCGCCGTCACCAACCTCGCTATGCACCCTGGCTCCGACAATTTCATATCCTGCAGCATCGACAACACGGTGAGGATATGGAACATAGGTACAAAGCAGTGGACCGGCAAGCTTTACCTCAACTCGCCCTACCTGTCGGCGTGGGACCCGTCAGGCAACATCTTCGCCGTGGCATCGCCGACCAGCGGGAGCATCCTCCTCTACGACTATCGCAACTACGAGAAGGGGCCGTTTTCGATCTTCGACGTGCTTAAAGCACGCGGGCCGGCAGATGCAGAAGCCGCATTCAGAGGCTGGACGAAGCTCGAGTTCTCCAACGACGGCAAGCACATCCTTCTCGGATCACGTGGTGCGGGCCACTTCCTCCTGGATGCGTTTGACGGGAGCCTGAAGGCGTATTTGAAGAAGCCGGGCGCTAGTACGAGGCGGTTAGCGGTGGGTGAAACAGAAGGCGGAACAGTCGAGAGCAGTGGGGAATGCTGCTTCTCCCCCGACGGCCACTTCGTGCTGAGCGGAGCAAGGTCAGATCTCGTGATCTGGGACACTCTGACTACCCCTTCAGGCGACAAGGTGCTGGACCCTGTGCATGTCCTTGAGGAAAAACGGGAGACGGCTGTGGTGGCGTACAACCCCCGATTCAACATGATTGCCACAGCCGATCAAGAGCTCGTGTTCTGGTTGCCTGACCCTCATGTGTAGGACGGATGGGATGGTCTCACTTGGGATGTGCTGGGTCTCTTAATGGCGAGGCATGGGAAAGTGATTGTGGATGATTAAGATACCCAATTGCATGTTAGGGCGTATAGGCGTGATAACGGCGATTTCTGTTGACTTGTAAACTACTAAAATGCTGTTGGCGTCTCAGAGATGACAACGGATATGCGAAGGAGGATGAGAACTTGTGGGCCACTGAGTGACATGAAAGCTCCCCCGCATTGGGGAAACCCCACCAAACTTAGAAGGTTCCCACCACAGCAAGAACACCATCAAAATCCGAACCTCGATCGATTCTCACAAAGTGCACGCTATTCGCGACCGACCTGGATACCCGAACAGCCACCTTGCGCGGCCTTGCTCCCAAGACCATATAGGGATCACTTATTTGATCTGATATCAGATTTCCTCTTTTGGCGGGTATAATCAGCAGCGTAACCAACCACCGTCGCGAGCAGGCCCGCTGCCCATCCCGGGCTACAGAGCAGAACACCGCCTCGCTCCTCAGCAATATCAAAACCACCCTACAGAACACGATGCCTTACTACGATAAATCCGAGGACTGGCTGCACCAGTCTGCCCTTCTGCTGCAAGCGCGTCCCTCAACGGTAAAAACCACCAATTCCTCTCCCCATTGAACCCCCTATTGTTTTTCCCGCCTTCCGCTTGTCTACCCCTTTCCCCATTTTACTAACAGTAAATAAATCAGACGCGAATAACAACACGGTACCACCTCAAACCAGCCCGGCGGCCTCGCAAATCCAAAAAGTCAGGATCAGGAGAAGCAGCAGCAACATCAACGGAAGAAGGAGATGCACAGCAACAGCAACAGCAGCAGCAGCAGCAGCAGAAACCCCCGCGCGGCCACCTCGTGCTCAAGACGTACGACGCCGCCTCGGGCGCGACGCTCAAGTACAAGACGTCCAAGGCGGCCGAGGTGACGCGCCTGGTGCAGATGCTGGGCACGCTGGGCCGGCGCATGGCTGCGCTTCCCGTTCCCGAGACGACATCATTACCACCAACAGCAACAGCAACAGCAGCGCGGGGGGATGATGTGGTTATGGGCGAGGCGGCGGCTGGGGCGGAAGGGAGTGGGGTGCAGACTCCTACTGGTAGTAGTACTGCTGCTGTTACCCCTGGGGCCGGTGGTGGTGCTGTTGCGGGACAAGGGCAGGGGCAAGGGCAGGGACAGCAAGCTGGAGGAGGTGGTGGTGGGGGGAAGGGGAAGAAGAAAAAGGGCAAGAGGTGAGAAGGTGGATCGTTGTGTCAAGATGTCACATATGTGCATACAGGCCGTGGATAAACGTGTGAATTTGCCGGACATTAGCACAATGCGAGTATCCCAGGTGGAGGAACGTGCTTATGCCATAACACATCAATTCCTAGACTATGTCTACATCCTCATCCTTTCCCAAGCCATAACCCAGTTCCCGACTCCCATCAGCTTCGTTCAACATGAAAGAGACCCTAGCGGGTGTCGTATTTCCCAATCAACGCCAGACGCCTCCATGCCGCAACAGCCCAACCCGCGCAGCACGTTATACACGCGACAAGAATATCCAACATCTCCGAATCAAGGGAGACGCAGACAGACAGATCCCATCGCTCTTCTATGCCAGAACGAGATAGAAGGGGATAAAAGGAAAGACAACAGGAATATCAGTACAAATGGGGTATTAGAGAACGAGGCGAGAGGAAGCGCGCCATGAAAGGGCACGGCAGGAGCTTCAGAAATCCTCGTCAAATGTGAAGTCACCCCCGTTGTCACCCTTAACCTCTTCCTGCTCGGTCTGGTTGGCAGAAAGCTTCTTGGTGCCGGCCATGACGCCAGCCTTCTGGTACTCGCCGACGCGCTTCTCAAAGAAATTGGTCTTGCCACCGAGCGAGATGTTCTCCATGAAGTCAAAGGGGTTCGTGGAGCGGTACACCTTCTCGTTGCCGAGGGCGACGAGCAGGCGGTCGGCCACGAACTCAATGTACTGCTTCATGAGGTTGGCGTTCATGCCGAGCAGGGCGCAAGGCAGGGCCTCGGTGAGGAACTCCTGCTCAATCTTGACAGCGTCGACAATGATCTCCTGAATAACCTGCTTGCTCGGCCGGTTGTTGAGGTGCGAGAAGAGGAGGCAGGCAAAGTCGGTGTGCAGCCCCTCGTCGCGAGAGATGAGCTCGTTGGAGAAGGTCAGGCCCGGCATGAGACCGCGCTTCTTGAGCCAGAAGATGGACGCGAATGCACCGCTGAAGAAGATACCCTCGACGGCAGCAAAGGCGACGAGCCGCTGGGCAAAGGTCGACTTCTGATCAGTGATCCATCGGAGGGCCCAGTCGGCCTTCTTGCGGATGCAGGGAATTGTGTCAATGGCATTGAAGAGGTGCGTGCGCTGGGCAGGCTCCTTGATGTACGTGTCGATGAGGAGAGAGTATGTCTCGGAGTGGATGTTCTCCATCATAATCTGGAAGCCGTAGAAGCAGCGTGCCTCGGGAACCTGGACCTCGCCGCTGAAACGCTCGACCAGGTTCTCATTGACGATGCCGTCCGACGCGGCGAAGAAGGCGAGAATGTGAGAGATGAAGTACTTCTCATCATCATTGAGCCTGTTGTTCCAATCGTGCAGGTCCTTAGACAGGTCAATCTCCTCGGCAGTCCAGAAGGAAGCTTCGGCCTTCTTGTACATCTGCCAAATCTGTGGGGTGATGTCAGCACGCATCAGCACGCGTTCCACTTTACGCGACCAGACGCGTCAACACGTACCTCGTGGTACTTGATGGGGAACAGCACGAAGCGCTGCGGATTCTCCTGCAGCAATGGCTCGTCGGCCACATCTGACTTGGCTTCAGGAACAACAGCAGGCTTCTCTGATTCCTTTGTCGACTCCATTATAGACTTTTGGTGGTTGGCGTCAATCTCTGCCTCAAGGGTGGCAAGGTCGGCGTCGAAGGGCGCGTTCTCCTTGTTCGAGGCCGAAAAGTCAAGCTTCTTCACGGGGGATTCCATCTTGAAGGCCTCAATGGCAGATGCAGCCTGCAGAGAGGTGCGTGTTAGCTTTGTGACGCGACAGACGCGTCCATAGTGGGACGCGCGGGGCAGTTGCACGAACCTGCTTAGACGGAGTGATCTGGGTGGTCATTGTCGAACGTAAGGAGGAAGCCGGTGCTGTGAAGATAAAAAGATATACAATCCCGCTAGGCTATATGATGTCAAGAGACAATTGCTTGCTGGCGGTGGCGGGTTGGGAGCAGTTGCAGACAAAGATGTGTGGGAGAAGAAAACGAAGCTGAGCGCGCGATCTTAAATGCAGCACGTCAGCACGTGGTCCCACTATTACAGTGGAAATCTACGCGACAGGGGTTCGCGTCAACGCGACTTCTTGACCCTGCATTCTGCGGCGTCAACACTCCCGAGACCCAACCACCCGATTCATCTCGAGAAATGATCCACTTGTGGGCTGAAAACCTGGTCGGCGATTTCTCGCTTTTATCAGATCCTCGGCCGAACCATCTTATAAACGCACACGTAAGGCACAGTCATCGTGGAGGCATTGGGCAGTGTTGCCTGGCGCCATCCACACTGTTCCAGCGAGGAGTGGGTCGAGAGAAGCAGGCTTCCAAGGTCTAAGACTCCAATTCGAGCCGGACCCAGGGACGGTAGAGAACGGTGAGGGTACCATGTCAATGATTTCCATTATCCATCGCTATCCATGACTCAAATACCTCAAAAGCCAAAGGTGCACCATGCCCGCCAGGATCCTGCAGTACTAGTAGTACTAACTGGACCAGGTGAGAATGCACCGTGTTGAGGGGCTGTCCTTTACTCCTTATAGAGTCCTTCGAAATGCTAGATACGAATCTGCCTGGCATACAAACAAGAACATACGAAACCGAAACGCCGCCGCAATGCCTAGTGGTATTCAGATGCCATCATACGGATCCTCACTCGCAATTTTTTCCAAGCAATGCCGTCCCCGCTCAAGAACCGAAACCTTCCATGGCCAATTGACACTACCTCCAGCTCCGCTTGGGTTGGTCTCTAGGATCTTGTACTGCCCCTCCCTTCCTCTGGTCCCGGGGATCTTGTACTTCCCGTCCCTTTCTCTGACCCGTCATACTTCGTAGCGGGGCTATTGCTGCCGAGGCGCCCGGAATGCTCGCCATTGGAGCTGCTGGTGCCGGTCGAGGGTTTGCCGCAGGGGAGGGCGTCACAGGGGCTGGCGCGACAATACCTGATGGCTCAACGCCGGTCTCGACGTCCCGGTCTCCTGGGGCTAGCCGTAGCTCGTCGGGGAGCCTGACCTTGTCCTGGCCGTCTGGGTTCTGGACTGTGTTTGCCATGCGTGCTTCACCGACCGCAGTCAGGTATGCATCAAGCAGCCAGGCGTTGCGTGTATTGGCTCGGAAGTACGCATCGGCCAAGTCTCCAAGGAACGGGACGAAGCCGACCGCCAAATCGATGAGGATATTGGTGAACATCCTGGCGTACAGGGTTTTTGGCAGGCCACCCTTGATTCGCGAAGCCTTTTTCAACAGCATCATGCCCATGAAGAAGTCGAAGAAATCACCAATGCTGACGGTACATTCTGTCAGCCGGGAGCGCTCACACATTGCAGCCGGGGAAATCCTTGCAGAGGCACTTACACAGGCACGAGACCAAATATGGCCGACCAGCCAAATACGAATCCGAAGCAGCAGAATGTAAAGCACATATCCCACCGATAGGCCCTCTTCCGGACGCTCTTGAGAATCTTGGCCTCATCGTCCGTTAGACCCGGCGGGATAGCTCTCTCTTTCTTCTGGTACTTGACGACTGTGCCATTTTTCACGACGGGTACCTTCTCGTAGTAGGGATTCTTTGTTCGCAGGAGTTAGTATCTATTCATCCATGCCACAATGAACGACTGAGGTGTGCAGGTGAGTTGCATACTTCTAGGTTTGTGTTCTTCTTCCCCAGCTTCTTGAAAGCCGCATCCTGGAGGTACTTAACCGCCAGGTTCATGGCGATGACTTCACGGATGGTGTGTGGGAAGTATGGATAGTTTTTTGCAAAGTTCAACAACCTCACAGGGAAGTATGAAAAATGGACAATGGGCCGGCCGAGATATAAAACGTCTGTCTTTGTTCTGAATTTTGGAGGCTGCAGATCTGCTGATGGCCGTGATCCAACGTCGGTATTGGATGGGAGGACTTGTCCGTTTCAGGCCCGCGCTTGTAAGGCCCGATTTGGAAACGCTTTTGGCGCTGGCTCAACGAACCACAGGCCGACCCGCTAGTCTGTCCGGGGTTACAGGGCGAGCAGAAACTGAAGGGTAGAAGAAACCTGAAGCGCCTGCTGGCCGATGGGCGATGTCCTCTTCATTTATGCATTGTATTGGTCTCTGTCTCATCATGCTTTGTGTGCACCTAACCCATCCACCAACAACCAAGTCACGGCATGGTTGGTCGTCCAAGTTCTTGTTTCTGGGTGATGACGTTTGTGGAGACCCTCTGGCTCTCAAACTCTTGCAACAAGGCCTCCTGCAAGCCACCGGAATGCATCGGTAACCAACGGTTGGCCTCCGAAAGGGCTGTGGGGGAACTGCACCGCCACAATATTCCAGCTGTGAGACTAGACTGTGGCGAAAGCTTGCAAGAAATGTGGCTTGGCGGGTCACTTCTGCAAACCTTCGGTTGTGCTTGAGGCTTGAGTCGGTCTTCACTCCTGTGGAGCAAATGAATGCCATCCACGTCGGCACGTAACCTTACAGGGTAACGTTGACGTTCACACATAGCGACGACAGTGCCGGAACAACCTCGTTCTCGGAATCACATATCTTGCTTTTCAAGGAACCGAATTGAACTGTCTATTGCGCAAACTCAACTCAAAGACTTCTTTTTGTTTACACAAGCTGGTGGGGAGATTCACACCTAGTGATCCCCGCCTTAACCGTTCCCGATCGCAACCACAAACGGCCACCCACAGCGCGGCCACACACGGCGGCCCAGCAACTAAACAAAGTCGGAGCCAACGCAAAGACACATATAAATAATCAAGACAAAATACTTCCCAATATTTTCGGTCACCGTGGATATGCTTGAGCAAACGCATCACCATGGCCGAACACAAGATGACACTCGAAGATTGTATGTTTACTCGATCCGACCTTCTGCGCGGCGCCGCTCGCTGCGTCGGCGGCCTGCTGACTTCCGCTTGCAGGGTTGGACGACCTCTGTGTCCGATTCATCATCAACCTTCCAAGAGAAGATCTCTCCTCGGTTGCGCGTATCTGCTTCCAGGTTGAGGAGGCGCAATGGTTCTACGAGGACTTCATCCGTCCTCTGGACCCCACTCTGCCGTCCATGTCTCTGCGGAGCTTCTGCCTGCGCATATTCCAACACTGTCCGCTGCTCGCGCCCTTCTCTAAAGAAAACCACATGCGCGCCTTCGAGGAGTTCCTCCAATACAAGACGCGAGTGCCCGTCCGGGGTGCCATCCTTCTCAACGAGGCAATGGACTCGACCGTGCTTGTCAAGGGTTGGAAGAAGGGGGCCAGCTGGAGCTTTCCCAGAGGCAAGATAAACAAGGACGAGGATGACCTGGACTGCGCGATCCGCGAAGTCTACGAGGAGACTGGCTTTGACATCAAGGAGGCCGGTCTGGTGCCCAAGGACGATGAGGTCAAGTACATCCAAATATCCATGAGGGAGCAACAGATCCGGCTCTACGTCTTCCGCAACATACCCATGGACACTGTATTTCAGCCGAGGACCCGGAAGGAGATCAGCAAGATCCAATGGTACAAGTTGTCCGAGTTGCCCGCCTTCCGAAAGGGGCGCAACAGTCATGACGATGCTGCCTCGGCGTCGAATGCAAGCAAGTTCTACATGGTGGCTCCGTTCCTGGTGCCCCTGAAGAAATGGGTGTTGCAGCAGAAGAAGAAGGACGCTGCCCGAGCAGCCAATAGCTCTCATTTACCTGTCCAACTCCTAACCGAGGAGCCCCTCACCGAGGACGACATAGGGGCCCAGACCGAGCCCGTGGCCGCTCCTTCAAATGATATAGAGACGCTCGAGGGAGCCACGCAAGAGCTTCAGCGTCTTCTCAAAATCCAACCCCCGCCACAGGGCTTGCAGACGAGCGCGTCAACGAGCTCTAATGCAGACAAAGGGGAGGCCCTGATGGCGCTTCTGCAGAAGAGAGCCGAACCCACCCCATCCGAGCGCCCTGATCAACCCACACTGTTTGATCTCACGTACACGAGTGCCCCGGAACCTCCCAGTTCGCGCCATCATCATCCGGCCCATCGACATCGGGTCCCCAGTTATCAACAGCCACCATCCTTTGCGCATCCACCAAGTACGACCCATCCTGGCTCTCCTAAATATGTGAATCAGGCTCGAGCACCTGCTCAGGTCCCGATTCAGGTACCCGGCTTGAACCCATTCATGAACCCAGTACAGGAACCGCGAAAGGAGCCGGTCCTTGTGCACCCCCGGCCACTGCCGCCTCAAGTGCAGCAATCGCTCCTTACCAGAGGCATGCTCCCCACCCCAGATGTCGCAGATGCCGCCAGTCAAAGTGGTCTGCAAGCCCAGCAAGGCGGCGTGAACCTGTTCACGAATCGTAGGCAGGACGTCTATGGAACTCAGCAGCCAGTCTCAAAGCCACCTCCACTGACGGATCACGCGATGTCATTGCTGAATGCCTTCAAAAACGGCGCACACAGTGAAAACAAGCCGTCCGGTGGCCACACTGGTTTGGAGAGCGCTTCGGGGCAAGCAAATACCCAACAGCACCATGCAGCATCCTGGGCCAACCTGCCGGCGACACAGCCATCAAACCCTGCAGCGCAATACCTGCCATATCACATGGCGAACCTTGCACAGCCAAGGACCTCACCCCGCGCAATGCAGCCTCAAGACGTCCTGGGCGCCATATCCAAGCCCTCGCAGTTGCCAGATTCACACCGATCGGCATTGCTGGATATCTTCAAACGATCGGGTCCCAAATCTCCACTGAGCAATGAGATCACCATGAAAGCTGCGAACTTGCAGGAAGGAAACGGCTTTGCAAGGCTAGATCAGCCAGGCAGCCCTGTTCACAAGGCATCATCTGCTGCCGAGGCGATCGCTTCAGCCGGGGAGGTTAACGGTGCACCAGTGCGAGCGAACGCAGTGTCGCTACCGTATCGAGCTGTCCAGATCCTGAGCCGTCCAAAGCAGCCAGAGGCAAGCGAAGGCCATGACTTGACGGGTGCACAGACACAGATGCATCACCTGCAGCAGCGGTTCAGCCCCATGGGGTCGGCCAGACACGGTGGCCGGAATTTGGGCCGTCACGGTCTGCCGTCACCCCGCGACCGCTCGTTCCTGCAGCAGGCCGATCAAGGGGCCCAGAGATCGCCTCAGATCAACTATGCCGGCCAGGCGGCCGCCCAAGCGGCCGGGTTCCCATACACGCAATCACTGCCGCAATCTCCGACGGGCTCGCAAGCTGTTCCCCCGTTGTATCAACAACAACCACAACAACCAATGGCCATACTGCGGCGCCGGCAAGACTCTAATCCGGAGCAAAGGCAGAAACTGCTGTCGCTATTTGGAAAAGAGGTTGCCGCTTCGCCGACCGGATTTGGTGGGAACGAGGACAAGGGCAAGGCGAGAGACACCACCGCGGCTGCGTTTGTTGTTGACTCAGCCCAGTCGAGCAACTCCCCTCGCTCACGGGTGGCATCTATCACCTCGCTGGGTCGCGGCGGGGAGAACATTGTGAGCAGCAGCTCGCCTACCGCGTCGCGCCGCGGCAGTCAGACGCCGATCTCGCCCGCCGACCGCAGCTTCCTGCTGTCGTACCTGGAGTCGGTCTCGAATTCGGCGCGGTAGGTTTAGGGGTGCTGATTGTTAGTGGGAGATTCGAGCCGGCTTTGGGGTGAGGATACTTAGTAGCTATTGTCAAACGAAAAGTGTCACGGGGTATTCTGCTTGACGGTTTACCCAGGGTTAGTTGAGGAAGCCACCGGATACCAGGTCTGTGAAGGCCGGCCGCTGCAGGATGAGATTTCCTGAACGGGGCCTCATGCGGTGTGAAACTGCACTGAACAGAACCCCCGTGCCTGGTTTGGACTCTGTACGGTCCTAGATAAGGTACCTACGTACGTAGGTGACGACCTATGTCAAATTGAGATACGGTTTGCGGACACGTTGCTTCAGTTGCGCATCCAGGAACTTGGATTGGTTAGAAGATGCTCAAGAGCGAGGAGCGTCTTGCTCCTGCTGTCCTATGACCTGGATGCCCACGAAAGGTGCAAGTCCAACCCAGCGTGTACTGTTTCACGCCAGTACAAACCCCCCCTCCTCCTTCTTCCCCTCTTCCCCCTCTACCAGCGCAATGCTCAAACCTCATGCCCACGCCCTCCATGGGCAGACATGGCATTACCAAGGGATCAGAGAATGTTACATATGTTCTGCTAAGACCAACCTAGATGCTCCGGTCTACATGTATGTATCCCTAGGCCGCCGTTACGTGCTTGGGGAATATAGTAGTAGATCTACCCTACAAGCAATCAGTCCAGTTCTGCTTCTCCTCAAATTGCTAGTTCAGGCTTCTATGTACCTAGATTAGAGTAGTCGTCGTCCCACCTGTAGTATTTTAATGCTGGTTGGGATTGTTCGTGGTTGAAATATGTGTGCGCTTGGTACCTAGTATAGTAGTTGTTGACTGGGGCGATCTTTTAACAGTTCCAGTAACAGAAAGAGTATGAGTCACTATGAGTACAGTGAAATGCGCGTCAACAAATTCGACTTTTCAATTTCATCACACAGTCTTGCAGGTAAAATCATTGCATACTACCTATAGTAACTACTTCCAGTCCTCATCGTGACCCCGGCAAGCCAGATCCTACCCACCTACATTGGACTTGAACTCGCGGGCATCGTTCAGTATTGTCAAGTTCTTGTTCTTACTCGGTACTAGCCTCCCTCTACTTACATACAATGGCTACCACTGTTCACTTTCTAGCAGAGGGCACCCGTGTTACCCTACTAGGTGTTAGTAGATGGAACTCCTAACATCTTTCAATGAAAAAGAGGTGAGAAGCACGGTGATGTATTTCTATGGATACTTCTGGAGCCTTGCGGTCCGAGAAGTTTAGCTAGGCTAAGTCTACTTACATATACATTCCACCACAGACCATAGCACAAAAGAGAGAAAATACCTAAGCCAGATCCAAACGATTCAATAAGAAGGAAAGAGATCCACCACAGACCATAACAACAAAAGAGTGAAAAGTAAACAGATCCAGACGATTCAGTGGAAAGCAACCAGATTCAAACGATTCAAGGAAAGGAAACCGGATCCATCACAGGCCATAACACAAATGATTGAAAGAGAACAGACCGGACCCAAACGATTTGAAGGGAAGGAGCACAGAGCCGAACGATCCACCATCCTCCCAACTAGAATGCGGCAATGATTTGAACGACAATATCGTGGACCGGAGTTCCTGGCAGGATCCTCTGCCCACCCAAGCAGAAATCGGTCTCATCGCCGTCATTGGCAACATTGTTGGTGGGATGTCTGTTGCAATGATTGCAGTGTTTGCACGTGGTCCGTCCGTGCCTGCAAGTCAGGGCGTGCTTGCAAGTCCTGGAGAGCTCGTTGAAAATCGCGTTCCACTCCGTGGTGACACTGTAGTCACTTTCCCCATCAGGCATGGGCATGCCATCCGGGAACATGATGGTGCCGCGCTTCGAGGGGAGTTCGAACTCGGTCCATCCCGTCTGATCCGCATCGTCCTCGTGCCGAAGCTTGAGGCCGAATTTGCGCTGCAGACCTCGCTCGGCAACGAGACTGCAGAACCCAGCCAGGAACGACTCATAACCACTCATGTCAGGCACCTCAAAGTTGCCATACTCGTAGGCCTGGAGCGATCCGTTGGCATCGACGAAGTAGTGGATGCCCCGGAGCTTGTTGCTGTCACGGTTTGGCGGAACAACAGGCTTCATGATCTGGACGGCCCCATGTCCCGGGACCGGAATCTTGTCAAAGACCATGACTTCGCCCTCGGTGGTGTCAAAGTGCTTGTGGATCAGTCGGACGCTGACGCCCTTGGGGACATTGTGCTTGCTCAGCAACTCGCGGAGGTCCTCGAGATCTTTGAATTCTCCGTGGGAGCCCCGGCGACCTCGCTGATCAGAGGCAAGGTGTTGTAGATGCTGGAAGGTACAAATGTGTTGATGAGGGCGGCCATGGTTGAGGGTACAAGAGGTGATTGAGGGCACAAGAGGTGATTGAGGGCACAAGAGGTGATTGAGGGCACAAGAGGTGATTGAGGGCACAAGAGGTGATTGAGGGCACAAGAGGTGGTTGAGTGATCAGAGTAGGTTCAACGGTTGGCAGTTCAGAGTAGTGGAGGAATGAAGAAGCTGTTGTTGGGATATGAGTGAGTTGTCGAGAAAGTAGGACCGTAGGGAGCAGCTTCTCACCTTTTATAGACCATATCCGACGCATTCTCTCGCATATCCGTAAGGCAGTTTCGGGGAGTCATGTGAGGGCATTTTCATGTTGATCCGTTGGCTTTTCCTGTAGGCCGATTGGCGTATCGCTGGCCGCTACCTGAAGTCTGCCCGAGTCTTGTGAGGGCTCCTGGCCGTTCACGCGGTGAGGTCGAGGCTGAGGGACGACGGCTAGTGCACATCAGTGATACTACTCATCATTGTATACTTTACACGAGCCTGAGAACCTAGCACCTTGCTCTCCAGCGTATAGCATGAATGTATTGTACAAGTACATTCCAATCTGTGTACATTGATTCCACACCCTGCAAGGCTGCAAGCCGCGCTTCAAGGGCAAGGGGATGGCCCGGCACGGCCACCACGGTATGCCCACGGTTCTGGCTCGAGGCGCCGGCCTCATCGCCGAACCAACGGTCCTCCAGATTCCTGACTCATATACTGAGACTGGAGTCGGTGGGCCAGTTAATAATATGGCCGCAAGTTGGGGACCTGTGTGGCCCTACACGTGTAGCCGCTCAGCCTATAAACTGGTATGTATCAAGCATTGGATGAGGCGGGCGCGTTGCCAACTTGCCGGTCGGCCTCATACCAGCGCACCGCCGGAAACATTACGTGCTCGGCGTCCACGCGTTGGTAAACGGTCATCAGGCCAGCCAGTAGACGCGGATGCCTCCGTGTCGAGCCAGTCGTGTTGAGGAGCCAATGCTCCCTACCACGCCAGACCGTAGACACACGGCCCCTGAGCGAGCGGGGTTTGCTTGCCCTGAAGGTTAAGTAAGTAGTGACCGGAGCTATGCAGCGAAACTGTCAGAAACTCACTAGCCCTAATCCGCTCTCTCTTTATCTTGGTCCAGACTCAATATATCGTTACGGCGTCAGGTTGATGGAAGGCCTTAACCGCTCAAGAAGACGTAGTGGAGTGTAACGCCGGGGGGGAGGGGATAAAGGGGCCAACATACGTCGCGTCCGCGATAATTCTGCCGAGAGCACGCCTGTCCTCAGAGGAAGGCTTTTTTGGTCATGTGTGAGGGCTTCAGGAGATCCCAGATCCGTAGGGCTGCATCGACTTTAGTAGAGACGGCTGTTCCCTGACTCCCCTGGTGGGACTCATGGAGCCCGAGCCAAAACTCGAGGCCTTGCAAGAGAGAATCCATCACCAACAATGCCAACCACTCTCTCCTGATTTGCCCACTTGAACCAACTGCTGCGACATAAGTCACATACCTAAGTACCTTGTCAGTCACATCGACAGTGCTGCAATTGAAGCGTTGCCGCGCGGGTCGAAGCAGGGCAGGCTTCAGGCCGGATTTACCTATCGCTCACATAATTCATTGTAACTTAACATATTGCACAGTCATTGAACTTTGGAGTTGGACCCGTAGGAGTTTAACTCCCACCAGAGCGCCACAGGATGGGAATCCCATTCGCTGGACAACACTTGAAAACCTTGGGTTGCGGTTTTTCGTACTGTATCATATGCAGCACACTGTGGCTGCGCTGCAGTGGCTGGGCGTTCATTCAAAGTACTTAAGGTACCCGAGGTGCTGTATTCAAACACCGCATTTACGCTATTATGCTTGTACTGTACTTGTCTTCCGGTTGTTCGCACCGCAGGTACAAACCCTTAGCACCACTGACCACTCTTTGAAGGCAGATGCTTCCACCTCGATAAAATATGTACATCTAGGTACCTTCGTGTACGGTACGTATGCCATGTGTTGGAGGAGATGCTAAGGAAGGTGCGTTCTATACGTATCAAGATTCGCTTCGCTCCTTTTTCGTCGGCAGTTTGCACTCCTACCAATCCCAAATTCAATCCTCAGTGATTCCTCACATCCTTCAGTCCGACTTCCTTCAACATCATAGCTTCAATCTCGGTGATCTCACTGGCGTTGTATGGTCTTTTTGATTTCCGACAACGAGATACCAAGGCAGCTTCTGAGGTCGCCATTCAACTTGACCTATACCAAGAACTGTCCTCAGACTCAGCCCTCAACTCCAAGCTCTCCCCAGCGTCACCACCACCCGTACTACAGAGAAGAAATCTCATAATTATCAAACCAGTAACGCCCGTTCGGAGTCGTGGGTCACTCGGCACCTGACCAGCTCTTATCATCTTCCCCATACAACGGCATTGCAGACAGAGAAGGACTAGGCCTTCTCTAGTGGCTCCGTTGCGATTCTCTCCTCATACAGCTGTGTTCTACCGCTCATGGAGAATCACCTGGTGGTAGAGCATCTGCTAGCTCCAGTGGCCTTCAACATGGACGACCGAAACATCCTTGACAATATGGACGGCCGGATGCACGGCCCCATGAGCGGCTTCATCAAGAGATACTTTGGCAATTTTGAATTTGCCCAGCAAGGTTCTTCGTTGGAAATCAAGGCAGCTGGAAAAGTTAGTGGCCGCTGTACCATTCCATCAGCTGCGCCATCACCCGACAAATTCTTACATTGGTTCTCCAACTACGTGTCACGGGAGCTCGACGGCGCTCGAGGCTCGTGGCATATATCCAGCGGCGATGGACCACCTGTGCCCGATCAAGGGTGTGATGATGACGGTGCACGTCTCCTGTTGACCATGTCCCCTACACCAGCCTCCAACGTTCAAATAGAATGGGGCCATGTTCAGGTTATCGGCCAGTTTCACCGCCGCGGTTCTGTTTCTTACCAGCATGGGTTATTGCGTCTCTGTCGGTCCGCATACCAAGTCTTCGCCAGTCAACCTACGCGGCTCTTCCTACATGGCTTCTACATTCGCGGTTCACTTATCGAGCTCTGGGTCTTTGATCGATCTGGCTTATACTGCAGCGACCTCTTCGACATCCAGAAAGACTTCATCCAGTTTCTCTCTGTTGTTCTCAGCTACCAGAGGACGACGGACCAGGATTTGGGGAGAAGCAACCTCATTGAGACGGACGAGGGCGGCAGCTACGTTACTATTAACAATGGGACAGATCATTCTTTGGGAAAGCTCTACCTCGAAAGCCGACCCATTGCGTCTTCTGAAGACCTTGTTGGCACCGGGACAACTTGCTACCGGGTTAGAATGCCAGACTCGGATCGATGGGATTACGTCTTGAAGTTCAAATGGCGTTGGGCCAGGGAGCGTCCGGAGGATGAGCTTCTAGAGCTGGCCAAGGAGAAACGCGTTTGGGGTGCCGTTTCGCTTGACCATTACGAGGAGCTTGAAAGTACGGCGCATCTGCGCAGAGGTCTCCGGTGGGGGCCACACCGAAAATTCACCAGGACGCACTCTCGCAAGAAAGACGGGTATATCGAAGGCGGCCCGGAACGACAGGAAGTTACTTGCAATGCTGAGGGACTCGCCGAATATACAGAAGAAACCGGCAGCTTCCTCCAAAACCGCATCCTTGCCTGCATGGTTACTTCTCCCGTCGGCAGACCTCTTCACACATTCCAGTCTCTCTCAGAGTTACTTCAGGTGCTTCGTGATGCTATCAAGTGTCACCGGTCACTCTATCACGACGCAGGGGTTCTTCACCAAGACGTATCCCCAGGGAACATCATCATTGTGGATGGCCAACAAGATGAAGGAGGAGAAAAGCCTCGAGGGATCATGATAGATTTCGACTCCGCAATAGAGCTCGCCGCCGAAGGAGCAAACTCGGAGACAGACACAAACTTTAACATTATCGGCACCAGACCATTCATGGCTATTGGTGTTCTGAAGGGCGAACGTCATACGTATCGTCATGATCTGGAGTCTTTTCTTTACGTTTTCCTCTGGACAGTCATATCGAACCACAAACATGATCCCCCCCAAGGGACGAGCAGCAAACTTCGGCAATGGTCTAGGGGCAACTGGGATGAATTGGCGGTGCGCAAGTCGCTTGACATGGATCGGGACGGCTTCCAAGCTATCCTGGGTGAATTTCCTCCCGAATTCCATCCCCTCAAGCCTCTCGCCGAGTCTCTACGCCAGATTATGTTTCCCCTACGGGATGGGGTACTCTGGACAGGGACCGACGGCTCGCCTGAAGGGGTACGGAAGCTCTACGATGGAATAATCGGCGCGTTTGAAGAGGCCATTACTTCGATTTCTGGGGGCGTACGATAGATGTATTGGAATGAGCAGGGCTTTTTTCGGTGTCTCCTCCGAGTGTTGCTGTGGACATGGACAGGGAGCATGAGAGTGAGTGACGATACCCGTAGGATAGAGAGCAGGAGGTAGAACAGGAGAGATAATACCGAAACAATGTTCCATGATATTGTAAAGTCTCATATAATACATTGAAGGCCTAGCTGATATATATAACGAGATCAACAAACTTACCTCTTCTCCCGCAGCCCAACTTCGCTCACGTCGGTAAGAGAGCAGAGGAGAGGACGGGAGGGAGGTGGATTTCGATCCGATGTTGACACCCACACAGGGAGTCCCATGACCCGGGGTATATGATTGAGTTCCAACCCAGGAATTCCCAAGTTAGACTCACCACGGACCTGTGCCGTGGCCGAGTGGATATATCGGCTAACTAGAAATCGTTCTGCACGGTTTCGTAGGCGCTCGAGAGGCCGGGAGCTCGACTATCCTCGCCAACGATTTGTCGTTGGACTTTCGAGGGGTCTAGATCTCCCCAGCTTATCTCGGGCGCTGAGCTTTATGCTGTTTTTTTCTACTAGGTTTTCATTTTTTTCACATATACTCCTTGTTACTTTCACCGCCCTTCCGCCCTCAAACCCCTTTCGATGGTACTTCTGCACATAGTGTCCTTCCTAGTCGATGAGTTCCGGGCCCCCGGTCATGCCTCCTGAATCCTGATCAACGAAAGGATCAACGGCAGCGGAAGCCCCAACAGCTACAGGGCACAGACATTAGCTCAAAGTGAACTTCCATCGTTGGGTAAAACGGCTGTGGTAAATAAGGCGATCCAAGGCAGGTAGTTCGATCTTGACGTTGGTTTGACAACGACGCTTCAACGGCGTCTGGCTTGATCTTGGAAGCACTGCACCAGTGACTGCTGATGGGAGAGATATCCCGACCTCTCAACAGATGTCTGTGATTGCATCGAACACAATTACATGCTCAGAGAGTAAAGCGTCCATCTGGGAATGGCTTGGTTGCTCTTAAAGATTGTGATTATCATCTACCTTGTTCTATGCCGTATAGACCTCGTTAGATTGTGTGCCTCAACGTGTGCCGACGTGGTTACTCGAGCCTCTTAGACGTCTCGTGAGACAAATCGGTTCAGCTTCAGTCAAACAACACTCAATAATCGTCTCATGCTTCACCGCAGCAGAAGATACCGAGGAGGACGATGTAGGTATGTATTTATGCAGCCTCCCAGCGCACCTACTCGTCTGCTCATTCTGCCCTAAAACACCAAGGGCGACTATAATGCCGCTACTGGTGCAGATAGATATTATCTTAGATGCCTGAGACCTATCGATACCCCGAGCTGTTACCACCCAGGCGCGAGTCGGCTTTACCAGAGTCCTAAGCGGTAATGCCTACTGACTTCTCCACCGGGAAAGTCGCCGTGATCTCATCCTCCCCGTCGTCATCGTCGAGGTTTAGCAGCTGGAAGCGGTTATGCACCGGCGCAGAAGTCTTCTTCGGAGCAGAGAACTCCCTTCGGAACTTTGGCGGCTGCTGTGGGTACGGCTGGTCGCATTCATCAACGTCGAATTCGAGCTTCTTGCCCTTGTATCTCCTATTCTTACATTAGCTTGACCGCCACAATCGAACTTTAGGTTTTGCATACAGTCGGGTCAGCATGCATTGGCGCGCGTGAATGGCATTATGCACCGAGTTCAGACTGATGTAGCAGTTATTGCCGATGTATTCCACCTTGATCACGACCAGGTTGTGGATGTGGTCCAGATCTGCGCGGATGACTTCCTCGGTATGCCGGTTATCGTACGCCCGAAGAACAAGGTTGCGGGTGGCCCCCTTCGCAATCCTGCCCGCGACATGGCCTGGTAAGACGAACTGGCGATCGTTCCACCTAACGTCAATCTGCTGCAGAGTTAGGGGCTGGCCGCCGCAATACAGGATAGGGAGGCTAATCACCCGCTTGTTCTTAATATAGAGATCATGGCGGCGGACGTGGTCGCAGAACTTTCGGGCGTCTGCTGAGCGGAGAAAAGAAACCGTTGCGCAGCGCTCGTGGCTCCGCAGAAAGATGTCCAAGAGCATGCCGCCGCGCACAGCATTGGTGATATCAGCATGTGTCGTCCCCTCTGCAAGATTGGAAAGTAAGACCGTGCGAGTGCAGTGCTGTTCAAACTGCTCTTGACCCTTAGACTTGACGTGATTTGAGCTTGAGGATCCCTCTATCGGTGAATCGACATCACTCGTGGCAATCTCGTCGTCGTCGTCGTCGTCGTCTTCCACTACTTCTTCGTTGTCGGCCCGCGTGGAGCGCTGATGATATTGGCCATTGGTAAAGCCGCTGGTCATTCTCCCCCTTTGGGCCGAGGTATGTGGCGTGGAGGAGTAAAGCCGGGCGCCTCCCTCCTCCTTTGAGCCGGTCTGCGGGGGGGGTGTTGGCTGCCGATTCCCTTGCTGAATTGTCTCGTCATCTTGACTGAGAAGCTGCCATCCGTTAATCACGATGAATCCTCCGCCGCAAGACTGTGCCTTTCGCACTCGTGACCACGAGAACATACATCCACCGTCTCCTCTCCTACACCACCGCGAAGCAGATTACGCTTTAGGTTTTCTAAATCTCAGTTAGTCCCAAGACAGCAAATGATGGCGTGTAGGCGCAACCATGCCGTATCGTTTGGAAGTGGATAGGAGAAGGTCATATTCGGCCTGCGAAATGACCACAGATGAAAGGCGTCCATTGGCCTCGGGTGATTGAGTATTCTCGACGACGGTTAGACTTCTCGCTTCGGGGTGTCAGTCGTGATGATATGGACATACAAATTGGGCACTGGGCAATGAAACAAACGTCAGCCTCAGCAAACGATGATTGTGATGACAAGGCGATTGCGACCATAGGGAAGTTGAGTGAGCAGACGGGTCGCAAATCGTAAATGAAGCAGGGGTGACTTACCAGCGAAGGAGGGTATCGAAATAGTCGCGGTCGATGGTCACAGTGGCCGACGACATGTTGGCCATGACCCAAAAAATAGGAAGGGAGAAATGGCGGAGAGGAAAAGAAAAGCTGAAGGGGACGCCAAGTTGGCGAAAAGATCGCCCAAATAGTGGCAGCCGTCCCAACGTTTGAAAGACAATAGCGACGGCAGGTTGGGTTCAGGAAGGCATGACGGGATATCGCGTTGCAGACTTGCAGCGACGGGTCACACTATCGAGCCTATCACAGGGCCCCGATTGCTCTGTTCTCACGTGTGACACCCAACGGCTACAGGCATTGGCGGTCATTTCCGGCGCTAACGGAACACGGACCAATACCTAAAAGCCGCCGAGGGCAAACGTCACTTTCTAGCGCTGTCAGTCAATCTCGATTCGTCCGTCACTGTCAGACGACTGCAATTCCACTGCACTGGAGAGAAAGTCCGGCATAGTTCAGACGAAGCAGAAGTTCACTTTGGCACCTGCACTTGCTTGCATAGTACGAAGGCGCCGAGTAAGCTAGGGCTGTTTGCTGGCATGTATGGATACTACTGCGTCTCAATCATCTGTTGTCATCTTCGAGGTCATCGCGTTTCGATCGGTCGGTTGACTGCAAACAACTACCGAACCATGAGGCCGGACATTGATCAGATCCCGACCGGCCGGCTTCCCATCGTGTCTTCAATTTGCCTATCTAAGGTATTGGTGGTTCGGACAGATTTATGGTGAGTATCTTGATGCAAGAGGTTCTCTTGACAGAGAGGACAATCAGCTGTGCCATCAATGAGCAAGCCGAGGCCGCTGCAAGTGTCGTCGATCCCTACTGAAGACGCCTACCGGTACATACCAGACCATCAAGTTGCGACATGCGATATCCGTATGGTACCAGAATTCGGTGAGATGATGCCGGCCGGTTGACCGGCATCTTGATAGTGGCCCCTGAGGATTACAAAGAGCCAGCCAACAACAGTTAATACATGTGTGGTTGGGTGACGGGCGAGATCTATGCTGGATCGAGAGGACTCGGTCCACTGCAAGCATCACCCTTCAGCGGGTTGAGGTATGTATTTTGGATTATGAGGAAAGGCCATGTCCCAACCCCATCGCAAGAGGTGATGTGGAAAGGCTGGTGAGCGCGAGTTTATATGAAGGTATCCGCGGCAAAGGTTTCACTGCGGCGGAGATCACCATCCGTTTCAACTGCGCTGTGTCGAAGACAACGGCGACACCGTGGTACTCCGTAGGGGCCGTGGAATGCTTCGTTAAGAAACAGGACTTGTTGTCGAACCCAGCCCGGTAGTATCAGAGCAACGCATCCGGGCAATCATCTGTCGCTGATGGAGAGTTTACCGGAATGGACCCATGGAAACAAGGGAACCGATCTCGATATTTATGCATCCGGAAACAACGTGCAAACCAGCATTGCTTGGAGACGTCAAGTTCAGTAGAAGAGCGATAGGTCAGCGTTCTTTATGTTAACTAGGTATTTTTAGCCGGTGCTTGAACACGAACAATGCCTTCCTTCTGGACCCCGCCTAATACGAAAACCGCTAGCTTGGGTGTCGTCTCCCGGGTTCCTCACAGCGCCACCACGGCACCACCCAGGGCAGCCAGGCCCGGGCTGAGCCCATCCAATCTCTCTGATTGGACGAAAACGCTTCTGCACCTGTGTGCAGAAGCAAGCTGTGGGCCCTTTCTTCGCATTCCAGCGTCTTCCGAGCAACCTGAGATCTTCGATTCTTGTTTCTTTAGCAACCACTTGCCTACGCAGCACACTCGTTCTTGTGTTCGAGACACTCGCTTCGTTTTCTCGGTTTTCTTGCAGCACTGTTTTTATTTTCTACAGAACCACCAGAGCACCGCACTCGGTCCAATTCAGCATTGCACATTGGTATCTGCGCCATTTCGGGCGGGTCTTATTTACGGCCAGTAATAGGGGCTACCCGCCGCGACCCCAGCGAAAGCCGTGTCACGTCCGTCGCCAGATCGCCGGCCCGCCGACAGTGAGCGACTATCTGCAGAATCCATTTTCTACCCGTCAAACAATCCTTGCTTCGATCTATTCTGGTAATTTCCGGGGAGATTGAACTGCGCGGGTTCCGTCTAAGGCGCAGTTACAAGCCGTCTTCGACGGTCCCTCCAGGATCTCCGACACCATTCAAAACCGAGCAGTCGTCATGAAGTCTCCTCTATCCGCCGGCCATTTGGCAGTTGCACTCTTGTCACTCACCCCTTCAGTCTCCGCTTTGAGCTGGCCGAGGTGGCTCCCCGAACTTGACACACTCGTTGTCCGGCAGGATGACTCGTCAGGTACGCATGATTCCTGATTAGCTCACTACGGCCCAACCAGCGTCCTAACATGCAGCATGCTAGACTCTGGCTCTGTCACCCCAACACCAACCGCAACAGCTTCCCAGTCGAGCGAGGGCGATGAGGGCACCGTAACCAGCACCTCGACACGAGGTCGTAATACGCCCGTCACAACGAACCTCAACACAGGCGGCATCACACAGACGGGGACGGCATCCGGCACGGCCCGCGCGACGGGCAACAGCACACGCGCGAGCACGACAAAGCACGCCACGTTCAACCCGCAAGACCCCGCAGGCGGTATAACCATGGTCACGCCGGCCGCCACGGCCGGGTTACAGCTGTACAAGCTCGGCGACAACGTGACGTGGGCGTGGAACTACACGAGTCTGCAGGCGACGCCGACGGCCATCGACGTGCTCATCTCCAACACGAGGGTGGCGCAGCCGTGGACGCTGACGCAAAACATGTCATGGGCCGAAGTCCAGAGCTACACGTGGGACACCAACAGCTACACGCAGCTGGAGCAGGTCGTCGCGACCCCCTTGCTGACCGACATGTACACGCTCATTGTCTACGACGCCGACAGCGAGATGACGGCTACCCCCGAGGCCGGCTACCTCGCTCCCTACTCGGGCTTCTCGTTCGGTCTGTACGCCAAGCAGGAGTACCACGACACGGGCGACGGCTGGCAGTGCGCTTCGTGCAGCGGCGCCATGGGCGGCATGGACAGCAGGGCCCTGGGCACGGCGCTGGCCATGAGCGCTGTGACCGTGCTTACCTTCACGTGGTTTGTGGCTGGCCTGGGAGCATCTCTTTGATTCTGATTCTTGACGAGCATGGGCGCGAGAAAAGAAGAAATGGAGGGAAGGGTAAGCGCTTGACGGCGGAATATCGTTCTTGTAATATCTTTTCAGTGGGGTTGCTACGACTTGGGCCATTGCCGGCCGGCGGCGGAGGGTCGGTTTGTTCTCTTACACTAACTAATGAGGGGTCCAGAATGGGAAGGGCGTTGGTCGTTTTGTTGCACCATGGGCATCATTTCATTTTGATATTCATTGGTCTGCTTTGGGCCAGAAAAAAAGAGCGGAAAAGGAGGGAAGAAGGGGTGATTCTTGTCTGGCAGATAGGTAGTATTCCAGTGGTTAATGACACCAGCATGTACCTACATTGAGTAGCCTAACGAAAGCATATCTTCAAATTTATATCGGGATCTTCTTATAGTGATATAGTTCTGCTTTATGATCTACGTCGAGTCTCTTCTTCCAGGCTATGGGGAAGGGAAATCACCCTAAAACCGGGTTGTGGGTTTCACGAGCATATCTTCCTAGCAACTGCTATCTGCACAACTCTGCTCCAAAAAGCAGCATAACCACCCCTGACACCCCCCTCTTGTCTTGCATTTACACCATCCGCAGCGAGAAACCGCCTCCGCGTTCCTCCCTCTCCCGCCCGGAAAAGATGCCGCTGAAATCGACGACGCCGAGCCCAGCCGGCGCCTGGCCCCGCGCGGGTGCGTTGGGGGTCTCGCGGCGCCGCCGCCGCTCCTGGCCCGCCTTGCTGGGGAAGGTGGGGAACATGGCCTCCTGTTTTGGTTTCGGGTCCTGGCGGAAGTAGTCGTGGGCGAGCATGTCACGCGCCGACGGCCGCCTCTCCGGGTCGAGCGCGAGCAAGCCGTTGAGGAGGGACACGCCCGCCGAGGTGAGCAGGGGGAACCTGGCGCGGACGAGGGAGCCTGATGAGGAGGAAGAAGATTTGGGCGGCAGGCGGAGGCCGCGGGCGTTGGGCAAACGCCGGAAGGACGGCCACGAGTCCTCGGTGGGGACGCCGCACAGCTCGAAGATCTTGGTCAGTTGGTCGACCTCGTTGCGGCCCTGCAGCAGCGGCTCGCGCGTGAGTAGCTCGCCGAATATGCATCCCACGCTCCACATGTCGATGGCCGACGTGTAGCGCGCCGCGCCGAGCAGCAGCTCCGGGGAGCGGTACCACAGGGTTACGACCAGCTGGGTCAGTTTGGGCGGCGGGTCGCCCACGTACCGCGCCATGCCGAAGTCGGCGATCTTGAGCTGGCCGCGGTTGTTGAGCAGCAGGTTGGAGGTCTTGAGGTCGCGGTGCAGGATCCAATTGTCGTGCAGGTAGGCGACGCCCGCGGCGAGCTGCTGGAGTAGGGTTTTGATCTCGGAGGCTAGGAAGGGCTCGGGCATGTCCTCGAGGATGGACTTGAGGTCGTGCTCGACGAATTCGAGGACCAGGAAGATGCTGCGCGACAGAAAGGAAAATGGTCCAGTCAGTACATTCCAACGCAAGATCTGCGGGTCGGTAAGGAAGGGCAGCCAAACTTTTCAATCCTGTCCGTGTCCTCCCCGACGACCACCTCCTGCAGTTTGACCACATTCCGGTGGTCACAATCCTTGAGGATCTGTATCTCGCGCAGGCCCGTAACCGGAAGGCCACCTCGGTCTTTGGGGTCGATCTTGAGCCTCTTGAGCGCTACCACCTTGCCCGTCGCCAGCTCACGCGCCCGCGACACCCAGCCGTAGGCGCCTTCCTCGATGTCGTTTAGCTTGTCGTAGTTCTCAACGCTGCGACACCTGTCGAATGCGCCGCCCTCGAATCGCAATAGTTTTGGGACGGGGATGCTTTCGGCTGATGCTCCAGCCGTCCGGGGTGCCTCTCGGTCCGGTGATAGCTTCCGTCGCTTCGCGGGTGGGCCGTTCGTGCTGTCGGGGTGTTGTTGCGTCGCTGCTGCTGTAGCGGCGTCCCGGGCTTGTTTCTCGGCTTCGAGCTTCCGCGCCTTTTCGGCCTTGAGACGCTTTTTCTCCTCTCGCTCCCTCTTCAGCTGTGCTTCGAGTGCTGCGTCCTCCTCGTCATCGGCCCAGCGGGACTTGAGCTTGCTTGCCATTTCATCGGAGGGGAAGTGGTTCGCAAGCGCAAAACGCAGCGTGGCAAATTCTTAGAAGTTCGAGGCTGGGACTGGCGTATACAAAAACGGCCTCTGTCACTGTCGCCGGAGCTTCAGAATTTGCAACACCGTCTGTGGCGGCGATCGGTATGGAGGGAGATCAGCAGGCATTTCAAGAGCTTGATGTAAGTGTCGAGACAAGGCTAAGGTACCCTGGACTGCTTTTTGTTTGGAGATTTCCTGGGCGGTCAGAGCTTGGACTCTGTAGACCAGATCGATGTGCTTTGGATGCGTTTTTCTGGAGCAGAAAGCCAAATAAGAATAAAATGTTGAACACAGCAACTTTTTCATGTTCTACCCAAATCTCAGGTGTACGGACTGAACTTGGAGATTGGCGTCTTAGGTAGGTTGCAGCAATGATAGTACAACCCTAACCCGCGAGGCTACATCGCTCCGTCACTTGCACAGTGGTGAAGCATCAACCAAGCATCTGGGATGGGAGCTCAGACATGGAAAGGGACCCAGGCACGCTGAATCCGACATACCATGTGCCGTACAGAGGCTACAAAGAGCAAAGAAATGTTGACAGCTTCTCTAGCACTGGAAAAGGATGGAAAAAACGAAAAAATTGACCGACCCAGGGATCGAACCTGGCACCTTCTCGGTGGAATTACTCCAGTTGAGTCCAACTTTGTGAACGAGACGTGATAACCACTACACCAGTCGGCCTTTGATAAGATGTGCGTCGGGTTAGGGGATTATGACGACTTCTTGCCCAATGCGAAATCAATCTAAGAATCTCAGAACCCAAGTTAGCTGTCTTGGTCGACATTCCCCAAACCGAAACTGCAGGTTAGTATTATTGAAGAGGATAAGAATGGATGCATCATGGAAAGAGGGACGCCCTGCAATCGGCGAGATACTGTTATTGTGCATGTACCGGTAATGCTAGGTACTGTAACACAGCGTATTGATACAGTACCGCATCACTAGGTAACTGCATTAAGACGGCCTAGGCCGTGCCAATCTCCCGTCCCTTTTAGCGTCCAACTCGCTCCTTTCCATGCCTTATACCGCAGCCTTTCTTGCACTGCGCAACGGGGAACGGTCTCAACCAACATTTCTTTTGTGAATAATTACTCGCCAGCCTTTTACTCGACAGGTGTCTCCAGATGGCCGGCCGCTTTGTACGCGCGTCGAAATATCGTAGGCAGCCCTTGGCTCTGCTCGCGTGCTTGGCCGCGATGTAGGAAACGGCCTCGAAATGGCGACAAGTACTGACCGACCCTCCGGCAGGACACGTCTTTGGCAAGCCCACCAAGAGGGAGCTGTGCTACGACAACCTCCACATCAGCCGCAATGCCTGGGATACCAACTTGGTGAAGGTATTCAAGTCTCGCTTGTAGCCCGAATCTCCAGCGCATCGCAGCGCAAGCGCATCGCATAGCATGATCACATTAGCATTACTGACCCTCATGTTCTTGCTAGGCAAACCCAGAGTACCTATCGGTCAACTGGGAAGCGAGCGGTGGCGGCGCGTTTGCCGTGATTCCCCTGAATGAGCGTGGGAAGCTGCCCGACCAAATACCCCTTTTCCGGGGGCATACTGCAGCCGTGCTCGACACAGATTGGTGCGCGCCTCAAACATGTTAACAGAAGGAAGAATGGTCTGACACGGGACATAGGAATCCATTCAACGACCGCATCATCGCTTCGGCATCTGACGACGGCAAGGTATTTGTGTGGGAAGTGCCTAAGGGGTTCACCCTTTACACAGATGCCGAGGAGGTTCCCGATGTCGCGCCTGTATCCAGACTTAGTGGCCACTCAAGGTTCGACTACGCAACTTAATAACTTTGGCGGCAGTGCCGTGCCCCGCTAACCTATCCGATAGAAAAGTCGGGCACGTCCTCTTTAACCCAGCGGCCGAGAACATCCTCGCCTCCTCCTCAGGCGATTTGACGATCAAGCTGTGGGACATCAGCACTGGCCAGGCGGCTATTACCCTCAAGAGCGCAGAGATTATACAGAGTCTGTCGTGGAACGCCAGCGGTTCGCTGTTGGTAACCACCTCCAGGGATAAGAAGCTGCGTGTATGGGATGTGCGTCAGGAGAAGCTCGTACACGAGTATGCGGGCCATGAGGGCGCGAAGAACAGCCGGGTAGTGTGGATGGGCGAACACAGCCGTTTTGCGACCACGGGTTTCTCGAGGATGAGCGAAAGGCAGATCGGGCTATGGGAGCCAGGCCGGAAAGACCCCATCGGCGGTTTCACGTCACTCGACTCCATTTCGGGTGTCTCCATGCCTTTTTGGGGTAAGCCTCCATTTGTACCCTTTGGCGCAAATCAGGTCCTAACTTTGTTTTAGACGAGGGATCAAACTGTCTCTATCTCGCTGGAAAGGGGTAAGTAAGCTGTCAACGGGGGGGGGGACCAAATGTGTACTCACGCTCTCCAGTGATGGCAACATCCGCTATTTTGAGTACGAAAACGACAAATTCGAGTTCTTGTCCGAGTACAAGTCGGCGGATCCTCAACGAGGTATTGCGTTCGTGCCACGGCGCGGCATCAACGTCCATGAAAACGAGGTAATGAGGGCCTACAAGACGGTCAACGACACCTACATCGAGCCCATCTCCTTCACTGTTCCCCGCCGTGCCGAAACTTTCCAGGCCGATATCTATCCCCCGGCTATCGGCACCAAACCTGCCATGTCTGCCAAGGAATGGTTTGACGGGAAGACGGCCGTTCCGCCCAAGATTGATATGGAGAGCATCTACGAGGGCACTGCACCTGTTGAGGTGCCTGCTGACTACAAGCCGCCTGCTGCTGCGCCAGCTCCTGCGCCCACTCCTGCGTCGGCCCCAAAGAAGGAACCCGAGCCGACACCGGCACCGGTGCGTGCTCCGGCTACAGTGGCTGACCAGAAAAGCTCCATCTCGGCCATGGCGAACAAGTTCCAAGACAACGACGAGGAAGAGGATGACGACGATGAAGCCGAGACGTCAAGCTTCGAGGAGATCACGCGGCCTGTACCCCGTTCCAATATCCCCGTTCGGTCTGCGGCCAAGCCAGAACCTGTCACGACAAGCGTCCCGGTCGTGCAAGCGAAGCCGGCGTCGCCGGTCAAATCACCCCCGGCCAACGCACCATCAGCTAGCCGCGCTGCTCCTGTGAGCACGCCGTCAGCCCCGGCGGTTGAGTCTTCGCTGGAGCAGATCAAGCACCTCCTTGAGCAGCAGGGCCAGATTATCAGCGCTCAGAGTGAGAAGATCACGGCCCAAACCCAGATCATTGCCCGTCTTGCTGCCGAGGTTGAAACGCTCAAGAAGAGGGTGGGTGCGGCGCCACAGGACCAGAGCGAGCGGATCCGGCAGCTGGAGCTGGAGCTGGAAGAGGCGAGGTCGTGAGTGCTCGCGCTATGGTTAGTCTTCAGAAGGGCTTGGAGAATGGCATGAGTTGAACAGTGAAGTATACGACGAAGATGTTTATGAGCAATGTGGAGGCGTTCAGGGGCTCTTTGGAGTACACCCCTCGTTGCATTACAAGCTGGCGATGGAAAATGTTCTCGTGTGTTGGCACCTCTTCTGGACAGGCAGCGGAACGAATACCCAGACTAAACTGCAACCTGTGATTCGAATACCTCGTCATTGGGATGCTTCTGCCGGTCCTTGGCAAGGACGGTGAGCGGCTTTCCACGTACGGTGTGCATCAACCAACAATACTAGCGGAAAGTTGGCATGAGTAAGCTGGATAAGCCCGTAGTGGTGCATCTTGACTACCGCCTGGAGTTCTATCCGTCTTCTCTATGTGGGACTGCACGAGCAGCTCGCAGATCCCGCCATGTGTCTAGTAATACCAATCTACCACACTGCGGCCCTCACCTTTCCCCGCCGATGGCCACAAAGTCCTGCACATCAAGCGGTTTCAGATCCGGAAACACTCCCTCCTGCCGCCCCCGCAACCCAGCCATGAGTCGCTCAATCTCGTCAAGCTCCCGGTCAACCTTGGGGTCCCCGAGTCCCCTGAGCACCCTTAGGTCCTCCTCGGCGGCCGCTTCCTCCTCGCGCGACAACCCCCTGGCCCGCTCCATCTCCAAGGCTTCCAGTGCTGCGAGCCTGTCTCGCCAGCGTTCTTTACCACCCTGCCCATCCTCCATGGTCTGGTTGTCGTACACCACCAGCCCGTTCCTCCTCAGCACCACAACCCGCCCCACCACGGCAGGACTACCACCACAACCGTCGTCTTGTTGTTGTCGGTCAAGCCAGCCCACAGCCGCCGCCAGCCCCGCGTAGCTCTCGTCATGCACTCCCCGCGGGGTGAGCCGCACGGGTAACCCCCTCGCGGGCCCGGCCTCGGGCAGCCGCCGGTAGTAGCGTGTCAGGATCCCCAGACGGCTGAGGCATGCGGGGACGGCGAGCACGGCTACTCGGACGTCATATTCATATTCGTAACCTGCTACTGCTCTTTCCCCGGGTGGTTCGGGGAGTGACGAAGCAGAACAGAGGTGGTGGGAAGAAGGATGAGGGGGGGAGAAGACGCGCACAAGGGCCTCAAACTCCCCCCTACGCCGGCACGCGCTCTCAACGAGCACGTCGACCCCTGCATGGGCCGCGTGGGAACATACTTCGCGCAGCCAGGCGGCTGCGTCGGACCCGGCCAGGCGTGAGGCGTGGGAGGGGTGGGTGAGGAGGCAGGTTTGGTAGTGCGGGTGGTAGGTCTTGAAGGTGTCTGCTATCAGGTGGACTACTACTCCTTTACCATCATTGTGATGGGGCTGTTGTTGCTGCTGCTGCAGGGCGTCAAGTAAGAGTGGGGCGAGACGGGTCTTGCCTGCGCCTGTTTGGCCTAGGATCAGGATTGCGAGCGGTCGGCGGCGGGGACGGGATTGTGTGTCAGGGTTGGTTGATTCTGCAGGTCGAGGGGTAGGCAAATAGGGGTATAATTCCCGCGGGAGGATCTCGTTGTGGAGGATTTGGGCGTGTTGCGCGGCGGTTAGTTGCCAGGTTGACAGGATGGAGGGGATGGCTTCTGGGGTGGTGGTGGTGCTGGTAGTGCTGGTGGTGGTGGGCGCTGGAAGGGGTTGCGGCGGGTTGCTGGAGAGCCTGTTGGATGACCCGGGAGGAGGGGATCTTCTTGCGGATTCGCCGAGGGCGGGTTCCTGGGGGTCCGTCATTGTGGGCCGACAGGCTGGCAGCATTAAGGTATATAAGGTATATTCTCGAAATGTTCAGGGCTGAGAATGCTTGCCAGGTTGTACAAGTACCTGAAGCCAGCCAGCAGGACACGTCGAGTCGAGATCTGATATGGTCCGTCGTTGTTGACATAGGGGATCTGACTCGGCAAAGTTGGTCAAGTTGCCAGCAGTACGCTCTGAACGGCATTAGCACAGGCCTGGAGAATTGATCGAAAAGGTACGGAGTAATACGCACCTGATGTACAATGGGCTCCTGTGTAACTACAAAAAGCTGTTAGATCGTTTGCAAAGGTGCTGTTGTTCAGTTGAACCGGCTTCACCCGTTCAAGGCATAATTCGGGCACTGAAAACCTAACGAATACTAATGTTTGCTCCCACACGCAAGGCTAGCTCTAATAACAATGGAAGCACCGGAATACCGAATGCACGTTACGTAAGTGATCAGCTATGATCTATCTGTACGTGGGACGATGCGCGAGTACCATCCATAGAGGTATAAAGGTATGTGTACTGCGTGCCGGAGGGTTGGAGATGTGCTGCAAAACCACGGCACTGCGTCGTGTCAGGCACACTTTTTGACGGAGGGGAGCTGCCGAATCCGACCTAACCCAGCCGGGTAACCCGGGTTACACGGGGTTACACTCGGTGCCAGGCATGCCCGTGTCTGATAGCAGCCTCAAATTCACGATACCTCCACCTTCTACCGTGTATGCTGAGCACCAAGGTGAAGAACCAACCTCCGACCTAACGATGAGACCGAAGGCGGCGAAGGGTTTCTGTCCAAACCCGACTCCGACGAACGGCCCGGCCGCGCTTATTCCCGGGTCATGCCGAATGCCGAGTCCGCACCCCGCGCTCCACAAATTCGGGGCTATGGCGGGTGTCACTTGAAGAAAGGGCCCACCTGCTCCGATACCCGCTCCGGTGGCGCCGGCAAGTTTTGGTCCCTTTTAGGGGCCATGGTATATAGCGTAGAAGATCTTGGCTGTTTGCTCCATCAACAACAACAAACTTGTTTTACCCCTTTTCCCCTTACCCCTTTTCACTCTCACCCTTCATCCCTTCCCCCTTTTCCCCGGCTATCACCAGAACCAACAAAGCTCCCAAACTCACATCAACATTCGCCGTGCGCAATGGCAACCCGCGCAGCCTCTACCCTCCGTTCATACCTGGCGGATCCTTCCAAGACTCTCATCTGTCCAGGCGTTCAGGATGGTCTTTCCGCGCGCGTCTGCCTCGAGCAGGGCTTTGAAGCCCTCTACATGGTCTCGATCACCCCCAGACTATAACCCCCTCCCCCCGCCCCCCCCCTTCTCTTTGGCTGCTGACACCTGTACCAGACCGGCGCGGGAACAGCCATCTCAACGCTGGGCATGCCCGACCTCGGATTGACAACCGCCGACGACATGGTGCGCAACGCGGGCATGCTTGCCTCGCTGGACCGGTCCGTGCCCGTGATTGCCGATGCCGACACGGGATTTGGCGGGCCTGTAATGGTTGCGCGGACGGTACTTAACTTTTTCCCCCCTTCCCCCCCCTCTTTCATCCTTTATTGATAAGAAGAAAAGGTAGAGCGGTACATCCTCTCTGGCATCGCAGGCCTACACATCGAGGACCAGGTGCTCTCCAAGCGGTGCGGCCACCTGCTAGGAAAAGAACTGGTCGACGTCGAGACGTTCACGGCGCGGATCCGCGCGGCCGACGCGGCCCGCAAGCGACTCTCGTCGTCTGTGTCGGGGGCGTCCGACTTCGTCATCATTGCCCGCACCGACGCGCTGCAAAGCCTCGGCTTTGACGAGGCCGTGGCCCGGCTCAAAGCTGCGGTTGCCGCGGGGGCTGATGTGGCGTTTTTGGAGGGGATGAGGACGCTGGATGAGATGCGGAGGGTTGTAGAGGTCATGGTTCGTCCCGCCCCCCTTTCTTTGTTTATGCTGTGGGGAGTGGGGATAGTGACGATGCTGACTGAGACAGGCACCGACGCCCTGCCTGCTAAACATGGTGGCGGGCGGGGTTACGCCGCTGATTGATGCGGCCGCGGCCAGGGAGATGGGCTACAAGATCGTCATATGGCCGTGCTTCGCCATGACGGCTGCGTACCTCGCCTATCGGCAGGCGGCCGAGGAGCTGAAGACGACGGGGGCCATCAAGGAGCGCGTTGGGCCCGACGGGAAGACGGTGGTCGGCGGGATTCGCGACATTTTCGAGCTCTGCGGGCTGACTAAGTGCGCCGAATTCGACAGGGAGATGGGAGGGAAGACGTTCGAAAAGGGTGTATAGTCGGATGTCTAGTTATCAGTACCGCCCCTGACAATATCATACAAGTAACAGAGATTCCACCCACTAATTCACTCGCAGTACAACTTCCCCCTTCAAAACCCACCACCATAAGACCCCTCATAAACCCCGGTATCCCAAACCACCAAACTCCCTCTCCTCCGCCAATCCTCATTGAACCACCCGTTCCTCGCAGCCCACACCCTCCTGAGCTTGACGCCCATGTCCTTGCCAGGGGCATCCTCCCCCTCAAAAAACCGCTTGAGCACCCCTTCCACACCTTCAAACCCAACAATATACCGCGGAATCTCACCTGCCCGCCCATTGCCTTTGGCCGGCCACATCTCCTCGGCCAAGAACCTAACCCCGTACTCCCCATCCGGAGCGGCCAAGTAAAAGCGATCGGCCTCGTCAAGGTAGGCATTCCTCTCGGCACTGCCGGGCGCGGTATTCAGCGGCGGCTCGCAGGTAAGCGCGCGCGCGCGCAGGGCCGGGTAGACGAGGTGCGATCGCCAAGGGGTAGAGTGGCAGGGCGTGAGGAATAGGGCAAATAGCTCGGTACTGTCGCTGACGTTCTTGCTGTGGTTATCATGGTTGCTGATAGCTAGGACATTCGGATGGAGGCGCTCAAAGTCCGTCCGGAGGAACTCGACAACTGAGAGGGGTGCTGACTGGTGGAAAAGAGAGAGGTAGCCAGCTAAAAAGAGGTTGATGGAGAGGATGTATGCGAGTGTGTGCTTGTGGCGGAGAGAGACAGGGCTGGAGGTTGACTGCGGCGATGATGCGGTGGGCTCTTTGGTGAAGAATGATGTGATGTATGGCGCCCCGGCGATGTGGAAGATTGGTAGGAGTGGGTAGATGAAGCGGACTTCTTTATGGGAGATGAGGGAAAGGAGCAAAATCATGCCCGCAGAGACCAAGGAAAGGGTCCTGAGAACGCTGGATTGGCTATTAGGAAGCTTCTGGGGCGAGGAGAAAGCCTTCCAAAGACCAATCACGCAAAAAGGGAGAAAAGTAGTGGTCAGGAGGGGGACGCCCTGGGAAAGATAGTAATGCCAGGGCATGCGGCCGTAAAAGACGGCAAGCGCCTGCGAGAGGTTGAAGTAGAGCCACTTGTATGGCGGAAACGTCCAGAAACCAAAGTAGAGACGATCAGATGCGAGAGAAAGCGCCAGGACTGCCGCCCCGCAGATCAGAATCTCTCGGATGAGCACGATCAGGCACGAGGTTCCCAGCGCTGGTTTACTTTTACCAGTCGGCCTCAGAAGTGACAGACTCAGAACGCCAAGCCATATAATCAGATTTGTTGCCCGTAACAAGACGGCAATGGCTGCAAGCACGAGCGATATCCGGAGGCTGTCATTGTTTCAGCCCAGTATCGATCCGCCAGCAGCAGTCACGGAGGGGTCCTACCTTGTAACTGTGTGTTTCTGGAGTAAGGACAAACCACTGCCCGCCTTCTCATCTCGGAAAAGGGCCCATGGCCAGTATGCCAGGGCGGCTATGGTCAAAGTTGTCTCCAGCGAGTTGGAAAAGGTCCTTGTGGAGCAATACCACTGCCAGGGGTTGAGCACCGTCATCCACAACTGCACCTGGTCAGCAAAAGTGCCAAGGTGACACTCGGAGCAAAGACAGGAAACTGACAGCAGCCCATGGAGCATTGCTTTCCTTGCCGTAGATGTCCATGGCAAGCTTCCACGTGTAAAATTCGGCCAGCGCGGCAAAGACGGACTGCAGAGTCCCCGGCAAGGCGACGAGGATAAAGGCCCTGAACGGCACAAACAGATGGAGGAAGCTCATCAAACTATCCACAGCCTTGTACACCAGCCCAAAGATTGCCGGGTGCAGCGAGGATCTGAGCTGATGTTGCCATTCCTAAGGTTTTGTTGGTGGTTGATTGTCAGTGAACAGCTACATACAACTCATGCACACGCATGCTCTGAAAAAAAAAAAAAAAAAAAAAAAAAAAAAAAAAGAAAAAAAAAAGAAAAGAAAAGAAAAAAAAAAGAAAAAAAAAGAAAAGAAAAAGAAAAGAAAAGTCATATACCCAAGTCAGCCAGGCGCCGCTCTCGCTGCCAAAGGCCATTCTCCACGCCGGCTCCAGCGCCTGAAAGTACTCATCTGGCTGGAAGAAGGTGCGCAGGCAAAGCGAGTTGATGAACCGAAACAGCAGCAGCAAGCTGAGCACATCCCGGACCTGGGCAGCTGCGACCTGGGCGTGTACTTGGCGCGCCTTCTTCTCGTCTGCCGCAGCCGTTGTGCCTAGCGGTACAACGTTAGGTACCGTGTTAGGATCCGCCTTTCGCCGGGCGCGCAGCCCTTCGGCGGCCGGCTTGGATTCCATTGCCTGACACCTACTCCTGGATAGGTGCTGTCACTCGCTGCTCGTGTCTTCCAGGTTGTCTTTCTGCTCGTTCAGGGGTTTGTTGAACCAAAGTCTCAATGTCGTTGTACATACAAGGCAGTTGGCTGCCGAGCTGCTTCCAGGTGGGATGCAACTCAAAGGGTGCTTGGGTCGATTAGATAACGTCGTCGCTGATTGGCTGGATCCAGCCCTACAGGTGCTGTGGGCTCGTCACCTGAGCAGCCGTTGGCCCAGTCGGAGCACGCAGACCCCTTGCAACAGCCGGCACCGAGACCCACCTAAAGCACCCCTCCGTTCTCCGGGTTCGCTTCGACACAATCGAACCTCCGGAGACCGGGATGATTGGCCAAAGTAACACATTTTCGTTTCGCTGCTTTTTTCGCCACTGGTATCGCTCTTTTCACGCCGAACCCCACAAATGGAAAACAAAACCAAAAGACCGGGCTCTCGGATCACCTGGGAGACTGGAATCGGCTTCGCATCGGTGGGCCGCGAACGGGTTTCGTAATACAGTACATAGCGGCCGCTCGGCGCCGGCGCTGCCCAGGATGGTCAGGGATCCAGGGCCCCACGTCAGGTGGCTCGGTGCTGTCATGTTGTCATCGACGCCGCTTGCACCTGCACTTAGGGGTATGGTGGCGTTTCACGAAAGTCCACAAAAAACAGATTTCCATTTGCACTGATCCCGATCAAAGCCGCGCTGGAGCGGTGCTGGGTGAATCCGTGCCCTTTTTCTTTTATATAATAACCCGCGCGTTTCTCCCACTGGTACAATACTCTTCCCATTCTCTGTTGCCATTTCCAGCTGTCAATTGAGCTAAGGGGATTAAGGTAGGGTTATGCGGGTTGCTTCGCTCCGTCGAGTCAGTCTACATTAGTGTACGCGGGGTCCCCTTATCAAAGATCGCGCCAAGTCGCCCTCAGACACCTTGCCTTGCGATAGCCAACCGTCTGGTCGGATCTGATCTTCCTTGGCTTCTTTATCAGTCTCGTCTCTCAGTGGGGCACAGGCTGCACCAGAAACCCTTCCTCCAGGGTACAAAGCGATTTCGGCCGACACCCGCTCTCCCCCATACATAGCACCCCTTAGTGTTCGTCACCCCAACAAGACAAAAACACCATGGCGCCTCACGCAGACAAGGACCCCTCTCCGGTTCGAGGCAACGGAGCCGGGCTACCCAAGGACAAGGACCGGTACCACGCCTCGTCGACCAAGGGCGCCATCGCCGCCGAGAACGAGTTCGCTGCGCACAACTACCACCCGCTGCCCGTGGTGTTTGCGCGCGCCCAGGGCGTCCACGTGTGGGATCCCGAGGGCAAGCACTACCTCGACTTTTTGTCGGCCTACAGCGCCGTCAACCAGGGCCACTGCCACCCGGAGCTGGTCAAGGCGCTCACCGAGCAGGCCTCGCGGCTGACGCTGAGCTCGCGCGCCTTCCACAACGATGTGTTCCCCGTGTGGGCCGAGAAGGTGCGCAGCGTCTTCGGCTACGACATGGTGCTGCCCATGAACACGGGTGCCGAGGCCGTCGAGACGGCCATCAAGATCGCGCGGAAATGGGCATACAAGGTCAAAGGCGTCGCGCCCGGGCGAGCCCTCGTCTTTAGCGCAGCGGATAACTTCCACGGGCGGACGGTAAGGCTTTCCCCCAACCCCTTGCTAACAAACACATGCAAAGCCGTGCAATCGAAAATTCTAACACCGATCCCCTTTCTCCCCAGATGACGGCCATCTCCCTCTCCGTCGACCCGGAATCCCGCGACAACTACGGCCCCTACCTACCCAACGTGGGCGCCGTCAACCCCAGCACAGGCCAGCCCATCCGCTACGACAACATATCCGACCTGGAAGCCGTCCTGGCCACGCACGGCGCCGACACAGCGGCATTCATCGTGGAACCAATCCAAGGCGAGGCGGGCGTTGTGGTGCCCTCGGACACATACCTGTCCCAGGTCGCCGCGCTCTGCAAGAAACACAACGTCCTCCTGATCTGCGACGAGATCCAGACGGGCATCGCGCGCACGGGCAAAATGCTCTGCTGCGAGTGGGCGGGCATCAAACCCGACATGGTCACTTTGGGTAAGGCCATCTCGGGCGGGATGTACCCCGTCAGCTGCGTCCTGGCCAACAAGGAGGTCATGCTTGTCGTTGAGCCTGGCACGCACGGGTCCACCTACGGCGGAAACCCCCTCGGCTGCGCCGTCTCGATTCGCGCGCTGGAGCTGGTTGAGGAGGAAGGGCTTGTTGCCAGGGCGGACAGGTTAGGGAGGATTTTTAGGGAAGGAGTGGAAGCCTTTGGGAGTAAGATTGTGAAAGTTGTGAGGGGGAAGGGGTTGTTGAATGCTGTTGTCATTGATGAGGAGGCGGCGGGCGGGAGGACGGCGTGGGATTTGTGCATGCTTCTAAAGGAGAAGGGTGTGTTGGTAAGTTTTTGTCCCAGGAAACATATGTTCCCTGTTAAAGGTAATGGAAGGCATGGCTGACTGGGTGACTAGGCGAAACCGACACATGGCAACATCATACGGTTCGCGCCGCCCCTGGTTATCACCGAGGACGAGCTGCGGAGCGCTATCGCCATCATTGGCGAGGCGTTGAAGGAATTGCCCACGGCGATAGTGACGGGTGGGCATTGATTGATTCAGAGAGTGGCTGGCGGCTCCAGAAACAGCAGAAAGAGGAGACGGGCTGCGTCACGGCTGGCGAGGCATGCCGCATCGCAGGGGATTAGCATGTCTTAACAACAGTCAGATGGTGCTGGGTCCCGAGGTCTGTCTCGGGGTGGCGCCTATCCTGCTGTTAGCTCATCCTCCTCCACACTTGGAGTACTGGGCAGCATTTCGCGGAGAGAGAGCGGACTGATGCTAAATTGTATATATCGGCACGGTCATGCCATGTGCTGGGATGCTTTTGGGAGCTGGGAGCTAGATACCTGATGCTGGCGACAGCAAAGCGCAGTGTATGTAGTTGTGTATGTACATACAGTACACGTGGAAGCACTTACAAGAGGTACAGTACCTGTTTTGCCATGGTGTGTTGTTGAATCTGCGTGTCAACTTTGGCTTTGCACTGCGGAATGCTGTTTCCAACGTACTTAAAAGTATCGTCCTGTACAAATATGTATATGCCGTCAGTTCACAGGCTCGAGCCAAGGGGCGGATGCCGGGTGCGGGTTCCGTTGCAGTAGGGTCCCCGTCAGGGTGGAACAGAACTGTGGGGGTTCCGCTAGGCGTCTAAATGGGTTGCATATGGTTTGTACGTTAAGGTGACTTGGACCTTCTGATGAGTGAAGATTTGTGAAGGTGACGATGATTTGGTCGGTATCCTTCCTACTTAATCCTGCGAGAACTTATAACATCCGGCGGTGTGTGCTCGTTGTATGTAGGAGGAGTCGAGGCATACCCTTTTTTTGCCTGCCCCATTAGGGGTGCCTGGGTTGTGTAACATTCTCATATGTAACTACCGTAACGAGTAGCAGAACCCTGATGGTTTTATTCGTACATTTACTTGTGCTATTGGCAAATGACCGCGCTGGTTTACACTTGCTACCCTTCGATATGACCTCAGTCTTCAACTCCTAGGGTCTAGGAACCTTTGTAATTGACATCAGGAACCACTCCCATGGTCGCGCGGCCCATGTTATGACTTCGCTTAGCCGAGCTTTGGATTGTTCGTATGTACAGTACAGTACAGTACAGTACTTAATGCAGTTCGGAGCGTGGAGGGTGTAACTCCAGTGGTTGCCTTCTAGGCTTCCCATTAGACCCATCTCACCCAGGGTCACAACTCCTCTTTCTTCCACGACTAGGCAATTGTAGAGTGCCTAGGTAGATGCCTGATACTACTGTCTTGAGATCACGCCATTAAAGAGACCCCAGCAGGCGCCACCTCTGGGATGGGTCCAAATGGCAGAAGGAGATGTAGGTAACTGCTTAGATTCTTGAGCTGTTGCTGATGAGAGTGTGGTGTGTGTCTGTGTGAGTTATCCGTATCTCAGATGGAGGGTGAGTGGATGAGCGGGAAATACCGGGGTCCAAACAGCCAATTACACCACCCTCACTGTCCAGCCGAGACTTGCTGGTGTCTTCTGATGAAATGTGAAACGTGAGGGCGTATGGCTTCCCCGGGCTCGTATACTGTTTACAGTTTAATTGATAAATCGCGGGTTGATTGTACCTATTGCTCCCCTTCCCCATGCGTCTCTTCTCGGGACCGGCGGACAGGGGGCCCCTTTCTCGAATGATACAATGCCACATCTGAAGTATTGACGGCTACCGATCGGTAAGTGCACACTTGCATCCCGTCCGTTGTGAACATGGACACGTGAGACGAAGACGGGGGTTTGCCTCGAGCTGCAGAGCTCGTTTAGTCATCGGTCTGCCTCGATATCGGTTAGCCTGTTTGGGAACTTCAATTGGCTTTCAGAGAGGTCCCAATGGACAATGGCAGGGTGTGCAAGTCTGATGACAAGCATGGAAAGTTTACATGATCGTGGTTCCCTAGGCATACTATCTCGTCCTTGGGGAGTGGGATCGACCAAGGCACGGAAAACTGCGAGGTTGACTCGACTCAGGTTCTAAGCTAGTCGTCCAGTTTCCTTTTTGGGATTCGCTGATTCCAAGCCTGGCTCCTTCTCCGCGAGACGATGAGATGGCAGTAATCGATACAGTGATTGCTACCTGGTACCAAGTAGTGTTTTCAGAACAGAATTTTAAGTAAGAGAAAAAGGAATGGATGAAGAAGATCAATGATCCATCTTGGAATACAAGAATGAATGAATTCGATCCGAGACATAACACAATCAGCCAAACTCCCAGAAGACCGCAGACTGCGTACGAGCAGCTTAGCTCGGTTGACCGTTGATGTGTCCGGTGACCCCATTCACAGGACTGATGCTGGGTTAAGACGTGGCGTCCTGCTGCAGGCATCGCGGCTTAGCTGCAGTTGAGAAAACCAGATTAAATCCCGGGGTTATCGAGGATTTTGTATTCTGGGGAGGCGCAATGAGAAGGCGGCTTAGGTGACACACGAATTGGATGAATCTCAAGCTGCAGGCAAGGAATTGACCGCCTTGAGATGCACATTGCCCAGGCGGACACGTTTTGTATTGCCAACAGCAAAGTGCCATCCAATTCCTTTGCTATGGCTAGGAAACCTCCTCACATTAGCTCCAGGTATCCGTAGCTGCTTGATAGGCATGCAAATGAGAGATGCGAGTTAACCTACGGAGTAGCGACAGGACCGATACGAAGGTTGGTTGCATTGATAAGTGAGCGAACCTCTCTGGCCATCGATAAGGAAGACAGGGGCAGCGATAACCATGGTAGGACTTCATCCGGTCCCGGGATGAGCATTGAGGACATCCACGATGGCGGCAGAAACAGCCTCACTTGCAGGGCCACTGTGGCCTCCTGGCGGATCTTGTCCTATCGCCGTTTGCATGTTTTTCATCCGACTATTGTCAGTAAGTTACCTCCGCTATCAGTGCCACCATCGCCTACGTAGGAGCAACACCCGGCAGTTCGGGCATGGTCTCGGGTCCCTTCATTCAGTCCGCCTGCCGTTGTGTCATGTATGCCGCAGCGGGTAACCGGCAGGGAGAAGGCGGATCTGTGCATGGTAATATATGAGTCCACTTCGGGGACGGGAGAGGTCGTGTTGACACATGGATATTTGAACCTGGTGGCAATAAGAAGGCCATCCCCCTTCTGGGAGCCGTTCCTGACGACGGATGTTGTACTGTAATACACCTGACTCAACTCCGTGACGCTCTCTTTTCACCATGCACCCTTTTTCTGTATTGTACCTATAGGTCAAAGTTATGGCCATACACACGAAAAACCTACCGCCTGCCTCGCATGCTCCAAGCAGCAAGCAGGAGGGTGACACAGAAGCCGGCAGCTTCCGTGTTGCAAGTGCTCTTTCCATACTTCGTACCGTGTCTTGATTCTGTTATAGAAAGAGCATGCATCTCGGTGCATGACCGTGCTAGAATCGACGCCTATCCCACATTTCAGCATCAAGGCTGGTGCATACTGTGTTGTGTCGCGAGTGCCTGCGCAAGCCAACCGTCGGCTCCGGTTGGTGTATCCGCTGGCCGTCCATCGTGACGACGAGTGGCTGTGGAGCCGGACAGCATGAATTGACCCACAGGGGTCGGGGGTTGGGGGAACGGACCGAGGGACGGGGAGACGGGTCGCTGAGGCCAGGAAAACAAAAACGAGATTAGCTCAGCAGTCCGCCTCCGAAGACGCAAGAGAAGCGGCAAATTGTGATGGATGGCGATACGGTCTCAGGGTCCGGAAGGCAAGGTAATCAACTGTTAAGGTAACATATGGAAGGAGCCCAGCAGTGCGGCTTCGCTGGGGGCAGTGGGTAGGTGAGCAGGTGGTGTTATCGCGGAGCCTTATCGCAGAATGTCCCATTTTAGCGCGTCTCGGAAGACAAACTGCGAAACACGGCTTTGTAAGGTAGCTTTTTGTTACGTCAGCTGCCTCCCAGCGCTGCTGATGCCGGTAGATGCAAATTGGTACTTGAGGATACCATCCTCAATCCGTACACGTACTGTAAGCTAGCTCAGGCAAGGTGCCGGTCTGGGGGTTGATGGTCGCGCAATCGTCACGAGCACCGTGCTGGCCATGTCACTCGCACGCCTCCAAGAGGCGCGCCCTGGCCCAGTGAAGAGACGCCCCCAGGTCCCGTGCTTTCCGCTCTCAGCAGCGCGAGGACCCCTAACGTAACAGCTGCCCTGCGCTCTCACAGTAACCATTCCTCCAGTGGGCGCCCGGCAACAGAGCGGACAGGCCTAGGGTCGTCACTCTTGCAATCCTAAGCTGCTGTTCCCTTTCATCCAGGTTCCTCCCAAGTCCCTACCTTCTCTTCCCATCCTCTTTTCACCACCACCTCGTCTTCCATCACGAACCATCTTTGTGTCTCTCACCACCCTGTTCACGGAGCTCGCCCCGCCAATTTTGCGTGTTGCGAAATCGTGAAACTAGCGCCATCTGCTCCGCAGCCCATCGAGTCTGAGTCATTCAGTTGACCTTGGACGTCAGTCTGCCGTGTGGAGCTCTCCCACCTCCCACCTTTTGAGAAACAGCTTCCACTGCACCAGGCACAGTCGGCCATCTGAGCTTTTAGTCGCTGCTCTTCGCTGTGCCTCGCCACGCCAACCCGCTGCTTCTACCCCAGCCTGAACAAACAGCCGCTGCGTAGCATTTGCGCTGCCCGTCCAACCCATTCAAAAACCCCTACTTTCAACAAGTCGTCCTCCTTGGCCACTACCGCTCCCCGACGTCACGCAGTGCTCACGCCTAGTACACTTGCTTTCCGAGTCCTCGTTCAACACTCTTACTGCGGCCATCAACGCCCTTCAAGTCGAGATCACGGAAGCCTAACGTCTCCGCCAAGAAGAAGCACTGTCTAGCCTTCCTTCATCGACTACGCTCCAGGCGGTCAAGATAGCCTCCTTCCGCTCTCAGACACCCGACCTATCGGATCTCTACCGTTCCCGGTCCAGTTGTCCTAGGCAGCACCCCCTACCATCAACTCCCCTGTACAACGACAACACCAGCAGTTCCCATCGCCGACCCCAGGGGCTCCTCGTCTTCTTGTCCTCGTGCCGTCGTTAACATAGTTCGCCCCTCCCCAATATCGGCTTGTGCAATTCCGAAGCTGCCCCATATACATGACGATCAGATCGGCCGCCGACGTCTTTCGAATATCCTAGGCCCTCGGGCTGCAAGTCAACTTCCTGTCCTAGTCAACATACGCAGGGAGTCATGGCTGAGCGACCAACTTCCGCCTCATCGAGGCGAACAAAGCCAAGCAGTGACGACGCTATCGGGCACTTCGTTATTGATAAGGAGATAGGGAAGGGGAGCTTTGCTCAGGTTTACTCTGGCCGCCACAAGGTGAGCTTGATCCCGCCGCCGCCTGTAGTTCATGGCATGTCGTTCGTAACCGCCGTCATAAGCCTTGGCGGTCTGGGCTGCTGTTGTGTTTGCTCCTGTGCCAAATTCGTGCTTTCTAACCTCGGTTGATGCATCTACTAACATGGGTTTTCAGGTCACCGGTGCCTTGGTCGCCATAAAATCTGTTGAGCTTGGCCGTCTAAACAAGAAACTCAAGGAAAATCTCTATGGCGAGATCAAGATTCTCAAGAAGCTCCGTCACCCCCATATTGTTGCCCTTCATGACTGCGTCGAGTCGGCTACACATATCAACCTTATCATGGAGTATTGCGAGCTTGGGGACTTGTCGTTGTTCATCCGCAAGCGGGACAAGTTGATCACTAATTCGGCCACGCATGAGCTCGCGCGCAAGTACCCCGTGGCGCCCAATTCGGGCTTGCACGAAGTCGTTACCCGCCACTTTCTGAAGCAGCTTGCCAGTGCCCTCAAGTTCTTGCGAGAGGGTAACTTTGTCCACCGGGATGTCAAGCCCCAAAACCTGCTGCTGCTCCCTTCACCGCAGTGGAGGGAGGCCAACAAGACGGTGAAGCAGATTCTAAGTGCCAGTCACGATTCCCTCACGCCGGCCGCTGGACTGCCCTCGCTTCCCATGCTCAAGCTGGCCGATTTCGGGTTTGCTCGTGTCTTGCCTTCCACGTCGCTGGCTGAGACCCTCTGTGGATCGCCGCTGTACATGGCTCCCGAAATCTTGCGCTATGAGCGGTACGGCTCAAAAGCGGACCTGTGGTCGGTTGGCACCGTGCTGTACGAGATGGCGACAGGAAAGCCGCCATTCCGGGCCGGAAACCATGTGGAGCTAGTCCGGAAAATCGAGGCTGCGGATGATGTTATCAAATTCCCCCGTGACTCCATTGTCAGTTCCGAGTTGAAGGGCCTGATTCGAGCTCTGCTTAAGCGGAATCCGGTGGAACGTATGAGCTTCGCCGATTTCTTCGACCATCCCGTCATTACTGGGCCCATTCCGGACCTCGTTGAGGATGATATTTTAGACCAGGAAAGGCAATTCGCGAAAGAGGCAAGGGCCGCTGCAAAGCCGGACGAGGCCCCGACGCTATCGCGTAAACAGTCTGTCCGGCGAAATCCTGCGGAGCAGGAGGTCGTTCTTCCGTCGCCAAAGCCGCGCCGGTCGTCACCACTCGCAACTCCTATTGAGCCCAAGCCAAATCCTTTAGAGCAGATATCCAACCCCCGTGAGCATCTGAGCTACTCCCCGCGACAGGATTCCGGCGAAGCGTTCGGCATACGCCGTCCACAGGTCCAGCCGTCTACTTCGGCCCCGACTCGGCCTATCTCGTATGTGGACAGGAGTCGGCGGTATTCAAATGCCTCGTTGAGGGCAGCCCTCCGTGAAGCCCAAGCCTCATCTGAATTCAGCCGTGACGATCCATCAAATCACGCCAAGTCGAAGAGTAGACCCCTTACCGAAGAAGAAAAGGCTGCCCAAGACGTGGCGTTTGAGCGCGATTACATATTTGTCGACAAGACTGCTGTCGAGGTCAATGCGCTTGCAGACCAAATATCCCTGTATCCGCAGCAATCGCAGTCTCCAAAGTCTGGCCAGATCGTTAGGCGCGCCACACAGCAAGGGAACCCGACGTCGATAACCGGGGCTGTGCCCAGCCACTCGTCCAGAAACCACCACGGCCGAGGAGACCACTATCGGCAAGCTTCATACGACAAACCCCTGTCCAGCAGCCCCAGCTCGACGACCTCAGCTATCTCAAAGGCCATCCAAGACGCTAGCATCAGGTTATTCGGCTTCAAATATACGCCCCACCTGCTCGGCCGAGGGCAATCACCGCCGCAGATCTACAGTCCGTTCCCGGCTTACCCGACACCTTCCGTACCGGCTGGCTTGATCTCGGATGGGAAACAAGGCACTCCAGTGGATGAGGATTCCCGAGTGGCCCAATGCATTGAGGACTACGCAACGCGAAGTGACGTTGTGTACGGTTTCGCCGAGGTCAAGTATAAGCAACTCGTCCCACTAGCTCCTTCTATGGAACATGGTCTTGGGGGTGTCCCCGCCGACAAGATGGCAGAGGACGATGAGGGGCTCACGGCGGAGGCGGTGGTCGCGCTCTCTGAAGAAGCCCTGGTGCTCTACGTCAAGGCCCTGTCACTCCTCGCAAAGTCAATGGACATTGCTAGCCTATGGTGGTCACGCAAGAGCCGGGCCGATTCTAGCAACAGCATCCACCCGGCCGCTCGGGACGCTGTCAACAGCCAGGCATTGGCCTTGAAGATCAATGCCGCCGTCCAGTGGATCCGGTCCCGGTTTAATGAGGTCCTGGAGAAGGCCGAAATCGTGCGGTTAAAACTAATCGAGGCACAGAAGCAGCTACCCGAGGAACATCCTAGCCATCCCAGCAACCACCCGCCCGAGGCAAATTCCATTAGTGGCTCGGGGGCCGAAGGCGTATTCCTCTCTGCCGGCATAAGCGCCGAGAAGCTGATGTACGACCGAGCCGTCGAGATGAGCCGCACGGCCGCTATCAACGAGATTGCAAGCGAAGATCTTCCTGGGTGTGAGATCTCGTACATCACGGCCATCCGCATGCTAGAGGCCGTGCTGGATAATGACGATGACCACCTGCCCAAACTCCGCGGCTCGACATCGTCTAGGGATGAAAAAACCGTCGCCACTCGCGACGAAGCCTCGGGCGAGATGAGTGGCGACGACAAGCAGACTGTTCAAAAGAGTAGGCTACTCGCTCAGTGGGTCACTTTGTCCGTAATTTTGCTGACATTATGCCTGCAGTGATTCAGATGGTCAGCCAGAGGCTTGCATCCCTCCGGAAGAGGATGCATGCGATTGCCATGGCATCAAGAAGCCAGCAGCAGCAACAACAGATCATGGCGCGGCGCCGCAGCGGCGATATGACGCCCCGGTGACACCTGCCTCGTGTAACAGTCGAGGGTAGGATGGTCGGCTCAGCGAGCCTAACGAACAGTGGCCAAGACCTCGGAGATCGCGGTTACCACATGGCTGGATAGCCACTTGGGCCGCCCCACGGCTGCAGCTGTTCCCCTTCCCACGGTCGGGGCTTTGCCCCTGGTCCCCTGCCTTATGTTAAACATGGGGTGAGGGGAGCTTTCTATTCCCTTCTTGTTTTACCTCACCGTTGCAACTTCGCTTAGACTCGAAGAACAACGACGTTATTCATGCATTGGAGTTGGCGGACGGGTGCTGTCGTGTTTATGTATGAGCATGCCGAGTTGTTTTGGTCTAGCTTTCGAGATCGGTGTCTGCTGGAGAGTCCGGGCTTGGAAGGGTCCGACGCGGATATCACACGCACAAAGTACTCGGTACCCGCTACCTGCCGAACAAATTTGTCGTGGCGTTTTTGGTTTGGGAAGCAGGCGGGCTTCAAGATTTATAGGCAGGGGTATTGGTTGGATGAACACTCTTTCTTACTCTGTTTTCCTGCCTCGTCCCTCTTGCTGGCCAATTCTCCTCGGTGTTTTTGGTGATTTGGTTTATGGCGCGGGGGGTGTTGGGGCTGGTTGGTTCTCGTATATTCCCGTTTTCCATCAGACCTACTAGGCTCTCTGTGAATATTCTCGTTTGATCTTCCCATGGGCTCCCGTGTGTATTCTTATTGTTTTGTCTCCACGGAGAGCATGCAATGGAATGGAAAGGAAGGGAGAGAGGCAATGAATGGGTTGGTAACCTCCCCCCGTCGGCGAACCAAGCCTGCCTCTACCCCCCTTTTTCTCTCACATTATTACGTACTTTGGCTGGAATGGGTGGTTGAAGAGGTGCAGTAAGGCGCGGCGTTTCTTCGTTCTTCTGTCTTCTCTTTCGGATGGAAATGGGACTTGCATATGGTGTTATAGCTTGGCTTTTCGCTCTTCTTCCCTTTCTTCTCTTTTTTTACCTTTTTGCACACGACGCCGCGGGACCCCTGCTGCAGGGGCGTAGGGTATGAACAGACAGAGAATGGCACGATTGCAGACAGGATATGCAAGCAGGCAGGCAGGCAGGAAGGCAGGCGAGCAGGCAGACAGATATATATGCGATGCGGATGCGAATGTCATCGCGAAGTGGGGGGTGCATTCACCTACATCTCTGTGCTGTGCTGTGTTGGGTATGGTTCTGTCCAGCTGTAAGTGTGTATGGTGGGTTGGTATGACTCTCTTCTCTTCCTCGACGACGCTTTGTGACTGGGTTGTCGGATATGTGACACAGTCGACTGTGTTGATAGTTACACCTCATGTGATGATTGTTTCGGGTCAACAGGGTGTCAGGAACCGGCTTTCGGGCTGTCTGTTCTACGAATTATTAGTTGATGAGGAAGCGGGAGAGAGATAGACTGAGCTATATCCTACCCACATGACCAATGCCGTAGGCTATCAATCTAGAGGAGGCAAGGGTCATGTTTTATTGTTCTGATTCCATTTTGTGCGTGTGCTTTGTTTTGTTTACTCTCATCCTGATTTACCAAGCCCCCTGGATTTGACCGTCGGTCAATGCAATTCGGACACACCATGATTCACGGAATATCGAGTCTTGCATATTTTAGACGGTCCAAAAGCAATCCGTCATCCCCTTAACTGTTCAATTTGATTGTTTTCCCATCATCTCTTCGCCCTCCCCCTCCCTTCCCCCCCCTTCTTTTCTCATGCGCTCCCGCAAACCCGCTGATTGCACAAAAACGATCAGCAGCATTATCATATTGGAGGTATTAGACCGAAGCAACGGCGCGTTTTATTCTAGTACGTTATCAAGAGGACCGAATAGCCGAACGTTAACGATCTTGATCAGTGGAAACACAGCGATTGACGACTTGCAGGTGTATCGTCCGTAATCACCCTGATTCATGCATTACAAGCCGGAGAGCTAGATGTCCCTCTAGGAGTCCATAGAGCTTTTCTATAGTACGGGCTCTTGTACGATACAACGATCACAGCCGCCAGAGCACTGTTTTTCCACCAAGAGCCACCCACACACTCAAAGCATGTACCTAAACTCCGGGTTGAGATCCTACAATTCCGTAAGTCAGCTCAGGAATCACATGTTGAAAAAAGCAGAACCGGAGCGATGTGAAATCGGACGAAGAATTGAAAAACTTACCCCCAGTTCCGTCTTCTCATGTTCCGTCAGGTTGAGATCCCGCGGCTGCCGACGGCGCTTCCTATTCTCCGTCATGATGGAAAAGGCATAGGCGGCGCAGGAGACCAGACTGAGGCAGATGAAGGAGACGCAAATGGCGTAGCCCTTCTTGAAGAAGGGGGCATCAGACGTCACGAAGGAGTAGGTGGAGATGATGCCGCCAATGTTTCCGAAACCTGTTTCCGGATCAGTCACGAACAGACGGATCATTTCCTAGCAAACCTAGCAAAATGAGGAGAGAGGAGAAAAACCCACCAATCTGCCACGCACTCCCCACCGCACGCCGATGGTGTCCTCCCAGATTCATATTGAACCAGCACACTACAACAGGCATAGCCGAGTAAGTGCCCATGCAGATGAGGAACAGCGCGGCGTACTGCACGGGCAGGTTATCGTGCACGCTTAGCAGCACGGCGAATCCCGAGATGGAGACCAGGACGGCGCCGACGATAAAGAGAAAACGGTGCTGGAGCCAGTCGGACAGAGTGGCGACGATCATGGCAAAGCCAAACGCCACGGCCCAGGGCGGGACGGAGCGCAGCTGCGTCTGGATCGGGTCGTACTTGTAGCTCTGAATGATGGTGGGCGAGAAATAGGCGTACGAGTAGGCCGGCACGATCAGCCCAAAGTACATGAAGCCGCCCAGCCAGATGCGGTAGTCGGCCATGACGGTGCGCACGTCGCGCAGCGTGATGGGCCGCTCTGCCCCGCTGTTGCCCTGGTCGGCGCGCAGCCGCGCCTTGACGAACTCGCGCTCGTCTGGGGGTAGCCAGGTCTAGTAGGTGCTTTCTGTTAGTGTGTGGGAAGTCATGAAACGGGTGAAGGGGAGTCTGGGGACGTACCGCTTGTTCGGGGAAGGAAGGAAAGGTGAACAGAAACACCACTCCAATGAGCACGGTGACACACCCTTCGAGGATAAAGATCCAGCGCCACCCGCGGTAGCCCTGCATGTAGTCCATCTTGCCAATGGCCGAGGCCAAGAGCCCGCCAAAGGCGCCCGCCAGCGACGTGGACGAGAAGAAGAGGGAGAAGCGTTTCTGCGCCTCGTGTCGCCGGTACCATGTGCTCAGGAGGTAAAAGCAGCCAGGGAACATGCCTAAAGTGATACAAGTCAGCCCCCCCTTCTATAACCCCCCCCCACGCCTCCCGGATTCTTCAGAAAATCATACCGCATTCAAACAAGCCCAAAAAGAACCTCGTCGCCAGAATTCCCGAATAGTTCTGCACGAATCCCTGGAGGACCGTCACCAGCCCAAACCCCAGACAGCACACCGACAACCACACGCGGGGCGAGAAGCGCTTCAGCAGCAGGTTTGACGGGATCTCGCACAGGATGTAGGGCACAAAAAAGATGGTCAGGGCCGTGTTGTACTCGACGCCGCCCATGCCGAGGTCGGCCTCGAGCCCGAAAGCGCGGGCGTTGGCAATGTTGACGCGGTCCAGGAAGGCCAGCAGGTACAGCACAATCACAAAGGGTATGATGTGCACGTCAATCTTGGTCGTGATTTTGCGTTCTGTCGTGTGCGGCGGGCATACCACCACCACCTCACCCAGCCCGTTGCCGTTGCCGTTGCCGTTGGTCATGGATGAAGAGTCGTAGGCCGGGTATCCGGGTAAGCCGGCCTCGACCCCGGCCGTGGCGGCTTCCTGACGCTTGCTCTCGGACTCGGAGTGGTCCGCATCTGTGAGTGACACATGGTTAGGCATGCAGGGCCAGATGGATACCCGGGACATGGAAGGTGTCCGGTGGAAGGTCGGCCTACGGTGTTTGAGTTTGGTCATGGCGGTTTCGGTCGTGTGTAGCCTGTCCTCCCTCTCGCCCAATGGTCCCCGCAAAGAGCTCAGTACCACCTCAAGCAAGGTGGTGTATGTATATATACCAAGGAGCTCTTGAGTATCGCTTGGAGATATGTGAACTACGATGTCGTCGGGCCTGGCTGAGGGAAGACGAAGGAGACAAAACTGAAGAGCGGAGAGGGGGATGATGGATCTAGATCCTACCACAGCCCGTGACGCACCGCGAGGGTTTTATTTTAACCCTGTTCCTGCAGCATATTTTGTAAAAGGCAATGAATGACCTACTAGCGTGAGAGTAGTACAGTCATGGTCGTACAATTTGCTGAGTGAGTGAGTGAGGGCCTGGTCGGACCGGCCCTGGATCGGCGCTGACCTCGGTCCACCTTTTCGCTGCTCGCTGTCCACTGGTCCGGGTCACCGGGGTCGTTTATACGACCTTCCTTGTCGAGTACCCAGATGGATGCAACCACAGGGGAATGTCTTACCCCACATCTGCGGGTAGTGCCTGCTGGTCAGACATCATCCCTGAGCTCCATGTCGTGTCATGTTCTCTCGCTGCTGCTGGCGGCTCAAGCATGGGCAAGCAGCATTTGGAAATTGGAACTTCTGTGCACTGTCCCGGCATTGAAGAACTAACGTTGACTAATTGGCAGGGATTGTCCCTGACGCTCAACGTTTTCTGTCTGTCACCTGATTTCTAGCTGAAGTTGGAGTCTCTCGTAGTCGCTGCTAGGCTGCCGAGAGAGGAATAGGTTTCTAGAAGCTGTTCCTTGCTCGCGTTGGGATGATGGCGACTTGGTGTTATGGAAGTTTTCTACACATCTGTGTGGAAGGAGGTAAGTGGCGTTCTGGCCAAGCGTGCTCACCAATGCAAATATGCGGAGTGCATGCGTCTAGTGTATTGTGCCGTTCTCACATGCCGATATGTACTCTCTTTTTCTCTTCCTCACCCTCTTTTGCCATTTCGTCTCTTCCTTTTCCTATTTCAAAGAAACCACACTGGCTGAGACTGGTTTGCAAGACGCACGGGCTCGGCCAAAATTCAGGGATTTCAGAAAAACTGGAGCAACATCCGAGATCGCCGCAAAATGGGCAAAATGATACGGAGCTGGGGGAGCTAAGTCGCGGCCATCGGAGTCAAGGTAAGCTTTTCCCCACACCCGGGTGGCTTGGACAGGGGTGTCCGGCAACCGCCTCACACTAGGCTGTTACTCCGCACCTCGGCGCGTTCTACACTTCGGTCTACAACTGCGGGGAAAGTCCCCCGGGACTCCAGGTTGCATTCCATCTGTCACTCTACGAAGTAGTAGTGTACGCGGGGAAGATCGACGATGGGATCACCAGCGGCAACAAGATTGATCTGATGAAAAGCTTTCTGTTTCTTCCTGCCAACAGCCCTCGTCAACACAACATAAACAGTCATTCCATCATCAGATCCCCATCAGAGAACCTCTCTACACCTTCTCAAAGGGATAACTCTACACATTCAAAACCACACAGGGTACATCATCATCAATGCTTATCCAACTAGGCTACCCCGGCCAGGGTCGCCTTCCATTGCCATCCGTCTGCTTTGTTTTCTTCCCTGGTTGACTCCGATGCTTTTGGTGCTGTGTACGTATATAAATAAATAAAAAAGGGGGAAGGGGCCAAACAAACCGGGTCAACGTGGACGGCTGAGCCCTCGCTTGAAACGCTATTTTTCCCGCCGAAACAGAAGACAACAATAAAAAGGGGAATCTTGTGATGGGGTTAAAAGGGAAATGGCAAAATAACCAACGTGTCTAGATAGGGGATCCGTAACTGCCCGGCTCGATATTCAGCCTGTGACCAACTGCCTTTGACGGCACGTCGACAGCTAGACAGAACATCGTCATGCAAAACCGGGTATATCGTGATAACATTCGTAACGGCGTTGTTGAATGGCCAAGGCTCATAATGTCTCGGTTCGTAGATGCAGTAGCCTAGTTGAAGCGATCATGACGAGCCGCCGACCGAACAACATTTATTGTTGCGAGGCCGGCGCCGGTGGTGGGGGCTGCGGTTGCGCTGTCTGCGGTTGTGGCGGTGACTGCTTGTCTTCTTCGGAGCGTTTCAGATCCAGACTTTTCCCTCGCGCCGATGAGAGGAGGCTAGAACCCAATGACACTGTTCGCTCCCCGGGCGGCGACTTGTTTCTCCGTTGTTCGACATGCTCCTTGTGTTCGCGGTACTTGTTTTTGATCCAGTTGCCAAACTTCTTGGGGTCATCCTTGTTCTCTTTATCCTCAGCATTGAACATCGCGCGATCCGAAGAGTCTCCAGTCGAGGTTTGCGCTAGCTTTTGCGCCGAGCTGCCTACTGATGTGCTGCTGGTGTCGGCATTCGAGTTCGATCCGAAACCCGGCTGTGGCGACGCAACTGACGGCGGTGCAGCTGCTGCGAGCTCATCCTTTTTTCGTGAAAGACGCCATCGCCTCCTCTTCTCCTTCTCGTTAGGAGTACCAGGCACTGTACTGTCTACCCCGTCTTCGACCTGGTCAAGATCGGAGCCTTCATTGAAAGAGCTGTTTAAAGAAGTTGGCGGGGACTTCTTGCTTTTCAAACTTGTCTCGGCACCAGGAGGAGCAAGACTGTCCGCATGGGCGTCGCTGGGAGGAGCTTGAGAAGTGCGCGGCGGGGTCTCTGAAGGCGCACCGCCAGACGATGCAGCCACAGGTCTGTCGTTGCCCGCAGTCCTTGAAACAGACTGTATTGTTTCGAGGGGGTTCGGCAGCTCCGCATTGGGCGAAACTGTTGTTGAATAGGGGAGCGAGGCTGTTGAACTATGAGCGCTAGGATTTGCACTTCCTGGGCCCCTCTTCTTCTTCAGCTTGTTCATCTGGCGGCCGCTGTCACTGTCGGTAGTCGACATCCTCTGGAACAGGTTTTGTATTTTCCGCTCTTTGGACGGGGTGGTGGGTTCTGGAGTCGTGGGCTCCAGAAGCCTTTCCTGGCTTCTTGCTCCGGGAACAGACAGGCCAAGCTGAGACGTAGACGGAGCTGTCGAAGCCTGTATCGATGGCGCCGATGTCCTATCAGAAGCTGCGCCAACTTCTCCGACAATCGCTGGCGGGGATATTACGGGGGCCGCCGGTGAAAGAGAGGTTAGGGGGGCGACATCATTCCGAGAGGAAAACCTCCCGGACTGCAAGGCCGGTGACTTCTTTGAGGGCACAGTGTTGCTACGAGCCAGACCGCCGGTTGGGGTTGCCGTCAATGCTGGGCTACCCGGGCTGGGGGCGCCATTGGAATGGAAAGATCGCCTTGACGACGTAGACTTGTTCCGTCGGATCGAACCGTCCCTGGCAACACTCTCGGCTCCGGCACTTGCAGTTGACGCAGAACGAGTGATGCCGGGCTTCGGGTTCGGCGTTGAAGGGAGTACCGGGGTGCCTTGCTGCACCTCTTGCACCGTCTTCTCATCCGCTGCCGTGCCTTGCATCCCGATGAGAAAATGGTCCTGGTTCTCAATGAGGAAGATGATGACATCTTGGTTCAGACGATACTCCTCAGGTGCCATTGCGTGATTAGGGTGTGAGAGCATGCCAGGCTGAAAAATGGCAGCTAGATTCTGCGGCGTCATCCGATTCTGATCCGACTTGGCAGCGAATACCGCGAGCAGGTCAAGAATGTAGAGAAGCAGCTGGCGGTTCAAAGGGGGCAGCTCAGTGATGAGCTGCTGGTACCTCGCAATGGCCGCAGCCTCGTCAAAGGCTCCGACCGGATGAGCTCCTTGCGCATCGCCAGCCCCATGGGCTCTGGCTCCCTTCAATGGTTCTCGGAACTTTTCGTAGAGATCTAGAGGGACCACCGGCTCGGGAAGGTCGTTGAGATAGCGACGGAGGACATTTGCGGCATCGTGAACGGTGTAACCATCCCATACTAGCCCTTTTCCGTATCTATCTGGCGAGTCAAAAACCGTCTTCAGCTCCTTGATCCGCTTCTCAGACCCGTTGAGACGGAAGATGCCTTCAACCTCGGTGGCTTTGAAAAACGTCAGCAAGTTGCTTACGGGCCATTACGAGCAGAAGAATAATAAATTTTGTATTGGTACATACCTCTTTCCTTCAAGAATACTCCACACTTCGCAACCACAATCGGCACATAGCCGTAAATATAACTCTTGCCATCCTCGTCGACGAGCGAAATGGCCACGTTGGCATAGGTGATGCTCTGCCGCAAAGGGACGCCGAATATGCCTTGGGGACGATATTCTGCGTCGATTAGCTTCATTCTCACAGCAGATGGTTCCGAGGAGGATGGACAAGAGCGCTTGGCGGAGCGCCATGTCAACGCACGGCGGACTCCACTGGACTTGGGCATTTCTGGTGGTCTTGCAAGGAGACCTTGACTCATATCGGCACTTGCTCGATGAACAGCGGGTTTTTGCTCCTGGAAGACCATGTCTTGCTGGGACCTAGACCCATCAATGTCCTCCAGAAAGTTGAATCTCTTTCTATGGGGTATGGATCTGGGAGAGGTATTTATGGTGGATGGGGCGGCTATACCGTGTGACTCCTCCTGGTGCCTTGAAGGGAGCTTGAAACCCTTCCACCAAGACCGTAGATCGCGCTTGCTTGGTGGAGCGGCAGGAGATTGTGATTGGGGCGCATCGGGGACGCCGGTAGGGAATGGGGCGCTTGCCCGGGGCTGTTGTTGTTGTTGCTGTTGTTGTTGCTGCTGCTGCTGCTGATGCTGGTGTTGGTGTTGCTGCTGGGAAGAGGGCGCCTGGGGTGCTGGCGTAGGTGTAGCGGACGTCATATTTGCGACGCGCGATGACGGTCGGCGGATTTCAACGGCACTGCGGCTGGGTAATAACCGTGCTGGGGTCGCGGACACAGTTTCGAGGTTATCGACTGGTCTGAATGATGCAGGAAATGTATACTGCGTAGAATGAATCCGAGCAGAAAACACTTCTACGTGGGCTCCCTGAGTAAATGGTTATCGTCCTGCGACGCGATGCAGAGGGCGGCTAGGATCCAGTTTCCCGGCCCAAAGTGCTTGTCGTCGTCGATCGTGGGGCCTTAGAGCTCGGGGGTAGAAACGGCGTTGAAAACGCGGTGCGGTCGATAAACCGGTAAGGAGAGAAATCTGATCGGCATTCGCTCTGTTTATGTCGCGTCTTGTTTTGCGATGGAATTTCTAAGGTTTGATTAAGTTAAAAGGAACCCAGTGTGCGACAGTAAGAAAGAGGGACGGCTGGGCCTTCCGTTGCTTTTCAAAGACCAGTGGCCTGGGGAACTACTGTAACGTTAGGCCAAGAGTGACAGGGTTCAGCGTCTCAAGCCGCCGGGGGCTTTTCAACCCCAAAGTTGAGCCACTGTGCGTTGCTTTTCCCCCCGCACTGAGTTCCAGGCCCTGCTGTCAACGGCTTCCATTGTTGCAGTGTTCCGTCGCTAACTTCAAGTCCTCGTTGCGCCTCGTTGTAACAGTCCGCACATTAACCCAATGGATTGAATGGAATGCAAAGACCCCGATCCCAACTTGGCATGCAGCTAAAAAGAAATGGTAAAGAGGTTGCTTGATCTGATTGAATGACGGAGAGACTTGCAGCGTCCCCTAAATGCGCGAACAAGGGACGAGATAGGTATGTACAGATCCCGCAGCGCATCGCGATGTCTGACCTCATTCCCCTCAGTGCTCGACTATCTGATTGTCTTTGAGCTCAACTTGAAGTAGCCAGGCCAGGGTAAAACACACCACACAGTTCGGAGGCCAGAAATCTGGAACTTGACACAGCTCTCAGTTGCTAAGACCACTACTAAGTGCCGGTCCTACAGTGTAGCCTACCATCCCAGTCAGTGGGCATTTCCGCAATCGCTCCACGTTTTGGTCTCGAACCAGCCGGCCGACCCTCCGGTGTCCTTCCCGAACCTTAAGATCCGCCAATGCAATAATATAAATACTAGAGACCAAACTAGACGATCTTCACTGCAGATCTCGGCATTCGAGACCGTTGGAAAGATAGCGGTCGAGACCTCCGCTAGACCAAAGTCGAACAGTTTATTGCGGCCGTTCTAGACGTCTTTCTCCCGGGGCATGATGTTTGTAAACCAGATCGGCGCAGTCCCCTTCGGTGCAGTCCCCTTTTTGCCCGCCGAAAGATAGAACACGCTACCTTATCCCAGGTGCATCAGCCTAACCCACCGGGGACGAGGGCGCATTCCCGGATTGCATCTCCCCGTTTCCTTGCAGGCAAGCGAGGCAAGGTACTGTACCTTAGGGGACCGACGCCATCTTCCCGTCTCGATGGCCTATGACGTATGTAGGGGTTTTCTTGCAGCACAACACCCACCCAAGGCCATGGTTGACCGGCAGCCCAACAGGTGTCGCTAACTTCATGTGTACCCTCTGCCTGACGGGTGTGCTTGTGGCTTAGCTTTCCAGCGCTCCTTCATGGCTGTAGCCTGCTGCTGCAGTCCATGAGCGCCTGGCATGTGCGTTACGTTGCGGGAGCTTGCGATTATATTCCCGGCTCTTTGCTGGTCAGAAGGTCTATTTCCAGAAATAGGTAGGGTGGGGTGAATAGGTGTTAGTGTTGGTTTTACCATAGTGTACGGTACGGTATCATAACGTTGACGGCTGCGGTACAACCCATGTTGTGCACGGGCCGTCGTCATCGTGCTGCCCCTCCTTGAGCCATCTTCAACGAACAGCACCTGCAGATGCTCGATCAGCTGAGTTGCCGGATGGCACGAGACACCAACTTCTTGGTAGAGCTCTGTTAGAGCTGACCCCTCTGATCGTCAACCTGCTTAGGTGATCAGCTCCTTGATGCACGGTTCCACTTAGGTTCAAATCACAGTGGTTGACGCGGGCCTCGCTAGGGTCTCGGTGGGGAGGGAAGCGGCTGGCGAATTGGCGTCTTCTGGTCTCTTGAACGTTTGATTCGCGAACTCGATCTTGTCCAAAGACATGTACTCTTGGGGCGGCCGCAAGTCTCACCCATACCTGCTGGGCTGCCTTAGCCCTTCTCCTATCTGTAAACAACTGTGCAAAAAAGGGTTTGGGAGCCAGTCACGAAACGAGGCGTTCTCTATGTCGGGAGAACTGACTGCAAATGCTGTCCATAACTCACAAGTACGTACTCCGTAGTTTAGCTGCGATGCTGCGGGGTTGTTTCATCTTCAGCCTCACAAGCTACATAAGACTAGCGAGCTTGGTTTGGCTTGCTGATACGAGATCTTGGAGGACGTCATAACTGGCCGAATTCCTTCAGCTCCAGTTGTCTGCCGCGCGGCTGGTTTCCCATTGGTGGACTAGGGCAATCGTCAGAAGCCTGCAAGGGCCGATCTTGATTCCCTGGCGAGCCTGGCTAACGTTAGTGCCCTCTTTCAGTGACATGGAGGCAGGTCTAGTACCGCTTCAAGTCGAGTGCATCACCGTGTCCATCACGTGCGCATGTCTTGCGGAGTGTGATGAGACATGCTCATGGTTTGAGCCTATGGCTGGCTGTTTGATGCCAGCTCGTTGGATGGGAAAACGTCGTGTACCGGGGCCGACTTGCCATGAGTCCTGCGGTCCGACAAATTAAGAATTCGAAAGTCTGACTTCGTATGGAAGTCGCACCCGACAGGATGGCTCGTCAGGCCGAAGCTGAGTGACAACCAGAGATTGGAAGTTCTGTTAAGAGGGGTAGGTAGTCGAGAGGATGATTTTTGCACGCAAAATTCCGACCGCACTAACAGCTCCAATTCCGTCCCGAAGTACCTCCGTACCTACCCCAAGCTCAAGAAGGTGCACGGTTCGCAGTATGCGCCGTGTGAGGATACCCAGCGATAAGCAGCCAAATGTCAAGAGGAATTTGTTATCGCAGATGAGTTCAATCAACATCAACTGTTGAGCTCTAGAGACCATTCCATCACCATCAACACCAGCACCAGCTAAACATCAACCACAAACCCGGTTCTTTCATTTCCAGCCACTTAGACCAAGGACCAGCTAGAGACCATGGACGCAGGGTAACAAACCCCAATGCCGTCCCCAGCACGACCCGAAGAAACCGTGACTAACCACCGTCCGGGAAATCCAGACTCACAGCCGCCGAGACGCGCGAGTTAGAAACCCGCATGCAAAAGCGCCAGATCAAGGATTTCATGAGTGTACGTACTACCCGTCCCGGACCAGCCTTCGCCAAAGCCCAAAATCCGCAAGATAAAAAAAGGCTGACAAGATGATCCACAGATGTTTGGCAACATCGTCGACAACTGCTTCAACGCGTGTGTCGACGACTTCACCTCCAAGGCCCTCTCGGGCCGCGAGAGCGGCTGCCTTAGCCGGTGCGTGACCAAGACCATGACGACCAACCAACGGCTGGGCGAGCGCTTCGGCGAGCTCAACGCCGCCGCGACGGCCGAGATGCAGAACCGGCGGTAAGAAGTAAAAGATAGAAAAGAGGAAAGAAAGGAAGACAACTTACCGCCGCCGTTCGAATAAATGTTTCCAATGGAGATCTTGACTCGCGGAAAGATAACGTCTATGATCGGTCCGGGATACCCGTCTATACCCGACATACCGTTGGAAGGGGACGGGACGGGATGGGAAGGATGGGATGGGATACCCTGTGTATTATACATCACGGCTCTGGCCTGGAAGGATACGGGCCATGCTAGCATGACGGCATGGAATGTGGGATAGACAGGAACTGGTTGTTTTGTTTGTCATGTGTGTACGAATAGAAGGATCGCTAGGGGGTGGCTTCTTTGATCTTGGGAATTCGGGTTTGTTTCACAGCACGGGACAACTGAACCTGTGGGGACCAACACCGCAGATTCACCTAATCATAAAAAAGTCATAGGCTCCCTTACCGTGATGCCCACTATCCTCGACGGTATTTACACAAACAAGGGCATTATTCAGTCCTTTACCAAACTAACCCATCCTTCCTCCACCATTTAAAAACCTCATTCCTGTCCGTCTACACTCATCACATAAAAACAGAAAGAGACTACTCCCCGCCTTCCTCAGCAAGCGCATCGGCAAGGACATCCCTCACCCCCTCCAACAAGCCCACCGCCTTCTCCTCCAAGCGGTTCGCGCACCCGGCGGCTTCCCCAACGGGCGCCATCCGGCGCCACTCGACCTCCCTCGGCCCCAGCGGCAGCAGCCTCTCCCGGAGCAACTTCCTGCTCGCCAACCAAAACTCGACGTTCTCCAGCACGGCGCCGGCATCCCACCCCGCCACTTCGGGGATATCCCTGTTGTTATTCATCCTCAGCTTCGCCAGCACCCGCGTCAGCAGCGCGAGCGAGTGCACCTCCGAGATGGCCACGAGAGCGAGGAACTGTGGGCCGCCGCCATGGCGTTGCAGGGCCATCGAAGTGGAGGAGGCCGATGGCGGGGACGACGCTGACGCCTTCGCGGTGGCAGCTGCAGTGGTGCTGGTTGCTGTGCGACTTAACCCTGGTGCTTCTAGCCTCTCGGCGCTGGAGCGGAGGAGGTTCGGAAACTGGTTCAGGACAATGGCCACTTCAGGGGCGAAAGTGGCACCCACCACGCCGAGAATGTTCAAGAGCAGAGGGAGAATGCCCTTCGCCCAGATGGCGTAGCAACGCGCCGCACCAGGGTCGTCGGCAAAAGGCGAGACGTTCTCGCGGCGCATGTAGCCCGAGAGATTGGCCGAGGTTAGATGGCCGAGCAGATTGTCGTTGGCGAGCTGCTCAGCTATTAAGGGCAGGGCCGAGAGCTCGAGAAGAAAGAGGAGGGCGAGTTCACCGTACACAGGGTCGTTATTGCTGCCATCGCCCTTTTGGGAAGTGAGGCGGTCAGACCAGGAGAAAAGCGAGGTGGCGACTTGTAGGATGTCATGCGAGGCCATGATGTTGAGCACTTGAACCTGGCATTGGTCAATGCCGGGTACACTGAGGCACGCCTGGAGGACGGCGGTCAGGAGGGCTAAATCTTCCGGCGCGGTGGGCGAATCAGGCTCGTGGACGAGAGCGGCGAGTGTGCGGAAGGATCGTGCGACGACCCGCTCGAGGATGTTGAGGACTAGTTGGGTCACCGCGGCATGGGTCTCAGGCTCGCTGTTGTTGCTTTTTGACGCTGGCGAATTGGCGGAGTGGCGGGTGCTGCGAAGAATTACGAAGAGGATTTTGAGAAGGGTGCGGAAGTAGGAGATTTGGCCTTGACTGAAAGGGTTTTCGACCCCGTAAATAGTGGCAGAGATGAGCATAAGCAGCTGGGTGATGTCTCGGGGTAGGCGTGAGCAGTCCGCGAGTCGCTGGAGGACGGTTAGAGCTAGGTTTGCCCGCGAATGCGAGAGCACCACAAAGATGTTCTCGGGAGGCTGAGGGCGTTGGTTTGCCTCCAAGCATTGCTCTGCAACCTGCAGCATCTGCTTTGCAACTGCTGGGTTCTTGCGCAAGAGGCAGATACTGAGCTCCAAGAGCAGATACTCCCAAGCACGAAACAGCGCCTAGAAACTGGTTAGCAGAAAGGAATAGTCAGGGGCCTATCCGGCATCAACTCACAACTTGGGCCTCCACCAGGGAGAGATTTAGATTTGCCGTCTCCATTTCCCGCCTGAAGCCGTTCTGGCGAGAACCGGCCCAGCCGGCGTCATACCTGAGCATGCTCTCTGCAAAATCCAAGTCGTAGTAGTAGTTAGACCCGAGGTCTCGTGCTACCAGCAGAGTCCGCTTGAAGTCATCGACCGAACACCCGGGGTAACGCTTCGCAAAATTCCTTGCAAAATTCGCGTGCAACGAGGCGTTGTAGCCCGACACATGGACACCATCCCTAAGGAAGTAGTCCAAATCATTCACCAGATCCGTCGCAAAGCCTTGCTCCTGGCGCATCTGGCGTAGATGATACAGTTGCATAGCAAATGTCTCGGCGATGTAGGCTGCTATTCGGGCTTGATAGCCAGCCTCGGCCGGCTCTGCCTTGGCAATGACCGTGGGAGATTTGAGCTCGCGAACATAGGTTCGAAGATCCTGCAGAAAAGCCTTATCCTTTTGCATTGCGAAGATGGTCCATGGCCAATAGTTCTGCGCCGCGGTAAAAAAATCGAGGACGGCCAGGCTTTCTTGGCTCGGAATATTGCTGATTGAGCGCAGTTTTTCCAGTGCTGCTGACAATACAGAGCCAGCGGTGAGCTGGGAAATCTTTGCATCGCCCTTAAGCGCTTCCCGGGGCGTCTTGCCCGTGAGAAGACAGTTCGCCATCCATTGTTGACGGCTGCGCACGATTGTTGAGAAGAACCTCCACGTACCGGCGACTTCTGGTGTCCTATCGAACGGCTTGTCTAACTGGGAGGCAATCTGGATGAAGGAACGCGATATCTGCGGACCGAGGTACCCCAGCAGCGACGGAGGCTCGCCGCTCGCCTTACCGGCACTCTCAACAAGCGCGCTCAGAAGGGAGATTGCTGGCATCCGGAATGAATGCCTAACCGCCGGCAGCCGAGCGACAAGGGACGCGGACTTGAAGAGTTGGCTTTGAATAACAGCGGAAGGTTGATCCAGGTGGTCGGCGACCCGTAGAAGGATGGTAGCGAATTCCAGAACCGATGTTAGCCTTTCAGATACGATTCGGGATCGCTGAGGGTAGAGGGTTGAGTCGGGAAGCTGAAACGCAGCGAGTAGAGTTGCCAGAAGAGGCTGAAAACGCAGGGAGCTCGACGACGTGGACAGAAAACTCTCCACAATGTACCCGGCTGCTGGAGCAAGGGTGCTTGTCAAGCTCTGCTGGACGTCAGTTGAGCCGATGCTATAAGTGTAAGATAGTAGCTTGTGCATGATGCCCACAACATCCCGGACCAGGGAGCTGCGGTCGACTTCGGACGTGAACCTCCAAGTCGCAGAGCTCTCAAAGATATCGATCGCGGTTTGGGCTATCGAGAGGGTGACGCGGGACAGGATTTTATCCGAAGTGCCCAGCCACGGGCTCTCCTCCCCCTTTGGTCGAGAATTCAGATTAGTGACGATCCTCCGCTGCACGGCGCTCGTCATCGAGCTCTCAACCAGGCTAGAAAATAACTTCACGGCAGACAGAAGCAAGTCGAACCGCTCAGCAGCCATGTCGAGGTTCCCCATGACCTTGGAGAGGCGTCCAGCTCTGGTGTCGCTATTGAGGAGGGCGCACCGTGACATGTAGGCCCAGACGCGCCCCGGGCAGACCGGAAGCGTGGCATGCAAGAATTGAACGCAGGACGACAAGGCTGCAATCTTTGGGCCATCGAGGTCTGCAAGTTCTTCCTCAATCAAACTATCCATAGTATCGCAGACGACGCTGATGATGTCCTTCGCGCGGGGGAGTAGGCGGCTGGCCTCCCTCAAAATCCTCATGCCCTGATCGGAATCGGCCTTCGACGGGGCAGAAGCCCGCAGAACATCAGCACGCAAAACCGTAGCGATGAGTGAGATTCCCTCAATCACCTCATCCCCGGTGAGGAATGCTAGCCCGCTGTCGTAGATAACCCCCATAAGATTGACTTCGAGACGCTTTCCAAACAAGGCCAGGGCGGAATGTTCGAATTCTAGCTTACATACCCTGCCCACGTCAGTGACAAAACGTCCAAAGGTGCCCGCTGGTATGGTGAGCTTCTCGTCAGGTGAGAACCTCCGTTTGGACCTTGATGTCGAATCAAAGAGGTCGATATCGTGAGTTAGACGGAATGAGTTGGTGTTTTCGTCCTCGTTTACCAGTTCATATGACGTGTCCCACCGGCTGTTCCAGTCGACTGTCAGACTTGGAGTCCGGAGGAGCAGGCCCGTTATTACTTCTGACTTCTCTTCGTCTGACACCAAAGCGGCAGATAGTATGCGGCAGAGGGAGGAAAAGGGCAGGAATTCGTAGGGAAAACGGCTCTGCGACTGGGCTGTGTACTTATCCCTCAGTCCGCCCTGTTCCAGCATGCGAGCGTAGAGCATGCGGGCGGCTCCATTAGCTGACTCGAGCGGCATGTCCCAATATCGAGTACCGGCTGAGAGAACGGAAAGGAGACAGGACACTGGTTCGGACCGGTAGCCGATGACATGGACGCTCCCTTTCAGAAGATCCAGAAAGGCAATGCGAGCGCGGGCGCCCACAATAGGCCGAAAAGCAGCGACCTGGCTACCGCCTAGGCATACTGCCATCTCCGACATGACATCGTAGACGCTGCCTTGGGACGTGACCACCATTGCCATGTTCTCAGCCAGTTGGATGTCCCGCTCTAATTGCTGGGACACAAGAAAGGCATCGTATTGGGACGTCTCAATAGACACAATGCTCCCGGCCGAGTTCCGCCGCGGGCGCCCGGACCCGGACGGCTCAAATTCGAGCTCAAACCCTGCTTGCGCCCTTTGATTTTGTAGGAGGTCGCGCCTCTCTGCCCTTTCTTGGTAGTTAAGGTGCATCTGGTGAAGAATCAGAGACCAGGCAAACACGACAGGCGCGGCAGTCATCAGGCAGGCATTCGCTGCGGCCGTGATTACTGTGTGGATGTGCGTTAATGCGTCTGTCGAGTCTATGTATGAATCCTCGTTCTCAAGCAGATCAACCTCCTGGGTGAGGTACAAGAGCGCCCGGTCAATGTTGAGAAGCTTCAATGAGATGGCGGTAACCATACTCCGAAGGGGCATCACCAGCTCGGCAATCAGTTCATGGTCCTGGTGCAGGGTCAGTCCTGCCAACAATGCTTCAGAAAGAGAGAAAAACGCACCCCAACTACGGGTTCAAGGAATTCGTAGGTATCGACGAATGCGAACCACCGCGACACAACTTCTACCGCAGTGAATGCCGGGGTTTTGAGGTCCAGGATCTGGAAGGTAAGTGACATGGCATGAATTGCCTCGGTGAGCGCCGTGCGGACCCAATCCACCTCGAGTTGGGCGGTCATGATCTGCTGGTCCATAGCGGCCGGACCTTCCCTAGCCCTATTCATGCAGTCGTCGAGTATGCCGATATAGGTCGGCGCCAAAGAATCAAGTTGGGACATGTCTGGGTGTAACGCAGCGTCATCAAAATCGAAAGCGTCCTTCATGACAGCTTGTCGTAAGACATTGGCTTCCGGGTAGGCGGTCGACGACCGGGAATGCAGTAGAAAGGTGATGAGGCCATCAGCAGCGCTCAAGAATGACCGCCGCTCGGAAAGATAGGTAGCAAGAAGGCGCTGGCGGCGCCTGGTTTCGCTCTCGAAGTCGGCCCATGTCGACTCGGCATCGGCAACCGTGGTCACGTTCAGAAAGGCGAGGATGCCCGAGGCCTGCGCATCTGTGACACCGGCGGCTTCCTGGATGTTGGCGACATCCTGGGTAGATAGCGGTCCAGTAAGGTGGCTGCGAGCTCGCGACTGGTATTCCACAAGCACGATGCGGAGGGCGGCAACCTCATTGACATTTGCATTCTTGCTCAGCCATCGTGCGTCGCCCTTGATCGTGTCGAGGTCATACGGGTCTGTTGGTGACGGAACGATGTTGATAGCGCCGGTCTTGGTCTCAAAATCGAGCTTGGACTGGTTCGAGGGCGGCTCGAAGGGTCTGGTGGGTTCCTTAAGCAGCTGCTGAACGTAGCCGTCGCGGAGAAAGGCAGATACTGCAGCGCTAGCGAGACGATCGGATGACGAGTCCTCGAGCGAGGAAGCGACAATCTTCCACGACCTAGATAGGCGCACACGTTCGTTGTGTCAGAAAACCTGCAACCCGATCGTGATTGTGATTGTGGGAGCTGTGTAGAGGGACAGCGCAACGTACAGGATAATTCGCCTGCCCGATAAACACTCCTCGAGCGGAGGGAAATATGTTCTATCGGTCAGTGTAGCCATTGGTAACCGTCTCCATCCGTACCAGAGCTGCCCGGCCGAGATGTATCCTGGATAAAAATCTGGAGCCGGTCCAGGTTGCCGACAGCGAGGTGTCGCAGAGCTTGAACTGCAAAAACGTCAATAATGAACTTTTGCTGGACGCGCTTTCCCACGCGGGCCGCAAGCTCTCTGGTTGGGCTGGGCCTGGCGGTTGCACAAAGCCCGCTGATTGGATTCAGCTAAGGGACCCACTAAATTTTACCAAGCTGAGCCAAGTGCTTTCTTATCGATAGCCAAGCAGATCCTTGTAAGTTGGAGGCGCTTGCGCTCTGAAGCCTCTGATTGGAGACTTCAATCAAGAGTTCAATCAATGCCAACCTCGCACAGAAAGCGTACCATAGCTCCAAGCTTTCTAAGGCAATGACTTGAAGACTCAAGTCTGAACTTGGCTACTTACGATACATTTCCTTGGACAACAGATATCTCTGCCGCCTGAGAATTGCGACAACAATCACAACATGGGTATGGCTAATAAGAAGTAGATAACATTAGAGCATGCATTTCTTCATGATGCCGCGATCGTTGATCAGGGTACCAGGCTCTCCATTACCGGTATCTCACAACCTAGGTAGCTCCTACTACTACCTAACCTATGGGTCATTTGAAGAACCAGCTCTCATCTCCTTCTCGTTCAGGAAAATGTGCTGAAACTGCTGAAGTCACCTTTTGATATTCGACTGTGACCTGACGGGAAACGATGAAATCAGAAAATTCAATGATCTATCTTTGTTCGCATCCAACCATTAGAAATTGAAACTATTGGATCAAGCCGGCTGGTTGTCGTTTGATTTCTCCCATGTTGAGGGCTGATTGATTTTCAAGCAGGGACTAGTTTGCCAACGAATCTTCCATACATCCCATCTTGTTCATTGCTGTTAGCTTAAAGATTCACTATTGCGAAGCAGAGTGTGATCGCGGGGCTAGCTCGAAGCCTCGAACAAAGGAAATATGGAAATACGATTGCACTGAGGAGAGGTAGTCGAGCTCCTTCACTTACAGCGAAGTTATAACATAGCCGAACTTTGCTTAGGGGTGGGGCAATAGAGAGCCCTCAATTGGATGAAAGTAACAATCCGTCACGTGTGGCGAACGGGAAATGGCGGATGTACAAATTCAAAATCAGCACTATACTTTGGTGCTAGCACTGGAATTGAATGTAGTACAATCATATTCAAAAATTGTTTAGACTCTCCCTCATACCTCTTGTTGTAATAAGGGCGCCGATGGTGACTCACCCACATTGCTTCCTTGATTCTTCCCTGGGAGAGTCGAAAAAAAACCTAGCACATTCAATTACCTGCTCTCTCCATCACTTGGCTAGCCAATTGCTGTCGACTCGTTGCTGTCTTTGATTTCCTCGCACCTTCCGAACTCGGCGACTCTGAGAGGCAAAGCAGACAGAAACAAACCCAGGACAAAATGCCTGCCCTCGACATCGTCGACCACTCACCCCACCATCCTGATCCGTCGCCCCTAGTCCCAACCGCCTCAAACCTCATCCTTATCGACAATTATGACTCATTTACCTGGAACGTCTACCAGTACCTGGTGCTTGAGGGCGCGAAGGTGACCGTCTTTCGGAACGACAAGATCACTCTCGACGAGCTCATTGCAAAGAAGCCGACTCAATTGGTCATCAGTCCCGGCCCAGGCCACCCGACCACCGACTCGGGCATTAGCCGCGATGCCATCAAACACTTTGCCGGCAAGATCCCCATCTTCGGCGTTTGCATGGGCCAGTAAGTGCACTTCACCTCAGAAACGGCACCTAGTACTAGTACTATATCAACCTCCGCTGACTCCCTTCCTCAAGACAATGTATCTTCGATGTATATGGGGGCGACGTGAGCTTCGCCGGTGAAATCCTGCACGGGAAGACTTCGCCCTTGAGCCACGACTCAAAGGGTGTCTATGCCGGCTTGGAGCAGGGTCTGCCCGTCACCCGCTACCACTCGCTTGCTGGCACTCACGTCACACTGCCCGAGTGCCTGGAGGTGACGTCCTGGATCGCCAAAGAGGATGGATCCAAGGGCGTCATCATGGGCGTGCGCCACAAGGAATACACCGTAGAAGGTGTGCAGTTCCATCCAGAGAGCATCTTGTCGGCTCAAGGGCGCCTTATGCTCAGGAATTTCCTGCACATGCAAGGAGGCACCTGGGCCGAGAACGAGAGATTGCAGAAGGCTGCCCATGCCGCAACTGTCGGCGCAAACACTCCCAACGGGACTACGAAAACAGCCGCACCCCCCAAAAAAAACATCCTTCAACGGATATATGCCCACCGCAGAGCCGCTGTCGCCGCTCAGAAAGAAATCCCCTCACAGAGACCGTCCGACTTGCAAGCCGCCTACAACTTGAACCTCGCGCCGCCCCAGATCTCTCTCGTTGACCGTCTCCGCCAATCACCGTTCGATGTGGCGCTCATGGCCGAGATCAAGAGGGCTTCGCCGTCCAAGGGCATATTTGCGCTCGATATCGACGCGCCCACGCAGGCCCGCAAGTACGCGCTCGCGGGCGCCAGCGTCATTTCTGTTCTGACAGAGCCGGAGTGGTTTAAGGGCAGCATCGAGGACCTCCGCGCCGTGCGACAGGCCCTCAACGGCATGGCCAACCGGCCGGCCGTGCTCCGGAAGGAGTTCATATTTGAAGAATACCAGATCCTAGAGGCCCGGCTCGCGGGTGCCGACACCGTGCTTCTAATCGTCAAGATGCTCGAGGCAGACATCCTAGAACGGCTCTACAAATACTCGCAGTCCCTGGGCATGGAGCCGCTCGTCGAGGTGCAGAACGCCGAGGAGATGGCGACGGCCATCAAACTTGGGGCGAAGGTCATCGGGGTCAACAACCGCAACCTGGAGAACTTCGAGGTCGACCTCGGCACAACTGGGAGGCTCCGGAGCATGGTGCCTAAGGAGACCTTCCTGTGTGCGCTGAGCGGTATCAACAGCCATCAGGATGTCCTGGACTGCAAGAGGGATGGCGTGAATGGCGTGCTCGTTGGGGAGGCCATCATGCGGGCGCCCGATGCGTCGCAGTTCATCAGGGAACTCTGCGCCGGCCCGCTCGCTCCCGCAACCAGGGCCGAATCGCACTCTCTGCTGGTCAAGATCTGCGGCACCCGCAGTGCAGAGGCTGCCACCGAGGCCATCAGAGCTGGCGCGGATCTGATCGGTATGATTCTGGTTCCGGGGACGAAGCGCTGCGTTTCGCACGAGACCGCCTTGGAAATTTCCGAGGCTGTTCACGGTAGCAGAAAGGACGCTTTGTCGGAAGCGGTCAATGTCCCGCAGGCGGCAGCAGATTTTTTCAGTGTGTCTGACGAGTTACTGAGGAAAAGGGGACCGCTTCTTGTCGGGGTTTTCATGAACCAGCCCCTGGAGGAAGTGCTTGAGAAGCAGCGGCTGTATAACCTCGACGTTGTCCAGCTGCACGGTGACGAGCCGATTGAGTGGGCGAGCCTCATCCCTGTTCCTGTCATTCGCAAGTTTAAGCCGGGGCAAGTTGGGCTTGGAGTCCGTGGGTACCATGCCGTGCCGCTGCTGGACTCTGGCGCGGGGTCAGGCCAGCTGCTCGATATTGAGGCTGTAAAGGCGACGCTGGAGGAGGACCGGCACCTGTCGGTTCTGCTTGCTGGGGGCCTGGAGCCGAAGAATGTTGCCGCGACTATTGCCGCCCTGAAGCCTGTCGCGGGTTCGATTATGGGCGTTGACGTGAGTAGCGGCGTTGAGGTGGATGGGAAGCAGGATCTTGAGAAGATTAGGGAGTTCGTTAAGGCCGCCAAGACTATTAAAGTCTAGACGCCATCGGCATGGCTTGGACGGTTGGACGGGTGACATCAATCTAGCAGTTCTGAAAGCTTAGCTAGTAATTCCGATCTACTCGTCTATCTGGCTCCTCATCGGAACCAGCGTGCGGACATCTTTTGTCTGTGAGGGATGGGATAAGGCAACACGCGCGCACACACGTGCTGTCTCCCCCTTTTTGAACGGTTCACTGCTTCAGCATGCCACATTCCCGGTAAGGAAACCCGGACTGTCAGGCTCATCTGATACCGTTTGCAGGTACTGACTCCGTCTCTTGTAGCGGCTTGTCAGGCAGAAGTTGGGTCGGCAGCCCTCTACGTCTCCTGCCCGGTGATGTCTGTCTCCGGCACTCCATCTCCAGGACACAACCCTTCTGGCCAGCTCCTCCACTACTCTCGAAGCAAAATATCCCCTTCAAGACCATTTTACTAGGCCTCCATCTTATTTTATCACCTACGCTCTTCCTTCCCTAAGTGAAAGAACCCTCCTGATTACTCACTGCCATCCCTATTCTCACTGATCCGTTCCCTTCTTTCCGCTCCCTCGTCCGCGAGCTTCTCTCCCTCCCTTCCCGTCTTCCCTCTCCTCTCACCACCACCATCAGCATCCGGCAACCACTTATTTCACAGTTCCCACGTTTGTTATTATAGTCGTAATATATCTACATCATTACACTTACACAACCCAACAATCCAAGTCTCGCAAGGGACTGAGAAAGAATGACCCGTTCTGGTTCTGGTCTACGCGGCGGGAAGGTCAGACCCATATTCCGCGGCCTGCGCATCGCCGTGGCCGGCGATCTCACACGCAACCGAAGCAGCCAGTGGACCGAGGCCAACATTGCGCGGTGGGTAGCGCTACGGGAGGGCAGGTTTGTGCGTGCCGGGGCTGGGCCTACTCAGGCTGTCAATGGGGGTGGTGATGGTGTTACTCACCTTGTTTGTGACAAGGGCGAGTTTGAGAGGCGGAGTGGGAGAGGTACGTTGTTCTTTCTCTGTTTTGTTGTGATGATGTTGAGGGTTTAGCTGACAAACAAGATATAGTACGGGAAGCCCTCAAACACCAAAAGACGTGCCACATAGTCTCGTTGGACTGGCTTGAGGACTCGATGCTGCAGGCCAAGCGGCTGCCCGAGGAGCCCTACTCGTTCGTCCGCACACTGAAGCAGCAGCGGGAGAAGGAGCGAAGGCGCATGATGGTCATTAAGGGGCTGGAACAGGCTGAGAAGGGGGTCAATCCGAGTATGTCATTGTGTCTTGTTGGTTCTTGGGTTGGAGTTGGACGACGGCTGGCTGATGGTTGGATACTTACAGACTTTTACCATGTCTATTTCGACCACACCTTCTTTCGGTATGAGATTGTTTTGACGAGGGGTGATGAGGAGCTGGGAACTCAGGGGGAGCGGTACATTCTCATGGTAAGTATGCTACTATGCTTGTACTTGCTCATACATGGATAACCCCTTTTCCGGCCCTACTACTACTAGTACTTATTCAAGACGCAGCACTCAGCTGACCGCATTAGATCCACGAGTCCAACGCCAAACCGCATCTCTACTGGTTCGTCATCAAGTACTACAAGAAGAAGGGTGACCCGCAGCCCAAAATCCACCGGCCGAGCGGCTCGCCGGGCCTCTTCAGTCGCGAGTTTGGCCTGTTCGAGGACTTCTTTCACAAGAAGACGGGCATTCCATGGGTGCAGCGTCTCATCAAGGCTGGGACAACGATCGACAAGGCTTTGTTTCAGTACGCACCGCCGGTGAGTTTGCCAGGTTGGCTTGAACGGGGATCACAGCGGGCAGACTAATGTCAATGCGTTGTTAGACAGGTGGAAAGCCGGTCGGTTGGGCGCCGGCCGAGTATATACCGCTTGACGTGCCCGAGCGGGATGGTACAATCACCACTAGCTCGGATCCAACCCAGGGCAACGGTGTTAACGTCCCGGCCCATCCAAACGCAGCAGTCAATGAGAATGAAAGGGCCAGTGAAGAGTACGAACAAGTTATTGAGAGTGAAGAGCCCAGGACCAGCGAAGACTTCAGCATCAAAGATACTCTCGACATGACAAACGCCTTTGACGCAGCTGTTGGGTCTGACATTATTTCCAACTCATCTGCGCAGCCCTCGATGGATCCGGCCATCACAGCCCGCGCCGTGCCGTCAGGGGCTGGTGAGGACAACGCATTATCGGTCTCAACACTTACACAGACCGAAGCTACCCGCATCTCGCTGCCTTGATAACAAAGGACACGCCTAGTTGGAGGGTCTAGTCGGAGGGCCGCGGATGGAACCGACAGGAGAACAGGAGAACACAGCACTTCCCATAGGAAGGGAGAAGTAATGGCGCTCAGGGATCTTAGTAAGTAGACAGCAAAATTGGCAAACCCTTGATTTCCACATTCGACACCCATGGGATAAACTCCGTATCACCTGACAGACAATTATAAACCCACACACGCAGACAGACATGTACCATAACGCCCACCGCCCGCTCCCGAGTTTGAGTCCCGGTCCTGTCCAACGCCTTAATCTCAACCACCCGCTTCTTTTCCACCACAACAACCGTTTCAGCCACTCACACATACATAGTAAAATCAAAACCTCAACTTAGGCATAACCCCCACCACCAAGACCAACACAACCATCAACCCATAGATAATCACGTACAACCTCATCCTCCCAAACCACCCCTCCCCCTCAACCATGCGCTGCAGAGCGCCCATGCGTTGCGACACCCGCTGCATGCTCTCGCCGGCCCGGCTCATACCCTCCCCCGCACGGTTGACCAGTTCCTTGTCCTCCTCGAGCGAGGCCGAAAAGGCTTGTGACGAGGCTTTCAGCTGCTCCGCCAGCCGCAGGATGGACTCGGACAGGGCGTCCTGCTCGGCCCGCTGGTGGTCGAGGATCGCTTCGGTCGTGGATACCGAGGTTGCTGCTACTTCACTGGCGGAGTGGTTGCCGAAGAGGGCGCTGCTGTTACTGCCGGTGGTGGTGGCGTTGGCGGATATGGAGGAGGTGGTGGTGGAGGTTGAAATTGCTGTTGTTGTTGCTGTAGGTTGGTTTGACGGTGGTACGGTCTGCCGGGGACGGAGGGTTTGCGAGGTTGTTGTGGGCTCTAAGGAAGGGGAGATTGTGGTTGCGGTTGTGGTTGAAGGAATTGCTGGCTTGGTTGCGGGGGCTTCTTCCGGTTGTGAGGGAGGCGGCGGCGGCTCTACATTGTCTGGTATTTGATCTCCATCGGCGTCTGGCTGCTGCGGCGCCAGATCGGGTGACCTTGTCGAGTCCATGCTCTCGCTTGGCGTGGCGATGATGTCGGCCAGGATGTCCTCCCCCTCTGAGGTGTCGTCTCCGTCGTCGCCATTGTGGTTGCTAGTAATGGCGGCAATTTCGGCCAGATCGCCGAGCCTTTCTGTTAACTGGTCGATAACCTCACGTTTCCGCACCAGATCGGCCTGCACATCCTGGCGGCGGGCGTGGATCTTGACCGCCAGGGCTTCCTGCTCGAGCTTGGTGAGGAGTGACCGCGCGTAGTTGATATTCTATTTTATTTTATTAGACTCAATCTATCAGCTTTGGGACAGGGCTCAGCTAGAACTACGAGCGCCCTACCGCCTGTGCCTTTGCTCTCTCGAACTCGCTCGAGCGGAGTCGTGCCTCGCGCTCTGCGTCGCCGTGGAGTATCGTGCGCTGCAGCCGGCTTAACAGCAGACTGAGGTCTGTTAGCGGATCGACACGCTGTCTGAATGACGGCGTCGTCGTTATGCCGGCTGTCAGGCGAGCCATGGCGTTGCCGGGTGTGTCGGGTTGTTGATTAGGACTCGGTACCTTATGTTGGAGATGTTCATCGGTCAAAGTACACAGTGCAATTGACATGTGGCGGCAGCTTATCGTTTGTGGCTCGCGGTCTGACATCATTTGATGCCTACCAACCCTAACCCCGGTTCCTAGCCTTAAGACACCAACAACGCTACCTACATACGGAGTAAGGACAGTGGCATTTCAGAGTAACGATCAGTTTATGATGAGACATGATCGTGAGCCTAACCATTGAAATATAGCAACCATTATGCATGCAAAAAGTGTTGATTTTGCACAAGATTGGCCATGTCCATTTCGTGCCGCTGCTTGGCACCACCAGGGTTAAGGGGATTTCTTCGGCGATAAGATACAATTTCTCAGATAGGTAATGGGAGTTCGAGGAGGTCTAACACACCTCGCACACCAACAACCCAAGCCGATCCTTTTATCTAAGAAAGTCGGCCTCCCTCTGCCGTGATCCTTCTCCGACCACGTATGGCCGATAGCCTCTGTCTCGATTGCCTGAAATGAGGCGCACGGCGTCCCGGGCACTGAGGAGCGCTCGCTGCAGCCTTCAACAGTCAAAATGGTCTGTCAATGTCAATAGAGCTGCAATTGGGTCAACAATCGCAAGTGTAAACCCAAGCTTGAGCTTGTCACCGCCACGGTGCTCAAACCTGCAATTCCGAAACTTTTCTGCCACAGCACGGTTACGAAATGAAGAAGATAGACAATGGTCGACTCCTCTGGCCAAGCAACTGGCCGAAGCCATCGCGGTCTGTCTCCTTTGCCTGAATTATAATTATTGATAATTGATAATGCCATCACTCACACTCCAAACCACAGGCAACCGGCCCCATACCGCTGGCCAGCTATATGCGCATGTGCCTGACTGCTGACATCGGTGGCTACTACACAGGCGCCATCGAGGAGGGCCGCGACCAGTTCGGAGTCAAGGGCGACTTCATCACGGCGCCCGAGATCTCACAGGTCTTCGGCGAGCTGTGCGGCATCTGGTTCCTGACCGAATGGCTCGCCCAGAACAGCCCGAGCAAGGGTGTCGAATTGATCGAGGTCGGCCCCGGCCGCGGCACCCTGATGGACGACATGTTGCGGGTAGGTCAACAGCTTGACTACACCCCGACGCCGCCACCAGCCGCGCTAATCGCACAAAACAAAACAGACCATCCAGGTCTGCCACCCGCCCATGGCGAACAGCATCGACGTCATCTACATGGTTGAGGCCAGCCCGGAGCTCCGCCTGGCACAGAAAAACCTCCTCTGCGGAGAGAATGCCCCCATGACCGAGTCCAAGGTCGGCTATCACAGCGTGTGCAAGTACAACGCAGTGCCCATTGTCTGGACCGAGACCATCAAGTCGATTCCGATTGGTACGTACTAGCCGGGCTCACGCAATCCTCTCAACCTCCCAAACTGACACCTCCCTCTTCTCCTTCACTCCCTCAGCCCCGGAAAATACCCCGTTCATAATGGCGCACGAGTTCTTCGACGCCCTCCCGATCCACGCCTTCCAGTGCGTCTCCGTCCCGCCATCCCCATCCACCGACAACTCCTCGCCATCGACCCAAACCACCCACGCAACCCTACAATGGCGCGAACTCCTCGTCTCCCCGACGCCACCAGGATCCACCCACGACACGCTCAAAACCCCGCCTTCCCAATCCCGCGACACCCCTCCCCCAGATTTCCAACTAACCCTCTCCCCCACCCCAACCCGCCACTCCCTGTACCTCCCGGACTCATCAGCCCGCTACCGCGCCATCAAGACCACCACCGGCGCCGGCGCCGTAATCGAAGTCTGCCCGGACGCGTCGCTCTACGCAGGCGATTTCGCCGTGCGCATCGGCGGCTCGCCACAGCACCCCAAACCCTCCCCGCGCGGCGCGGCGTTAATCATCGACTACGGCCCCGGGGACGGCTCGGTGCCCGTCAACTCGCTGCGGGGGATCCGGCGGCACCGGCGCGTGTCGCCGTTCGCTGAGCCGGGCTTAACCGACCTCAGCGCCGACGTGGATTTCAAGGCCATCGCTGAGGCGGCATGCCGCGCGAGTGATGGGGTGGAAGTGCACGGTCCCGTCCAGCAGGCGTTTTTCCTGACTGCGTTGGGGATTAGGGAGAGGGTGGAGGCGCTGAAACGGGCGGTTGGTGGTACTACTACTACTACTACTGGTGAGGGTGGGAAAGAAGGAGGAGAGGAGGATGCGGAACAGAGGAGGAAAAGCATTGAGCTTGCTTGTGACAGGTTGGTGAATCGCATGCCTGGTGGCATGGGCACGGTGTACAAGGTGCTGGCCATCATCCCTGAAAAGGGAGGCGAAAGGAGACCGGTTGGGTTCGGCGGGGATGTTGTCAATTAATTAAAGGGGATTGGGGCGGGCATGATACACGAAGGAATTTTGGATGTTACGACTGGTTTCTGGGGTTCTACTGAACCCGTAGGAGTGCTGGTTGTGTCACTTGTGTGTAAAAAATATGATTGCGTATATGGTGCGCCTTGTATAGAATACCGTTGTGCAATGAACCACTTGTCTCTACTCTATACAGCAGTGTACGTCGGACATCAACATGATCAAATGCAGCATCACCGATATCAGGACAGCAGCGACCAAAACCTTGAACCGAGAAGCCAGAGCGAATTGATATCAGATCCCATCCAAAGACGCCGTCCTTTACCGAATATGGTAAGTAGTACATGCAACAACAACCAACAAATCTACAGCCGGCAAGGAAGCAATCGGCGCCTTTTGAAAGCCCGTACTTAGCCCCTCGACAAACAAATCATACCGCGTAGATAATGAATCCCTTTCCTTCCAGCCCGCCGCAAAGTCTATTTCTTGCCCCGTACAAGTCCAGATTCCTCCCCGCTCTCGTCATCGTCTGAGAACTTGTCTTCCCCGTCCTCGCCCACGGCGAAGATGGTCTCGCCATCCAGCGACTCCCTCGGCAGCGGCGGGCTAGTTTTCCTTCTTGACGCAGCAGCAGCAGCAGAAGCAGCAGAAGAAGAAGAGGAAGCCTGACCGGCAGACTGCGCCGCGTGCGGGGGCGCGGCGAGGCCAGCCTGGTTCTGGCTCTGATTCTGTTGCTGCTGCGCCTTTGCAGTTTCCACCCTCGCCTCTTCATCACCATGACCATCATCATCATCCGACTCATCCGGGTTCCCAATATCCAAATTAGCAATCTCAAACGTGCCGTCGTCCTCCTGGGCGATCTCGTCACTCATGGCGAAGCGGCGGTTGTTGGGCGTCGGGCGCCACACGTAGGCAATAAAGGCCACGTCGGCAAAATAAACGACGTTGGGCCAGCCGTCAAACAGGAACCAGCGCGTCTTCCAGTGGAAGGGCACGTAGTCCGGGTCGCGGGCCGAGGCGAACGAGAACGAGTTGAAGACGAAGAAGCCAAAGATGACGAGGATGGAGAGCAGGATGCACCACCACAGCCGGCGGTACATGGCCTCCTTGACGTGCTGCTTGCGCTCGCGCAGGTCCTTGAGCGTGAAGTTCAGCGAGTTGAGGGTCCAGACGTAGAACGCGGTTAGTGTTGCCGCCAGGGGTAGGACAACGAGGAGGACGAGGATGCCTGGGGGGTGTGAGTCTCTGCGCAGGGTCAAGTTGTGGAGGGGAGGGATGAGACTTACTCGCGTTTTCAGGGGTGATGACAAAATTGGTGATGGCGTAGGCGATGCCAAACACAAAGTGGGCGATGGCGAGCCACCGGACGTAGATCATGGTGCGGCCGAGCGTGGGCTTGACCACGCCGTAGCCCATGCAGACGATCAGGAGCAGGAAGAAGGAGAATGAGTTGCGCGCTGCGTTGAGTGTGGCAACCACCACGAGCAAAACCTTGGAGCCAATGGTTGAACCGTTCCGGTTGAGGTGGTCTGGTGTGGTCAGCAGTGCATCGTCTCAGAAAAGCGGGTAACAACATACCGTAGTAGCCCCAGGTCATCACCATCTCAATCAACAGAACAATGAGGATTGCCGTTATGTAGTTCTGCACAGGCACTGCAAACGGTTAGCGGGATAACTCTTGCGGCAGGGGGGAAACCACATACAGATGTCGGATCGATACTGGAAATAGAGGAAGCCCCAGAACCTGCGAAACCGTCAGTCCTTAACCCCTAAAACCGTCCTTGGTCCACATACACCAGCAGCAAAGCGTAGGCAATGGTTATCCCTCCATAAAACGGCAGCTTCGGGATCTGGGCGGCCGAAAGCTCGCCATAGGCGTTTCGAAACTCGACGACGGCCTGGTACTTAGTTGCGGTGAACTTATCTGTGACGACGCAAAAGTACCCAGTCTTGTTGATAGAATACTTGACCGGGGCCGAGTCTTTCAGGTGAACGGCCTTGGTCAAGATGAGGTTTACCGACTCCTCGGTAGCGTTCGGTGCCAGGATGAATTTGCCAATGTCGGCCTGGTCGCAGAGCCCGGCGTCGACCCACGTCTGCTCGCACACGCCGACTTTCGTGGTCCTCCCCTCAGGCACAACGCCGATGTAGTCCTCGTCCATCCAGTCGAATATGAGGAGGCTCACGACGGGGTCGTCTCCCTGATCCTTGCCGACGTCGGTGAACTTGACGAGGATAAAGGGGTCGACGGGCCCGCCCCAGGAGCTCTTGCTATACATGCCTGCTGTCGTGTTAGGCCAATGTGCTCCAAGTATATTGGGGGACTAGTTAAACGAACCATAACATCTTTGCCGGTTGTCCTCTGTATCGTCCTGTCGTTCGCCGTCGCATTAGCAGCTGTCCGGAAGGGCGGAACGGCGGAATCACGGCAGAGCTCACCAATGCAACTTCTAACGCTTTTGCTGTCCATACGGATAGCACCAGCAGGGCTAAAGCGTAGGCCCAACGCCGCATGGTGGGCTGTGATGTTGCGGCTCGCTGTCTCGATCTTTGGATCTCGGCGCAGGATCGTGTGTTAGGGATCGGTTCAGGCGACGTAGCCGAGAAGGTGATCCACCATGAGAAAATTCAAAGGGTTGAACGCGGCATGGATCCGCCTTTGGCAGGGGCTATGGCTGACGACGCCGGGTATGTTATCGGCGCTTTGACTGGGATGGAAAAGAACCAAAAAAGCTGGCCCCTTGTTGCTCCTTGGAGGTGTACTTTTCTTAGATCGCACTCTCTCGGATGCATGGGCTGCTGTGCTTCAAGGCTGCAGCTGTAACACAGTACGCGCGTACAGTACAGTCAGCCTATTAGCACTCAGTTGCTGCGTGCTTGTACTATGAAGCTCCATGATAAGATAAGGTAATTCGTGTGACGTTATGCTAGTAGAGCAAGTGTTGGTTTCAGGTGCGCAGTCTGTCGACTTCAAGCCGCTTTGCGCTTTCCATTATTGTGCTCTGTTTCCCTTCGTTTTTATTCTCTGATTCACTTGATGGCAAGGACGTTGTCCCTGGAGAGCACAAAAACAGATAGCATTCCTTGTCGTGACGGACACGTACGCTCTAAATTGAAAAGAGAGAAATTGTAACGCTATTCCGATCTAATCCATTGGTATCATATCAAGCCCCCTAATCACTGAACCACGGGTGTCCCAGGATCGCCTCAGCCGAGGGACGCTTTGATACGTCGTACTCGAGGATTCACCGCAGCAGCTTCAAGACCTCCTTCTCCTCCCGCCCATCCATCCCCTCCGGTTTGCTCTCTCGTAGCTTCTTCTCCGGAGTATCGAATGCACGCGGGAGGGGCAGCAAGGAAGACGACTTACTCAGACCACTCCTCGACGATCTGGGTGAGTTTGGGGAGCGTGCAGCGTGGCCGTCGGATTCTGATTCCAATTCCGTCATCTCCTCGTCTTTCGTGCTCGTCTTGGTCGCCGTCCCCGTCTTGATCAGGCTCGGGCATATCCAGCCGTTTTCCATCCGGGCCATAGTACCTGTCGCGGCGACGCCATCTCGAAGCGAGTTCTTCCGGTAGCGGTCCCAGAACCTCGGAAAGCTGAATGACATGCTCGTCATTGGTATATTCGCCGTACTCTTCGTCGTCAGCCACACCTTCAAGTCCGGTACACAAATAACGGGTAGTGAGCAGCTCGAGCATGAGGCATCCGAACGACCAAATATCTATTCCTTTGCCGGGGGGGCTAGGGCCACCAAGGATAGTTTCAGGCGCTCGAAGATGTACCGGTGTGACGATTTTGGGCGGAGGGTCTTCCTCGAAGAAAGCAGTGCCGAGATCTGTAATCTTCACCGCAGGGTCGAGATCAAAACACACCTGCTCGTGTAAAGGCGCAAGCTCAAGCAGGTATGCCGGAGCCCAGAGATCCGTCTTTCCGTCCTTCCTCTTGAGCGGGCAGCCTTGGCTAGCAAGTTGTTGAAGGTTACGCTCCAAGGCACCACCATCATCCAAAGGCTGACCTAGTGGGTGGATATTGGCGAGTATATTTCCCATATGTAGGTCGCCGTGTACGATGCCGTAGCTGTGGAGGAAATGGAGCCCAAGTAGAACGTTCATCTCGTAGGATCCGCTTGGCCAGGTGCTTGGGAAAACGAGGCGGGGGATCCCAAGGGGTCATTGGATCGATTTGGAACTCTGGACGCTCCCATAAACATGTCGTAAGGTGTGGACCCATCGGCTCCAATGCAAGACAGGAGTGCCGTCCATTGGGGCCGGAAATTTCAAAAACGTCCTGGAGACGAACGACCTGCTGACAGCCACTTTGGGAGAGAGTCCGGTAAATGGCCACAGTTTTATCAATGCTTTCCCTTGTCAATTTGGCGACCGAAATTTTCAAGGTAACGAAGTAGTTTGACTTCGATATCGACGGCAAGCCAAACTGTCGAATAGCCACCGTAGCCTAGTTTCCGGATGATGCGGTAACGATTCTGCAGCATGTCGCCCAGGTGAACGGGATGGTAGCCGCCGGGATGATAAGACCCTCCCCATTCGCAAGCCGTACCATTCTCCTTGAACTGGCACTCTTCTTCATCCTGCGGATCTCGGTTTGGTGGTGTGGGTGGGCGAGACGCCATGGTGTCGGCTCTGGAAACGAAATGTTGAGAATGTAAGGCTAATGGCCATGCCTCGGTTGCAACAAGCAATCGAGACCCCTGTGTTTATCACGAAAGAAAGGAAAGGAAAAGAAAGGAAGGAAGTATCGATCGTAGTAGTTCCTTCGTTAATGGATAGTATGCGAAGGAGGCGGCTAACGGCAAGAGAAACCCACCCTCTGCTGTACTGATTGAGCACCAGGTACCGATCAAAGAGCAAAGTACACGGCCATAGCGGGCAGTAGGCTGTCTACTACCGAACTGCTATTTATATGGTAGGGAGA